GGGATTTGTAAGGAGTTGACATGATGACTTTTAAGACTTTTTTAACCTCTAAAGGGAACTTTTTTGATACGAAAGAAGTTGCTGAAAATTCTATTATGACCTCTTCTCCAAAAACGATAAGCTTTTTTAATGCTCTGTGATACTTTTTGATACCAAATTAGGGTATTTTTGACCTTTTTTTTAGTGTTTTTTCAAATTATTTATAATGGTGTTTCGTCAAAGAAAACTATTTTTTTTGTTATTTCTGCAAACTTCAAAGGCAAACTTTTTTGCTCATTACTTTTACAATTCCTATTACTAGCAGTTTCCAACATTTCCCTTCCAAATTCCGCATATTATTTTCCTAGAAATCGTTGAAATGCCAAAAAATTTCGAGAAAAGTCATCGTTTTTGTAATCCCCCTTCCACAAATGCACGTCTCTTTTCGCGGAGTCCACCGTTTCCATGTACATACATGCAACATATTTGATTTAATTGCCCGACTAACCCATTCCAAATACGCCGGAAATCTTCCATTTGAGACGTGCCCTTTACACTGTCAACATTTAATTATATTTAATTCTATCGCTGCAGCGTTTGCCCTTCTCGCGGTGTGCTCTGAATAATTCACGTTATGATTTTGGCTATTCTCTGTGAGGGAAATTAAAAGGAGGCGGCTTGAAAGGGAACGAAGAAATTTTTGTTTTTTGACTTCTTGCATTCTTCAGCTGAAAATGATTATTTTCGTAGAATAATTTAGCAGAAAAATTTGAAGACGGATTGGAAAGATATTGGACGTCATTCTGATGAAGTGAGAGCTAAATTTGGCTATTTTCTTGCAATTTTTGATGGTATTAATAGCAATTTTGACGAAAATTAAATGCCGCGGATTTTGATGAAATTTGGGGGAAAATTAAATTTAGAAATTTTGAAGGCATATGATGGGATGTTTAGCTTACTTTTTGAAGAAATTACCGGGATTTTTTGGCTGGAAAATTCGAAAAATTTACATTTTTTTCATTTTTGAGTCTAGAAAGGGTTCTATAAGACATACCTGGAATTTTTAGCTGTTGCTTTACATCAAAAAAAAGATGTAAAAATTCAAAAAAATTAAAAAAATTTTTTTTTTATTTTTCAATCAAAAAATCGACAGCCTTTTCTATATGCAGAGTATAATATCTGTGCAAAAAATTATTTTTATTTACAGAAAATTGGCAAAGAAATAGCCAAAAGATTTTTTCTCTGACTGTCTCTCTTCACTTTCCATTATCTCTCGCTCAAGCTGCCGGAAGATTATTTTTTCGTATTCTCAATTCTCTACGCGCCAGACTATATGTCAGTTGAAGATTAGATGGGATTGAACTTGTTATCATCCTCATGGTTGTCCAAAAAAATGGATATATTTTTTGGGATTACAGTCAAGAAAAGGCTTTAGCACACAAAGCATCTTTAGCGAATTGGGAAATTGAGACCGGTCTTTTGGCCATACATAAGGATTTCTGGTTATTTATACATTGAGAATCTTTTGTATTTTGGATGTAATCTGGCCATTCCACGTAATCCTATGTTTTTGTTTGAATGTTTTTCATTCATTATGATATACAAAAAGCTTGATTTTTTGATGTAAATTTGAATTGTCATCTTTTTGCGACCAAATGAAATTTGTTTTGCATTTTTTCCCAAACTGTAAAGCCCGTTTCAAAAGTATTGGCTGTACTGACCTTTTAAGCATTTACGCAATTCCCACAAGTCTCTTCTATTTGCCCAAACCCCCAATTCCGAATACGCTAAAGCATCAAGAACCATCAGAAACTCCCCTACCGACCCCTCCCCGTCATTTTCCCTCGCACTGTTTGTGTTGTTCTGACCTCATCAAGGCATTCGACGTAACCTGATAGGCGAACAATTTTTTTTTTTGATCTCTCTTCTCCAGCCAGCGGCGATTTTTAAACCGAGAGAGGGGAAATTCCGCAAAGAAGAAGAGTTTTTTCGAAAAAAGAAACCAATTCTCTTTAGTGTGTGCAGTCAACCTTTCAAGTGAGTTTGCTCGGCTGTTTTCCGCGTTAATCGCGGCTCTGTTGGCGGCTGTCGGTGATATGTGATTTTTGATGGTAGCTGCAATTGATTTCAAGCAATGATATGCGTTCTAAGTTCAGATTTAGACCTTTTTAAGTGATCAACTTTCCTTTTTGACTCTACAGCTTAATTTTTCATCAATTTCCAGCAAAAAACGTATCCTACGGTATACCAAAGCGTATGATGTGTCCCCAAAAATTGTTATTCAGGTCTAATCTATCTTTCGTAGGCTATAATGCGAGAATTTCTGGGTCATTTGCCCAACGATTGTTTGTTTAGCATAAAATATTTTATTTATTTGTCAATTCTACGCAGCGGACGGTATTTTGATTGTTTTCAGCCATTATCTAACGTCTGTCTATGGTTTCGGAGATGTCATGTTATCCCTGTGAGGCGTAGAAGACGCTCTTATAGGTGTTTGGCGAATTGGGCAGTCTGCAAAAGCTTGGCGCCGAAAATAAAAATTCCTGTGGGATTTGAGGCTGAAGACCTTCAAAAGGCCATACTGATCTGGTACTTTGTCTGAGGAGGATCCAAAGGGGGATTAGGAGAGATTAAGGGCCTTTTAATCATATTAAATTAAAAACTCAACAATAAATTCATTCTCCGCCTACTATTTTCACAAAATACGAAAATCTAGTGCTTCCTCTAAATGAATACAACGCTTGCTCGAAAAAATGACAATTTTTGTTTTTCCATAATCCCAAACGCCTGGACTTTTATCGATGTTTGTCTTATCCTCTTTTTTGCAAAGATAAAACTGCGTTTGAAGGGCGTTCAAAGCGCATAGAACGTGTACATCACGAGAAGAGAGGGCTGTGCTTTCGATCTTTTGGCGAAAGGAATGGCCGTGTCAATTACGGAGCGGGAAGATCATGGGGTGATCAGACCGAGTTTAGCGTATTCTTCTCTCCTCCGGCATTGTTCACGGATTGTAAAAGCTTTTATTTGGCGTACTGACTGATACATGTGAGTCACTGGAGATGTTTCGATGTTTTTGATGATATTTTTTGAGTTTATCGAGAAATTCGTACTGTAGTTTTCCTGGCTGCGGTGTAGATGCCCTCAGGTAATAATGGCAGCTTGATAATTTTCGGGAAAAATTTGACGGCCAAAATTTTGATTTTTTACAAGTAATTCCTCATTTTTCATATTTTGTTTTGAATTTATCGAAGAATAAGGACAGTAGTTCGTTTTTACTTAAAAAATACAGACAGACGATAACCATTGATATCATTCTTTCTTTGCAAAGTTTTTGCAGGTACTAATTTTACATTTTTTAAACGAAATTTTCATTTTTTGCTGATTTTTTGACATTTTTGTTTTTTTTTGCCAAAAAATCATTCTTTTTTGGTTTTCAAACCGCCTTAAATTGTAAAATACGGTGTGTCATGCTTTGCTCATCAATTTCCCAGGACACAAACCCTTTGATATTTCACGTATCACCGGTTGTTTCTTGTCTTCACATCAAAATCCCCTATTTTTATAATTTTTGCTCCAAATAATCTACTCAGTGTAATCCAAAATCCCCATATTGTTTCTTGGCCCTTTGGTAATTCAGTGAGGTCTTTTTTCCGTTCTCTTTCTTTTCCGGATCCGAAAAAACCCATTTCTTTGCATTATGTAATTCATTTAGTTTTCCGAATTTTGCGAATTCAACACGCACCCCCGCAAAAACACCATCGGATTACTCGTTTTTCAGTCTTCTTTTGAATGCTTTATGTGAATGCCGCTTTCGCAAATTTTGCAAAGAATTTACTGGGTCAAATTTCCAGTGTAAAAGTTCAGGATTTTACTTTAAGTGGGGTGCACAAATGGTCTGATGTAAATTTTGATGAATCTTGAAGATTTTGGCCCAATTTCCGATGATTTTAAGCAATTTAGAGCTGAAATTTTTTCCTAGTGAACTTTTGATTATAATGTAATATTATTATACACCTTTAGGATCAATATTCGTCAAGATTTTTTTTATTTTTTCTTTATTCTTTATGTAGTTTAAACTAACAACTAGATAATCGCCTATTTATCCGTCTAAACTTTCTGGCATTCTCGGGTCCGGAGTTTAAACCTTCATATGGAGTATTAAAGCACAAGATTATGTGGGGTTTCACGGCACCATTGATATTTCGGATTTTTCTGAGTCATTATACCACAAAATGGCAGTTTTTTTCGAGAAAACCCCTGTTTTTTCTCAATTTTAGCCCTTTTGTCGCGACGCAAAATTTCTTAAATTTTCCAAATGCGCTCAGTAGACCATTAATTACACTTTTAGTGAACTTCAAGAGCTAAAAAGTTTTTTGTCCATATCTTACTTCAAAAAGTCCAAAAAAATTATTCCAGATGGCTAGTTGTGTGTTTTCTGATTAGTGTGTGTATTCTTGATGTTTGAGGCGATTAATGTCATAAGATCAAAAAATGGGGAAACATAAGACGTTTTAACAGCCCGTTTGTTGCAATGAAATCTTTGTTTTTGATGTTTTCAAGGCCGATTTTACCGTATTACTGGGGGTTTCTGATATTTTCTCGATTGTTTTCGGGTTGTTTCTGTTATCAAAAGAAAATTATTTCATTTTTTTTCACTTTTTGTTTTTCAAAAATTTTGATTTTTGGCGCTTTTTGGGTTTGTTTGATTTTAAAAATGTTTATCACTGTATTTGATGATTGAAAAAAGATAGTTTATATCTATTTTTAATCAAAAAACTATTTTTATTTTATTTTTTTTAAAATTATACATATTTTGCTTTTTTCACATTTTTTTCTAATTTTTCAAAATTTCATTCGCGTATCATACGGTTTAATACATTATTTCGGATCCAATTTAATTTCTGATTACTTCAGATTCCCTCTCAAACTTGTCGCCAACCTTCAGGAAGCGATTTTTTTTATCCCGAGCCTTTCAAGTTTCCGCTTTTCTCCATTGGGTTCGAACGGGTCTCGGGGTCGAGATGAAGCTCCCCGAAATGCAAACCCAATCCACGATCGGCGTCAACGTTGCGGCTGGAGGTGTTCAACAGGTAATGAGATATTCCATTTTCCAAAAAAAAATCATTTTGATTTTTTTTTATTTTTTATCAATTAAAAAAAGGAATTTCATTAATTTTTGAACAAAAAAATATTTTGGCCATTTAATTCAATCTTCAATCAGTTGAAATGCAATTCTTTGAACTCTAAGCCACTTTTTAACTTATAATCCGCTTTGTAAACAAAAAAAGGTAATCGAATTCGGCTTAGGGAATAAAAAAAATGAAAAAAATCGAAAAAACCGATAAAAAATTCGAAAAAATTCGTCATCATTATTACAGTTTTTTTGGAATATAGTTAATTCAAAAAATTATGTCATCATGAGCCTTAAATTAAAAAAAAAACATTTTTTGACGTCAATAATAATCTCAAAAATTTTCAGCGAAAACCGAAATCCCGCAAGCCCACTCGTCAGGCGTTGCAACGGCACATTGCCCTTCTCCAAACCAAGCGCCGCCATCAAGACAATCTCCCGCTCTTGAAGCGCGTTCTGATCCAAGAAGAGTTCGAAGACAAGATCTTCCGTCTGAACAACACCTCCGACGAGAGCTCGGATGAGGACGAGCCCAGCACCTCCGCCAACTCCTCTCCCTCCACCTCTTCCGCCTCTTCTTCGGCCTCTTCATCGTCCTCCTCGGACTCCGAGAGCGACGAAGAAGACTGCACGCCCAGATACACGCTGGTCAAGCGGTCCAGATTCACGATCATGTCGTCGAGGAAAAAGTCCAAGAAGGGAAATTAAAGGCATGAAATGATCATGTACATAATCAAATTATCAAAAAAAAATTTTTTTTGATTTTTTTCAAATTTATTTTTTTTAATTTTACTTGATTTTTTTTGTATTTCACCACATTCGATTTGAAAAATAATTGAATTCATTGTTCATTACAATTACGAGTGCTCTTGAAGTGTTGTCTAATATTTTTTATTCGATTTTTTTTTGATTTTTTGTCATTTTTCGGGATTTTTTAAAGTTTTACGGGATAATTTTGGAGTAATTTTTGGAATTTAGCCAGGAAATGTCTTGTTGTGTATTAATTTTCCGTTTATTCAAATTTTTTGGAATATGCAAACTTCCATAATTTATGTAAATTACAAAAATTTAAGACTTTTTTGAAAATTCTTAATGCGAAGCAAGACCAAACGCTATCTAAAATTCTAATTTCCAGTTTTTTTTACGTAATTTTTTGAATATGCAAAGTTCTTGAATTTATGCAAATTTTCAAAAATTGAAATTTCCAAAAAATCCCGATTTCTGCTTGATTTCCCCTCGCCAATCTCCGCTTTTCTTCGCCATTGCCCAACTCTCTTTCTCCACTTTGTTCCATCTCTTATATCCAATGTTACTTTTATACCAAAAACGGGTCCTTCATTTTTCAATTCTTCAATATTTTCGCCCAACTTCTCTTATGCCAACTTCCGTGGCCGGTATTCGTATTTTAATCAATTTTGTCGGGTCTCCATTCTCAATAATTGTAATAATTATTCGAATCCTTCTTTGTCTTTCCTCCTCCCCCATCCAATAATGCGAATGGAATAAATGAAAAAATGTAATATTCATCTTGTCCGTGTTGTTTGAAAAATGTCAATAAATATGTGAAAAAAGAAAAATTTGATCTTTTTGAGGGTGAAAATTAAAAGAAATTGAAAAAGCGCATCATCTTAAAAGGGAATTGTCAAATATTCGACAACTTTCGACCTAAAAACGGCGGTTTTTTCTGTAAAGCGCGAGTTAAAATTTTCGCATACATTTTAGCAAAAATTTTTCTAAAATTGTGCCAAGCTTCATCAAAATCTGAGCGTCGTACTTGGGGTACTTCTCCTGTTAACCTCTTGAAAACTCAATATTCACGAAATTTTATCCGGAAGGGATTATCTTTGCGAGTATTGCATAAATCCACAGTATTAGTGCATATTCTTTCCAGACATGTTTATAGAATATTTCTGGATTTGGTTTATAGTATTAAGGGCAATCTGGATTCAAGAGGACTGAGAAAGCGTTCGAAAAGTTCAAAGGAAAATTCTTTGTTACGTAGTCTTTGCTTCCGGAATACATTAGTTTAAGGTGTTTCGACGCAGATTTAAAGGAAACCGGGCCAGGGCTGTCCAAAAAAATTTGAAACGAGCCGGACGACCACTTTCTGCGGGCCGGCTGACAAATTGAGTAGGCGCTATGAATTTTTGGGTCAACGACATTTGGTCGATGAACTCCTAGGCTGATTTTTTTGTCATTGTATGAGCGGTGAGGCTCTAGGAAGGCTTGTTGATTGAAATAATAAATTTTGTGGTCATAGTTCATCATTCATTTTGAAAATTTTTATTTTGGCGAAGATCGTAGTATTTCTTTATACTTTTTTTTGGACACGCCTCTTGAAGCTGTAAGCCTTGAAGGACAGATTATGCCTATTGCAGAATGCACACTAAAAACGGCATCAAAATATCAGTACTCCTCTGGAAATCCGTCCATAGCATAGCCGGTTATTTTCCAAAAGAACTTTGATACTGCACCTTTTCATTTTTTATGTCCTTCAAAAACGTGCCCTTCGCCAGAGGCTCAAAGTCCAATGCGGACCTGCATCGCACATTTTGCCCTTTTATGCTAGCCCTTATAGTGCCCGTTTCCCGATATAAACCCCTATATATATTGGAGCGGCCCTCACTTGACCAAGTTCTCGGCGAAAGGCCAATAACCCGCCAACTACTCATCTCCTCCATTTTTTAACGGCCCACAACAAATTTCTTTTTCGCTTTTTCGCTTGTCCTCTCAAGGCATGCAAAATTGAATTTCCCCCCAGTTTTCGTTATAATGCCATCAAAAGTGGGAAAGTTTTGGCTTTCGGCGGTTTCGATGTTATTCCAGGCCTTTTATGGACTTTAATTTTTGCAAAGTGTTTCGGGCCGTTCCTTTCAGGCCTTTCAGTTATGGTTTCGAGTGGGTTGGTGACCAAAAAATACGAGGTTCGGAGGGGAATTACGTCAGATACTCAAGTAATTTTAGAGGACTAGTGAGGGCTGTAAGACTGTTGGAATGACGTTTTTGATTTGATAATTGTTTGTGCGGTACAATTTTATAGGAGGTGCAAAATTGTAGCTGAAAAATTTTAGTTTATCCGTCAAGGCGTGTGATTTAGTAGAAATATATTTACGACTTTGTACGTTTCTTTTTGCTCAGCTTTCGAGTATTTTTTCCCAAGGAACATATGTCTCATACCTCTAGCTCTCAATTTGAATAAACGACCAAGATTTTTAGCCAAAATGCGACACTTTCTTGCAAATTTTGGCAAGTAAAGTTTTGGATATTTCTACTGTAAACGGTGATGTTTCCACAAAAAATTAATTTTTCCCGTGCAAACAGGCAAAGATACGGCCAGAAAATGCTTTGTTCTATACCGCTCTCCGAGTTTTGCGGACTCTCTCGAAATTTTGTTAAATATCTCGTTATAAAATGGCTGTAAAATGCGATTTAAGTCAGGATTGATACTTGGCCTGTAGAATCTCTAATTTTTTGCCAAAAATCGTTGAAAAAATCAACGATTTTTGCAAAATGAGGGCATTTTTGTACTATTTTATTCCAAAAAACATCAAAAAAAGTATCTTTCATATTACGTCATGATACGAAAAACCTCTTCTTCGTCGTCTATACTCCCAATTTCTACCGTTCCGAAAACCCGACATCCGATTCGTCACTCAAAAATTCATAAACTTTGTTTTTTTTCGCTGCGAAATCCGAGAATTCGAAACGGCTTTTCTTTTTTTTCCTGGAGCAAAAAAAAAGGCCCCTACACAAGAAGAAAAAAAACATAGGGCCAAATATTTCCTGAGGGCACGAAAAGCGGTAGAATTCTCTTCTGGAAACCCCTTTTGTGGTCATCGAATTTCCTCGGGGCTTTTCGTTTTTTGCGGCCGAGTACGGAATTCGATTTGTTTCATATTTTCCTCGATTTATGGGCGGGAAAAAAGGATTTTTGGATTATGGAAATCTGGGTTTTAATGCGCTTGGCTGACGGGGAGAGGGATTTTTAGACGAAATTTAGTGGGATTGAGGGTCAAATTTAAGGAAACGCAAGGATTAGTATAAAAAATTATTTTCGAAGGGGAAAAACGCATCGTTTCAAAGATTTTCAATGAATTTTTGGAGTTTTAGTCATTTTTGAAATTAATATTATATTATTTCCATAGCAATATTAGAGTCGGGTTTGACACGCTTGCTTATGTATAGTAAAATATTCTAAGGCAGGAGGAAAATTTTGAAAAAATAAAAAAAGAAAAACCCGGATGAAATTGCCAATAGATTGAGTGTATGTAAAAGATGGTACTGTTTACAAAATTAGATAATCAGATTTTTTCCAAATTTTGGTTGCTGGTCCTACATTGGCCATGATTTACAATAATTCCTGAAAATTTTGAATTGCTCTTTTCGGCGGCGGCCGGGAAATTCAACGATCTTTGTCGACGGGAGAGCGCGTGGACTACGGAGAGCAGCCAGAGAGAGAGAGGCGGTTTTTGGCTATATCTTTGCCAGTTTCGTGCAAAAAATAGTGTTTTTTTTTTTGGGTAAACCCTCTATGGTAGAAATAGGTTCTAAATTTTTCATACAAATTTGCAACAAAGTTTCAAAATTTGGCCAACTTTCGACGTTTATGACCTTGTCGCTTTATAACAGTTCCAAATTTGGGCAGTCTGCAGATTTTTAGGCCATTTCAGGACCAGTTATTAAAGGGCATTGATAAGTCTACTAAAAATGTGGTCTTATGACGACGGGTTGACAAACTATGGGTTACCAAAAAAAGTCAAAAAAAAATTCTTTTATTCTCCAGAATTGTCATCTTCCCCAATCGTCCACCACTGACGATGTTCCCTTTTCTATTTGCCCTTTATTGACAGCAAACACCACCAAAAAATGTCGATACACACGCGTCCCAAACCGATAAATAATTTACAAATTTACACATCTCCTATTCCCTGATAATCTTGTCTGTGCAAGTTTTATCCCTCTCTTTTTTGGAGCTTTTCCTCGCTTTTTTATCGAACTTTTTTCGCATGAACGCACCCACAAACATTTTCGTACACATATGGACTCAATGCGAATTGTATTGTCATATTTTCAGACCGAAATGTCAGGGTTGATTAACAGCGGAATTGAGGATTAATTGGTGAGTCTTTCAATTTATTTTATATCCGTCTTTGAACCGTTTGAGGACATATTTTTTGAGGCCAATTTTTGCTCCAAGTGCATGGTTTTATAGCGAATAATGATGAAGAAAACACCGTTAATAAACGTATTTGAAAAGCTTTTGTTTGGGAGAAAGTGCTGAGGATTTACAGGGTGACCCAAGAGAACGGAGACAAAAGATTGTCTGTTTTTTTCATGATTTATCAGGGATTTAGGGGGCAGTTCTTTTTTTTATCCTGCGGTACCAACGCTTGGGTTTAGGGCCCTTCAAATCTTTGCATCTGTTCTTTTATGTCAGCTTATAACCTTTGAGTATTTCTGGACCCTTGACAAAGGGCACCGAGTTTTTGTGGCGGTTGAGAAGTTGAGATTTTTCATCTAGTTGAGATTTTTTGACCATGAAAGTTCCATCATGCATTTTGACCTTTTTTTGATTTTTTTTTGAATTTTTACGTGAGATACATAAGTTAGATAGGGTTTAAATTTTAACCCAATGCCCTATCTAGATTATGAATCGATTATTAAAAGTTTTTTCAAGTAGTTTGTTGAGAGGGCACAGATATTCAACGATGGTTGCCTAAATTTTTGATTTTTCGTACCGTTTTTTATTGATCCCATCAGAAGTGCTTCTTTACTTCGATTGCGTTCAAATTCTTGCCACAGGCTTTATCTACCATGAATTTCAGTTTTTGAAAATCTTAAGTCTTGTCTTACAAGAGCACCCGCGATTTTTGACGTTAAAAATTGAAGTTTTGGCCAAATTTCGACCGAAAAACTCTGTAGTTTCTACAAACGTATGCTAAAAATCCTGCATTTTTCTTAGCAAATGGTTGTTTTAACTTCTGCTAAGCTTCATCACGAGCTATTTTATGCCCTTTAAGCATGGGCAATCCCTTGATTTATCGACAATTTCCTCCTCTTCAAATTTATATCTTCCTTCTTCCAAGAGCAATATATTGTTTTTGATGTCACCATAGCACAAATTATTTCCTTCGGATTGACGTTGAAACTGCGGACAGCTAAAGACCTCCGCTTTCAGGGAAAGACGCCGGGATCTATTGACGGCCGGAAGAGATTTCCGCGGCCGATATGGAGCCGCGACCCCGCGCCCAGAGTATTCAGCCCGGCTTCAGCGTGAACGCGGGCCGCGAGGCCTTCAAGAGGGTGGCCTCGATTTCCGCCGACAATAGTTCAGGTGAGTGCTTTGCAAATTGTTTATGGAGCGGGGAGACAAATTTTGTTGATGATTGTTGATGGTAAAACGGAAGACTTTGAAGATTTAAGAGATTTCAAAAGCTTTACGAAGGCTTTAGCGGGCTGCTTGGACGGTTCGTGGCGAAAAACAGCTCTGAAATTGTACGGAAGCCAGAATGGCAGGGTATTTTTTCGATGTAAGCGATTTTTGCATATAAAATTACTTTAACAACCTTTTTTTTGATTTTGAATTTTCTCCGCAAGAAACAAATTGATTTTTTTGAAATTCCAGCAAAAACTTTATTGCAGGCCGTGTTTCAACTGCAGTAAATTTAGGCGTTACATTAACATGAATAGCTGGGATATTAAGCAATCTTTTTTTGACACTTAGACCTATCGTTAGAAGGTTTCCGCATGAAAATCGTCTTGACTTTTACACGGGAAGAGTGAAAAGTCTAAGAGGTGCTTTACTAGGGCCTAGTCGTATTCAATGGGTAGCCTCACAAAAATTTAACAGTCAGGCTTTGAGATCTTTCCCTTTCTTACTAATAACCTCCTTATTTATCTCAAAAGTGCAAACAATCAACTTTTTCCCACAAAAAATAATTTTTCAACAGAAATTCCACTTTTACACGCCTCGTTCTCCCCGCGCTGTCGCGAGAACGTCATAAACACCAGTGTTTCCGGTGGCATATCCCTTAAATTTACTTCAATTCTTTGGCTTCGCCTCGGCTTTCCCAGACTGGCTCAAAGTTTTCCCATAACCGAAAAGCCCCTCAAATTGGCTGTGCTGGGAGAACTTATAAATTAGGAGGGGAAACGGCAAGAAACTCTCGCCTACAAAGCCGACTCCGACGCCGGGCCGGAGTGGCCGCTGTGGAGACGGATAAAAGGAGGGTAAATTCCAAATTCTCGGCTTTTTCACTTTTTTCCGGCGCCCGCGAAATTGGAAACGCTTCTGTGGGAGGAGGAGAGGAGAAATTTAGGGATTTATTATGATTAAAGCGATGTGCTGTCGTTATTTTTGACGTATGCAAAAAATTATGAGGGTTGGCGGAATCTTGCGCAAGTAAGGTTATTTTTAGCAAATTTGCTGCTCTCTAGGCTTGAATATAAGAATGGAAAAACGAAAACTGGTTTTTAAGGGCTGAAGTTAGCAAGAAAATAACAGCTTTTTATAAATTTTTTCACGGTAAGAAAAAGAGCGTTGAATAAATCACCTGTCCCTGCAAAACGTGAGCTTAAATTTTTATGCATTTCTAGGTCAAAAGTCATCAAAGATCCAATTTTTTGTGATTATTTGGATAAAATGCATATATCATTTTTGGGCCAGAGCACAACATTGCTACAAAAAATCAACTCTTTCTGCCTAAAATTCACACAAGTCAAAAATACATATTTTTTCTCTGACTACCTCTCCTCACTTTTACTATTATTTCTTTATGGCATACATTTTTTCTGCCGATGTTTAATCACTTCATATATGACAATATTGAAATTTATTGGCATCATGAAATGTCATCGCTCTGAAAAATAATTAGACTCCAAAAAACCGTTTTAATTATTCGCCCGAACTCCCCACATTCTCTGCAATTTCAAAGGCACAAGAGTGTTGTTCGCCAAAAGTCTAACGTAATCTTCATAACAAAGGCCTCCAATTATTAGCCTTTGGCCACATGGGATTTCAAGAGATTCTTTTTGGTTTTCAAGTTGGCCCCCTTTTTAGGAAACGTCCTTTTTTGCGTTTCGGTTTTTGTTTTCGGTGGTTCGGATTGCTTTACGTTGCAGGCAAATATTCGTTTTGACTACGGGCTTAGGATTTGCCAGGACTGAACAAGATGGCGTCTATAGGGCAAAGAGCAAAGATTTTCTTGCAAGTTTCATTAAGGTTGTGCTTCAAGCTCAGATTTTGATGAACGTAGGGATAAATTTCGATTATTTTTTTCTAAAAGGAAAGATGTGAGTCGTTATATGTAATAGTTTCCTTAAATTTTGTGAACACGTGGGGCCTAGGCCACAAATTAATTCTAAGAAAGTTTTAGCTCAGGCTTTACAGACGCAAATTTTCAGCGAGCCTTGCGGCCAAGAGTCTACGCAAAACGCGGATAGGTCCGAGAGAAAAACACCTTTTAAGCTATATCTTTGCCAGTTTTGCATTGAAAAAATTGATTTTTGTGAGAACATTACTCCTTACAATAGAGATAGGTACCAAACTTTCCATGCCCAAGTTGGCCAAAAATTGCCACATTTTTTTCAATTTTTAACCTAAAAATCACGATTGTTTTAGCAAATGCATTTTGTGTGCTAAAAAATTGATCAAAATTTATGCCAATTCCCATCAAAATCTGCGTGTCGCATTTCGAGCACTTGTCGGTTTGAACGTTTGATTTGCTTCCTACAATTTTCACAAAATATGAATTACTTGCATTTCCCAAAACTCTCACATTTTTCACATTACCTATGCCCGCTGCAGTTGAAACGCAGCCTTTCCATAGCTTATTTACCGATGTCAACTTTGCTTTGTAGTCTGGTTTAGTCATCAATTCTCTGTTTTTCAGATGAATTTGACATTGAGATGCTGAGGAAGGAGCAGGAGGCGATCCGGGCTTTCACCGAGTCCGTCGAGATGGACTTTCCTCCAGTGCCGGAGCTGCCTCCGAGCCTCGACATTGACTGCTATGAGCATTCGTATGGAGGGAGGATGAAGGAGAGTAGCACGATTGAAACGATTATTGAGGTGGGTTTTTTTACTAAAACTGCAATGTCCCAAATGCTTTGATTTTTTCAAATTTTAATCCAGCTCGTGAAACCATTTCGCCGACTACTTCGGTACTCAATATTTACTTTCCTCGTTTTTGTTTTCTTATATAGTCAAAATTCCTCCTTCTGTTGTAGGTCGGTAAACTGAGGGATGATGAAAAAGTGGACCCTCGTTTGGGTGAGACCCAAAAGTATCAGATGACGGTGGCCGGTCCCGAATTCGTGGATACGGAGATCGAAATGCACAAAAGCCTGCTCAAAGAGGGCGATGACGAACTGGACAGCGAGGTCATGAATATTCAAAGGTATCATATTTGATTCCAAATTCAATCAAAGTCCAACGCACCAAAAACCCAAAAAGTTTTCGCAAAAAGATGAAAAACATATCATTATGACGTATATTTTTCAAAATATTCTTTCAGCACCTCCTCCGCCGAGCCTCGCTCTCGTCCTTCGTCGATGAATACGGATGAGAAGTCCGAGGTCCGGGAGGCTTATGCTCAAGCGGCGTTGCAACGGCCCAGAGCCACAACTCCGACGTCATGGAACGTGCTCGACGAGTACGTGAAGAAACAAGAGGAAGGTCAGCCGAAACGACGACGGCTCCGAGATCAACCCCCTCCGGATGCCGGTGCACGAATTCGAGTTTCCATACCGAATTATAAAACTTCAGGTGAGGCAAACTTCATTATGATGACTTTACAAGACGGGTCGAAGTGCCTTGTACCAATCTTTTGGATAGCCAAAACGCATTAAAAAATTGCAACTAATACTCTTTATCCGCTTTTGCCAGTCTCTTTGCGTGTTTACGGATATCTTTTGATACCAAATTTGAATCCTTTTATTTAAAATATTTATTTTTGTTTAACCTTGAAATTTGATACGCAGATGCCCCTTTGCGTTCGATTTACAGTGCTAAATATTTATTTATCTTCAGGTGCCCGAGAGCGCCGGAATTCAATGTCTTGGTCGGATTTCTACGAGTCCATGGAACAGCCCAAGATCCGGTCGAGATCGTCCAGTCGTCAAGGAAGTGTGGACTTTGACTTTGAACAGGAATGGACCCGACAAAACTCCGTATCAGCCCGACAACGGCATGATAGTTGGGTCGAGCCAAATGACAGGCGATTAGGCAATGGTAAGCGGGATTTTTATCGGTTATTTTTATAATTGTGGGAGCGATGACTTTAGAAATGTCCTTTGTGCCTCTTCAACGATATTTTTACTTCCTAACATCATCATGTTTACATTCCTTTTACCTATCTCTTGAGTATTTCATCATTCGCCTTCCAACCCACCCAAAATCGGAAATTTTCTCCCGTTTTCGGCCAAATTTTGTACCCACTCCCCCAATGGAACCCGCGGCAAAAGTGGCGCAGTAAACTTCTTCGAGGCGGGAGTAACGCCAACAACCGAGCGGGCCCCGTCGAGAAGAAAAGTATTGGAAAAACGGCGCCGTTTTTTCGCTGCCCGGAGGCTTTCGACGCCGTTTTGCGGACGAAAAAGACGGAGGGCGTCTTATAATAGTGCCACGGCTACGACAGGCGAAAAACATTTCCAATATATGTATATGTATGTACACGTCCTGTTTTGTCTTCTTTTTTTGCATGGGCGAGGTTTTGCGGGGAATGGGGGGAGGACTGGGGGTTTCCTGACTTTTTGAAGGATTTGCAATGCCATTTTGCTGACAGGTTTTCGGCCTTCTTTGGAGCGTTGTTTTTTTTGGTTCCGAGGAGGGTGTGATTCGGGAAGAATTGAGAGTTATAGACTTGAGATTTTGGGAAGATCATTATAATGATTTCTAAATTATTTATTGGGTTTTGGGCGCTGCAAATCGACCTTTCGTCTGCGCTTGGATTGCTTTGACTTCCTTGGAGACGGGATGTAAAAATGAGCGGGATGAAGTGGATTTTGACATTTTTTTGGCTTGCATTTTTAAACTTCTGGCACACCAGTCGCCTTTATATTTGATTAGAAATACTCCTCAAGACATTAGCCTTTCTTCCAAAACAAAATACACTTCTTCACGGGACAACCCGTTATTTTTCGAAAACCTCCCTGTTATTACATTACAAGCTCTGACGAATTTTCTGTACTACTACAAATTGCATGAAAATAGGCCATTCGTCATGGTTAAGGGCAACTTTGGTTCAAACCGAAATAATTTTGAGCGAGGTGTACACAAGTAAAGTGTTCATGTCCACCCATAATTGATAGGTCCATTATTTTTAACGAGGGTGTGAAGGTATGAAAAATTTTGGTTGTTATTGACGGGAACGGTTCTCGAGGGTTGGCTAGGGCCTGCAGGTTTTTGGATAGCGATTAGTGGTTGTAGAGAGGTCTTCTTGTAGCCAGATCGATTGCGGTATCGTAGCGAGTGTAAAACGTCCTACGGGTTTGTAATGAAATATAAAAATTGGATCTGAAAAAGTCTTTGATTTGCTATCAGTCTGTCGGAAAATTAACGGCGGATCGTCGCATCAAAATGTCTCGCCTCGCCGCTATCGCGCTCCAAATCCCAAGCCGCGGCTTGCAGTCGCAGAGCGATGATGGGCGATTCCGAGGCGCGACGATCCGCCGTTATTTTCCCGACAGACCGATAAATAAGTAAAGCAACATCCGACTTTTCTATGCTTTTCAATTTGTTATGCACACTAAATGTCTCATTTCTCATGGTGATGTCTGTCTGGTGATGACAAAGTGTATCAGTCGATCATAATGATCAAAATATTGCCTCAAAATAGTTAGCTAGCGCATCCTTACCAAAGATGCTTTGATTGAGTGTGCCAACTAAGGGCTGAGTATGTCCACGAAGATTGAGTGGATCAATTATTTATTTTTACGGTCGGAAAAGACTGTAAACGATTTTTTTAGGATGGGCCAGCGAAGCATGGGTTTGGCTAGTCAAAAGGCGAGAAAATCATTTTATTTCCCCCAAATTGTTCTTTTCCTCAACAATCGTTGCGTTCCCACTCAAACTCACACCTAATTCCACATCGTTCTTCACAAATCCTCATCTGTAATATATCCTTCAATATTCCCCCACATTTCCTTCACAAATAGCCCTCTAATTTCTTCAATACTTGGGAAGAAAAAAAACTTCTCTCCAATTTCCGTTATTTCTTTATTTTTTCCGATCCCACCCCTCTTAAAGCCCTGCGGCCAAGGAGCGCGCGCCAACCCCGACTACTTCGTAAAGACGTTCGGAATGGCCGCCGCGCTTTTCGAGACTTTTTCCCAAAGATTTCCTGCTGGTGTAAGTGACATATTATAGTAGGTTGACGTCAATAACCGCTGAATGCGGCCGATGGCGGCCGTTCTTTGGTCCTTGGGATTGATGCATTTGTTGAGAGAAACCTTGTATGGAGTTTTCGTGCAAACGCTTGAAAATTCATAGCTCTTGCTGAGAATGACAAATGGACGGGGATTTATTGGAGTTGAATGGGGGTGGGCTTCTGGATTTTGGAATTGGTTTTTTGGCAGGGAGGCTTGAATTTACGTTAACAAAAGAAGTGCTTCAAGTACGACTATTGTAGAAAACTTTTTTTTGCAATGACATCTCTTTCACAGTAAAATTTTATATACATATTAGGTTGATGCAAAAGGAATTGCGGATTTTTTAATTTATTCGTATTTTTTTATAGGATAGCTCAATTCAAAAATGGAAAAAGGTATATAGTAGTAAATTTTAAGAGGATTTTTTCTGTATATGTGCTATTCTTATAAAAGTTATCAAACGTTACCATAAGTTACCACGAAAGTACCCTAAACATGTTAGTATATTTTAAACCAATTTTTTTACATATTGCTTTGCGGCTTTATCCATTTTTGAAAATATTTTGATAAAATACGTTATATTCTATCAAAAAACAAAAAAAACCCCCATTTTTGGCAAAGCGTTAAAACGCTATCCCAAAAATTCAAATTTCAGCAAATTTTACAAATCGTGTCATATCTTTTTTTAAAAAGTCCAAAATAAAAAATTCTTTTTGCTTTCGATTAGTAACAACATTTTTAAGGCTTTCGTGAAAAAAAGACATCAAAATCTTGAATTTTATTTTTTGGTCAAAAAATGTCAAAAAAATAAATTTTTTTGATTTTGATGTTTTTTGTCACAAAAATCTTAAAAATGTTGTTACTAATCGAAAGCAAAAAGAATTTTTTATTTTGGACTTATTTAAAAAAATATGACACGATTTGTAAAATTTGCTGAAATTTGAATTTTTGGGATAGCGTTTTAACGCTTTGCCAAAAATGGGGGTTTTTTTGTTTTTTGATAGAATATAACGTATTTTATCAAAATATTTTCAAAAATGGATAAAGCCGCAAAGCAATATGTAAAAAAATTGGTTTAAAATATACTAACATGTTTAGGGTACTTTCGTGGTAACTTATGGTAACGTTTGATAACTTTTATAAGAATAGCACATATACAGAAAAAATCCTCTTAAAATTTACTACTATATACCTTTTTCCATTTTTGAATTGAGCTATCCTATAAAAAAATACGAATAAATTAAAAAATCCGCAATTCCTTTTGCATCAACCTAATACCTTGCGGGTTGAACAAGGTCGAGATTTTTTTATCCCAACATTGTCATGCTTTTCGCAATTTATAAAAATCGAGAATTTTGTCAACATTTACACCTCAAGAAGTGAGCACGTCTTTAAACGGTCTTTTGAAAGTGTCAAAGTTTTCTTTTTCACGTTTTGTCAACTTCTAGCAGCCTATACTTAATCCATACCTCTAGACAACAGTTATTATAGACGTCCCGGTCCATCAAATGGCTCTAATTAAATTTTGTTTTATCCGAATTTAATCAGACTTGCACGTAAATTTGATGATGTTCCATATTCGTTAAGTTAAATTGCATTGGCAGCTAATTAATCTAATTTTCAAATCTAATTATCTGCGGCTTAAATTAGCTCTAATTGCGGATAAATGCGGGGCGTTTTTGTCAATGGGGATTACAATTTCACCTATAAATACTTTTGAGATCTTCGATTTTGGCGTTTTTTATTACCTTTGCTTTGCTTGCGTTTTATTTTTAATTTTTAATAAATTTTGATATTTCGATATGTTTCCCTATGCAAACAAATTTTAATTTCAGCAATGTCAACAGAACAGCCGTCAGAGCCACAGGCCGAAACCGCTGAGGCTTTTATGGCCACCGAGCCTTCACCGTTCGAAGAACGACGGGAATCCGCGACTAAAAATGTTGATACAGTAAGCGCTGAGGCTCCTGCAGATACAACAAAGACTGAAGAAGCTGGGGAAAGTCCTAAGGCCGAAAAATCAGTTTCCGCAGCTTCTGAATCGCCCAAAGACCCCGACGAATCTAAGAATCAAGGTGGAGCAGTTCCAGTCCGAGCGGCGCCGCCACCGCCGCCTGGAAAGAAAAAACCCGCTGATCAAGTAGTGCCTGACGCTACACCTGCCTATAATACGTCAGCATACGCCGGCTACGACCAGAATTACGGTACTAGTTATGGGAGTGGTAAGAATGACCATTTCGTTTTTTAAATTTTTGACTTTTAGACGCGTACGGGCAGCAATACGACGCCAACGCGTATTATGGCCAAGGATACGACTACAGCCAATATTCCGGAACATATGATGCAAATGCTGCTGCCACTTACGACCAGAACTCGTATAATTACGGTACAGACTACCCCGCGGCAAGTTATGATCAAACCGCCGCCGGGTACGATCAAACTGCAGCGTATGACCCAAACGCTTACAATTATGGTGCATATGACAGCTCACAGTACTATCAAGGCTATGATACGACCGGCTATACTCAACCTGAGGGCTCATTCACGCCAACGACTTACGGGGCATATGATCCCACTGCATACAACGCTGGCTACGATCAATACGGAACTCAGTCGACAGCTGTTGGGGAAGAACAAACCACAACCGCTCAGGCGGCCGCCATCAACGCCGGCTACGACCAGTCCGGCGTGGAGTCGGAGCCAGTGGGAGCAGAGCAAACAACAACCGATGTCGCAAAAGTTTATGCGGCGGGCTACGATCAAGAAGGCCTTCGAACGTCGGCGGTCGGAGCTGATGATGGCGGGACCACCGATGACTCGGCTAGTGGGAGTCAACTCGATCTAACGGACGATGCGAAGCCCTCGACTAACTATGATTATAGTGGCTATAACTACCCTGAATATGGTCAAGAACAGTCGAATGTAACGGTCACCACAAGTGTTCATCCGGAGGGAGAGAATGGCACAGCGGAGGGATCATACGACTATAGTCAGTATAATCAATACGACGGCTATGATACTGCGGCTTACGGCGCCACGGATGCTTTTGATACATCAGCTTATGGCACCGTGGTTGACCCAGCGGCTTATAATGCAGAGACTTATGAGGCTCCAGCGGATCCTTCGCAATATGGTACAGAGGTCGCGGCTTATGGAACTGAGACTTCTGCATATGGAGGCTACGATTACAGTGCCTATGGAAGCGCTGCGGCTTCGACACTACAGCCATTCAGCCAACCGTTACTGCCTCAAGCCGCTCCCAAATCCCCGGACCCGTTTTCATGGGAAGCTCAAGAAAGCACGGGTGGGTTGCCGCCTCCCAGGCCTCCACCAGCAAGAACGCCGGAGCCAGAAAGAGAGGAATTGTCGGTGGATGTGGAAAACGGGCAGGATAAACCAGGTATGCATTGAACTTTGGATTTTTTTAGGTTTAGACTGATATTAATTAAGAAAAAAGAGGTAAATCTATGTCAAAAGACTTGATTTTGCTGGGAAATGACAAATAGTTGAGCTTTTTCTGGACCGAATAATTTGAATATCTGAAGAAATTCCATAATTTGCTGCTATAACTTTTATTCACCAACTCCCTAATCAACTTTTTCAGCTCCTCCCCGACCAACTCCTCCAGCGGCCGGCAAAACCCCTCCTCGGCCTCCGCCACCGCCAGCCAGCCCCGGACAATCGCATAAACCGGCTATGCCACCACCCCCTCGACCGTCCGCAACTCCATCCCCAAAGACCGAAGAGCCAAAGGTGGAGGAAGAGGATCCCTGGGCTCGTTTCAAACAAATGAGTGAAGCAGTCGGAAGCGTGGTAAAGTCGACCGAAAACAAGTTGAAAGACCTGTCGGAGACGACGGCCGCCAACGAAATAAAAGACGAAACGTATGTGGGCCAGATCGGCGGAACCCAGCAATTCGAACTCACGCTGGCGCAGAAGAAGATCTTGAAGATGGAGGAGGAGAAAAAGAAAGCAAAAGCAGACAAGAAAGCGACAAAAGCCGTGGCCAAAAAGAAGCGCGACAAGGTTGGGTTCGATCCGAAGAAGGAGGAGGAAATGGAGAGAAAAGCGGCCGAACTCGTTGCGAAAATGGCCGCCACAAGGGCTGATCTGCAAGGATATAAACCGCCAACGGATGGGTCGGAGGCGAGCGTAAGGGACGAGCAGCAGCCTGAGCCAGAAGAAGAGGAGGAGAGCGAAGAGGAAGCGGAATCTCCGGAAGTGGAAAAGCCAGTGGAAGAAACGTAGGTTTGCATAGATTGGGATCTTCATTCTGTGTTAAATCGACAAAGAAGATCGGGAGAAAATTGAAATCAAACCAAATTAGGGCTGAAAAAGTAACGTTAGAAGACAACGAGAAATTACACCGTTTCAGTTACCTCTTTTTGACCCGACCGATACCCATGGCAATGCCAGTAGCACTTGTTCTATCATAACGCTTTGTTTGAGATACTTTTTGATACCAAATCCGAGCTGAATTTGATTTTTTTTCATGGCCTTTTTGGAACTGATACTATACATTACCAAAGGAAAATTGAAATCTCTGAAGCCCATTAGCCCCTAAATTTATTTTTTAGAAAGCCCGAAGAGTCTCCTGTAGAAAACGGAAAAGAAGAAGCCCCGCCACCGCCAGAACCTGTCATCCCTGAAGGTTGGGCCGCCTTCTCCGCCGATGGCGGAAAAGAATTTGCCGCAACTCTACCGACCTCCGAATCCGATTTTTTCGCCCAAGCCGCCACCACTACAAAAGCGGACGATGCGTTTGGAGGAGCGGCCGAAACGACGGCCGATCCGTTTGCGCCGTCTGCATTTTCGAACAACGTGTTTGACACCGATCCGTTCGACACTCGACCGATTGAGGAGATCATGGAGGAAGCGAGGAGGAAGGCCGAGGAAAAGGGAAATGATCTGGAGCAGAGTGTGGCTGTTGTTGATGGGAGACTGAGTAGTCGGGCGTCAACACCCACTGAAGGCGCTAGTCCGGTGCCAGATCGACCGGTTGGGTTTGAGGACGAATTTAAAGTGGTAAGCAGTGAAAATCAGCAAAGTTTGAGGGTGCTTTTGTTATCTTAAAGCTGGGAAGGGTGCTTAAAAAAAGTTTTATGTGTTTTACTTCTTTCAGGACGCTGCTATGTACTCGCATACGCCAACTCCTCTCTACGATGAGGACGACAGCGCTCCGCTGGAGGATTTTATACCCCAATTCGCGGGCGAGGGCTGGGAAATGATGGTCCGACATCCGTTGAAGAAGAAGAACTTTATGCAAGAACGTTGCTGGAAGCCTTGTTTTGTCACCATCGAAGACAAGATGCTCCGGATCTTCAGCTCCAGAACCGACCGAACTCCACTGCTTGAGATCCTCCTTCAAGCCACTTACTCTTTGTCAGACTCAACGCTACAGGCCTACGATGCGTATGGAAAGATTCACACGGTAAAGTTGCAACATGTCTTGTACAAGGAGCGCGTTGGAATTCGAGCAGGCCAAATCTCGAGGCTGGTCGAAGGTCATATCACCAAGTATGGGTTGCCTTTGGAGCATGCGGCTCAAGTCAATGTTCTCGCCAAGTTCGCCGCGCTAGATTCTCATGTCCTGGAGACGTTCATCAACACCATTGAGGACATTTTATTCCATTGTCCCGCAAAACGTGACACCAATCCGACATACAAGCAAGATGAGGTCCAAATTCATTGTCACGACGAGTACGGCGCCCATGTCGACAAACTGGGCAATGTCAGCAAACAGCGGGCAAGAGTGCGAATGTTTTGTCTGAGCTTCTTGACGGGATCGCCGTTCCTGGAGATCGGGTTGAATGATCGGCGAAGAGAGGGGAAAGAGATTGTGAGGAGAAAGGATATCTTGCCAATGTACACGGAGCGGTGGATCCGATTTGAAGGCATGGAGTTCCATAGCTCGGTGGATCAGAAGGAATGGGATGAGGAACAAGTGGTCAAAGTGACTCCGCCAGACGCTTGCTTCTTTGAGATTCTGAGGTGGGTTTTTTGGGAGTGACTATGTTCGGGGTGCGATATAGCAGATTCTCCGAAACTTTCTCAAGAGTTTGTGAATCGGTGGACCCTCTATATACATGTTTTCCAAATTTTCTACTCTATCTATTGTACTAGTCATCCCCCGAATTCTGTGAGATGTCAGACCATTCCCTCATAAAAACCATCGCTTGCTGAAAGACAATGCCTAATTTCACTTTTTAGATTCCGAATCCGCCCTCCCAAGAACCGGGAAAAGCCTCTCTCCGTCAAGAGTGTGATGAAGATCGCTGGAAGTAAAATCGAGATCAAAATCGATGTTATGGCCGCAGCCCAACAACAACGAGCCCGAGGAACCGTTGAGTCGGCAAGAACGATTCCTTGCGAAGACATTCAGATTCGCTTCCCCATCCCCGAAGCCTGGATCTACATTTTCCGCGAGGAGAGGACGTGGGGTGTTGGCTCCGTCCACTCGAAGAACCGGCGGACCGGCAAGATGAAGAACCTCAAAGATCGACTGATCGGATCAGTTCAGCATACCGAACCGACGTTGATTGAGGTGGCCACAGGTAAGGGGGTGAGAGATGAAAAGACTGAAGTTTCATAAGTCGCATTAGAATCTGTAATAGGGTCAAAAAACCAGATCAAATCGAACTAAGATTTGGTAACTTGGTACCAAAAAGCAACGACGAGGCAAATGGAGACTGTCATTTTTGCGGAGAGTGTAGCAAGCTATTTTTTGATGATTTATGTACCTTGTAAAGCTTGAAACCCTAATTTTATTAGAATTCACATGTCTCTAATATCAATTCCTAAATTTAACCGTCATTACCTAGCATTCCATTTTTAGGCGAAGCCAAATACGAGCACGTCTACCGCTCGCTGGTTTGGAGGATCCCCCGGCTGCCCGAAAAGCATCATCAGGCCTACAAACAGCATCTTCTCAAGTGTCGCTTCGACCTCAGCTCGTTCGATCTAATGCCCGAGGAGTTCCAACCCACCTGCGATGTGGAGTTCACGATGCCGCTGGCCACGATCAGTAACACTGTGGTCAGGTCGGTGAGTGTGGAACAACACGAGGACAGTGACAGGGTCGAGAAGTTTGTGCGATATGTCGCGAAATGCCATTATGACGTGAGTTGAAGTTTTTTTGAGCTTTATTTTGAACTTTAGATGGAAATTGATTACGTGCAGTGCAATACGTTGGATGATGATACAGATGTTCCATTGGGATATCAAGCCAAGGAACATGAGCCGATGTTCAAACCGGATGAGATTAAGAATCAACATGAAGGGTAGGGCATTTATTGGCTGATTTTGGCTTCCTTTTTATATTGGATGCAATTTACTGCATCCAGGATGCAAGTGTATTCATTTTTTGCCACTTTTTTGTTGCCTATTCCTAAATCCTTCTGATTTCAGCTACAAGGTCGAGTACACGGAAGAGCAACTCGCCCAAATGCGACGAGATGAGGAGGAGCGTCGTCTCAATCAACCCGAACCGCCAATAACTCAAGAGTCTGGCGCCACATTCAACCCATTCGAAGCCTCCGCCCCCACCAATGACTTTGAATCCTATGCGGTCCAAGGTGGTGGCGGGACCAATGGGAATGGTCCTCCACGGCAGGATTCGAGCAGTGACGAAGAAGATACTGGGAAATTCCCGACTATCAAAATTGACATGCAAGGATATGGATACGGTTATTAAACAAAGCGAATGCAGATAGGATTTGGATACTACGTGCTGGTATCTGATGAACTCATAAATTAATAGAGATTCTACCTTTACATGTGCCATATTTCACGCAATACCATAGCGCCAATGATTATACTTTTACAGCTGTTTCGGTTTAGTTTTTGTTTTGCATTTTTGGCTCACCTCGATCTTCAACTTACATTCCAATTTTTTCGGATGTACAATAATTGTTCACTTAACGCTTTGTCGCTAGTTCATATTGTAAAAGCTTCAGCTTCACTGAAACAATAAGAAATCAGGATCTCAGCGGTTATTTACTTACAATTCTCACTTGTCCATGTCGATCTCAACTTGAATTTAGATCTCTAAATAAAAATTTTTATTTTTTGAATTTTGTCAAAGTAATTGTCAAACTGAATAAATGCTACTTGATTTTTAACATCTTGGAGATGAACTGGAAAAACAATAAGTGTTGTTTGGAGCAAATGCCTGCTCTCTTTCAAGGCTCCATACCTGATTTTAGGCCATAAAATTGATAACAGAAATGGACGTTATTTTCAAAAAATTCTAGTGACATTACCGTAACTCCGATCGAGGCAAACTCGTGCTCATATAAATTAGGGAAAATGGAACTCTAAAATTGTAGCATTACAAGGAAACCTAGGCTCCGAATTTGTCAAGGTGGTTTACTGGGCCAGTCAATTTACAGTGCGCGACAAAATTATAACCGCACTTTAGAAATTGCTGTAACTTTTTTGGTTGTCAATAGAAATGTGTCATATTTGGCTCCAATATGCACTAATGTCTCACGAATCATGTGCCGTAAAATTATTTCGGGAAATTTCCCCAATTTGGAAAAAAATTGAAAAAACCAAAACTTTGACGATTTTCTATGCGACTTACAACCGCACTTACGAATTTGGTTAATTAGCCTAATTAAATCACTGAATAACAATAACTAATGTTTAGTTACGTTGCCTGAGGCTTCAATAACGTCGATTGAACAGCCGGGAATACTCTGGGAAAAGTTTTTTTAACCTCTTCTGGCCAATATTGTGCCAGAATCGGAAAAGTGCCTATTTTAACTCAGTTACTGTAAAATAATGGGCGTTGGTCAGTGAACCTGAAAGCCCCACACGTTCTCTATAGGACTTAAATCCAAGGAACGCATAGGCTCGTTCGGGATAGCAATTCCTTGCTGTTTGAGGAACAGCTTTGTCGACCAGCTAAGGAATACGCGAGCACTGCCCTGCATTAACGTGTAGCCTGGTTGCCAATACGTTACCAGATGCTTGCCTAGGACTCTCTAGTACTCAAGGATACTCATTTGAGTTGATGTGCCCGCCAACCGAAGCGCTCCGGTTCTTGGAAGGCGCTCCAAATCATCAACTAGCCACCTAAAACGCTACGGCGCGGAAAACAACGCGTTTCTCTTCTGGTTTTACGTCTGTAATGTAGGTAATGTGTGAAGCCGTCAGGTAGATCACATGGCCATAAAATCTCCAAGGATTTCGGCGCTGTAATGATGTTAAACTAACCTTTAACTGATCAACCTATTTTGCCAATGTCACCTTGGCAAATCTCGACCGCGCTCTGCCGTGGACCCGGCCAGCTGAGATCACAACTTCATATGACGCCCAGTGATGACGTAGCTGTGTCTGACAACCTCCAGTATAGCTTTACTTCTACAATTGAGGCCTATTTCTTAGTTTATATGAGCCCAAGGGATATTGGAGTTGGACACTCGGCGGATATATACGCCCTTGCTCTGCTCCAGTGGTATACCTTTTTTGTCATAACGTTTATATGTGTTATAGGTTTCTGGGTTAGTCAGTTAGTTACTGGCAAGTTCTGTCCGAACGGCCTACCTGAGCTTAAATAGGCACTTTTCCGATTATGGCACAATATTGGCCAGAAGAGGTTAAAAAAACTTTGACCAGAGTATTCCCGGCTGTTCAATCGACGTTATTGAAGCCTCAGGCAACGTAACTAAACATTAGTTATTGTTGTTCAGTGATTTAATTAGGCTAATTAACCAAATTCGTAAGTGCGGTTATAATTTTGTCGCAGAGAAAATCATCAAAATTTTGGTTTTTTCAATTTTTTTCAGAATTGGGGATATTTCCCGAAATAATTTTTCGGCACATGATTCGTGAGACATTAGTGCATATTGGAGCCAGATATGACACATTTCTATTGACAACCAAAAAAGTTACAGCAATTTCTAAAGTGCGGTTATAATTTTGTCGCGCACTGATGAATACTTTTTTGAGGCAAAGTTGTACTTTTTTCGAAACTAATACTTGCTGACATGGAGGGAAGCGTGTGGTGCCAAATATATGTGAACCATTAGCAATACACAGGCGGTCGAAATTGCGGAACGCAAACTCACTGTGAGATTGTCAATACATTTCGGCATGCCAAATTTATTTCAGTAACTCAAGTCTTTCAAGCCAACAATTTCAATTATTATAATATAATCTTAATGTTCTTAATGTTCGATCTTGAAGTTCATCATTTCATCATGGCCAATCAAGTCCTCGTGCCCGTTAGTGCAGTTGAAATAACAACTAATTCCTTCGCAATGACTTTCCTCGCAGGTGCTTCCAACGAGACGACAGATAATATTGCAAAGAGCGTGGCAGACTCCTTCGCAGTCGGCGCTGACTACACCAGCAATTACGAACAATGCAACTATGAATATGAGCGAACGCATGTTGACAATTCCAAAAATCTGGTTGATGATGCCCACTCACGCTGAAGAGAATACTAACATGGTCTACAGCCGTTCGTTTTATACGATTTTTCCAAACATACGATAGCGTCAGAAGAAACAAAATATAATTGTAATCAACGGTAAATTCTATGCTCCACACCTTGCTGATTGTAAATAATTGATGACTCATGCTGCTTATCGACTTGAGACGACGTAATTCCCCCAAGATTATCTATCTATGAACGTTTATTAAGTTAAAAAGAATTAATGACTTGGCTTGTGGTCTAAAAAAATCTTTATCAGTCGTTTGAAAACACAAGCTGAAAGGAGTGACAGTACAGTAAGACGTAATCAAACTATTCCATAGATAACACGCACGCGCTCTGGCGCTTTTTGTAGTTACTAGTCCGTACGTAAACTGGAGTATTATTCGGCGGCTCTTATTGTAAGTGTTTTGTATACTGTCCCTTTGTTATAGATCAAGGTTTTGATTCAAAATTTATTCAGCAATGTGATAAATAATGCATAAAAGTTTTGTAATACTAGGCCGTCGGGGAAATAACGTGGATTTGTCGCGCCTCCAAATCTCATCGTCATTTTCTGCGGGCGCTCGGCCGTAGCTGGAGAAAACTTTGGTACACAACTGCGACAAATCCACATTACTTTCCCGACAGCATAACAGGTGGCGTAATGGATATGCTCTTCGCGCAGCGTTATCTCCAACTTTTCTCGTCTTAATCTTCCATGACGGCGAACTTCTCAAAAAACAAGAAGCACCGTCCAACACATCACTTTTCTCCGCATGATATGTAGAGCTGAGCATAGCCAAATTGAATTTTCCGACGACTACACGGGCATTACAGTCTTCTCCTCCTTCTCTTCGTAAAGCTTCGCTTCTTTTTCTATTAACGTGCTTAGTAGCCTCGATTTGCATTCACTAAGACAATAGATGCATCCGACAAAACAGGAGATTAGTATTAGCAAGAGAACAGCAGCAATTCTTGTGTTAGCGTGGTTGTCCTCCACACATTTTCCCATCTCCTTCACGTCGTCAAAGGAATAACCTTTGTCAATGTAGGCCTTCAGACATTGACTAAAAATGGACACATGGTAGTTGGCTTCAAATAACTTACTAGTTGTAGCCATCGTACAGTGACGAGGATGAAGCTCGAGAGAACCACCAAAATCCACGAGCATTACTGCTTTGGTTGGGCACGCTGCCAGCATACAAGCTGGAGCCAGAATGATAAGTGTGACTTCTGCTACTAAAAAAAGAACTTGTTACGGCTAAGTTAGCAGTAGGCGCAAAGTAATGTAAACTCTAGTAATGCACATCTTTCTACATGGTAAGTCGGAAAAACTTACCGCGACATACTGCGGCTTCCACTGCTGCCTCTGGAGCTGCCTCCGCCTCTGCCACCACCTCGACGGCCCCCTCGACAGACTGCTAGTTCAATGTAGATGAGTAGCATAAGCATTAATTTCAATAGCATCAGAAGGAACCTAAAATGGGAAAAAAGTAATAAAAGCTATGTGTAGGGTGGCTTAACATTTTTCCAAAAAATTATGTTTTTGCGTTTCGCGTACACCCTCGGCCCAAGTATCGTTGAATTAAGCTGCCCCGGTAAAACGCAAGCCAAAGCTTTCAGAGATTGATATGTGGCCGTTCCCCAAAGTGCGTGCAAAATTCAAGGGAATCCGAGCGTCTCACTTGGAGTACTCTCTTATTAGCCCTTGTTACGCCCTTGTTTACCATGCGAAAAAAATTTTTTGAGACTAAAGTACCTATATCCTGAAAAAATAAACGGTATATCAGAAAGGGCATCGTGTGACCACGAGTTTTAGCCCCAATATTTGAGAAACCCGACGTTTGGTAAGTCACGTTTTCCCACATCATCTCTCATCGAAATGACGAATTCCAATGCCAAACCCGGAACCCAAAGATATGTAAAATTCATGAAGATTTGCCCCGGATGTAGGTCCTTGTAAATTCAATAGTTCGCACATTCAAAGATGGCGGCAGCGTTGTGTTTTTGGCGGAACGAACATTAGCGTCGCCGATTTGTGAGAAAAAAATTTTACAGACTGACAATAAGAGCTTGGAAAAAAGGTCAGTAATATTTCAGTAACCCACTTTTGAACCGCGGTTTTACGGCTTGGGGAATCAAAAGTCTAGGAACTTAGTTGCACCAATAGCAACAAGCAAAAAATATCACGGCGTTTTAAGCACCGATAAGTATTCCTTATCGGTGCTTAGAACTTGTATACGATTTGCATTTTTGACGACAGTGGTTCCGAACTTTTTTGATAAATTCCGCGGTAATTTCCAGTCAAAAAATTCATGCTATCAGCTTCTAGAGAGCGCCATCTAAGAATCTCACAGGTCAGGTTTTGCTCTAAATTTGGACTCTTCAGAGCTCAACGACAGCAAAAGCTCTACTATAAAAAGGCTTTCTGTTTTTAAACCTTCTACTCCGTCAGCTATAAATTTTAGGCAAAAATTAACCTCTCTACAACATAGCCGATCCATAACAAATTAATTTTGAGTCCGTTGCAATTTATTGTACAGAGGCTTGACTGTTGTTCTATTTTCCAGTCACATGTCAATACCTTCTTTAGTAATCAAATTTTCATTGTGTGCTCATACACAGAGCAAGAACATTTCTCACAACACTCTAGCAATTTTAAAAACTCTCTTCCAACTTGGCCTACATGTAAACAACCCAATTACTGACCCTCCAAGACGGGTTCCTTTATACTACTTACAAAGGTCCGTCAAAGGGTCTTTGCCCTTTTTTGGGTAAACACTTTTTTGAAATTCTGAGAAAATATTTGGGACATCCCCTTTCCTTACCGGCTTTAGTTGTTGAAAAAAGTTTTTTTTCTGACTCAAACGCTTTTTATAGACCAGGAGCGTTCCGTGTGACGTACATAGTGCGTCAGGCACTACGAAATGGCGGTCATCCAACTTGCGGATGCGAAATGAAATTATTTCTTGAGTCTGAAGACGTATTCGTGCCTAAGCGGTTGTTTTTACGGGCAACCACTCCCTTAACTTTTATACATAATATAGGAATAAAAAACTTGCAGATTTATTGAGCTAGTGGAATGTGAGGTTTAACAGTAATGTATAACACAAGAAAATTTCAAATATAAATGTAATGCTATACAAGCGGCTCCTCCGATTCTTCTGAACGAGCCGTACTGCGACAAGGTACACATATAAAAAGGCAGAAAAAGAGCAGGAAGACTACAATAATTATAAGAAAGACGGCGAGCGCCTGCGTGGATCGGCATTGTTCCATGGCGAGCTCTTCTGGCACACCGAGAAATGTCTTTTCTTGAAAACATCGGCTGAAAAACAGAATGAAATTTCAGAATCCAAAGTTTCGCCCTTTTTGGAGCCAAATTGCGCCCCTAGCAAGCTGAACACTCTGATATTACACAAGGCACCAATAAAAATAAAGTGAATTAGAGATGTCGGAGTGAATTGAAGTGACCTATGCCGTTTGAAACATTACAGAATGAGATTTCAGAATCCAAAGTTTCGTCTTTTTTGGAGCCAAACTGCGCCCGTAGCAAGCTGAACACTCTGATATTACACAAGGCACCAATAAAAAATAAAGTGAATTAGAGATGTCGGAGTGAATTGAAGCGACCCATGCCGTTTGAAACATTACAGAATGAAATTTCAGAATCCAAAGTTTCGTCTTTTTTGGAGCCAAATTGCGCCCGTAGCAAGCTGAACACTCTGATATTACACTAGGCACCAATAAAAAATAAAGTGAATTAGAGTTGTCGGAGTGAATTGAAGTGACCTATGCCGTTTGAAACATTACAGAATGAGATTTCAGAATCCAAAGTTTCGTCTTTTTTGGAGCCAAATTGCGCCCGTAGCAAGCTGAACACTCTGATATTACACTAGGCACCAATAAAAAATAAAGTGAATTAGAGATGTCGGAGTGAATTGAAGCGACCCATGCCGTTTGAAACATTACAGAATGAAATTTCAGAATCCAAAGTTTCGCCCTTTTTGGAGCCAAATTGCGCCCCTAGCAAGCTGAACACTCTGATATTACACAAGGCACCAATAAAAAATAAAGTGAATTAGAGATGTCGGAGTGAATTGAAGTGACCTATGCCGTTTGAAACATTACAGAATGAAATTTCAGAATCCAAAGTTTCGCCCTTTTTGGAGCCAAATTGCGCCCCTAGCAAGCTGAACACTCTGATATTACACAAGGCACCAATAAAAAATAAAGTGAATTAGAGATGTCGGAGTGAATTGAAGTGACCTATGCCGTTTGAAACATTACAGAATGAGATTTCAGAATCCAAAGTTTCGTCTTTTTTGGAGCCAAATTGCGCCCGTAGCAAGCTGAACACTCTGATATTACACTAGGCACCAATAAAAAATAAAGTGAATTAGAGATGTCGGAGTGAATTGAAGCGACCCATGCCGTTTGAAACATTACAGAATGAAATTTCAGAATCCAAAGTTTCGCCCTTTTTGGAGCCAAATTGCGCCCCTAGCAAGCTGAACACTCTGATATTACACAAGGCACCAATAAAAAATAAAGTGAATTAGAGATGTCGGAGTGAATTGAAGTGACCTATGCCGTTTGAAACATTACAGAATGAAATTTCAGAATCCAAAGTTTCGCCCTTTTTGGAGCCAAATTGCGCCCCTAGCAAGCTGAACACTCTGATATTACACAAGGCACCAATAAAAAATAAAGTGAATTAGAGATGTCGGAGTGAATTGAAGTGACCTATGCCGTTTGAAACATTACAGAATGAGATTTCAGAATCCAAAGTTTCTCCCTTTTTGGAGCCAAATTGCGCCCGTAGCAAGCTGAACACTCTGATATTACACAAGGCACCAATAAAAAATAAAGTGAATTAGAGATGTCGGAGTGAATTGAAGCGACCCATGCCGTTTGAAACATTACAGAATGAGATTTCAGAATCCAAAGTTTCTCCCTTTTTGGAGCCAAATTGCGCCCGTAGCAAGCTGAACACTCTGATATTACACTAGGCACCAATAAAAAATAAAGTGAATTAGAGATGTCGGAGTGAATTGAAGCGACCCATGCCGTTTGAAACATTACAGAATGAAATTTCAGAATCCAAAGTTTCGCCCTTTTTGGAGCCAAATTGCGCCCCTAGCAAGCTGAACACTCTGATATTACACTAGGCACCAATAAAAAATAAAGTGAATTAGAGATGTCGGAGTGAATTGAAGTGACCTATGCCGTTTGAAACATTACAGAATGAGATTTCAGAATCCAAAGTTTCGTCTTTTTTGGAGCCAAATTGCGCCCGTAGCAAGCTGAACACTCTGATATTACACTAGGCAGCAATAAAAAATAAAGTGAATTAGAGATGTCGGAGTGAATTGAAGCGACCCATGCCGTTTGAAACATTACAGAATGAAATTTCAGAATCCAAAGTTTCGCCCTTTTTGGAGCCAAATTGCGCCCCTAGCAAGCTGAACACTCTGATATTACACTAGGCACCAATAAAAAATAAAGTGAATTAGAGATGTCGGAGTGAATTGAAGCGACCCATGCCGTTTGAAACATTACAGAATGAGATTTCAGAATCCAAAGTTTCTCCCTTTTTGGAGCCAAATTGCGCCCGTAGCAAGCTGAACACTCTGATATTACACAAGGCACCAATAAAAAATAAAGTGAATTAGAGATGTCGGAGTGAATTGAAGTGACCTATGCCGTTTGAAACATTACAGAATGAGATTTCCGAATCCAAAGTTTCGCCCTTTTTGGAGCCAAATTGCGCCCGTAGCAAGCTGAACACTCTGATATTACACTAGGCACCAATAAAAAATAAAGTGAATTAGAGATGTCGGAGTGAATTGAAGTGACCTATGCCGTTTGAAACATTACAGAATGAGATTTCAGAATCCAAAGTTTCGTCTTTTTTGGAGCCAAATTGCGCCCGTAGCAAGCTGAACACTCTGATATTACACTAGGCAGCAATAAAAAATAAAGTGAATTAGAGATGTCGGAGTGAATTGAAGTGACCTATGCCGTTTGAAACACTACAGAATGAGATTTCAGAATCCAAAGTTTCGCCCTTTTTGGAGCCAAATTGCGCCCGTAGCAAGCTGAACACTCTGATATTACACTAGGCACCAATAAAAAATAAAGTGAATTAGAGATGTCGGAGTGAATTAAAGTGACCTATGCCGTTTGAAACATTACAGAATGAGATTTCAGAATCCAAAGTTTCGCCCTTTTTGGAGCCAAACTGCGCCCGTAGCAAGCTGAACACTCTGATATTACACTAGGCAGCAATAAAAAATAAAGTGAATTAGAGATGTCGGAGTGAATTGAAGTGACCTATGCCGTTTGAAACACTACAGAATGAGATTTCAGAATCCAAAGTTTCGCCCTTTTTGGAGCCAAATTGCGCCCGTAGCAAGCTGAACACTCTGATATTACACTAGGCACCAATAAAAAATAAAGTGAATTCGAGATGTCGGAGTGAATTGAAGTGGCCTATGCCGTTTGAAACATTACAGAATGAGATTTCAGAATCCAAAGTTTCGCCCTTTTTGGAGCCAAATTGCGCCCGTAGCAAGCTGAACACTCTGATATTACACTAGGCACCAATAAAAAATAAAGTGAATTAGAGATGTCGGAGTGAATTGAAGTGACCTATGCCGTTTGAAACATTACAGAATGAGATTTCAGAATCCAAAGTTTCGTCTTTTTTGGAGCCAAATTGCGCCCGTAGCAAGCTGAACACTCTGATATTACACTAGGCAGCAATAAAAAATAAAGTGAATTAGAGATGTCGGAGTGAATTGAAGTGACCTATGCCGTTTGAAACACTACAGAATGAGATTTCAGAATCCAAAGTTTCGCCCTTTTTGGAGCCAAATTGCGCCCGTAGCAAGCTGAACACTCTGATATTACACTAGGCACCAATAAAAAATAAAGTGAATTAGAGATGTCGGAGTGAATTAAAGTGACCTATGCCGTTTGAAACATTACAGAATGAGATTTCAGAATCCAAAGTTTCGCCCTTTTTGGAGCCAAACTGCGCCCGTAGCAAGCTGAACACTCTGATATTACACTAGGCACCAATAAAAAATAAAGTGAATTCGAGATGTCGGAGTGAATTGAAGTGGCCTATGCCGTTTGAAACATTACAGAATGAGATTTCAGAATCCAAAGTTTCGCCCTTTTTGGAGCCAAATTGCGCCCGTAGCAAGCTGAACACTCTGATATTACACTAGGCACCAATAAAAAATAAAGTGAATTAGAGATGTCCAAGTCCCCCAAATCCCCAGATGAAACACTGAAAATAAACTCGAAATCTGCCCCAAGTTGAGACTAGCCGAATATTTGCTTAATTTTCAACGTGTTGGCAACATCCTTCCCTTTTTTCAACGTCAATCTGTCGAAACCCCCGAAAAAATCCGACATTTCTTGGTGATTTTCAACCGAAAAACTCTGAAATTTCTCGATCATTTTCAACCGAAATGCCCTGGTTTTCGGGGAAAAAGAGCCTTTTTTCAAAAGGTTGCAGCGACCTCAGTTTGCACTTAAAAATCTTCTTATTTCGTAGGCAAAAAATAATGTCGCTTAAAAATACATATTTCAAAAACGAACTCTCTGCGCCGCCTCCGCCGAAAGTTATAGCCTCCTACTTTCCTTCAAATTTCTTGAAAGACCCTGTAGACAAGAAACAGACGCGAAATCTGCAAAGATATTTGAGCAATGACAAAATTACGCGACTCAACCTGCTGATTTTTGAACTAACTTACATTTCATAGAACCCAACGGAAGTGCTTTCCTCTCCATTGACCTGCCGAGTCGTTATGAACAACCGATACCGGTGGCTACTGCTGAGCCCTCTGTAATATTATATAATACACGTATAATAAATGTATTAATAAATCGAAAATTATCTTACCTCGAATGAGAGGAGGAAGAAGATCCATGACTCGACCCACTGGAGCTTGACCCCGATTTTGTAGCGCTACTACTACCCCTCGAGCTGCTGCTCCCTCTTCCGCCGCCACCATGCCCACCTCTTGATTCGATCAAGGGCGAGAGCAGTAAGAAAAACAAGAAAACTTTAGGAGTAGACAACAGCATGTTAAAATAAAAGTGATCACGAAGTGCATGACAGGTCAAAAATTGGAGGAGGGACTTTTTGTAGTCTTTGAGCTCGAACAGCCGGCAGGAACGTGATATTATGTATGGAGGTCATGGTCTGTGAGGGATCAGGAGAGCCGGCTGGGAGTTGATGAAACTATTTTTACATTTTCCTGTGGGTCATTAGACATTGATTAGAGAGGCAAGAGAGTGACACGTAATGCAAATTTTCATAATGGATTTATTAGGGTAATGGCCGAAATGTGATGCTCAGATGGCCTTCAAATTTTGAGTGTCTGCCTGAACTATCATATTAATGCCACAAAATTTTAGCTCGCACGATGCAAGGACAGCCAAGATATTAAAAAATTTGGGGTGAGTGAAAATAAGGGAAGGGGCAGAGGGAAAAGCAGTAAGTTCCGAATAAAAAATCGCTTGAGTTTCTGCAAAGCGCGACCTCAAGCTACTGCAGGTACGTTAACAAACACAAATCTTTATATTTATCTGTAAGCTTTTGTCAGAAACTGAACGTTGACCTTCATGTGCTTCACTTGTTGAGTGATACTCCTGTAATATGTACTCTGTATATCGCGGATTATAAAAAAATTTTCCTTCAAATTTAGATCGCAACATAACTTGATGAACTGATAATATTTATTTCTCTTGAGGTATCGCGTCAAAGAATGAATTTGATATCTACAGATATTCGACATTTTCTTCCTGCAACCGTTTTCTGTCTTCATTTGCTCGAAAGTTTTCAAACGTGTCATCGCCTGCATTTTTGGCCACATAAATTGCAATCCCAATAACAAATCCAGCGCCAACAATAATGATTGTAATCGCCAATATATATTGGATTGACATTCTTCGAAGGCGGAATCCCCATCAAATCCTTGCGCTAATTTTTCTTCAACGCATTGCCTTAAAAGGCCGATTTTGCAGCGTAAATATCTTACATATACTCGGCGTCATTATACGGCCGGCGACTTCTCGATGAACTGCTACTTTGAGAGCCATAATACCCACTAGACCAACCGCTAAAACAATATAAGTTGTCTTGTATTTTAAGACGATGACTCATACCCGGAAGATCTGGATCGTCCCCTAACACTTCCTCGAGAACCTCCACGGCCACCGCCGCGGCCACCACCACCTCTTCCACCACTACTTCCACGACCTCCACCACCACGACCACCCCGAGGTTCAATTAACGGAAATAATAGCAAAAATATTATAAAATACTTAGACAACATTTGTGAGATCAAAAAAGAAGACAAAATGATAGGCAACGGGAACGTCTGTGACGTGTTTTTTGACCTCCTACAGCTGTTACTTTGTTGAAAAAAAAGTTAAAAAAAAACAAACTTGAAACTTTGCTAGTTCTCTCATTTTTTTATTTCTGAAAATTTTCAATTTATCTAACAAAAATGACTTCAGAACTACCCGTAGCAACTTCTCCATCCTCTATTTCCTAAAAATTCAAAACTCCCGCGCTTTTGGCATAACTTGCAACAGAATGCCAAGCTTTCGCGCCAAGAATTTCATTCAAAAGAGAAAAACAAAAAATTGTTTGGATCCACGGGAAAAATTCGTCGGAAAACTTGTGGATTGAACAAATCTGCGAATATTCGACGTGTCATACCAAAATGCAGTACAAGAATGCCGATGTGCGACGGCTGTATGCAGATCGAGAAGATATTGATGTAGAGGAAGCGAGAAATCTCTTCCTGAGGGACGATATCCTTCGAGCAGAGGATGTAAGTGTCATTTCTTATTTTTGCAGCTCATGTTTTACCTTTTGCATGTGTTTTTTACTGATTTTGACCTGTTTTTGGCTTCTAGGGAAAGAAATTGTGCGTTTTCATTGCTCTCCACAAACTTGATCGAGATGTTATGTACGACTTGCTCGGTGAAATGGTCGTGAATCGGGCTATGACTCAGTAAGTTGGCATTTATTTGGTTTTCTTGTTTTAGGAGGGATGAGGATGTCCAAGGCGGACAGAAGATTTTCAGTCTTTTTGTTTTGGTGTTAAGTATAATATGGGACCAAAAACGGATTGTTTCGGACTTTGTTTTTTGATGTAGCTGCTTGTTCGAGCAATCATATGTCGGCTTCAAGGCATTTTGGACTTTTGCTTGAAGTTTTTTCTGCGAGTTTAAAAGTTTTGACGTATCTTTTCATCATGGTCAACATCAGAAATTATTTATATTTATCTTTTTTCTGGTACGCTGTCATATAGATTATAGATGGAATGTGTTACAGAGACCATCTTTCTCGTATTGGACGATTTCTGGCACTTTTATACGATCGAGCTTCAGACGATATCATCCTTCAAGGTGAAGATTCTCAACAAGCCGAAGATAAATTGACGAAACAATGGTTGGCCACAGTTTTTACCGAGTTTGTTGATTTTATTACTATTTGCAAGGATCGGGAGATTGCTGAGAAATTCGCGGCGGTAAGAAATTCTTACAGTTGACATTAATATTTTAGGTGTTCAAATCAGCAGTTGACGATCCGAAGCCCGACCTCAGCACAATGCTCTTCACGGCCACGATGAGAGTTTGGTCGCGAATTGACGTAAGTCTATTTGGTTTCTGTTTTGATTTCTAGTCTCCCAACGATCACATTGCTTGGGGTGCCTATTATGTTCAACAGTGCGTCTATCCGCCAAGAAGTGAGGATAAGATTCAGCAGGCGGTCTATGAGGAGAAGCATCAAGCTGCTTTCATTTCTGCGCTCAAACATCCTAGTGTTCCCATTCGTTTGCAAGCTTTGGAGGGCGCCGTGGAGAAGGTCGTTTTCTGGTGGGACGACTTTCAAAAGTCGTACAGATCTAAGTTTTTGGACGCTCTATGCGATCTGGCCAAGGATTCGCAGGCCGAATGTCGAGCGGCGGTTTTTAAGGTGAGTTTAAGATTTTTGTCGTTTTTTTTTGATTTTTAGGTAAACACGGATTCAGATTTGGGGCTGAAATCTAATGTTTTTGATTTCAGTGCCTCAGATTCTTTGCGTTGAACCCGGCAACATCTTCCAAAGCAGCTTCTGATTTATTGCCAAGGATCTGTAAAGATGGCGTGGATGACGTCAAAGAGAAAGTCCGTTACAATTGCTGTAAAGCCATGAATTTTTTCGTGGAAAGAGCTAATGTTACAGTAGGTTTTTGGACAATGACTTTGACTATTTTTTCACTCACAAAATTAGTTTTTGTCTTTCTAGTTCAGCGGCTTCATTGGTTTCGACGATCTGTGTCATCGTCTGGATTTTGAAGAAAACGAGGCCATCGAGCAATGTCTGGTCAAGCTGATCAAAACCAAGTCCCCAGCCGACTATGGGCTTGTGCTGCAGAAGTTTGTCCATAAATTTGTGAAGATCTCAAGAAATGCCGCCCTCGACTACCATCGATTGCTCTTCTGCACTGGACTTATCAAATTGGAGGATGCTTGTAAGTGTTTTTGAATTTTTAGGTGTTTAGTAGCGTTTTATGTTGGTTAGAATGCATTTGAAGACTAATGAAAATAAATTTTTTAGTGAAGTACATTGAGGCCCTTGTTGGTCTCATCAACCCGTTTTTGGAGAAAAAAGACGAGTTCACGGAGGAAGAAGAGATCGAAAGCTTCAACAGAAGTAGGTTTTTGCCTCTTTTTTCTTCATTATTTTAGAGGTAAACATAAAAAAAGACGTCTTCGACTGCGCCATCGTCCTCTACGCCACAATTCAGCCCACAGCCGCCGCCTCGGACAACTCTCGAGTTCGCACTGACCTCTCGACAGTCAACCGCATCTTCTCGGAGATTGCGTCCACCATTTTCGAGCTCTTTGAATCCCATGAAGGCCTCATGGACTCGGCCTTAACGTTGGCCAGCCTGTCCCCGAACACGGTCCGATTTCTCCCAAGGTTCTTCCTACAGGTGGAACGAGATGTCCGTGGCGGAAAAATTGTGGACAGGAAAATCCATGCCTTCGCCATGAACGACATGAACAGATTCACTCAGATTTTATTGGAAGGATTAACGCAAGTCCAACTGAGTTCGCAGAAAATCGCATCGAAAAATATCCCAACTCCCGCGAAACAGTCGAGACCGTCCATCTTCTTGAATGAAGTGGCGGTTATTGATGCGTTGACGGCAGTGTTGGACAATCCAGCAACCTCATCGTACCTTTTCAATGTGAGTTTTGAAAAGAAAAAAATTTGAAGAAATTTTTTGTGGGATTTTCTCAAAATTTGGAGGACGTTTTTTTTTGATACAGTGACGGACCTCATCCAGTGACAAAAAACGTACCATTTTGCAGCCGGGAAGTATCAAAAATGCAGCAAAATACCTCCCTCTGCAAATGAAAAACTCCGATTTACAAAGCGCGCCAGCTGTTTTTGTGAGGGAAAAGGCGCGCCCAAAATTTTTTGGTTGGAGAGGGAGGTATTTTACTACATTTTTGATACTTCCCGGATGTAAAATGGTACGTTTTTGCCACTGGATCAGGCCCGTCAGTGTATCAAAAAAAAACGGCATCCAAATTTTGAGAAAATATGGCATTGGCGTACTTTTGAATTTTGGTTATTCTAGGAATACGATTTCTTCGTCTCCCAATTTATCGAGAAGCTGGTTCAAACCAGAGACAACTTCATGCTGGCCAGAAGGAATGGCCGCTCATCGAGGGACCTCCCAGAAGGCTTATTTGGCCGCACAACGGACACAATCGCGATCTTGAGAATATTGAGTTATGACAAGAAGATCAGAGTGGAAGTCAAGGAAGAAGAAGATAGTAAGATTTTAATTTTTTGGTTTTTTTGACATTACCATGGATGAGTAGTACTTTTATGAGGGTTATGTTTCATTTTGAAACTTTCAGCTCAACGCCGCAACCGGCGCGGACGCCGCGCGAGAACAGCTGAACCGGACGAACAAAGTCAGACCGGTGAAGCCGACGCCGACCCTCTTTTGTACGAATCTGACTGGATTGACACTCAGTTCGGCCTGAGCCCCCAATTGGTTTGTCAGGCGGAGATTGCCGAGACCCTGTATAATGCCCTCGGGCTGTATGTGCGAAGCCATCCACATAAAGAAGCGACCTTGAAAAGAGTGCTGGCAACGATTCAAAAAGTTCACGAATATGCCATTGCCAACCCAATCAGAGGAAATCGGTCCACCATAACGGCCTTTAACGAGTGTCAGAAGAGAATTAAACACGCCTTGGAGATTGTGGCGCCAACTGAAAATAGACAGCAGATCCCGACAATTCATGAAGAAGATGAGGAGAATTTGTCGAGAGATGGAACGGTTGCCACCGTGGAGCAGAATGAAGAAGGTAGGTCGAGTTTGGAGGGAAGAATGAGAGTTTTAAACGGGTTTGGAGCATTTTCCACGTTGATGTCAATGTCATGGATAACATATTTTTTTTCGAGACGGGCCTGAATTTTGTAAAGGGAGTAGAATGACGAAGAAAAAGGGGTTTTTGTGGATGAAATGAGATATTAAAAAAGATTTTTGGCCAAATTTTTGAAATTTGATGTCATGGATAATATAATATTTTTTCCAAAAATAATATTAAGATTGTTTAGAAGCCCCGCCAATAGAGCCCTCGGCCATCATGGACGCCACAATCAAGTCGGAACCGAACGTCGAAAATTGCGGAGAGTTCTCGACCCTCCAGGAAAACACGGAAAATGAACCGCCGGTTGATCATGATACATCGAGCAAAATCGAAAATGAAACGTCTTCTGATCTCAATGGAACACTCGTCGAAGGACCCTAACTCAAACTTATAATGGCGTTTTTGTTTTGTTTTTGAAGTTGTAAACTAAATGGACTTGGTTAGTGTAATGGATTTTAATTGAAAGAAGATAAATGTAAAGTTTAAATTGAATCGGAAGAATTTCCTGTAGTCGACGGGGATTTTGAGAAAATATTGTTCTGAATGAAACATTTAGGTGGGGTGTCGTCACGACAAATCTTTTGGAAATTATTCCTCTCCAAATTTGCATTCTTTTTACGGATGTGAACGGAAGTGCCGAGTTATGTTATTTCCAATATATTTGCTGTTGTTGGCAGTCGGTTCTACCGTAAATATCCGAAATGAAAAGTTTTTGGTCGATTTCAGCGAGTTTTCTTTTATTTCAAGCTGTTCATGGTAAATTTGCTCTTTATTTCTTCATTTTTAGGTGTGAATTCTTGTGGAACGCGCGGGAGAATTTACGGAGCATTGTTTATTCTAAGGTTTTTTTCTTCAAAAATCGACTGATTTAAAATAGTTTCTGACCTTATTTTAGGTTAACATAAGGCGAGAACGCATTTCCATCCTGCTAAAGTCTAAAAACAACAAAGACACAAACAAAATCAGCTTACCGCGCTCAATTTGGGTCAGGGGATTCATATTTCGAAAGTTTTCGCAGATTATACTCCAAAACCAGCTCGAAATTGGACAAAATCTGCAATTCCCACAACAATTATACCGAGAAAAATCGATTGTGGCGCTTCGCCTCGACATCTACTGATTTTTCCACCCTGCGACGCGCGAAATCGCTGTGCAAGTTGCGATGCACGGTGCGAAACTCAGCTTGCATTCGTCACTGTGCAAAAGACAAAAATTGACCGCACTGTGCAAAAATTCGGAACCCTCATTTTCGTGAATTTGGGAAAAAACCCAACATTTTGGAGGAAGAAAACAGTGCAAAGTGTCGCGCAAAATTGCACCGTGCGTTCGGCATTTGTCGCACACTTCGCACTTCAAACCCGAAAGAAACAATTGGAATTGGTTCGTGCACAGTGCAATGCAAGTCGCTTCTCTTGCACAGTCGTAATCGTCTTGAAAATATGCCTTCAATACCCTATACAATTTTGTCGCTGCGACAAACCCTGCACGGTGCGGTGAAAATTTGGGATTTGCACTGTGGCAAGGGATCTCGGTTGGTTGCACAGTGCAAGGTTCGTTTCTTCGGGGTTCGCTGCACGGTGCAAATGGATTTTTCTCTATTTTTGAGTTATCAGAGTCGGAAAAAGAGACGTAAAAGGGAATAATGAAGATGGGATGAGTGAAATTTGCGGCACTCTTGCTGAGGAGGTTGTGGTAAAGGGATCAGAAAAAATTTGGGTATAAAATTGATGTTTTTTTGTCGTGTGGATTTTAGGTAGATGTTTTTGATAAAATTGGAAATCTAGGTGTTCTCTCGTTGAAGTAGGAGTTATTAAGTGTATGGATAGTTAGTTCAGTTGTTGTCAGAAGCGTTTAACTCAAAACCAGTGCATTTTTTTATATTGTACTAGAAAAAAATTTTTGTTTTTCTTTTACCTCTTTCTGTTTCACGACAATCGTTCTTTTAGCTGTCTTGGTTTACGAAAAACAGATTGACGAATTTACAAAGCTTATTTTGACGCAGAACGACAAATGCAAGGATCAAAGCCAGCTGCACGATGGGATGCTCGACTTCGTGGACATTGATATAGCAAAATCTCGACTTTTTTTTACCGAGGGAAATCATTGTGTGCAACATAACTTCTCTGACTTCGACCCGCCGCAACTTAGGATCTCACGAACGATCGAATTTTACACCAGTCGCACTATCTACACGGTGGCTTGGAAAAATGATGATACTTTTACCTATTTATCAAAGTAAGTCTTCTTTATTATTAGCTTTTCGATTTCTAGTCTCGGCGGGGGCAAGATTACAGTTCCAACGAACCCTGAGTTGCGCCACGCGCTAATCCATCGTAATGCGCTCTTCCTAAACGACAGCCGTGCTTTGTATTTGGGCGAAGAACTCGGCGACGTGAATTGTGTCGATTCGGCGACTGGTCAGCTGGCTCGGGAATGTGATCTTGACATGATTTTGCCCCAAGGTGAGGAGAAAACAAGGAATTGTTTGAAAGACGGACCCTGCTATTTGTTGGACGATTTCTTTGTGGTTCGTAATCCAGACGGTTTCAACATTGTCTACATGTCCATGGATTTGTAAGGTTTTGTGGGGTTGATTTTTTTTTTTTTTTGAAAATTTTTGTTAATTTCGCATTACTTTAGTCAGAACAAGACCTCCTTGGATATTGTGGTCCTCTATCATAACGGCCATTTTTACGTAACCTCAAAACTATAGTAGGTTTATACATTATTTGTTGGTATTGATTTTTAGTGAATGTCATAAAGTGACTGTGAACTTGATGGGTGTCATGCAAATTCCATTGAAATTTGAGGACAAGATGGACCAAGGGGAAAAACTTGTTTTTGAAAAAGTTCATGGTGAGACTATGTAAAAAAGGTCGTAGGAAGTGCCTACGAGGCCTTGAAAAGCCGTCTAATGCTCGGCGGAGAATGGGCGAAGGCATGACGGACCTGATCCAGTGGCAAAAAATGTACCATCTTGCGCCCGCGAAGTATCAAAAAGTGTAGCAAAATGCCTCCCTCTCCAACTGAAAAGACTTCGGTTTGAAGGGCCCTCACAAAAAGAGCGGGCGCCGTTTTAAAATCGGAGTTTTTTCACTTGGAGAGGGAGGTATTTTGCCACATTTTTTGATACTTCCCGGCTGCAAAATGGTACGTTTTTTGCCACTGGATCAGGTCCGTCACTGTACGTATCAAATCGTCGTGTCTTTCAGAGACTCTAAACATGTTTGATCGTATCGGCGACGCATTTTTGGGGGTCTACAACCAAATTGGGTTAGTCAACAAATACGGCCATGTTCGTTGGCAATTTTTCATCTTCTTTGTGGTCGAAGTCATGATGTTGTGCGGCCTGGTGCTCTTGTGTTTGGCGTTGAATACAAGTACGGATGCCTGGAAGTTACTCGCTTTCCCGTTTGTCATGGGTTACCGAGGATTGGTCAACTTTATTCATGCGGTAAGTTGGGATAAAAATTAAAATATGCGTTTTTCTGAATGTCTTGAAATTTATTTTGAAACAATTTTTTAGCGGAAAGTATCAGCAAGCGCGGCCTTACGGACAGAGGCGTTTACCAACGAACAGACCGAGGACAAGTAGGCATCGGAAGTTGTCAAGAGAAAAGGCCAACCGGTCATGCAACCTGAGTTGTCAACTTTAAGATAGATAATATATTATGTGAAATAAATGTAAGTGTAGTAAAGTGGGAAGGTTGAATTTTATTCAGTGGGTCTAAATTGAGGGAAATTTTTTTATGGGGTTGCGAAGTATGCCGCAACATTGCTTAGAAATGGTTGAGATTTTTGGGTTTATGTTTCTTGAGACATTTGCGAGAGTTTTCTCGCGCTTTGCAGAAACGCCCGAATTTTTTAAATCGGAAAAAATGTGGTACTTTTTTGTAAAATTCGACATGAAGTGTTTGTTTCCTGTTTTTACCGTAGAGGGCCTTGTTTAATTTGCACTTCAAAAGTAATATTTGGTCTCCTATTCACATATTTTCCAACCTTTTGGTTATAGCCGCAGTTTTTTCCCCCTCAAAATACAACACACTGACTACAAGAAATCATATGTTTCTTCGCTCGAAAAGGTCCGGAAATCGTCGTTTTCTGTAATGTTCTCTAAAAAAAAAACCCATTCATTTTTTATAAACTGAGCTTTGAGAAGCGTTGTATCCGCCTCAAAGGCCAAAAAAAGCGTCCATTGAGAAGCGGGACATTTTAATGATTGCACAAACACCCCTCATAATGTATGAAATAATTTGTTAAAGTAAACAAATGACCGTATAAATCCGTGAACGCAAAAATTCATGTGCGAAACCGCATGGAAATGCAGATTTTGCTGATTTTTGTTTTCTTGTTTTTGCTGCTAACCGATTTTGTTGATGGATTCTACTATCTGATGCCTGTTTGTGACCGTCTCACGCCCGGGATGAAGGTTCGATTTTATGCGAGAGTGATTCGGCCCACTTGGATCATCCAATTCCACGCGAACCGAGAGAAACAATGTTCGAATGAGTTGATGAATTTGGAGACGGATCGCCCTTTCCACGTGAACCATTACTTTGTCCATCCGGTGGACCCGAGTCTGGACCATGAGTACACGTTTGCGGCGGGAACGTCGGATGCGTGGGATTTTTACATCCATCGGCCAATGGGACCGTTGCAACGCGGCCAACTTTTCCAAGCGGATATTGTGGTGATTGAAGGGGGTTATGAATATTGGGTGGATGGAAGATACATTGCAACTGTGAGGTAAGGCTTTATTTTAAACTGGAGTGCCTTATCTGAAGGACTTCCCTAGTAAAACGGTGTATTTTCCGCCCAAAATTTTGTCTGTTTTCAATTTTAAATGTGATTTCCGCGCTTTTTTCAGGTCTCCCTACTCCTACGAAAAGGTCGATTGCGTTTTAGCCACGGATGACGCAATCGTTTACAATCAATGGATTGAAGGCCAACCCAATTGCACTTATCGGTCCAACGACACTGCAAGGAATCGTACAACTACTTCAGCGCCGACGACAGCGTATCCCACCACTCAATGTAACTGCGTTTGCCCCACAACAACGCTAGCTCCGATTACTCCAACAACAAGTGGTACAACGATAACTTTAGCCCCCATAACACCATCAACTGTGACAACTACTTCGACGACGACTACTACTCCAACTACTACTTCTACTACTACTAGTACTACTCAAAGTTCTACTACTTCTACTACTACTAGTACTACACCTACTACTACTACTACTACACCTACTACTACTACTACTACTGTTGCTCCAAAATGGCAATGCCCGTATCCTCCGTATGCGCAGATCTTGGAGGGCCAAGTTTATGACAATTGCACGGCTCCTACTGGAGGTACCCCGCCGTTATCTTGCCCTGGACTTCCGGGAACCATTGTACAACAGGGTCAAGTGGTGCCACAAGGATGTCTTGGATGAGTCTGACATTATTTTAAATTATGCGCTTGAAGTACTACAAAATAAAATGTAAATTGGCTATTTTAGTATGAATTGGGGAAAAATTCTGCAGAAGGTCCAAATTTGGACTTTTTATAAAATGGCGTCTGCATATCACGGGTTTCAGAGTTAAGCTGTTCAACTAGGAATATAAAAAATTGAAAGCTTTACAATGTAATTCATTTTTTCTGTATTTTTTTACGTTTCTCCTGCTACCGACCGGTCGTGCTTGCTCGATGCATAGCCATAGCCCGAGAGAGGTAATTATTTGAACTTTTTGGCTTCTATTTTCTCATTTTCAACCTTCTTTCCAGTTCAATACAACAAAAGGAATTCTATTGGGCCTATTGCTTATCATGCTCTTCATCATCATGTCTGGGATAGTGTTGGTAATTATGACCCGTGTTCTTCGTCGATTCCAAACTTTTCGAACTTATCTTCTTGAATTATCCAGTTGAATAAAGATTAATACGATTGGATTTTGTGGTTTCTTTTCTCCACTTCCGGATTCCTTTGGAGTTCTTTGTCAATTTTTTCCTTCGAGGATTCCTTCGTCGACTCATTCCCAGACTTCGGGGATGTTGCATCGGCGTCAGTGATGACGGGATTTTGATCATAACTACTGTAGTCTGTGCCTTTTGAACATTACAAACCCTCGACGTTCTCCTTGACAAAGAAGCGGTCGGGAAGTTATTTTGGCGATTCGATTTTTGACGTAAACCCCCTCAAACCCGCGTTCAGCGAACTTTCAGATCACCTTCTCCATCTTTTAAAAGCGGCTGAAAGTTGTTTTTTTCTTGTGGTAAATATTAAACGAAATTTTAATCGGTCCACTTTGCGTAATGGGGCAGAAAGGACTTGGGGTTGGTGGAACTTTGGGAATCAGATGCTGAGCAATGGTGCGGTTGTGTTGTGTTTTGTCTAATTCGTTTCTTTAAACGTCTTTACTGTAGATCCGACAAAGGCAAGAATTCAAGGTCGGCTTGCGAATCGTTGGAATGTTGTTTTTTTGATTATTAATAACTAAAGAAAGCTTCCAAGGGCTGCGGCGCACGTCAAGAAAAAATAAAAGAAAAACGGGCGCCCAATGAAAAAGCCTAGATTTTTTTTTGGCATTCTGCCCTGTGCAAATCCGTTTTTGTCCAAATGGTTTGCAATATTTTGACATAAAGATTAATAGTAAATCACAAGATATTGATACCAATAGAAAGCTCGAGGGCTGCTTAAGCTAATAGAACCAAAATATACCCATAATCGTAGTATTTTGACAGTTTTCCATGGCGAAGAATACAACGTCTAAATAAAAGTTTGTATCGACGATACCGAGTCAGAGAGCACTGGAAGGAGGTATAGGCTCCACGTCAAAAAATCCTTAAACTGTTCTTCGAGTATCTACACCGGTCCCGTCCCGCTTGATGGGACAGTTTTTTTGATAGTTGGCCTTGAAATTTGCACTATTTTTAGCCTAGCTCGAACCATGTTCAGAAAATGCGTCACGATGACACCCATTTAGAATGTACCAGCGGTATAAAAAACAGTTGTATACGACTAGTAGTACTCCCTAGAGTTCCCATAAAAAAAATTAGGTTAAAAATTATTGTTATGTGCAATTTGGATGACAGGTTTTATGAATTTTTTTTCGCTGTGAGAACCTTTGCAATGCCCGCAATTTCTTGACGTGCGGCGCGCAGATTTTCTTTACTCTTTGCGCATACGAATTCCTAAAAATTTTTACTCTGTATGAATTTTTCCTCATCGAAATCCAGACTAAACAAGTAATTAATTTTTGGTTTTTTTAACTATTAAACCCCTAACTTTTCTATTACACTACCTTGACCGCGGTAACTGCAGTTATGTGTAAAAACCTTTTTCTTTTTTTGTTATGTCCGTCTACCGGTCCCTATTTGATATTTACCTTCCAAATACTGTAAGCATATATGCAGTGTAGGCACACCTAGACAAGAGAATCCGCATGATTATCCGGCTGTTTTTTGTCGGAAATTGGTTTTAAACTACTAGAGAATCTGAATTCCTGTTCAATTGACTACAAACTTTAGAATAGCTAGCTTGATAAAGTCCGATCGTGACGAACATTCCATTGTAGATTAATTGGAAATGCTAAAGCTCAGTCGTATTTATAAATACACCTGAAATTTATTGAAATCAATGTTTTTCCTTCCCGCACTTGTTGATCGCTGATCGTGAGATTTTGTTTACGAGTTTTGTGGGAGAGAAGGAATTTAGGGCGATAAGGTAAAATGAGTATGTACTGTGGTTGGGAAAGAATAAAGTCGAAAGAGTTTTTGAAGAGCGATTTATATATTTCGTGTGCAGAGGCCTTACAGGTTCACCGGATCGTAAAAGTAAAATTTGTTTTTTTATGGATATTACCCAAGGCGAGGTCCCTTCAAATTTACGATTAAAGCTGTACGTAGCAAAAATGATCAAAAACTTAGTCTTGATGTATTCAAGACAAGAAGGTCAAAAAGAAGATCAAGGGAAGCTTAATTTGATGTAAACATTTGTCACGCACAGAGATCGCTTTTACTACGTAGTTGTTGGAACCATGCGTCCCTTACCTAAGCCCCTACTGCCTTCAGAATTTCCATCTTTGCGGTTAAAACGTTTGAAAAGTAATTCAGCACAGCAACGATCACTAAGCTATGTTTCATGGCCGACTCATAGTTCGTCCGATAAAGAGTAATTCAAAAGTTCTGATTTTGCTGTCCAACTTCTAGTTTGCAAGGTATTTCTTCAATTCTCCCTGGCATGTTACCGTAACCTTCATAGTTTTACCGCGTTCCCGGCTCCTCTGCTGCCCGAGTTCCCCAAATTCACGAACGTGGGATTCCGATCATTGAACGTCGTTTCTACCGTAATCCGCCAACCATGCCGAGTGGGTTATCGATGTAACATTCGAGCGCACACTATAAAATCCGCTTCTCCTCGCCCAACGGAGGTTATTATAGTCACGTTTGCGGAGTTAAATTGTACAACGCGCAGGCTGAATTTGACTATTTGCTCTCCCGTTCCTGCGCTGACTTTAGGCTTATGTTTGTGCGTAAATTTATTCGGTGTCTTGAGCGAGCTGGAGGCGGACTGTGTGATCGTTTACGATAATCGCGAAAGGGATCAGCGTTTTCGACAAATTCGTCCATGAGTCACGATACTCTTGACGCTTCTTTTATGTATAAAAATGGAAGAGGTAGTTGGTATAGTTTATATGGGAATTGAGGCAATTATAGTCGGGTTAGTAGCGCATTGAGGTAGTTTTGTAAAAAACTGAACTTTTCAAGGAGAAAATGAAGGTGTAGCAGCACAGCAAAAATTCCGGGTAAAATGATCGAGTCCTTTGTCTCTTTTTGAATCGACCGCTGCTACTTCCGATGAGAAAATTATTTGCTATACATCTCTTTTTGTTTTAACGATAAAACCTTTGTTCTTTTTGCATATATGTTACTGTTTTCCGTAGTATCGGATCCGCATGGGCTTATCATTCCGGACCTACCGTTTGATATAAATCACTCTTGTTTTCGTATCGTCTGTCTGACCAACACCAAAACATAAGTTTTTATCAAATTGCGGGTTACTTGCGGTCACTCATATAACCTCCGCAACCTGAATCAATAGATATCAGTTTGTGTTTTATTGCGCGGTTCTAGAATTTTCATAGCGCGGTTCGTGTCCTTATAAAGTCATTTTTCGCTGTTTTGCTCTGATCCCCCTATCTTTTCTTGCTTGTTTTCGACATTTCAAGTGCACATAACCTCGTATAACCTCCTCCATTTTTTGTCGTCTGCTCAAAAAAGGAGGGGAGGTGATGATTTTGGGCTTGTTCGAAGCTCTTTATAAATATTTACGTTTTTCACGCGCGTCTCCCAATTATACAACCGACAAGTTGTAGAATCACAAAAGATTTGGAATACTTATTGAGCGATAATTTTCAGACATGAAGACAGATTGGCGATCAATTTATATCTTGACGATTGTCGGGTTCCTCGGCTCGTTCAAGATCGCCGCCATGTCCTCGGGTTTATGGGCCTACATGAAATTGGTAAGCTAACTTAATAGACTGTTATATTTTTGCTGACTTTATTATTTGTGTCGTGCCATATTCGAAATTGTTTCAGGTGGATCCGGAGGTTACCGAGTCGTTTTACGGCGCCTTACATTCGACGGCGAATTTCTCAAATTTGTTCATGTCACTGTTGGCTGGGATTCTCTGTAACAAACTTGGCGATACCAAGTGAGTTTTTTTATCTCATCGAATCACAGCAGTTACGAGCGAAATTATCTGAATTTGCGTTTTCTAGGTTGTGTATCGTCATTGGGAAGTCCTTGTGGATTTTTGCGGTGGTTTCCTACTTGGCTGTGGAGCTGATGCCACATAACGCCAAGTTCTGGTTCCTCAGCATGGAAGTTTGCTTTGGGCTGTCTATGGGTAAGCGTTTTTTATAATAATTTTTATTCCCTTTTTTCGAGCCTGTTTTACAAGATTCCTGCAGGTTTAATGAGTGTGTCTCGAACGCATGTGGCGATGGCATCAACCGAGAAGGAACGGCCACGAGCCGTCTCGCTGATGACTCTCTCCATAACCGTTGGCATGGCCGTGGGCCCGGCGATCATGGTCCTAATGTCGCTCCTGAAATACCCGGGATACGAAATGCCCTTCGGCGTCCATATGAATCTCTACACCGCTCCGATGTATCTGCTGTTAGTTACTACGATCATCTCCGTTATTTTGCTGGTCTGTTGCTTCGATGGGACGATGAGAGTGCCTGTTCGGAACAAGGACAGTATCATCTTGCCAAAGGGAAAAGGACGAACATGGTTTACCAACAAGACCTCATACGACAAGTTTGCGGTATTTTTGTGCTGTCTAACTCGCGTCGTGCAATCCACCAGTATGTTGTTCTTGATCAACGTCGGAGGCCCATACATGATGACGGCGTTTGGCTGGAGTAGTAAGGAATTGCTGAGGTATAATTCGATAATGCACACGGCTATTGGGATTCTTGGAATCGCGATTTGGTAAGAATTTATTTTCGTTAGTTTCTACGTTTGTTCTTGACGAAGCGTGTGAAAATTGCAACCAAATTTTTCAGCGTGTCCTATATCACCAAATTCACTCAAAAATACCTATCGGATCGTCGAGCAATCATCATAGGGACGGCTCTGAAGCTATCCTATTACGTTATCACCTATCCCTACCCATTCCTGGAGAAAACGATTCCCTACGAGATCAGGGATGAAAACGGAACGATAATTGAAAATGGCTGCTCCGAACGATTCGACTGGTGCGCAACTACACCACTGATCAACGCTTGGGTCTATTGTATTGCGAAGGTATTGTGTTTCGGAACTGGTTTCCCATTGATCATGCTAAATCTCGATGTGCTCTACTCGAAAGTGCTTGGCAACATCAAACAAGGCACCATGCAGGGCATTTTCTTGGTCAGCGGAGAAGTCTTGACCATTATTGGGCCGATTATCTTTACGTAAGTTGATTATATTGGATGACTTTTCAGACGAAGGAGTTCCAATTTACAATAAGCATTTTTAGCACGGTGTACGAAGCCACCGGTCCGGCCTACATCTGGCAGTTCAATATCGTCACCATCACTGGAATTCTTATCCTATGGGTAGTCTATTACGACCGAATGATCTCAGCAACTCGGCGAAAAGAAAATAAACGGCAGAATCTCCCGCCCGAAGTCCCCATGGACATTGCGATACAGGACGACGCAAAACCCGTCGGCTCCGCCAACCCCATTTAATTGTACATACTGTAATTGTTAGGGTTTCTACTATGTATAGCGCTATCTAAAATCAACAGATCATACATTTCCACATATCGTCAATATTTATGCAGCATTTTCCCGACACCAAAGCTTTTGTTGACTTGTAATTTTAGTACCATATTTATCCAATAAAATTGCCTTACATGTTTATCAGCATACGTTCAAGTATAGGCAACACCTGATTTCTCGTCGCAAAATATTACAGAATCGCAGGAAATTGAACTGCGTGAGATTATTGAGTGTTTGCGATCGCGTGGGCAGAAGAAACAACAGGTTCAGAAAACGCAAGTGTAAAGGTAAATTAAACTAATTGTGACGTCAATCCCGGTGTAATATGAGCTGATTCCTTTCACCTAACTATTGAAACCCCCATTTTGATTCTGGGAAAAATGTAAGCCTCCAAAAGTTTATGATTATTTACCCAAGAGCTTCTTTCATGTAACGAGTCAACGCACCAAAAAAGGTGACTGACGATTCACGCCTACGCCGACTTATTTATAGAAAATCAGAGAAAGACTGTGGAAGTTACACGATGAACCCGAAACTTCAAACAAAATTTCGGCAGTGAGCAAGTGGCATCTAGATTTCTTATCAGTCCGTCGGAAAAATAATGAGCAATGTCGCATCGGAAATTGCACCGCCGCCGGGAAAATGCGTTGTGTCGCGACAAAACCATGCGCTTTTCAGCGGCGCTGTCGACAGAGCGACGGTGTACACATTATTTTCCCGACGGACTGGCATGTTAGAAGCTCCCACTTGTTTCCATGCCTTCCGGCCATGACTCGATTATTGGGATATTAAGTGGAACTTTCTGGAACCTTCAAAAAAATTCAACGGAGTTTACTTGAAAATTTTTGATTATTATGTATGTTGGGTATAATAATATCTGCAACTGGTTAATCTCGTCGGTTGTGCTTATTTTAATAATGCTTTTAAAAAAGCATTTAGAAATTTTTTTTGACGAAAGTCTACTGTTTCTATCCGCCTGTACTAGTCATTTTCCCGAAAGCTGGGGCAATTTCATACTCTTCCCTTGTAAAAAATAGGCGTCGAACAACGAATCAATGACTTGGAATTTGCGCGGTGCAAGTTTGGTATGACCATGAGGGAGTGAAGGTAAATAATCGCCACAAAAAGAATGAAACGTTCCGAAATTTTCTAACAATAGCCCACCAGCAACATGTTTACACCCAGAAAAACATGAGTGGTGTAATAAAAAGAACCAAGACATGAAGAACCCGTATGCAAATGTCCCACAGTATAAACTATAAAACAAATTTATAGTTATCAAGCCTGCAGCAGGTAAACAGAAATTCTCTTATCACCGGAAACGCCATGATATATTTATAAGTACATAGTATCACCTTATCGAGGTTTACAGTTCGGCGGCATGTGGTTTACATTTGATTTCCAATATCTTGCACACAATTTGTTTTTAATTTCAAAATTGAATTTTGAAATGTCAAAAATCCGATGACATTTTGCAACAAAGGTTATTTTTTGTGCTGTTTTCTGATTGTGATTTACTATAAAGTTGCATAATGTGATGGAAACATTGCTTATTTTCCAATGATCAGGTCCTGCGAACTCTAAGCGCGACGTCAAATATTGTTTTTTAATCGTTGAATATCTCGTTGCACCTGCAAAGCACCACATATAAATTCCTAATTCAGGAATTTATATGTGGCCTATCTCCGAAACGTGTGCAAAATTAAAAAAAATACTATGGATCACTTCCTTGTTAGTAGATTTCAGTGAATCACCTCGTGTTTTTGACCCAGAGGAGGTGCGCGCAAGTCACAAGTCATAGAATACGACAAATGGCGGGATCACAAGCCAAAGCGTTAAATCGCAGGTAGTCTGATCATCGTAAATACCAGATCGATACCTCCGAATCGGATATATGAAAAGCGTTCGTTCTTTGGAACCTTCAGTTCTCATTTCATACATATCCGATCCAATTTGACAAAGCCATTTGCAATGAGTTCAGCGGGAGGGTTTGAACAGCTGAGGGATGGAAAAATTCAGCTCCAAAACTGGCTATGGACATGGTTTTTTCCAACCAGTGTTAAAAGCGGATCTCTGGGAAAGCGCTTGCATTTAGTCCGTCATTTTTGCTATTGTGCATTTGAGAATTTCGTTACAAGGGAAGTTTTTCATTTGGAGCCCTTAGATTTCCTTAAAATTTTCCCAAGAACTTTAGCCTGCGCTCACAACGGCCCAGATATTCAAAAAGCATGCAAAATGAATACTGCCGGGAAGACGGCAAACGGTTTCTTGCATAACTTTTTCGTTCCTGCAGGAGGAAATTTTCATTTTTTATAAGAAAATTATACGCCACAAGAGTAATCGAGCCAAAATTTTTAAGCCTAACATTGCAAAAAAAAACTAGCTTTTTTTGAAAAATTTTAGACCAGAAAACCTGGGCGATTTTTGAATACTGTGAGCAGAAATCTAGTATGCTTCTTAGAAAATTCTGTTCTAAATTTTAGCCGACTTTAACCCATCTGTTTTGCCCGTATCAAAGGCTTTCCTTGTCTGCAAAACCGAACTTCCTTGTTTTCGTCCACCCTCCGATGTCTCATACGGTTTTTGAGCAGGAATTTTTGCAGATCCAAGCTCAGTAAAAGCAACAGAATGAGTCAGAAAATAGTTGACGTTTCATCCCTACTGTAAGATAAATCCGATTTACCATGTTTATGTTTGATCGCGGTCGCAGAAAATACGCCCTCTCGTTTCAAAGTTTACCTATTTTTTTCCGTCCATACGACCTCATAAAACTATAGACACACAGGCATGTTCAGTGAACGAGGGCTCTTGTCACGGCCGTTATGTGATTATCTGCGAAGTTTCAGCGTGTTTAGCCGTTGTTTTTCAATTTACGGAGCTCTCGTATTACCTTTTTTTGTGCGCTGTAATCTGCTGTTATGATCTTTTGGTCTTGCATATTATTTTCGTAGTCCACAGACCTTGCTTTTCAACGTATCTTCAGCAATTCCTCCTTGTTTGTTTTCCAGAAAAATGCAGACGGACTGGCGATCGATCTACATCTTGACAATTGTCATGTTCTTGGGCTCCTTCAAGATGGCGGCAATGTCATCGGGCTTGTGGGCCTATATGAAAGTGGTAGGCCCTATGCTTCATGAGAGATGAGACTAAATTGCAGCTCGATCCCGATATAACGGAGACCTTCCTTGGCATAATGAACTCAATTTCTAACACTACAAATCTGCTTTTTTCATTTATTGCGGGAGTTATCTGCGATAAACTTGGTAATACTAAGTAAGTGGCGATGTGCTTGCGAGAATTCCTTACTCTATTCATTCCAAGGCAAGGTGTGTTAACAGACTGACAGCAGTCGACAAATTGCTAAACAGAAATCAAAGTGAGCACCAAATTTGATGGCAAAAAGTATCATAGAGATGCAAAAGTTTTGTTTCGTATAAAGGGTTGTTATACCTATATAAGAGATGTTTATGAATCTACATATTCTGATGCAAGTAAAACCTTTCACTTTAAACAAACCCCAGCGTTTTTGGTAGTCTCTATGATATTTTTCGATACCAAATTCGGAACTCATTTCGACCTCCCTGCTTATCAATTTGCCGACTGAAGTCAGTCTATCAACGCACCTTGCCTAGACCACCAATAGTTAAAAATCTCACAGCCTTCTTTTAGACTCTGCATTGTTGTTGGAAAAGGTTTATGGATTTTCGCCGTGTTGGCCTATCTTTTGGTGGAAAAGCTGCCAAAACATACGAGGTACGGCTTTCTATTCATGGAAGTCTGTTTTGGCCTATCAATGGGCCTAATGAGCACCTCGCGGACAACCGTATCAATGAACTCAAGCGAAGCCGATCGGCCGAGAGCTTTTGCCGTGATGAGCCTGGCGATTTCAATTGGATTGGGTCTTGGCCCAGCAGTGATCGTTCCCATGACTCTACTACCTTATCCGGGATTTGAAATGCCATTTGGCGTCCATTTGAATCTCTATACCGCTCCAATGTACTTCGTGCTACTTACTGTTATCATCTCTATTGTTTTACTGGTGGTCTGGTTTGATGGGAGAATGCATGTCAAAGACTATCCGAAGAAGATTCCCGATATCAAGTCGGAAGGAAGATTCAAATGGAATTTCGAGACTTCGTACGACAAGTTTGCTGTGTTTATTTGTTGCCTGACCCGTGTTGTGCAGTCTTCCAGCATGTTGTTTTTAATGAACGTTGGTGGACCTTACATGATGACAATTTTTGGATGGAGCAGCAAAGACCTGCTGCAATATAATTCTATTGTTCATACCGCGATTGGAGTAGTTTCTGGATGTGTATGGTAAGTTTTTATGATATTGAGGTTGCCATAGTAAAAAAAATGCCGAAAAGGAGATCAAGGAGGTCCCAAATTTGATACCATCAAAAGGTGTCGCGGAGATAGGTACAATAAGACCGGAAAGTCAATAGTCTCCGTGACGCCTTTTGATGCTTTAAAGTCTCTCTGATGTCTTTAGCAACGTTTTTGTCGCCTAGGACAAGTCTTTAGTCCATATGCTTCATTTCTAACATCTTAGCGCATACATCCATGTTCCTCTTACAATTAGAAAAATTTTTTTAGCGCTCTCTACATTTTCAATATCGCCCAGAAATATCTCTCGGATCGGCGTGCTATTGTCATCAGTATGGCTCTAAAACTCGTCTACTACCTCCTCACCTACCCTTATCCATTCCTGACCTCGAGAATCCCATATGAAATCAAGGAGGAGAATGGGACAATCGTCCAGGACGGCTGCTCTGATCGCCTCGAGTGGTGTGAAACGACGCCGCAGATAAATCTATGGGTGTACACCGCTGCGAGTGTTCTTTGCTTTGGTGTTGGGATGCCCTTGATCATGCTGAATTTGGACGTGCTTTACTCGAAAGTTCTGGGCCACATCAAACAGGGAAAAATGCAAGGCATGTTCTTGTTGAGTGGCGAGGTGTTGACGGTTTTCGGACCGATTATCTTTACGTAAGTTTCTTTTTAATAGTGGTGGAGATAACCTAGTGGTAAAAGACGTACCATTTTGTATCCGGGAAGTATCAAAAATTGCGCCAAAATACCTCCCTCTCCAAGTCAAAAGACTCCAACTGCTCCTTTAGTGACCGAAAGGGCGAAGTCTTCGCAAGGGAGTGGTTTTTAGTTGGAGATGGAGGTATTTTGCCGCATTTTTGGTACTTCCCGGATGCAAAATGGTACATTTTTTGCCCTTCGATCATATCCGCCACTGTACTGTGTATTTATTAGTCGTTAGAGGGAGGCTTGAAAAAAGAAACCTTTTCCAAAACAAATCACATCAATGGAAAATTTTCAGCTCAATCTACGAAGCTACGGGTCCTGTTTACATTTGGCAATTTAATATCGTCACCATAACCGGCGTGTTAATTCTGTGGATCGTCTACTACGAGCGGATGATATCAGCGACGCGGCGGGAACAAGGCAAAGCAATAAGTTTTCCGGAGACTATAGCCGTGCTTGAAGGGTTGTAAATAATTCGAGTATCAGCAGTGGTATATTTAATTTTTATTTACCTTTAAATATGTTTTACCCGTTCTATGAAGTTTAGACAATAAACTATTTTTTGAATAAATGTCTGACGCCATTCCGACTTATTGTAAATAAACGCCTAAATGGACTGGCGAAACCGCAGGGGAACAGAGGACTGGCCTAATCCGAGTCTATGACAACAGGCTCCAAAAGTGCAAGCTTTTCCTGTTCTGAAAAAAAATTGAAACTGTAATTTGAGGGGTCATTTTGCAATCTCTAATAAATCTGTGTTCCTTCAGACTTAAAAAATTTTCTTCCTCTAGACATGCCAAAACTTTTTTACATTGTCATCCTTACCTTTTATCTTTTTCCATGTTGGAATCTCGATCCGCCGGCGTTCTTCTTGCTCCTGCTCATTCCTTCTTTTCTCCGCCACTTGTGCTTTTGATCGCTTTGGTGGGAATTCACAACTTGACAAGCCGCAATAGCAAGTCCTCTTGTCCTTTCTAAAGTACTTCTCTCCGTAATTCAACGTGATCTCTTCTCCGGGCACGATGTCAGACGTTACGATGAATCCGATTTGAGGGAACAGAAAGGAGTGGGGTTTGTCGCGGATGAAATAAAAGGGACTCAAGTTGCTCCGACACGAGTGGTTCAGGTAGGCGCACAAATTGCCATGATATCGGGCGTCTATTGTGTAGTCAAAAGATTCTTTCTGAAACACCAAAACGCGTAAAGTATTGCTTTTTATGACATGTAAAAAATAGGAAAGTGATATGCGACGCTCATACTTCTTCAATTTTTTTCTGCATGGACAGCATACAAATTCCTGAAAACTTTAGCCCGCGCTTTGCAGGAGCAGCCCAGATATTCAACGATCATTGCCGTGGAGAGAGTATGGAAAATGATGAGAGCGGCCGAAGAGAAATTAATACTATTATAGAAATGTTTTTCTCTGGCCGTCTCTCCTCACTTTCCATGCTATCTCGGCTGCAAAGATCGTTGAATATCTCGGCAGCCCCTGCAAAGTGCCAACGAAAACTTTCACGAGCTTGTACGCGCACCATGCAGACAACTTTGAAGAAATAAGAGCGTTACCGCCTCGAGCTTCCGCAAAACGAAGTCTTCCAAAATCATTTACCCCTTTTCTTCCTTCAACAGTATACATATACGATCCGTCATCTCGGTGCGTCTTTTCGGCGTCGAAGACAATTTCCCCCAAATATTCTCCAAAAAACGTACCTAAAATCATAACCTCGCCAAGAAAAATCCCTTACCTTTCTCAATGTACTCTCTGGCAAACACTCCGTATCCCATTATATCCAAATTCCTCATTTCGGTCTTGAACTGCACTCCGGGTTTCGTGATTTTTTGTTGGCATCTCGCGTTGCAGGCACAGACCCCGCTTCGGCATTCCAAAATCTCATGGAGCGGATCACATTTGGCGACAGCTTCCGGCTCCAAAGCTCTCCCATCCGCAACCTTCAAAAGTGAAGCTTTTCGGCATGAGCAAGAGTCGGAATTGCATTCACCCGGAGGACAATTACAACCAGGTGGATGGACAATCTGAAAAATGAAACTGTCAAATTCAAATAAAGGTCACATTCGGTCGTAAAAATTATATCTCAACGACTTACGTTCTGTTTCTTACAACTCCTACTGAGTTTTGTCATCACCTTCTCAAACTCCTTTTTATCCATGGCACATTTGGGAAGATAGTAAAAAGTAAGGTCGACTGGCCGCTTCCCACCATAGTTGTAGATTGGAACAGGATGTCGCTCCACTCCTTGAGAAAAATCATCCATAATGAGCTTCGCTTTTTTGGGGTGTATTGGTTGTATTTCCGTTTTCTTCATAAATTTCGGATCAAACTGATGAACCGACTGAAATACCAATGAATTAGAGCAAAATCACGAACACAAATGGATAAACCCCAACATTCAGACATGATGCGAACCCAGCAGCAGATATCTGACCCAATTTTGTAATTTTTGAAGCTATCCTCTACCTAAAACCAAAAGAAAAAACAAAGTATAAGATAACTTACTATTTTTGTGTCTTTAGAAACGATTTTCAGATGGTCTAGCAGCTCAATGTCACTGTTATCGTCGGACGACTTAGTTTCTACCTAAAATAACAAAGAATATTATTTTTCCACATGGAACACTTAAAATAATCTAAATTCTAAAAAAACTAACAATTTTCACCTTCCTCTTGACTTTCCGCACTTTGAGCACCTGAAAATCGTCGCTATCATCGCTATCCTGGCTGGATTCTACAACCCTTTTCAGCTTTTTCATCTTATCTTCCGATTTCAATTTACTTGTTGATGGCTCTTCTAGTACAACATTATTGGCTGTCGATGTTCTCGGATTCTCACAATTGAAAGCATAACCAGCGTCCCAGGTTGATTCAGCCACCTTCTTCCTTTTTTTCGTCTCGTCTTTCTTCTTCAATCCACTTGTACCAGCTTTATCAACATGACTCGTTCCTGGCTTTTGAACCGTTACAGTCTCCACTTTCCCAACATTGACCTCATCTTCCTCAGTCATCATGATCGCTTTGCGCACAGATTTTGTCCTTTGCAGCACCAATTCGACGGTTTTTGAGAGATCCTTCGATATTGCACTTGCCATAGATGAAGATGGAGAATCTCGATGCACGACCACATCTTGAGGGCCCAATTCGTTGCGATTTTCCCCTGGAATTGGAGGAGCCATCCTGACGATTCTTCGAAAAAACTTTTTTACAGAAAAATAAAAATTACGGAATTATTTTTCAACCGCGAGGTGCGCCCGAGCTTTCTGCAGATGGCACGGAAAATGAAGCAAAATTATACGAAAAATGTTACGATTTGTCAGGATTGATGTAAAGCAAGATAATGAACAACTTTTACAATTCTATCTTTCGGTATGGTAATAATTTTCCTCATGTATTTTCACCTATGTTTATGGGTAACATAATTCTCGGTCAGAAGAGGAAAAAAATTGTTACATTTCAAGTGTTTTTGACTTGTTTACGTATTACTTGCTCTATTACGAAGCTACAGAAGGGTTGCAATGCCCTTTTTCTAGCAATTTCCACTTCAAATTTTCAATTGAAGCCCCTCAAATTATCTCCAATCAAAAATTTCTCCATAAATCATTCGAAAATAATTCGATTATCTAATATTTCAATCACTTATAAGCTCTACACACTGTCGTTTGCCGCATTTTGAGATGTTTCACTATCTATTTTTGTCGTTTCTGGCCACAGTCTTGGCCCATGGCGATCGAGAAACCTACACGAAGATCTGCGGAGGGATGCGACGCGGAGTTTCGGTCTTCTACAAGGGCGTGCCGACGTCCGAGTTGTTTTCGCTAACCCTGTACGATCAACGGAAGGGCAGTTGCGGTCGGAAGACGGACTTTAGTCGCTCTATCCGGCCGTTTTACGCAGCTCATATCGGTCGGTTCCCGATGGACTTGCGCAAAAATAACTCGATTTTTCTGGCCTATGGAGGCCCTGAGGGTCGGCGGTTCGCGAAGTCGAGCTATTTTGATCAGCCCGAACCGAGGGATGATCGGAAGTTTACGATCGAGATTCGGATGGTAAATGATACATGCGCACGTTACTACGTGGACAAGAATGAAGTGGGCGATGTTTGGTAAGATTTTTTTGGTGAACTATTACATATCTTACGTTATCCCTTTACGTTGACGAGGGAAGGGCTCCAAGTGAGACGCTCAATTTTTTTTTGAAATTTCCTAGACTCGCCGAGCATAGGCTCCGTATCTATTTCTGAAAATTTTAGCTTGCTCGTTGTAGCGGCAGTCGACATATTCAGCCATCTTTGACGAGTGAGTAAGCAGAATGTGGAGACCGCCTAAAGAAAAAAACAATTTTGTCCGTATCTCTGTAGAAATAAGGATGAGAAGTTTTATACCAAAATTCGAAGAAAAGCTTTACATTTTGGCCAAATTTTGATTTTAAAACTCGATCATTTTCCGCAAAGAGCAAGCTTGAAGTCTCGCCTGTAGTCTTGTTACTGTTGACATCAATTTTTTGAGAGTTTCTTTCAGTAACCGCTACTTCCGCGATGCGAATTGCCTGGTGTCAAGCAATGGTGTAGACATCCGTCGTCATTGGGTGAAAGGAGATCCGGGCTGCTCTCAAGAAGCCGATGACAATTCATACTCCAGAAGTGATGGTAGGAATTAACCACATCATTGTTTTTTTAAAATTTTGTTCTTCGATATTAAACTTGCATAACCACTGCAAAAAAAGTTCTTGTTTTCTCTTTTAGACAACAGCAGATATGACGATGATGACGATGACGATAGTGATGATCGCTCGGACAGTTCACGTGGAAGGAGAAGAGGCCGACGTTCGGCGAGGTCAGGCAGATCGAGATCCGGAAGACGCGATCGAAGAAGACTTGACAGTTTGGAGCGGAAGATCAGACGCATTGCAAGGGAAGAAGTGAGAAATTCAAAAAGTTTAAAAAAGCGTGCTGGCAGAAGAGGCGATTCTGACGAGGATTCACGGGAGCCTAGAATCATAAGAAGACGAAGAAATTGAAAATTAATCTGCTTTATTTGATTTGATGATAATAAAGACATTTTTTGTTTTTAACAGTCGTCATATCAGTCTGTCGAGAAAATAATCTGGCAAGATTTTCCACTTGCCCCATTGCAATTTTATACGTGTAACATTTTTTTGCTGTTTCTTGCCGCAAAACAACAACCGTTTCAGCTAAAGCAATGCCAATATTGATGTTATATGTATGCAGTATGTAGAGCCCTTATAAGATTCTCAAAAACATCTGCGTTTAATATTCTCCCAGACATGCTACGCTTCTGTTTATCATAATTGTCTAATGGTTATTTCCCTCCGCTGCGAACCCCTTAGCCTGCGAAACGAAAACGTAATCAAACGGTTCGGTTCACCTTTCCCAACGTCATGTGGGAACTTACAGTACTCCTTCTTTTTAGCCTTGCGTATTGCGTCACATCCGGGGAGTGGTACCTTATGCCAGTATGCGGCCGACTAGAGCCTGGGATGAAGGTTCGCTTCTACGCGAGTGTCTTTAGAACCGAATGGATTATCCAGTTGCATGTGAACCGCGAGACGCAGTGTTACAATGGCAAGATGGATTTGAATACGGATCGTCCATTCCATGTCAACCATTACTTTGTTCATCCCCAGATTCCCGCGCATAATCGGCAATTTGCGGTCGTGGCTGGGCCCGCAAACAGCTGGGACTTTTATCACTGGGTTGACATGCGGTCAGATATCCAACAAAATCAGTTCATTCAGGCCGATGTGATTGTTGTCAAAGGGGGGTTCGACTACTTTGCGAATGGAAATTACATTGCGAGCGCTATGTAAGTTACACATTAGTCTTTACGGACAATGAAGCCAAAATTAAACATATATAAATACGATGATTTCAGGTCTAATTATGCTACCGAAAAAGTGGATTGTGTTCTGGCAACCATGGATGCGAATGTGCCATACAAATGGATCGAAGGACAACCCAATTGCCCTTATCGAGCCAACGACACCATCCGACCGGGCTTCGAGCCAACTACGGAAGCCCCACCAACAACAACGACTTCTAGTTCAAGCCAGAGTCCAACCGGCTCAACTCCCAGGCCAACACCTCCCCCATATTTTCCCCCACCCGGCTGGCCTTATTGTATCCCTCCTTTTTGTTATCCATATATTACTTTCCCATGTCATCCTATGTGCTATACAAATTGTCCGGTCTATTGTCCACCTGCATGCTATGTAGTCCCAGGCTATGGCTACCAGCCTCCACCGGTATATCCTCCCTGTAATTTGGCCAACCTCCCGACCTGTCTTCCTTATTATGGTGTACCTCCTTATGAGGCAGTCCCAGCGGCATATGTCGCACCACAATGCCACTATCTTCCGGGAATTTGGCCATGGATAGTGAATTGGCCACCCTATCCGCAAACAACGCAGAATCCATTTTCAACTCCGTCATTTCCGACTTCCACAGCCAGCACTGGTACTTGGCCCCCAACTCAGTCAACCCAATCCACAGCTAGCACTGGTACTTGCCCAACAACGCAATCAACTCAATCAACCGCAAGCACAGGAACTTGGCCGCCAACTCAGTCAACAGCCTCCACTGTCTCGACTGCGTCTACCCAGTTCACTCAAAGCACCGCAAGCACACAATCAACCCTCAGCACGGCTTCTACGCCAAGTTCCCCAACAACTTCTCCAACTTCGAGCCCGACGCAGTCCACATCAACATCGCCAACCCCCACGACAACCTTAACACTTCCTCCTGGTTATTCAATGTGCCCATTTCCGCCGCTTCACGGTACTATTTTGCATGAAGGAGAGGTGTATCCCGGCTGCACAGATCAGAACGGAAATTTGGTTGCATTGCAGTGTGTGGGAGCGTACAAAGGCACTGTGCAAGTTGGCCAAATCATACCCACTGGGTGCTTATGGGAACAGAAAAAATAAAAGTCAAGGATGGTTGTAATAAATTTTATCTTATGGTTGACTAAATTTGTATGAAAAAATGCTTGTGGCTGATTTTTTACAGACCGGCCACATATTGATTGCTTATTAGTCATCGAGCCATGCAGCCGTCATGTCTGATGACATTTGGGAGCCAGAAAACACCGCAGTCTTAAAAACTCTACTTATTAAGGTAGACCGGTTGGGCTATAAAATCTGGATGAAATAATCGTGGAATTCTTAGATTTTCTATCTCTGGCGTCCAACTTATTATCAGACTTTTGAATTACCGCAAGTGCGAGGGTCAGGTTTTCTCTCGATTACCGCATGGAGAGCCGAGATATTCAACAATTTTTGCGGCCGCGGAAAGCGGTCACAGAGAGAAACACATTTGGCCATAGCTTTTTTCAGAGTAGACTTTCCGTGGAATTTGAAATTGGCATGAAACTTATCAATTCGCAAAAGGTTGTCATTTTTTGTCAGTTTTGACCCAAAAGCCTTGTTCGTTTCTGCAAAGCGCAAAATATGTAGCGGTCTCGTATATGGCTAATAAGCAATTTGAGGGAGAATCCTTAAATTTTCAACCTCCTGCGTCCAACTGAACCCATTAAAACGGTCTCAACATTATGCATAATAACTTGATTATAACCGGCAGCTATCCAATGATGGCCACGTTGCGAGTTCGCATAAACTTTATGAAAAATTACGCTTCATTGTCATTATTATACCATCATGAATATTGGCGTGTTTATTTTCGCTTTCCTTTTGACACAAACTTGTAGCGCTCTCACTTACTACTTCTTGCCAGTATGTGGTCGGCTTACGCCTGGGATGAAAGTTCGCTTCTACACGAGCATCGTCACTATGCCCGCTTGGATTATTCAGATCCAAGTGGGCCGAGAGACCACTTGCACTGAAGGGATTGATCTGAATACCGACCGACCCTTCCATGTCAACCACAACTTTACAGCTGGAGAGTATGCATTAGCCACTGGGCCATCGGATAGCTGGATATATACACATGTTTATCACATGAATGGAGAGATCGCGCCCAATGTCTTCTTTCAAGCGGATATTCACGTTATTGAAGGTGGATATCAATATTACATCAATGGGAAATTAATTGATACCGTTATGTAAGCGAGTCTGTCATTTCAACGGCTTTGCCGATGTCAAAAAATGACAAAGTTTTCAAACTTTCAGGTCACCCTACTCAAATGAAAAAGCCGATTGCATTATCGGGACTCATGAAGCGAATGTCCCGTATAAATGGATTGAAGGCCAACCAAATTGTCCTTACAGATCCGGCGATACGATTCGACCTGGATATTATACAACTCCAGTTCCAACTACAAGTCTCAGCCCTACCGTATCTACCCCTCAACCAACCCCTCCCCCATATTTCCCTCCACCCGGCTGGCCTTATTGCATTGCCCCATATTGTTATCCCTATATTACTTTCCCATGCCATCCTATGTGCTATACAAATTGCCCGGTCTATTGTCCACCTGCTTGCTATGTGGTCCCAGGATATGGCTATCAACCTCCGCCTGTGTATCCTCCCTGTAATTTGGCCAATCTCCCGACCTGCCTTCCTTATTACGGTGTTGCACCGTATAGTCCAGCCCCGGCGGGATACGTCTGGCCGCAATGTGAATATCTTCCATGGATTTGGCCGTGGATAGTCAACTGGCCACCGTACGGGCAGACGACGGTTTCTCCGCCTTCCACTCCATTTACTCCATCTACTCCATCTGTTACAACGTCCACACCGTCCACATGGAGTACTCCAAGCTGGCCAACAATTTACTGGCCATGGTGGATATTTCCTTGGCAAACAACTTCGTTCTATTGGTCCACAACCTCGTCTACTTGGCCCACGGCCTCTTCTACCTGGCCACCCTCTACGACCCCGTCAAGTTCGCTGACCCCCTCAACATCTAGTCCAACTCCTCCAACAACGACGTCAAGCATAGCCACTACTACAACTAATGCAGTCTGGCAGTACTGTCCAGGCACCACTACCAATCCAATGTTCGAAGGGGATGTCTACACCGGATGCCCTGATGTTAATGGTAATAAGCGAGCGCTTTTGTGTATTGGAAAGCTGGCTGGTTCTCTTGTTCAACCTGGTCAAGTCATACCAGTTGGCTGTTTTTCTAAATAAATCATAAAGGGTTGTAAGCGGTGACCTGAATTTCGTAAACTGCAATGTAACGGTAAATGTTGAAATAAAGTTTTCATACATGAATCGTTTTGATCACAGAGCAAGCGTTTTGCAGAAACCATTGAGGTTTCTTGGTTGCTTTTCAGTTTTTCGATTTTTGGTTTACAAATTAGGCGTCCAATTACTGCCAGTCTGTCGGGAAAATAATGTGGATTTGTCGCAGCAAAATTTTTCTTTTTGCGCACCAAACGACGAAAACTAGAAAAATGTGAGGCAAAACTGTTTCTCGTCTGTCCGAACCTCTTCAGTTCCGTACTCTCTTAATACCAAGATCGTTAAATATACGGTTGGAAAGCGCCAGCTAAAACTTTTAGGTCTAGATATGTGGCCAGTTTATAACCAATTTTTGCTAACATAAAATTCTCTGCCCACCGTATAGCGTTAATTTTCAATGGGTTTCTCCGAGCAGCTCGTAATAGCCGTATAATCCTAATTGAATTAAAATCCTTTAATTTGTCACGATAATTTGCACAAATAAAAAGTGCCGCAGAACATCACTAGAAAAGCAATTGCTGCAATGTGGACGGTCTATGTGTTCCTTCTCCTGCCTATACTGGCGGTTACCGGAAAACCTTTAACTGGAAAGACCGGGCCGTTGCGCTCTTCGACAAAACCAACAGCCAAAACCGGGCCAGCGACTTGGGTACCTGGAAAAACAAGTGGTCCATCGACTGAAAAACAACGACGTCCTACCGGTCCTGTGCCTATTACAAGTGATTTTCCCTCCACGCCTTCTCGGGCGACTCCGGCTCTGAAAAAGACACACGAACCATCCAAAATTCGGCTTACTTCTGGACCCAGAAGAAAACGTCAAGCTCTCGGATCCGACGACTCTCCAGTCATGCCAATCGCTGGAACTCAGTTTGTTGTACCGGGAACTAAAACCCAACCCCCATATTCAACGTTTTGGCCATTTTCAACCACCTTCTTCCCCACGATTCCAACAACTTCGTATCTTACACCCACTTTCTTCCCATTTAGTTTTACCGGCACTCCTACTCTAGACACAACAACAAATTCGGTTTTAACTTCACACTCTACAACATTAGCTCCCCCGATAACGCCCGTTACTACGCCTTCAACTCAAACCGGCCCTTCTCATCGCCCCACATCTTCTTCAATGCTGACTTGGCGACCCAGTCCGGCTATCGCCCAAGCTGTTGTGGGCTAAAATATCGTAAAGCGGGAAAATATATTGAACTATGTGTTGTGGAGTAATAAAATTTGTACACGTTCTTGAGAAGAGAGTCAAAGTTTTGCACAGAAAACTATAAGGGTCCAAAGAATTTCCTCGCTATGAAAGGCTTGTGTCATACGGAATAATTAACGATGATCCATAAGCCTTTTCTGTATATTATAGGTGTAATTACATGTGAAAAACTTCAAGCGAAATTGTAAACTATCCTAGAACTTTATTAACCTTGTTATTTCTATTCATTAAACCTTCTCCTAGCCTCTTTCATGCGTAAAAACGACGAGTTGAGGCGGCCCTGGGATTGGCCTCCGAAAACTTTTCACAGCGTTCGGCGCTCCTGTAGACTAATTATCGTTAGCTCGTATAATTTCGAAATTTCAGTCTCATAGCGCAGCCAATATTGCATAATTTAACGGAGAATTAATGGATGGCTGGAATAACGATTACTAAAGCAGTTGAATTAATTTAACGATCCCATAATTGTCTAACCATATCTATTAAAATTTTGAGCCTGGACAAAATTTTCAACGACATTTTAACGAAGAATGGGGCTCTTCTTCCTACTACTTGCCCATTTTATTAGCAATGTCAGATGCTACATCCTAAATCCCTATGGGTATCCCTGCAGTGCATATCAACTATGCCCGCAATCTTGGTCTGGATACGACAACAATGGCGCTTCGTATACTTATCAGCCATCGTACCCTGGAGGACACCCATGGTCGAATCCAAATGGGTATCCGTTCTCTCCAAGAAGAAGGCTTACTTCTTGCCCCTTTCCGTACAACTCTGACTGTTTATATGGCAGTGGCTTTTATCCTGGCGCTTCTTACGGCTACATACCTATTCCAGGACCATCAAATATCATTGTCGTCGAGTGCGCGACTTGTCCAAGTAGCCCGTCAACGACTCCAGTCTTGACAACCACTTTGCCTTCGACGACTTCATCAACGTCTCCGTGGACCACCTCAACAACTACAATGCCAACAACCACAACCGGGCTATACAAATACTTCTACTGCTCAGGAGAAGTCAATAATATTGTAGCCGAAGGGAAAGTCTACACACCCGGATGTTTAAAGAATGGCTCGACTACAGTAAGAGTTAGCCTGCTATGCCCAAAAACTTTGCAAGTCATCCCAATCGGAGCCGTTGTGCCTGTTGGATGTTTGTGGTGAAATTTGGCTCATTAAAATAAAGCATCCTTTGTTTTTCCAGCTCCCATTAACCTCCCCCACATGACATCATTCATATTCACATTTGCAAATGTAAAAAAAACCCTGTGGTTCGTAAATATAAAAGCTCAACGGGTTTGGGAAAAATTTCACATCATTTCTCGCTTCTGTTTCTCATCGAAAATTCATGTTTAAAGTATTACTCATCTCCTATTTCATTTCCAACTGGATCTCGGCCCACAAACTACTGACATTGCCGGTTTGCGGAGGGCTAAAGCCGGGGATGAAGATAAGATTCTCAGTGATCAACAACTTGAACGAATGGGATATAACTTTGTTCAATAATCGCGGTGCAAAGTGCAATGGCTCCGAGGAGCTGCAAGGCGCTGAGGTCTCGTTGAATATCAGAGAACACCGGGTTCATTCAATGTATCCCTGGCACAGTGAGAGCTATGGGTTTGGATGGGGAAGATATGGGTATCCGTTCAGAGATTATCAATATTTCCCGTTGAGGACGAAACGCGGGGAAGAAGTGCAGGGAGAAATTGCGGTTACGAGTTATGGGTTTGAATACCGGGTCAATGGCCAGCGAGTTCATGGAATAAGGCAAGTTTTTCAAATGTAAAGATCCGCTTTCTCATTGGCGATGCGATTTCCGATGCGACAGAATGTTTACGATTTTCCGGACAGATTAACAACTGCATGATAATGACCTTATCTTTTTTATTTTCAGATTCCACTACCCAAACCTCCTAACTGATTGTGTTGCGTTCGAAACCAATGTCACAATGACTTCTTATTGGATAGAAGGCAATGACGACTGCGAATTCAGAAGCAATGACAAGCCGGATGAAAGGATATACCCTCGTAAAACGTCAACGATTCCGCCACGAAGCTCGACGCAGCGAATAAAGCCACCAGTTCAATTTAGCACTGCTCAATCGGTCCGACCAATTGCAACAAAATCCCATTCATCAAATAAAAGGCCGTCCACAGTAACAACGATACCAGTTATTATAGGAAAACGTGCAGCAAGGTCTAGAAAGACCTATCCCTGTCCGTCTGGTATCAAAATGATCGAAGGACGCCGATTGCCACGGAATTGTGAGGCTGGCAAAAAGAGATCAGCTATAGAATGCGCTGATGGAAGTCATATAGAGACTGGCGAAGTGATTCCCGTTGGCTGCTTCGGAATATACGGACAATAATGAAGCTCATTTATGAAATCGGCGTCAGTTTTTGATGACCTGTCCGTTTATTATCATCTAGGAACGAATAAAAAAAGTATGAAAATTATTTTCCGAGTAAATTAGGCAAACTCATAGGGGAAGTATTCTATTGTACACTGCAAATGCGACGCTCATGGTTACATCATTTTCCGTTTGCCCAATAATCATTGTTTCACAGAGCAGCCTATGCTAATCGCCACCAGCGGAACAGATATAACATTATAAAGCCATTATCAATTAATTCGAAAACTCCCTTCTCAATTGCATGAGCACAAAGGATCTATACAGTATTCGAATTCATAGCCATGCAGTTTACAATGCTTTTCCTCCTGCTATTATTTGCCAAATGCAATGCCGATAATTGGTACATGCCGGTGTGCGACCGGCTTCAGCCTGGGATGGAAGTCCATTTTATGGTTCACCCAGTCGGCAACGAATTTATCCTGCAATTCCAAACAGACAGCGTCCAAATGTGCAACGCCAGCTTGGACACTTCGGTCGGCTACCGGTCATTCCATGTCAATCACTATCAGATCCATCCGGTCTATCCGTTTTATAATCATATGTATGCGTTGGCGGCTGCGAAGCCTGGGCAATGGTGGGATTTTATAAATTGGATCCCAATGGCGTTGCAGAAAGGGCAACCGTTTCATGCGCAGATCAACGTGAAGCCTGGAGGGTATGACTATCTGGTTGATCGTCAGTACGTTGGATCTGTTTTGTAAGTCTGGTGTTATTTGAGAGGTGTAAGTAAAAACATGAAACATTTTGAAGCTGCAGCGACAGCGAGAGCGCTAAAGAAGGTAAAGCCGTCACTTTCAGAACGCCATATGCGGCAATGAAAGTGGACTGCGTATTGGCAACGGGAGAGGGAAGTATTCCCAATATGTGGATTCAAGGCCAACCCGACTGTCAATATCGCAACAACGATTCTCCGGACCCAATTTACTATTCGACGACCACTCCGTCGACAACGCCAAGTTCAACTGCATCAACAACGTCCGGGTCGACCTATCCAACTTGGCCGACTTTTTCCACCTCCACCCCATCTACTTGGCCAACAAGTTCGACTACGACTCCTTATCCTTTCTCGTACCCTCCATACTACCCACCGGGCTACCCGTATCCCTATTTTCCTCCGCCAGGATGGCCTGAATGCATCCCGCCTTATTGCTATCCGAACGCCACCTTCCCTTGTCATTGGGCTTGCTATACCGGCGGACCTTATTACTGTCCCGTTCAATGCTATGTGGTTCCAAATTATGGCTATCAGCCGCCTCCACAGAATCCTCCATGCGGAGTAGTGGGACTCCCGGAATGCCAGCCTTATTACGGGCCTTATCCTTACCTTCCGCCACCTGCCAATTATACACCTCCAACGGTTCCACCAAATCCGTACATTTGGCCGTGGATTCCGCAATATGGCTGGCCACCAACGAGTTATACGCTGCCGCCCGGCTGGCCTTATAATCCTTATTGGCCTCCGTACTATTCGTATCCTTACACGACAATAATGCCGCCAAGTACGACTGCTAGTTGGGCACCTCCTCCAACATGGCCAACCGCTTCCACTTTGTCAACAAGCCCAACCACAACCCCAGCCTGGCCTCCAACAACCCCCGATTCGCTTTCTACTTCGTTAACACCGCCAACGAGTTCAGTACCAGCAGGAGGTCCCGTAATCGTCCAATGCGAGTTTAACCCGGCTATCAAGATTACCGAGGGCCAACCGTACCCCGGTTGTCCAGATCAAAATGGTGTCACAAGGGCATTGGCATGCATCGGCCCCAATAAGGGCACAATCCAGCCGGGGCAAATCGTACCCACTGGATGCCTTGCTTGAACGTAATAAATTGAAACTCTTTTTAATGTGTTACAATTTTTAACACTGTGTGAATTACAAATGTATCAATATATTTGAGTGGTGTAAACTATCAGCCCGCCAGAAAAATATAATAATCACTCTGTACATAGCATCGAAGATTATGAGTTGTGTCGCGGCAAAATCTACTTGTTTTTCACTTCAGCGACACGATTAGTGCAAAAAACCTCATTCATCCTTCCGCATTGCTCTTTTCCTAGCGGCTGTGGCAAACTTTTCCAGCTTCTTGTCCCTTATAAAAGAGGGCGTCAAGCCCAGCAGGAACTGATTTTCGATTTGATGATGGAAATAGCCAGTTGTTTGAGGAACCAGTCCAATGGTCTTAATCGCGCTTTGAACATATTTTTCGGGCTAAAAATTTGCTACACCGTCTCGGAAACGAACACCTTACAGTTGGAACAGATGCGGTTTCTTTTTGCTTTTTGCTGGTGAAATTATGCGATAGCTTCGTTTGCACCCAAGATGGAGTAAGAGTTTGGACCGTAATTCCATATGCGCCATATTCTTTTCGCAAAATCTCCGATAGCCAGTTTGAGTATTGCTTGGCGGCCGAATATATTAGGTTGTCCCACAAATAATGTCGTTTTCGAGAGCGGCAGTTTCCACAGTCTATAAAAAAGGTAAACGATTATAAAATTTCGCAATATCGCATTGTTTTGTAGTCGAGAACACAAGCTTTCGTTCGATATATTATTTGCCATATTTGGATCAAATTAAAGTAATTTAGCCCTAATCCAAAATTATGGGAAAAAAGTCGATTCGTGTCGCCGTGTTATACCTGCAAAAACAGGGTATGAAAGTTACAGGAGTTACACAAAATATCAACGGCGTGTTCGGCGAGTCTGATGTGAGTCTGAATACGGTGAAACGATGTTTCAAAAAATTTCGATGTGACGGTGAGGGACTCAAAGATAAAGTCCGGCACCTGAACTTTATGAATTTACCCTGGGGCCATCAGTTGTCAGATATCCTAGAATCAACATCCAACGCGTCTCTGACATCGTCTGGGTGTTGAAATAATCGGCGGCTAACCGTTGGATGTCGATGGAATTCAACAAAATGCTCGACAGCTTTTTCCCATATTAATGGACCGAACCACAGAATCGAGGTGTCACGTTTGTTGCTTTTACAATCCGAAGAGCCGGGTTTTCTAGATCGGATCGTGACCCGTGATGAAGAGCAGATCCTGTACGACAACCAGATGTGCCCAGTGGAGTCCCCTGAGGGTACCAACACGGAACTTGGCAAAGCGACCCCCCATAAACAAGGTGATGGGCACTGCTGGATGGTGCAGCATGGGTATCTCACCATACAGCTCGTTAAAAGTTGGCCAAAATGTAAATGCTGGGTACTGCTGTATTCAGATAGACAGCGTATGGCAGAATATGCCTTTAAAAACACGCCGCGGAATTCCAAAAGTTCTAGGCGACGATGCGCAACCCCACGTTGTAAAGACGACGCTCCAGAAGTTGAGTTAATGCAGATACGGGACTCTCCTTCGTCCGGAGTATTCGCTAGGCATGTCTCAAACAGATTGCTACCTTTCCAAGAGTCTAATGGGTTTCATCCGTGGTAGGGAATTTATCAATCAAGACCCTGTTGAATGGGCCTCCAAAAGTTTCATCGGCTCCAGAAGCCGGGCTTTCAAAGCCACTGGCAAAAAAATGCTTTCAACGCGTTACAATAGCGTGGTATAACACATGGTGATTATTTTGATCAAAAGAGTGATACCCTATTCGCGGACATCTCTATTCGCGGACACCCAGTTCGCGGACATTCCCAACTCGCGGACACCCTATTCGCGGACATTCCCAGTTCGCGGACACCCTGTTCGCGGACGCCCAATTCGCGGACGTTTTTATAAATATATAAAGTAGGCCCTGTATTTAGGGTTGTAGTCAAACCTCAGGCTAGTTTTGAAAATTCGTAGTGGAAATGACGTAATAAGTAAATTTCAGAAATTTTGAGTAGATATCTTACATAGGGGTAATCGATAGTGCTGATTTCGAAAATCATATCCATTTTTATTTCATCGCTAGTTCTTTCTTACGTAGTACCGTGTAGTACTTAGTTTTTGAATTTTTTCGATGTGCAGGGTTTTATAGCTAATCAATGGAAGAAATTTTTTATCAGACGTCATGGATAATATAATTTCAATGTGATACATAGAGTTTTCTTGTTTTCTTTGCTTTATGGTGGTATTTTTATACTTTTCATGCCCTGATTGAGACCTTAGAAAGTTTAGACAGTAGGTCTTCGTGCAATAAATCACTTTTTACATTTCTGCCGACATCAAAATAACTAAAAAACAAAGAAAATTATTTTAAATGAATTAAAAGCTAGAGAAATGGATCAATCCATATATCATCTGAATCCGAAGAATTTTTTCAACGTTTTGAGACCATATTTGTGTCTCAGCTCCATCTGAACCTTCAGAAATTACCTAAAACAATATCCGGCTGGCATCAAAAAATCCAAATAAAATCTGTAAAACCTGAAACTTTGTGGCATAAATTATACATATTCTGATTCAGAAATTTCCAGACAACATTTGAGATGCAAAATCAAAAAATACGATTTTTTGAAATTTATGACAAAAATTTGTAAAATATGACATTGCTGACATAGAGCCCTGAAATTTTGCACAAACATGTCGTACCACATGCCAAACGACTGTAGAAAATTTCAGAGCTGTACATACAATCCCTCAAAAGTTATGAGCCGTTTTCTGTTCCAAAAACTCCGATTTCCAACTCCAAAAACCGGACTTTTATTGCTATAGTGTTTACTGAACCCTTTCTGGGAACCATAACTTTGGCCAGAAACGACCAAATTTTGATTTTTAAAAAGTAAATCTCCTAATTTGACCCTTGCTTCTTCCACTTAAAACGCACTTCGCGAGCTGTGGAAGGGGGGTCTGCCCTAGAAATTGACCCCCACTTTTTTTTGTCTTTACTGATGACATGTAGGATGCTAAAGAACTTGGTGAATTTTTTTCGAAAAATTCGTCATCATGACCGAGATATGACGTATTTATTGAATTTCGCATAATGTGATATATTGTACTGATTTATTGCCGAAATATCTCAGAACTGAGTATATATACGTTATTGGCCATGCTGAACAACTTTGTAATTGACCCGAAGTTTGTCAGGTTACTGTAACATACCGTAACGCCAATGCTCAATCAAAAAATCTCGATTTTCTCGATTTTTTTCAATAATTTTCGTGGATTTTTTTTCATTTTTGGAATCAGCGCCGTGAAAAAACTTTCCCATAAACGGAATTCACACAGGCAAAATGTTTGCACGCGTCAGGTAGCTGTAAAGCTCTCCTTAATAATGAAGATGAAGTGTAACTTCCAGGGCAATCTTATTACGGACTCTCTTGGCTCAGTGTGTTCGTTGATCTTTTTTAGTCTAGTAGCAAAGGAACGTCGACGTGCTTTTTATAAGCGGTGAAACATCGCGAACGTAATTATGGAATCCGAAGATTATGATCATCACGGTTGAACCCATACCTCATATTTTTATTTAATTCGATATAATTATGAATAGTTCACCGAGTTAGGCCCGTTTATATACCGTGTTACACGCAAATAAATTGCTTTTCTTTGTTTTGCAGTGTAACTCGAAAAACTTCTATCGTATAACTTGGTCCCGCAATTTGCACGCGTTTCATTTCTTTCTTTTCGAAAAGTTTTTTTCGCCCATTCGAAGGGTTGCTTTGAAACCGCCGTGAGTCTTGAACATTATCAAGAAAAAATTTCTTGCGAGAAAAAACATTTTTCTCCTGGAACGGAATGCCAAGATCAAGAGAATTTGCAGGGAAAATCGCCGGCATTTGAAGATTTTTTTCGATGTTCCGGCCCTTCTTTCTCGGCGGATTCTGCAAAGCGCGAGCTAGGATGTTCGCAATCGAATAAGAAAATTCTAATCTCCATCTATGCCAATTTTTATAAAAATCTGAGCGTCGCACTTCGGGTACTTCCCTTGTAAGCCGATTGCGTCGCTGAAGTGAAAAGAAATTTGTTTTTGCCGCGACAAAATTCGCTTTCTCGGCGGCTATGCGATTCTCGATGCGACAAAGTGCTCATTATTTTCGCGACAGACTGATAATTCCTCACCCAGGATTCCAATTTCATGACCATCCAATTTCGCGAAGATCTCCGTTTCATATAATTTTGGGTCAGCAACAGTAAAGTCATACTGGATTGTAATAATTCTTATGCCTGGATAGTTCTCATTGATTTCCGAAGCGGTTTCACCGAGCCGCTCCTTTCTCAACGAAATCAAAATCAAGTCAAACCCTTGGCCAGCCAATTCGAAGGCCATTGCACGGCCAATACCATCTGTGGCGCCGGTTATCACTGCAATAAAACAACAAGTAAACTATTTTTAATTGAGTCTAAGGTCAGTACCACGCACGAGCTGGATGTCCGGCGTGTGATTATAAACCTGCATCTTTTACGATTGAAATTTTAAAACAACAGATTTTCCCCGATATCAAAATGGCGAATGTCGAGCACCTTCCTTCACCATCGTCTTGAAAATTAAGGATTTTTTCCCGAACGCTTTGCCTTCAACGCACAGCAACTTACCAGCCCAATTAGCGCCGGCCAATTCCTTCAAATCTCTCCGTCTCCCGATCCAAAACGGATAGGTCAAGCTCCAAACTATCAGGAACGTCTTGTATAACAAGAAGAATATCGCCGCATAACCAATTAGAAGGACAAAAGACATTTTTCGACAAGTTCGTCGATAATATTTGTTTCTCTTTTTATAAGGGCGAACGTCTAAAAACTGATAAGAAAAAAAACAAGAATAACGTTTGCCGACCCTTTGTATTATTTACTTTATTCGACAACTCGGGTTCAAATTTTCAGCGATCCTTCTTCATCAGTTTGCCTCTGATTTCTTTCGCAAACATTTCGGAAGTGTAGTCGACGAACCAACCCGGCAACAGACCAGATATAATCTCTTTTTGCAGTTGATGTCCAATGTAGCCGGTGGTCTCGTCGACAATTCCAATCGTATTTATCGCACTTTTGGCAAACGTTTCGGCCTACAGAAAACAAGTGGTTATTTTACGTTTCAATTGACTACTATATTGAAGGGTTTTATAGTGCAATTGTAATTAGAAAAGTTCATATTTGCAGGAGGAGTACGTTTACAAATGTAACAGCACATTTGGCGACGAATCTGTTCTGGGTAAATAGATACCGATTTCTTGCAATTGTCAAGTATTTCTGTTAAAAAACGCATTTAATAAAAAGCCCTAGAGCAATTTTTGGATGCAGACTTTTAAGATTTCTTGTAAAAAATTAATACCTTAAGCACCCGACCTGATACAATGGCAAAGAAGTATCATTTTGCATTCGGGAAGTATCAAAAATTTAGCAAAATGCATCCCTCTCAAATCGAAAAAGTCCCTTTTGAAGGAAATTTTGAAATCGGAGTTTTTTTCACTTGGAGAGGGAAGTATTTTGCCACATTTTTTGAAACTTTCCGCGTGCAAAAATGGTACGTTTTTTGTTACTGGGTCCGCCACTGTATACGGAAGTGTTCTTTGAGACATTTTGGAAAAAATTGTACTCCTACTACATCTGTAAGAATTCCAACTACAAAACTAAGACAACAAACTCACATCCGGCAAGAAAACCTTGGGCATTCTCGCATCTCGAAAGTTGGACGCCATTTTCGTATCGACCATAAATGGTGTCAGGGTTTGTATTGTAATCCCACAGCCCTTGTATTCCTTTCGCAGCGTTTCCGTCAACCAAATCACATACTTCTTCACCGACGAATACACATTCCAGTAGGCCAAAGTGGCAATCCCGGCGGAGGAGGCGACATTTACAAGTACTCCATTCCCTCGGGACTTCATTTGCTTCAAAATAAATGCAGAAAGAACTGTCGCGGATAAAGCGTTGACATTGATAAGGTCGGCGGTGACTTTGAGACCACCCGGGAGGTCAGCGAGTCGATCCGGATATTCAAATACTTGCCCAACATTGTTTACTGCAAAGTTTTCATCAATTTTTGAAATTTACAAAGGAACTCGAAGTCTGCGATATATTTTTTTTCAAGTTTGGCTTGCATGATCTATAGAGGTCGGTCTTTAACGGCTCAAAATTTTTAACCGCGCTTTCTATGCATGAATGTCACATGATGAACATCTCTCCACTTGCACTTTTTATCAAGATGTTGTAATTTTGCTGGCGTCGTAAACATAAAAAAACGAAATCATCAATCTGCTAATTGCTTCCCGTTCAGTTCAAAACACAAAATGTACTTCCCAACAAACCGCACGTCAAGAAAGAATCTTTCGTTTTCTGCACAATTTTTCTTAACTATAAACTAGTCAAAGACTTACTAAAAACTCCAATTTCATGCCCTTCAAGTTTGGAAATCAGTTGTTCTTCGTAGGCTTTTGGATCGCTTTCAGTGAAATCAAACACAACAGTCTTTACTTGGGTATTTTGATATCTTTCAGTGATTTCTTCGGCAGTTTTTTCCAGCTTGGACAGGGTTCTTGAGACCAAAATCTGATCAAAGCCTCTGTTGGCCAGCTCAAAAGCAAACTGCTTGCCAATCCCGTCAGTGGCACCAGTGATGACTAAAAAACTCACGTCAATAAACAGTATTGTTTATTATAGAAAAATGTTTCTATAACAAATAATAAACAGTATTGTTTGTTATAGAAAATCATGAAATTTCTTACCAGCCCACTTAGCACCGGCCAATTTTCTCAAATCTTTCTTTGGCGCTAAGATATATGGATAGACAATTGGCCAAATGTGTGAGGCAATCCTGACGCCAACATAGCCAATTACACAGTAGCCGATTACAACCAGACAATCAACCGTCATCTTTAGACAATTTCGGTCTTTATGGGAAATGAGAGGCTTGAGAATGATAAGGGTTTGCTGCGGAAAACTTGCTGAGGCACCTTTTAAAATACAGCGAAAAAAACAAAAAATAAGAGGCTTTAGCTTGTGTGGTTCATAAGCAAAGAAAATTCATAAAAACACCGGCTTGCAGGTGAAACTCATAAGGGAAGCACTCTAAATTCGACGCTCGGATTTTAATGAAATCTGTCGCAAATTATGAATAATTTTTCCTATGACACGACGACTTCTAGCTTGCGCTTTGCAGAAACGACTGAGATCTGTAGGTCGAAAGTCGGCAAAAATGTGAAACTTTTTGATGAACTTTGGCATCAAAAGTTTCATACCGAAATCCACGGAAGATTGTAATGTTTCCACAAGAAATCAATTTTTGCCATGCAAAACAGGGAAAAGTACGGCCAAAAAGTCCTTTTCTCTCTGATCGAACTTCGCCTCTCGCGTACTCTTGGCGAAAAATGGTTGAATATCTCGGCTGTGCCTGAAAAACGTGATCTTTGGAATTTCTATGGTTGACATTCGAAAAGGACAACACAGTTTCCATATTCACTCTGTTTGAATGAAGAGGACTACAAGTACTACAAATTACCTGATACAAACACAATGGCGCTTATGAAAAAGTATAATATCCTCATTGACTACGATATTCACACTCTTTTCCAATCGGCTTACACATACTGACAATTTTCAAAGATATATATAGTAATCCTAGATGGCCTCTGGAAAGCCGATTTCCAGATGTCGTAAAGAGCTTATCGAGGCCAAAGAGGTGCAAATTCCGGCTTCTGAATCGCAGAGATGTGTTTTGTGTCCCTGACCGGTTTTTCATTTTTCTACACATTTCATCATATAGCATTATAGCAGGACGTGTAGAATCGGAAACGTTGGGGATACGTTGCTTCACGGCGTCGAGTATTACCTTCCTTGTTTCTACGAAATGCGGGGTAAATTTTTCGAGCTTTTCAGAGTCGAAGGCAGTTCCAATAGAAGACCGATATGCCGTAGGACAGAGAGACTCCAAACAAATATTTGTAGGAGGTTCCTACGGGGCCTAGCAAAGTCGTTGGACGTTCGACGAACGGTCGGGGGAGACTAGACGATAAAATATCCTATAACGCGATCCTTCTTACTATATCTTTTAACTGAGCCCTCTCCCTAGCACATTGAATCGATGCGACCCAAAGTATGGTCGACCCGAACTGTCATTGGCCCCAAGAATCGTGCACAAATCTTTCACACACCCCTCGCATTTGTTGTCAGGTTGATTTATTCACTTTCAATAGAACTCCACTTCACTAACTCGCGCGATCTTTGACGCTAACTTCTGGCGCTGAACACCTTAAATCTTTCCTCGTCGCGAATCGGTGTCTGCCTTCTGATGGCAGAGTAGATTGCGAACAAAGATATTGGCGCGTCGGCGAAAACAAACAACGCCTTTCATCCGACATCATCCTTTTTCACCAAGCATACAGGCTTACCAAGGCTCTTGCTTTGGCATGGTAAATGCAGAGGTTTTACAGTTGTCAAAGCTTTTTCGTGTATCTGACAAAAACTTTCTAATTTTTTGTAATTTGTATTATACCAGACGCAATTTAAGTGTAAAGCAGTTTTTAGGATGTCGGATTTCCAAGCCGCTTGTACTTCAACGGCTGTGTGTTCTCAGCCGCGATTTGGTTGTAAAGTATGCTCAGGTCCTACGAAGTTCTACCACTTTGGAATGCAGGCAAGTTTAGAAAGTACTAATAATACGAGTTTTTGTGAGTCAATAAAGGCATAAGTGGGAGTCCATGAGTCTATGACAGATACTACAGAGACAAAAAAGATCGGGTGACTTTAGCGAGAGCATTCAAGGCTACTCTGGCTACTAAGAAAGTTTTTATAAAAATACCAGTCCGGGAAAATAATGTGGATCTGCCTCGCCTTGAAATCGCCCATCACCGCCTTGCGACGGCTAGCCGCGGCTAAAGATTTAGTACTCGACTGCAACGGGGCTAGACATTTTGCTGCGACAAATCGACATTATTTTCCCGAGATATTGATATAACTTTTTTGACCTTGTAATCCGCCATAATAGTTCAAAGCCTAACAAGAAATTCGAAACATAACCGATGTGAAGCTCGTTTCAGCTTTGCCGAGGCTGTGCAAGCTTCTTCCAACGATGTGTGAAAGGAGGGAAGAAATACGAATGCAAAAACGACAACTATCAATGCAATGTTGGAAACGGTAAGTCAGACGCCCAAACTCTAAACATGCATACATAACGTCGCAAATTAAATGTTTTCCAAAATTGATGTTTTAGAAGTGATTGTGAAATGCAAAGGCTGCAGATTTGCGAAATGTGTTCATGTGTGGAGCAAGCTGAATATCCAGACAAATGCAACAACACCCAAAACTTATAATTTCGCGCTATATGAGAACGGAATGACTTCAGTGGCATATCAGCTGGTCAAGGCGTTCGAAAACTACCACGACTTCCAGCTGAACACCGTTCAGAAGCACCTTTCAATAAACAATTTGACCACTGACAAGGTAAGGACTCTAAAATAGTATAGTAGTTGCGATGGTTTCAGTATCTCCTGCCGACCAAGATGGACCTATTTTGTATGGGATATGCTTCGAGGAACGCCATGTACAAAATTTTTACCGACTGCATTAGTTGCATGAAGTTTCCAAACAAAGCCGTTTGGGTACGTTCGCAAGAATCCACGTAACCGCTTTTTCAGACGCAATTTACCAATAGTAGTCAATACGAATCGATGATTATACAACAAGGCTTCCTGACAAGTATGATATTCCCGGACATGGACGACACACGAATCATTTTCATTCCTGGCTACTTTTTCCATGTTTTTGAGACAACTGAGGACTGGTGGTTTGAAGATGAAGCGGATGAGAAAGAACGGAGCAAATACAGAGAGTAAGAGCCTACAACCTCAACCTGTCAACATATATTTCAGTTGGAAGTCAGGAAGTATTTTTTAGATACATATATCAGTTCAACAGACGCTACATGCAATTCATGCGGAATTACAAACAAACCAGGCCCAGCGCGCTTGATGTTGGAGTACTCATGTTGCTCATCTTTCTTCGACATTGTAAGTGATCACAAACGAAGGTCGGAGAATTTATTCAGACGAAAATCTCGGACCTGTAACCAAGGAATACGACGCCTATAAAGACCGGGTTCTCACCGAATGGGCGCAGAGTTTGCAGACAAGATATGCGGAGCGAGCCAACGAAAAGCTGATTGAGTTTATGCTGATTTGCAACGAAGCAGCTGTAAGTCATCCTTTCCAAACAATACTGCAGTGACTGACCTGATCCAGTGGCAAAAAATGTACCATTTTGCTTCCGGGAAGTATCAAAAAATGTGGCAAAATACCTCCCTCTCCAAGTGAAAAGCTGCGGTTTACAAAAGCGCACCAGTTCCTTTTGTGAGGGAAAGGCGCCTTCAAACCGTATTTTTTTTATTTGGAGAGGGAGGCGTTTTCGTACATTTTTTGATACTTCCCGGATGTAAAATGGTAAATTTTTTTTGCAACTGGATCAGGTCCGTCACTGTAACGGCTTTTTCAGAAACTAAAGACCGTTGTAGAGGAGATCGACGCCTATATTAATCTCATGAGAGCACACGGAGCAAAAGTAAGCCCTTTGGTCCGTGCAAAGAAAACACGTTTCTGAGTTTCAGCTTACAAAATGGACCAACAGCATGCCGGTTGATTACTACGAGCAATGAGACGACAATAATCAAGGGCCTGAATACGCCTCTTCTTTATACAGTGGAGGACCCTGGTCCAAAAAAAAACGTGCGATTTTGCATCCAGGAAGCAACAAAAATGCGGCAAAATGCTTCCCTCTCCAAGTGAAAAGATTTCGTTTTTTAAAAAGGGCGCACCCTTTCCCTCACAAAAAGAGCGGGCGCGCTTTTGAAATCGGGAAGTATTTTGCCACATTTTTGATGCTTCCGGGATGCAAAATTGTATGTTTTTCCACTGGATCAGTAGATTTGATTTTCTACAGTCAAATCTGAATTTTTCCACTTTTTTTTGCTCTCTTCCTTTTCTGTCTCTCTGTGACACACGAATGACATTTTGTAGTCGATAAAATTATGGATCAAACATTACTATTGTACAGGGTGGTTCAGCCGAAGCTTCCATCCTTATTTCAAGTGTTTCTCCGCCGATAATGCACCAATTTTTATAAAATTAATATCAAATTGAAGCTGAGGTTCCCCACTTTTTGTCCACCAAATATGACAGGCCCAAGTTCAAGGGTACCCCCATACTGACCTTTGACATTTTCATTCCAAATTTTGGAGCCCGAAATCGGTGAAACTTAGAAAATTTTTGGAATGATTTTCAATTGAGTTTCTCGGACTTGGAAAATTTTTGGATTTCCGGCAAAAACAAAGTCGCCATTCGATGAAAATTTTAAAAAAAGTAAGGTTCACATAAGTAGTAAGTGCGTAAAAAGCATATTTCAATCCGGCGAGGCACCAAATCGAACGATTGAAAACGAAAGCTCTTTTCTCGGGCAATCCAGGCCTTACAACTTGTTATTTATCTTCATGGTGGATGTCGTGATCCACGTTGACAGTCTCGCCCATTTTTTCTTATTTTTTAAAATTTCGATTAACAAAGCATGTTACCCCAGAACACAGGAGCAATGCCTTCAAGATTAATTAGGAGTATTCCGTTGACTGCGGTCAATTTTTTCGCAACTTCTGAATGTCATATTTAGCCAAAGACTCGAATATTTTCCAAGCACGAGAACTTAATTGAAAATCATTGCAAAAATTTTCTAAGTTTCACCGATTTCGGGCTCTAAAATTTGGAATGAAAATGTCAAAGGTCAGTACGGGGGTATCCTTGAGCTTGGGCCTGTCATATTTGGTGGACAAAAAATGGGGAACCTCAGCTTCAATTTGATATTAATTTTATAAAAATTGGTGCATTATCGGCGGAGAAATACTTGAAATAAGGATGGAAGCTTCGGCTGAACCACCCTGTACTTCGAATAAATTTCCTGAAATTTTTACATACTGCCGTCGCGTCCCCATCGCGGGCGCCTCTCTGGACTGAAAGGTTTCAAAAAGTTTGCCAGACTTCCCGCACTACCGACTGCACCATGGGTGCTCCGCTCGGAAGCAAAGAGCGAGCGCGGGGGCCTGCGCACTGTGCGAAACACTTCGAAAGGCTTTGTCGCGGAGCGACAACGAATTTTTGCTTCGTCGCACAGCGACAAATTGGCATTTGCACTGTGCAACTTGAGAAAAAGCCTTGCTCCCTGGGTGAAATGCAGAGTGCACGGTGCGTCCGGGGAAAAGTGAGAAAATCAAAAGGGGTGTGCCTGCGAAAACGTTCGGAAGGCGTTTTTCGCACTGTGCAAAACGGAAAAAAGCCTACGAACGTAGGCTTTTTTGTTGATTGCACGGTGCAGATTTTTTCAAAAATTTCGGGTTTCGAAGGGGAGCTTCTGCCAAATATTTTGCGACGCTCCGCCAACAAATTGCGCACAGTGCGGGTGGGGAGAGGCGTCTTTTGGGCTGATTGCACTGTGAAAAACGTTCGCGTGGTTTCGAAAATTTTTTATTTTCTCCGGGTTTTCGCGAATGCACTGTGCGGAGAAAAGTGAGTTGAAAAGGTGCACTGCACGAAGAGCAGTTCAGGCTGATTACGTCGACGAGACAAATGATGACGTCTCTCCCACAACCATGATTCCATTCTTTTCCTCGATTCCAAAAATCTTTTTCAAGATCATCTTTCTACATCCTCGTCGGTAGCATCCAATATAAGACATGTTGAAAATCATGGTAAATGTTGGGTAAAGGTAGAGCCAGCGCCACATTAACGCTGTTCCAATTGGACGATAAGCGGCTCCAATGAACACCTGACAAATGACTACGGGAGTAAAGATGGCCACTGCCATTACTGCCATTTCAATTAAAAGAGCATTTATGAGGGTACGGTAGAGCGCCTTCGTCCGATCACTCAGACTCTGACTCCGTTGGTTTTGGAAGTTGTAGCATCCGTAGGTTGAAAAAGCGCAAATCAACAAGCCAATCGATGAGGGGACATATCGTTCGTAATTTTTGTACCAGGTACTCTGCAAAACATTAATTTGTAATTTCTTTCAGGGTTTTCAAAACACAGTAACATATACATATTGCACGTCAATCCAGCGCATTTCCTGAACCGTTTCGAAACTTCGTATCGTTTTCATTGGTTTTAAAAGAGGGACGAAATGTCGCGAAATTATCGGCACTTTTTCTCGTCCGAAATAATTGCTTTTTCTCGAAAAGGAAGAAGAAAGATAAGAAAATGCGTTTTATCGGATAGTGACATTTCGTTTTGACGAATCACCAAAAAGGGGCGGGAAATTTTTTCTTCTATTTTGGATTGACGTGTATTGTTATAAGTTAACCTACCACTTCCACGAGAAGTGGTTTTCCTTTTATGTATTCTGCAATTTTTGGATTTGAATTTCCGAATTTTTCGATAAAAATTTGGACGTTTGGAATGCTAAAGAGCGCGTCGATATATGAAAATGCCATGAGAAAGATAAAGTATGGAATACAACCGCAGAATAAAAATTTCCGATTGGACATGAATTGCACCATCCTTCTTTGACCAGTTGTTTGTGCATATCGAAAAATAAACATCAGCAATACACATGAGAAGTGCGCAACGAAAAAGACATGGAACAGTGCGTACAATGAGCGAATAATAAAGTCATTAATCTAAAATAAACGTTTCGGGTTGCCGGCTATATTCTTACCGGAAATAAACTGGCTAGGCCACCAACAACTGTGACATCATAAGGAAACAACGGCTCGTCTTCAAAAAGAGCCTTCACCAGGAACGCAAACACACAGCAACTCTGGCTTCCAACGATATACCTACAAAGATGCGAATGAGGTCGCCTAACAGGAAAATAGTAACACTATATGTAATCTTACCATTTATATGCACCAATCTCCCTTGTCGAGTACTTTAGGATGACCTGGATCATAATGATGTAAATAATAAAGTTGATGACTTCCACAAACCAAGCGTAGATAACCATGGCGTTCTTCACAGACATGGGGATAACCTCAACGTCATGATAGCCAACATCAATGGCGTATTCGATCATCTCGTCTCTCTGGAGAACTCTACCAGCGTAGGTATAAGTTTTAGCAGCAGCTTTCAACACGTCTGTAACCAAACAGTAACGTTTTTAACTCTGTTATCTTTTACTGTAAATCTGAACCAATGAAATGCAGCGGGAGTGGCATACAGCTGAATAAATGTCAGGTGAAAAATAAATTGGCGCCAGTAATTCCTGGTAAACTATCAGGAAACTAACTAAACAAACGTGCAAAAATGGGTTCCAAAACAAGTAAATATAATCTTACGTACTGAACCTCCGGCGAAAAAGAAGGATACGAATGGTGATGCCGTTCCCAAGCTGCCGCCTCCAAAGAAGTCTTCTAAGAGAAAGCCGTAGAGCTAATCGAGGATATTTATTTGGAGTAGTACGATAAAAGTTATTATGTTTGCGCACTGAGGAGTGCTTGTTTTTCGAGGTAATCCTTTTTCAGCGTCCGGGACACAATGTTCGAAAAGAAGTCCACGACGAATTCGGGCAGGATTTTGAATGCGACCTCATGTTGAACTTGATGGAAAAAGTAGCCAGTCGTCTCGTTGGCCAATCCCACCGTTCCCAGAGCGGATTTCGCATACTTTGCGGGCTGAAGGCGCGATATTTTAAGTAAAACTTAACCTTGCAAAAGGTTTCTCATATTGCACTAGGTAACTTGATAAAAAATCCAAAATTTGATGTAGAAACTGAGTTTTTCGCTTCCAACCCACATAGTCTGTTATAAGCAGCCCTTTAAAACCTCAAAAAGCACCTACCGATGGGACAAATAACGATGTTTTCTCTTGTTTAGACATCTTGGTTGCCACTTTTAATGGAACAAATGTCTGGATCAGCACTCCGGAACCTCTGTATTCCTTTCGGATGGCGTCGCCGAGCCAGTTCACATACTTCTTCGACGCCGAATACACGGCCCACAACCCAAGAGGAATGGCGGCGGCCGAAGATGAAACATTTAGGATGACTCCCTTCTTTCTTGTACTCATCTGTTTGAGGACATATGCTGATAAAACGGTAACCGGAAGAGCATCAATATTGAGAACATTGGCTAACTCTGTGTAGGGGTGTTCGCTGAGGATATCCGGGTATTCATAGGCCGCTCCGACGTTGTTGACTGAAAAATTAAAATTTTAGGTCTGAAAAAAGATAAAACAAGGAATTTTAGCAAAATAACAAAGTCAAAATAAGCAATTAATGACCTTGAACACCCATCAGACCTTATCAACGCCGGGTATTAAATAAAACCTCTTCAAATTGACATCAAATTTGTATTTTTTCCTCTTCAGATACCTACTCCAATATAGTTCCCCAAAACTTACTCAAAACCCCAATTTCGTAGTTGTCTAACTTCTTCAAGAGGTTTTCTTCATAAGCAGCAATGCTTGTCTGAGAGAAATCAAAGGATATCGTGTCAACTTTCAGCTTCTCGTGCTTCTCCTTAATCTCCGCAGCCGTCTGATCCAATCTGGACTGTGTTCTGGATATCAAAACAAGGTCGAACCCTTTCTCAGCCAGCTCGTAAGCAAATGCTTTGCCAATGCCATCAGTTGCTCCAGTTATCACTAAATCAAAGAGTAAAAATGAGAAAAAAACTTACCAGCAACGTTTGTTCCGGCGAGCTTCTTCAAATTCTTTCTGCAGCCAAAAACATACGGATAAAAAACTGCCCACAAGTGTTTTAAGATTCTGTAGCCAACGTAGGCCAATCCAAGGCCACCGATTACTCTGAAGGTTATATCAACGGCTGACATTGGGAAATGCTGGAGTAGGTATCTAAAATATAAAAAATATGAATAAAAAGCAATATAAATTGAATAATCTCCGCGAAACAAAGCAAAGAACGTTGGAAGTAAGACCTTCTCTTATCGGAGAATAAACAAAACAAAAAAACAGCCATTTGCACCACCATTTATATGAATATTTCTGAAGTACAACCTCCAAACTATAAAGCTTGCTCCGTAAAAACAAAATAAAGCAAAAGTAAGGACATCACATGTTTCTTTCAACATGTTCTGGATTCTGTGTAAACTGTGTTTTGTGTTTGCCTTCAAAATAAAAAAAAACATTTTTGATTGGGTCAACTCTCCCTTCCTTGGGTCAAGTGTTTCTCTAAGGGATGGGATTTCCGATGACGGTAAAAAACTTGTGATGGATGGGTTTGTTGTGTGCGTATGGAAGTAAACAAAGAGAAAAATAGACGAAAAATGTCGAAATTTATGCGAAAATTGCATGAAGTTACAAATCGTTAGGAAATTCTGAATTTCTTTCCAAGATTTTATTGAAACTGCAGCCTGATGGTCGGATTTGGAGTCTATTCGACAGTTTCGGGGACAGAACGTGTGGGTTGCAAAATCTGATGTACATATTGCCTATTTGAAACATATTGCAAGCAGCCTTCGTAATGTTTTTTTTCGAACATACGTACTTTTGTATAGCATGTTGACTTTTTCATTTTTAATTAAATTCTTCTTGATCTTGCGAAGGCGTTTCCCCTGTCTCTAAAAATCGCCTTTTCCTTTGACGTCATTGCCAAAACGACCTTCATAAGTCATTCAGCGTCTCCAGTGCCGTCTCTTCCGCATTTCACACCCAAAAAAAGGTAAACCGAAATCGGCCGATTCGAGGTCTTTTGGAACCCGTTAATCAAGCCCGCAACCCTTAAACTATTCAGAAATGCATCCATCAACACTGACCTTCAGGGCGTTCACTACTTTCGGTTCGGTCGTTCTGCAAGCCCGAGGACCGGTTTTCGGGGTCCTATAAAAGCGGCGTGCCCGATTGGGCTGGATCACTTGTTCGCGGCAGCAGGATGAACCGCCTCAGCATTGCCTTGGTTGTCGTCGCCGTCATGGCCGTCGAGGGCTTCTTGTTCCCACCACCAGCCCCATCAGCTTGCTGGTAAGTTTTAGATGGAAGCGAAGGTTACTGTAGGAACTAGACATTATCTTGGAATTGAGATTGTATTCAAAGAGAAGGGCTTTTGGTTGGACGTTCAAATTTCGACCATGCTTATCACAGATTTAGGCTCAATATTTCTATGAAAGCTGCGAGGTAATAGGAGGTTCTGAGATTTGATATATCGTTGCATTTATTAAATTAGCAACATAAGTGGCGATTGCACTTTTCGGAGAGTTTGTTTTGCTTTGCCGTTTAGAGAGATGCGACAACGTCGTCGTACACTGCCAGGCATGCCAAGATGACTTTTTTGCATTTCTCTTTTGTAGGTTTCGTCGCGATCTTAGCTTGTTGTCTTAAAAAACGCGAGTTCAAATCTCAGGAAGTCACTATTCTAGCGAGTTTCTCTCCATCAAACAAAAAATTTTATTTGAATCTCTTTGATCAAAAATTATGCCAACATTTTTCCAGTGTGCCTCCACCACCCCCATGCCCACCTCCACCTCCACCACCATGCTGCGGCGGTGGCGGCGGTGGCTACGCTCCACCTCAGCCCGTCTACCAACAATCCTACGCTCCGCCTCCACCACCACCACAGTCCTACGCTCCTCCACCACAGTCGTATGCCGCTCCGCCACAGTACGCCGCTCCGTCGTACGGCGGCGGCGGCGGTGGTGCATCGTACGCCGCGCCATCCGCAGGATATGCCACCGGACCCGTGGGCAAAAAATAAATAAAGCGTTGGCTTAATTAACGAATTAATCAAACTGCTTTTCCACTCGGCCTAATTGATCTGGAATCATTCTTTCTGCTGTTCACGTTTAGAATCTGTTTGTAGAAAATAAATCAATTGTTTAAAACAAGGAAGGCTTCCCAATGCCACGATGAAATTTTTTCCTTGAATTTTGTACACACGTTCGGCAATGACCGCATCTAAATTCGTGAAAGTTTTAACTCGCGCTTTGCAGAGGCAGTCGAGATATTCAACGACCTTTGCAGACGAAAGATTACGTGCAACGGGGAGAGCGGTCAGAGAGAAAAACACTTTTTGGCTATGTCTTTCCCAGTGTGGCGTGGAAAAGAATTATTTTTTTTGTCGAAATATTACCTTCTATGGTAGAAATAGGTATGAAGTTTTACATGTAAAAATTTCCAAAACATTGTGAAATTTTTGCCAAATTTCGACCTAAAAATCACCGAGATAAAAATCTCGCGCATATATTACAACTTTTGGGAAAAGTTAATCTAAACTTGTACCAAGGTTGATCAAAATCTGAGGTTTGCACTTGAAACACTTTCCCTGTCATTGATGTTGTCACGGTCGATATTCTTGGTCGGAATAGAATTGAAAGCCAACCAGACCATAAGAGGCCGCTAAAGACGCTTTGACCTTTTCTGGCTAATTTTCAAACCGTTCTAGTTAACTGTTGTTCGTCTTGATTATCTCAACTCACCATTTGCAAGATGTAAAGCGGTTAACATCGCTAACCAAAACCGGTTCAAGACGGTTTTAACAAAAAAAGATGGACAGGCAGGAAAAGGTGTGGCATTGGGGTCTTTTCACTTTTTACACCGCCGGCTTCCGGTCATTTGGTACGGTAAATGGGAATTAATCACGATTATGCCGCCATAAAAAACTATCATCAGAAAAGAAGAATTCGGTCGTTGAAAGAACCGTTGGAAATTAAAGAAACGTTAGAAACCCTGACATGAAGAAACAATTACAAATTACTGAGTCTTGTAAAAATATTGCTGGAAAGTGGAGACAAATGCCTTGGCGACAAACTACATCCTTTCAACGCAGATCTGGTTAGCGTAAAAACAATCTAACGCACATTTTACATACGTATCTAAATTTGATGTACCATGAACCAAAAAACCTTTTCAAAAAGAGATGTGTTTCTTGTCCTTTTAATGCTTCTGCTATCAGTCTGTCGGGAAAATAATGAGCACAGTGTCACTGCGCCAATCGCATTGCTGAAGTGAAAGTAAACTTAACTTTGAAACGGCGATACGATTTTTGATGCGCTAAAGTGCGCATTATTTTCCCGACATACTGATATGTGAAATAAAAAGTTTTTTTTATGTCTGTGCACGGACGAGCAAAAGCCTTTTCGTATCTTTTCAAACCGCCGCGAGTAAAATTCACCGTTCCCTGAGACTTTGCACGGTGCACGGTCACAATTTCCAAAAACCTGTTCCACAATTGTTATTACTATTATTTAGTAATTCTTGTGAGTAGCAGAATTTCAGATCTTCTCTTCGTCAAAGATTTCCATCACTGTATAAACTTTGAACCTATTTTTAAAAAACGCTCTTTAAAGAGAAATTAGGTCAGCGATTTCTTTTATCACCGTTTTTTTGACCTTTTATTTCAGCTGTTGAAAAGCCAATCGACGGATCATTTAGTTCAAGATTACTTTGCGTTATACGAGACATCTATGGCGGTTGAGCCTTTTTTCTGTTTTGGGGTTTGGCACAGCAATACTTGATTGTGAGAAGGGAAGAGCTAAAACCGTGACGCTATTTTTTTTTAAATTTTTGCATGTTTGTTCGAACTTGTTCGAGCAACATTTTCTGAAAATTTTAATTACGTTAGGCCGTCAAAGCAAAATGAAAATTATATCCAAAGCCTGGTCAGCTTAGTAGCCGACAGACACTAATTTTAGTTTGCATTTGCGCCGTCAAAGTTACTATAGTTCGCCTGTAAAGTCGCTTGGTTTATTTTTGCGAGAATTATGAGAAAACTTGAGCTTGCCTTGCGCTATCCATTTTGTTGATTTTTGTACGGTCGCCAAAGCTCTAGTCGTCTGCAGTACCATAAGCCATTTTTAATAGTGCTTGTTGAAAAAAAGTCATCGGACTTTGCTACAGTGATGGATGGCAGCGAGAATCTGTTTGAAAGGGTTACACTTCTGATCACATATCAGTCGGTCGGGAAAATAATGAATGTGGCGTCGAAATCCGCGCCGCCGCCAAGAAAATGAATTATGTCGCGGGAAAATCAAATTGCTTTTTACTTCAACGCCGCGTCATTGTGGTCACTATTTTCCCGACAGATTGATGATGTACGAAGTATGCAGTGAGTTTGTGCTCTTTGTGGGTTTTAGCCGCGGGAGTCCGAACTAAAGTGCATTCCGTCGCCGTCCGCCGATTAATCCACCTGTTAAAAAATGTGTCTGATATTTCAATGATATACGGGGTTGCGATCGTTCCGGTCGAATTTCTCCAGTTATATAAAAGCGACCTCTCCGCTTTTTCGTCAATTCGTTATCGTCAGTCTGAGCGGGCTGTCGTTAACGAATCTTTTTGCTGTGTGTGTAGATCAAGTTTCTTACTCTGCGTTCCTACAGAACTCTTAAGTGCCGTCTAGCAGTCGGGGGTTACAGGCATACCGCTTTGCTTTGTTTTTCATTTAAGACAAGATTACATAGGGTACTTCGAACTGTGTGTTCATTTTTTGGCATTCCCAGTAGAACTTTATCCCGTTGCCATATGAGGAGTCCTTAACTTTTTGAAGTAATTCATCTTTATGTTTAACGACCGCAGTAGACGGAACACGATATTATTCAAATAAATATCTCAGAAGCACTTCTTACATGTATGCACATAAATGGATCATTTTATTTTTTTTATTACTATTATTCCTTTTATTATTATTATTATTATTATTATTATTACGCTTATTACCTTAATTAAACATTATTACCAGGAGCATAGCTGATCAAAAATTTTGGCGTAGGGGATGTTGTCACTGTAAAGTTTTCGCTCCGCGATTAATACCTTGGTCTCCCCTGGCCATTTTTTTCGACCCCGGACTGGGGGACTTCCCCTCCTGCCTTACAAGGGAATGGACTTTATGTGTAAATCGATTTTGGCTTGGGACATAGTCAGATCGAAAGGTGTGTGGTAGTCGATTATTCACTTGGGGGGGAAATCTCTGCGCGGGGCTTCAAAGCCGAGAAAATCGGCTTCAAAGTTTGGACCAAAATCAAAGGATAGGGATCCCGGAAAATGAGAAATAAAAAGTGTGAAGCAGTGGCCGAGTGGTCAGTGCGCTCGCTTTTTGCGCAAAAGGTTGCAGGTTCGAGTCTTTCCAAGTCCAAATTATTATTATCGTTTTTACTTCTGCTTTCTTCGTGCTAATCCGGCTATACATTTAAAAAAGTGGTATAGATAAAAAAGTTAACATAATGGAAAGTTGTTTTTGAATACATCAGGTTGATGGTGTGCTCTGCGCTCTAAAACTGTAAAAGGAAGGTGCAAAGCCGTTGAAAATGGAAAGATTCCGTTTAAAATATATTTTTTGCATCGATAATCGAGTTCAGGGGAAAAAAATTAATAGAAGTTTTTGTTTAAAAAAGTTATGAATGGAAGCAGATTCGAACTTGCGACCTTTTGCGCAAAAAGCGAGCGCACTGACCACTCGGCCACTGCTTCACACTTTTTATTGCTCATTTTCCGGGATCCCTATCCTTTGATTTTCGTCCAAACTTTGAAGCCGATTTTCTCGGCTTTGAAGCCCCGCGCAGAGATTTCCCCCCAAGTGAATAATCGACTACCATACACCTTTCGATCTGACTATGTCCCAAGCCAAAATCGATTTACACATAAAGTCCATTCCCTTGTTAGCTACGCCTCTAATTATTACTTATGCTTATTATAATTCTTCTGATATTACGGCATTGTCTATCACGACTCGGCGTCTCCGCCATCCACATTCGGGCCTTGGCATTTGTCGTTTTTGATCTTGTCGCATCCGCTGCAGCTGATGGAATCCACCTTCACATGGCTGCCATCGTTCACCGAATCACTGGACGTTACACTGAACGTAGTTCCGCCACATGTAACGCCGGCACCGCTGTCGCCGTTGAAGTTTGCGTAAACGGAGCAGTCTGGACGATACGTGAATGTTCACATAATCTATTTACTTACCTCCGTTGTCGCAGAACGGTATGAGTTGCACCTCATCAGGAGCCGTTGCCGATGGAGTGCAGCATGTCCCATCTGGCTCGCAGATGCACAAGTCCGCCGCTGTGTCACACTGAACAACGGTAACTCCCTCGTTATTGTTGAGCGCGTCGGAAGCGCTCGCCGAGGAAGCGCTGCTGTAGAATTTCCGGTTTCCGCTGTCGCATGACGTGCAGTGCGAAACAGGGCTTGCGTATGTGAAGACATCTTGTTCTTGAACGTCGGAAATTGTGATTCCCGCCGAGTTAGCGGGCGCTGTGCACGCTGAAATTGGTGGCACTAACGAAACTACTGCGTGCGGGCCTACCTGCAACAGCAGTCGTGGTGGTTGTAGTAGTTGTTGTAGTGGTGGTTGTTGTAGTAGTCGTGACTGTGGTAGTTGTTGTCGTAGACACTAAACAGCTCGAAATATACTGAATAAGACTTGCAATTACCTGTGATTGGTGGAGAGGTCGTAGTGTCGGGCACACGGGTTCTCAAACACCCCTTGACCTCGCTGAATATTAACAAAACGGCTACCACATCTGTTATCAACATCGTCGGCAGACTGCAGACATTGATTTTTTGAAAAACGTCTTGTTATGCGGGATATAGGTCACTTCCTTTAGGTTATGATAGGCTGTCTTTGAAAGTTTCGCTGTTGAAAAAGTTTATCGGGATCGATTGGAATAGATTGAGCGATGTGGGATCGGTACGTTCACCGGCTGGGCGGATACGTATATAGACGGGCTTCGAATGAATGCGTTGGCAGTCTGAACAACACAAGGCGAGTTGTTGGTTTACATTTTGTTGTCTTTTGAGTAAGTAACTTTTTCTTGTTTTTAAAAAATATGTTCATACTAGTCCTTCCAGAAGAAATCGGCGGCACGCACAGTGCGAAGACAACATTTTTCTTTCTAAACTTTTTGGCTGTTGCTCGCAACCTGAGTCTTTCTTTGCATCGCAAACGTCAAAAATCAGTCCGACGACTTTCCGGAAGGGCTGTTATGTCATAACTGTTTTTGGCTGCTCTGAATTCCCGACCGTTTTTTTTCTGAGCATCTCAGTTCCTCTTTAATAGAATAACAAGGACTTTTTTGACTGTTTGTCGAGAAAACAACGTGGATTTGTCGCAGCAAAATGTCTTGCGTCGTCGCAGACCAATCCCGATCCGCGGCTGGCTGTCGCGATGATGGGCGATTCCAAGTCGCGGCATACATTATTTCTCCGACACACGAATATGTCGATAAACTATTTATAAAACCGTTCTATGCATAATCGCAGAGGTTGCATAAATTAGTTTGAGAGCTCTGTATCACGAGACCCTTACAGAACGGATACGTTTTTTGGCCCATTGAGATCGGTTGTAAAGAGGTTTGGTCTGTGTAATAATTTTTGTTTGCTTTCTTATTTCGCGCGCTCCAATTTCTTTGAAAATTCGCCATAATTCGAATGCCCACAATTTTTTAGAGATGAAAAATTAACAATTTTCAATGTCGTTTCAATTTATTATCGTTATTATTATTATTTTCAGTCCTATGATTGTGCAGTTCCCCCATCCACATTGGGTCCGGTGCATTTGTCCTTCTGGATGTCATTGCAGCCATTGCAGCTGACGGCATCCACCATCAGATGATTCCCGTCGTTCACAGTGTCGCTGTCCGTTACTGCGAATGTGGTCCCGCCGCAGGTCACGCCGGTCCCACTGTCGCCTTGGAAGTTGGCGAACACCGAACAAACTAAAATACATGTTGTAAATCGCTTATTTACAAACCTCCGTTGTCGCAAAACGGTATCAACTGCACTTCGTCCGGAGCTGTTGCGGTTGGTGTGCAACAAGTGCCGTCCGATTGGCAAAGACACAGATCCGCCGCATTGTCGCACTGAACCACCGACACGGCCTCGTTGTTGTTTAGTGCGTCCGACGCACCCGCGTCAGTGGCGCTATTGTAGAAACTTCGCGTTCCGCTGCCGCATGAAGTGCAGTGGGATGTCGGTGTGGCGTACGTGAAGATAGCCTGGTTTTGCACATCGTCGATTGTGATTCCGGCTGTGTTGGCGGGCGCTGTGCACGCTAAAATTGTCTTGTTGTTCAGTGGCTAGCTTAGTCGGTTAATCAATTTTTGCTGTTTTCATTGGCCTCAGGAAAATAATGTAGATTTGTTGCAGCAAAATGTCTGGCTCTCGCCTCGTCGCAGTCCGGCACAAAATAAAGCAATTCATCTTGTTTCTTCAGCCTGATTTTTAGGCCCAAATTTGGCAAAAAAATTACGCTTCTTTGCCAATCTCGGCATAAAAAGTTACCTTATTTCTGCTATAACGAATAGTGTTGCTATGAAACTCAATTTAACTGGCATTGATGTGGCGATGTGGCCAAAAAAGGGTTTTCTCTCTGATCTCTCTCCGCGCTTTGTGTAATCTACAAAGAATCTTGTTAAATATCTCTGCAGGTGTTCCAACGCGTTGGAGCACTACAGCGCTAAGACCTTTAGGAACTGATATGTGGCCTATTCCTAGAGTACAGGGTGGTTCAGCCGAAGCTTCCATCATTATTTCAAGTATTTCTCCGCCAATAATGCACCAATTTTTATAAAATTTATATCAAATTGAAGCTGAGGTTCCCCATTTTTTGTCCACCAAATATGACGTGCCCACAATCAAGGAGGCCCCCGTACTGACCTTTGGCATTTTCATTCCAAATTTTGGAGCCCGAAATCGGTGAAACTTAGAAAATTTTTAGAATGATTTTCAATTGAGTTTCTCGGACTTGGAAAATATTCGAGTCTTTGGCTAAATAAGACATTTAGAAGTAGCTGAAAAAATTGACGGCAGTGAACGGAATCCTCCAAGGCATTTGCTCTTGTGTTCTGGGTTAACATGCTTCGTTGATCGAAATTTTTAAAAATGCGAACAAATGGGCGAAACTGTCTAGGTGGACGACGACATCCACCCTGAAGATAAATAACAAGTTGTAAGGCCTGGATTGCCCGAGAAAAAAGCTTTCGTTTTCATTTGTTCGACTTGGTACCTCGCCGGAATGAAATATGCTTGTTTGGCACTTGGTACTTCTGTACACCTTACCTTTTTTTAAAATTTCATCAAATTTGGCGACTTTGTCTTTGCCGGAAATCCAAAAATTTTCCAAGTCCGAGAAACTCAATTGAAAATCATTCCAAAAATTTTCTAAGTTTCACCGATTTCGGGCTCCAAAATTTGGAATGAAAATGCCAAAGGTCAGTACGGGGGCCTCCTTGAACATGGGCACGTCATATTTGGTGGACAAAAAATGGTGAACCTCAGCTTCAATTTGATATAAATTTTATAAAAATTAGTGCATTATTGGCGGAGAAATACTTGAAATAAGGATGGAAGCTTCGGCTGAACCACCCTGTATGTGCAAAATTACAAAAAATTTTTAGCGTCGCACTTTTGACCTGACTGAAAGTGCCTTAAAAGCTTACCGGGTATTGTAGTTGTCGTAGTTGTTGTAGTTGTGGTCGTTGTAGTTGTTGTTGTCGTGGTGGTTGTTGTCGTCGTAGTGGTGGTGGTCGTTGTGGTGGTGGTGGTAGTACTTGTTGTGGTGGGCACTAAACTCGTAATTTTTTTATATTGCCCACTCCGCTTTTATTACCTGTGGTTGGTGGCGGAGAGGTAGTTGTCTCAGGTACACGCGTCCTAATACAGCACTCGGCCGAGTGCAAAGCCAGGGCATACGCAACCACAACGTAAATCAGCATCCCAAATCGACTGCTTCTTTCTCCTTTCTTTATGCCGCAGAACCAAAAGCCGATGTAGGTCAGCTTGATTGTGTTATCATAGGTTGTTTTCGCTTTCAAAAATGTCTCTAACAGTTTCAAGACGTCCGTCACACTTTCCTGTTGTCGGATATACGGATTCGGAGCCCAAGGCGGTTACGCAAACAGAGTGTTCAGCAAACTGTGTGTGGATAGCGGAAGCGTCTTCAACGGCTATCCGACTTCGGCGTTTCTCGGATTGATCATCAACCTTTGAGTTGTTGTAATCACTGGTTTCATAAACGGCGAACCACTTCCGAGTCTGCCACCCACGCTATCGGTGTTGATGTTTGAAACGTTGTCTAGACTTTCGCGGCGCAATTTCGAAGTTACTCCAAAGGTAAGTTTCTTATCTTACGTTTGAACTGGGTTTTTTTTATTTGAATAAAAAGTTTAGTGTCCAACGCTATTTTGGCGGAGGCAGTAATCTCATTTTGAGCACCATGAAAAATACCATCCTGTCGGGGAAATAATGAACATAATATCACTGTGCCGATCGCGTCGTGAAGTGAAAGGCAATTTGATTTTGCAATTCATTTCCTCGGCGGCGAAGCAATTTTCCATGCGACAAAGTGCCCATTATTTTACCGACAGACTGATATTACAACGGCAATACCGAAGCTTTGTGCGACACTCGGATTTTCTCTAAACTTCGGGTTTTCTCGAACTACGTTCTGGGTTTAGGCGTAAAAATTTATGCTTGCGGTATGCAGAGGCAACCGAGATATTGAACGGCTTTTGCGGCCAAGAGTATACGCGAAACGAGGAGAGATAGTTACAGAAAACACTTTTTGCCCGCATCCTAGCCGGCTTCGCATTGAAAAATTGAGTTTTTGAGGGGATATTCTTCTCTACTGTATAAATAGGTAAGAAACTTTTGAAGCCAAAATTTGTCAAAAATTCTAGCCCACTTTGGCCTAAAACTCTCGTTCATTTTTGCGAACCACGAGCTAAAACTTTCATTAATCGATTAGTTGAGTATGCTCAGTTCGTGTGCAAAACTTGAAGAGAATCTGAGCGTTGGATTCGAGACATTTTCCTTTTCTAACGTTTGAAGGGAATCTAAAAAAGACCAGCCAAATGACTAAATTTACGTCTCACCACAAATGTAAGTCTAAATGGCATTTGAAAATGTATTTTTTTAAATTTTGAATAAACACTTTACCATCCCCTATGCTGTAAACAAAGCCTACATGTTGTCGACCATTGTCTACATATAATTGAAGACTACGATACCGACTATGATTTCCTTTTCTGCAAGTTTAACCGCCTTTCACTTGATTTATGGAGTCAGAATCGCTGTGAAAATGTGATTGATGTTTGAAAAATGTCGGATTAAAGAATGAGATCGAATTTCGGAAGTGAAAATGCAAGTTTGCAGGGATACCTAACAACAGACGCAGAAATAAATGTGACAGATTTTATTTTTATGGGCACGGCGTTGTTTTACGTGTAGAAGTGAATGTAGTTTACAAAAATGCGTATCCAAAACCGACAAAATGCTGTTCATTCCACGTTAAAAGCCTGTACAGCCGATTTGAATCGCGCTTTTTATGGCTCAAAAAGCAAAATGCCACAGAATTTTTTTGTTCTCCTACGTCCCATAGGCAAATTAGAAGTCATTTTAAGGCGGTTGAGGGTGTTTTTTAAGCATATTTAAAACAATGCTATAAAAAAATTCTATCTCCATCTAAGACGGCAAAAATTCTGTGGCATTACGTCTTCCAGGCCGTAAAATTCGCGATTTATAAATTGCTACACTTGCCCATCAAAAACACTCCAAACTCCAAAGAAATTCGCTAGAACGGAGCCCCTCCATCGATCACTGGACTTAGACATTTGTCATTTCTTATGCTATCACATCCGTTACAACTGACCGCATCCGCTTTCAAATGAGTTCCATCGTTCACATTCAGAGATGTTTGACTCGCCACGGTGACTGTTGTGCCGGCGCACACCACGGCGGCTGTGTCATCTCCTCCGAGTGAAGCGTACATAAAGCAAGCTAAAAAAAGTGTCGTTTTTGTTGTTACAAGATCTCTATGTTCAACAATTTTTTTGTACAACGAATCACAGAAGACAAAAATTTTTTTAGTCATTATTGATAGATTTTTTTGCCTAGCGGTGTGTATTGTTCTAAATTTACCATTGGAATTTCTGAAATCGTCAGTTATAGACAGGCCAAGCTTTATGAACATTTTTTGCACAAGATTTCCCCTATGTAATTATTTTTCTCAGCGTATTTTCTGGTATGATGGCCATACATAAAACGATGACTAATCCCTAACAATAAACAGCCACCCACCTCCATTCTCACAATACGGTGTCAGCTGGACCTGCTGAGGAGGCGTGGCGGAAGCCGGGCAACAAGTTCCGTCGCTCTCGCAGATGCACAAATCCGCAGGTGTATCGCACTGAACAACAGTTGCGGCTTGTCCGTTGTTCAAGGCATCATCGGAGTCAGACGAGGAAGCGGAGGTGTAAAAGTTGCGGACACCATGATCACAAGAAGTGCAATGGGATTGGGCCATTTGGTAGGTATTGAGCCCGCCCTGCTGCTTAACAGACACCAGAGTGATGCCGGCAGTGTTTGCTGGGGTCGGACAACCTGAAATAATTTTAACGAAAAAGCTGATTCTGTCGGGAAAATAATAAGTCGTTGCGCCGATCGCTTTTCTGGAGTGAAAATTTTTCTTCAACCGCAATATGATTTTTGATGCCATAGGGTGTTGATTATTTTTCCGACAGACTGATAAGCGGTACGAAAAGTCTTGACATGTTTTCGCAAGGTGCTCTAGGCGTCCTGACGTGGCCTTTCGCGACAAACAGTCAGCACAATTCAAAAAAATGCACTCGCCGTGCGATAAGTTTTTCGCACGGCAATACACAGTGCGGAATTGTCAAGGTTTTTCGCCCGCCTAGTATGTTGTTATATGTAAGTTGCAATAGATGTCTGTCTATGTATTTAGGGAACCAAGTACCAGAAGTTGAGGGTGCGGACGTTGTTGGCGGTGATGTAGCGGCGAGAGTGGTGGGTGCTGTCGTCGGCCCAGCAATGCCTGAAAAGGCTTCAAGTTTTCTCAAGTCAAGATGTTGCTGCCCCGATAGGAAAAACTAGAAAATTGTGTTTATCATAATTTTATTGCTGGATGATTTGCCATGTCATAATATGAGACTCTAATAAATGCTCAAGAGCAGACATGTGCGATTACGGTCCTCACTAGGAAGGAATCTCGTAGTCATAGATTTGAAACCATTCGTACATCTTTTTGTTACTCTAAACAGACTCAGCACTGTAAAATGACCGGAATAATTCTAAGAGTTGCAGCCAGCGACCAATGCGGACCGGGACAGATACGGATTTTTCCAACGCCTCTGTCAAACAAAAACCAAAAGATAATTTGAACGCCCAACCTGAACAGTAAGTCTTAATGTGTGGAAATCTTGGCCTCACTTTAATGGCAACAAATAATATCATAATATTTACAAACCGAATAAAACAGCGCAAGCCTTGAGAGACTTTGCATTATACACAAGCCTGTTACTTTCCAAGAATCCCTCCGGTCCAGTCCCATGACTAATTAGCAGTTCTTACGACCCCTTTACCTTCGCCACCACCGCTCGCAACGGGCCTTGAAACCGCTGCGGTACTGATGCATCCACCCACTCCTCTCCCAGCCAAAATCCACACAACCGCACACCAAATCAACATACCAAGTCAAGTGCCCGTCATCGCTTCCACCGTGCATATTATCACCAGCCTTTCGCGATATTATCAAGCAACATTCGATATGGGTCATTAATGTTGCGTTATGATAAGTTACCGCTCAAAAGTGCTTCGAACGTCAAAACATCGCTCACACTTACGTTTTTTATTGCCGTACAAGTAGAAACCGAAGTCGGTTGCGTAATTGATGAAGTGTTCGATAATCACCGAAACTGGCAGTTGCTGCAGATGGCGGAACAGAACTTTACGGCGCTCGGAATCGGAGACTTTTTTGGGCGCAATGAGAAATTTATTTCGTGATTTGTTTCGAAAACTTTAAAGTTCTTGCAAGACAAGTACTCCAAGTCCGACGCTTAGATTTTAAAGAAACCTTACGTTAGATAAATAGTTTTTTTTTTTTTTTTTAATCTACCGACATTTTTACATTTGACTGACAATCGGCAAAAATATGGCACTTTTTTGCAATTATTGGTACGACAAGTTTCATAGCTATTTCTACTGTAGAGGGAAACGTTCCTAAAAACAACGAAACCAAAATGTATTTCTCTCTGACGGCACTACAGTTTGGCATTGGATACCTCGACGGCGCTTACATAGGCTGAGCCAAAACTTTCAGCAATTGAAATGTGACCTATTCCCAAGTATTGCACGAAATTTAAGGAAAATTTAAATGGTGCACTTGGAAGGCTTACCACATTAAGGCCATGATGTCTAAGACAGAAGGCGCTACATATTACCCCCTTCTTCGGTATTCGTTTATTCTACTATCGTCTAATTTCAGAATAAAATTAAGATACAAAATAATGGCACTTGATATAGCAGGTGTGCATTGCGCATTAGCACTACAGGTCTTAAAAGTATTTACATTTACATATACATATTATATTACATGTTAGACTATATTACAATAAATACATGATTCTCAGAATTTCAAGAACCCCGGTTCCCGGTCTACAATCCTCCTCTCGGCTCGGACTACACTCTTTAATCGTTCCATCAAATTCCTCTTGATCTTGCAGACCCTCCGAAGCCATCGACTTCTCCGCCGCGTTCTTGTCCGCAACACCTTTTCAATCAAAATTATGGGCTCGCCGTCGCGGAAAATCAGCCTCGGCCGTCGCTTGTATTTGGCCGTTCGATTCGTGCAGGAGCAGAAGACGCAGAAATAGCTGAAGAATGCGAAGATCAAGACGGAGACAAAGAAGGCGAGGTAGACCATGGCTATCCGGCAGTTGTAGCAAGGGCATTCGGGGTCAGCATTTCCCTCCAAGGCAGCGAAGTCGGTGCAGTTTTGACTGAAAGATTTGGGTTACATGCCGTTTTATGTTGTATCTTATGTCATATTTTTTACTGTTGTATGCGAAGATTTGCATACAACAGGGAATTCAAACAATGGACTTGACAGTTAGATGCTGCCAATTAAGTTTCGAAGTATATAAGTGGCTTGAACAGTTACTACAAAGTTAACAAGGCATTTTTACCGCTTTTTAAAAAAAGAGACTCGCGACAAAATCCGATTGCTTTTCCTTCAGTGACGCGACCGGCGTAGCGACATTGTGCTCATTATTTCCCCGACAGACTGATACCGGGAAAGAAATGAAACAAAATTTTGTGACTGCTATGATTCCAAGAAGCCCAAAGTTGCATTGTTCGCCCGCTCAAATTCCAGTCATCGCGCTTCGCTTTGCCCAGTCAAAGTTCAAAATTGATTTAGAAATTCTTTTGGGAGAACGTGCAGATTCCCGGAAGCCACTGTTTCTATCTCGGGAAGGGCGCAAAAAGGGTTACATATGTTTTTTCTGGTAAATTTGTTTTAGACGTGCACCAATTTCGCAGAAGGCACGTAGGAGCGAAGAAAACACTTTGAATTGCGCAAATATAATCGCAACCGCTGTATAAATTGCGGAAAGGTCAAGGATCGAAAAATAAAATGAGCAAAATAACGAAAATAGGCAGAGCGGTTAGGGACAATAATTGAATTTCTGACATTTCTCAGCTGCCCTAGCAAAGTGTAAACTGAAATTTTTAGGAAGTCACGAGTAAACAACGTATGTGCAAAAATTTTTTTTTGAATTTATGAGTAGAAAGTGACTTTTTTCGTCGACTCTCCCAATTTTGCATAATTTCTTGGCTGCAAAGACATGCAAGATAAAAAAATCGACCAAGTTTCAAGGGTGACATATCTTCAATTTGCAAGGGATTATTTTTTTGTACACAAGCCAAGCATAAGCTGAATATGAATTCCTGAAAGTTGTGGTTTTCGCATTTCAAGGAGATCGGAAGAAAACAACAATCTTTGGGGGGAGTGCGCAAAATGCGGATAGTGGGCAGAGAGAAAGAAGCTTTTTGGCGATATCTCAGCCGATTTCTCGCAAAAAATTTTGAAATTTTGCGGCAAAATTTCACTCTGGAAACAAGTCCAAAAATTTTTATGAAAAAATCAGCGAAAAAAGCCACATTTTTGCCATTTGCGGCCTAAAAATCTTGGTTTTTTCTGCAAATCTCGAGACGGGAATTTTACATACACCATAAAAAATTGTTCCAAAATTGTATCAAATTTCATGGATGTTTTAGTGAGCGCTTTCTTTGTTAATCATCCTACAGTAATCAACCCTCAAAAAAGGTTGTCCAAAAAACTGCTTACCGTTCCTTTTCGAACTCCATGATAGCCAACATTGTCTCAAAAGCCATGTTTAATCTATCTCGTTTCCTCTTCCAGTATCACTCCCATTAAACGCGCATCAAAACACCAGCCCAAAGCGGCCGGCCAGATTTCTGCACACGAATGTTTCGCGGGAGAAGCGGGCTGAAATTCCAATAGTTTTGAAAACACATTTCCTCCTCGTTTTGACACTCTCGGAAGGGCGCGGTCTGGAGCGGAATAAAAATGTTTTCTTGGATTGTAATATGCTCGGACAGGCCGCGAGCAAATGGAGTATGTCGGGAGAAAAAAAGGAGAACGGGAGAAAAATACGGTCACAAAAAAAGGAATGAGATCCAGTAGATACATTTGTCATAAGCAGGAGGAGTCGCTACAAGTTTGGAGGAGAATTGGCGTAAATTTAGATTGAAGTATTTTCCGTGACATAAGTTCCCAGATTGGTATTCGAAGAAAACGGCGAGATTTTTGAGTCGAAAGTTGGGAACGTTTTGAATTTTTGCACTTTTTTGCGAATCTTAAAGGGCACAAGTTTATAAAAATTTGGGCCTAGGGCAGTACAAACTCCCAGTCCAATTTTCTGAAGCGGCAGAAATTCAGAATAATTTTTTGCCAAAAGACGTTGTCAGCAAAATTCAGAAGGATCCGAAATACATTTCTCGACAAAACTACGCAAAAGTTTCTTTATGGAACAGGAATTCCACGTAACTTGATATCGCAAAGTCAACCAAAAACGTAAAGAAACAAATAGCTCTTTTTTTGGAAACGAACTTCAGATTTCAAAAAACTTTCGAAGTCAAGAAGACGTGGCTCTGCAATGTCACGTCGGGCCAGGATTTTCGGACTGCCGAGGGAAGTTCCCCAAATGCAATGCTCAAAATTGTTTTTTTTTAATTTTGCGCACACATCGGGTATAGACCACATATCAAGTCCTGAAAGTTTTAGTTTGCGCTTTACAAGCGCCACCGGGTTATTGAACGAACTTTGCCGTCGAGAGATCACGTTAAACGTGGAGAGCTCACAGAGAAAACACTTTTTGGCCATAATTTCGCTAGCCTCGTGCAAAAAAATGGATGTTTTGTGAATCTCTGTGGCAGAAATAGGCATGGAACTTTTCATGCCTGAATTCGGAGAAAATTGTCAAATTTTCGTCAAATTTTGATCTAAAAATTTTGGTTTTTTGCAAAGGCCGGTCTAGGAACGGCCCGGTTTAGTCCACTGGTGGACCATAGTGAGATAACAATTGACAGGAGCTCATAAAAAGCTCCCAAAGTTTTTAAGAACCATAAAAACGGCTGCTCAATTATCCAGCTTTAATGTGACTCATTTGACACATTTACAGTCCTTAAACCCCCTTTTTTTGCAGGTGTATGCAGTTTCTGCGTCTCCAATGACATTAATCCACCATTCTAATCCACCATTCTGAGGTACATTCGTTAACATTATTCACTGTTGCCGTCCCCTTCAGCTGTTTTTTCTTACCGTAATGCGCAAAATAAAACTATGAAAACAAGAAGTAAACACGAAAAACTCCTAATTTCGTAGTTTTTGGAAAGTTGAAAGGGCAAGCCGGAAATGTCAAAACTTTGAGATTTTAATCAGCGCTATTTTTGACGCTTCTGGCAGTTTTGACGTCCTCTTCTCTTTTCGGGGAAAATCAAATGCCGGAGAAGTCGGGGTAACGGACGATGAGAATTGGGATTTGATCGGCTTTTACTAGGGAAGTTGTTGAATTGCGACGCTCAGATTTTCACTTACAATTAGTTTTGTAAAAACGCCGGGAAATCGTCATATACCAATTTCTGAAGCTTTGAACTCGCGCTCTGTAGGTGCAAGCGATCGGCGATCGCTTTTTGGCCATAAGTTTGCTATCGAAAAAATTTTTGGTAATAAGATCTGTGGTGTAATATATAGAAATGCGAGCGAAATTTTTAATGCCAAAATTCACAAAAAGGCGCTAAATTTGTTCCTGCAGTACGCGAGCCAAAAGGTTTCTATGTCCCAGAAAAAATTGGTCTAACATAATAGTTCATCAAATGCAAGCGCCGCACTTTAAGTTTCTAAAAATGATTACATCATACCTGAAGACAGCACTTTTATTACTTTTTTTATCCCGTAAAGGGAAAAAATAACATGTAAAAATATACACTGAGATCACAGTCAACCAAAAATTTCCTTCGGTCAAGCCGCGGGAATTTCGACAGAGCCCTGAAGATTCTGATTTGCATCGATGATAGCCACTTCTTCCGTCAGCTTCCTCTTCCTCATCAATTTCCAATTCTTCAACTTGTCCTCGGTGTAGCAGAAACATAGGAGTAATGAAAGCAAAATAAACCCGCATATCACAAAGGTGACAATTGTGTCGTCAACTGGAGGTGAGGAGTCTTCATTACGGTTCCAGGAGGACAGAGAGGCCTTGTAGACACTAAAAATTTTTGAGTTAGAGGTGACTAGGTTTTGCTAAATAAGAGTTTACAAGCAAAAACGTTTGTGAATTCTTGTGTCAATTGGCGGTAGGAGTAGGACGTATTTTGAGTCGGAAAAAAGGTTTTAGCCAGCGCATAACAGAAATAATATTTTGCAGCAAAAAAGGCCAAACATTAAAAAAATTAGTCGCTAAGATCACTGAACGCCTCCGGAAATTTTGTGGAACCCAATTGAAAATTTTTTGGACTTACGAAAAGTGCCCCAATTGCGACGCTCAGATTTTGATAAAACTTGGAAAAGAATCACTTTTCTCTATGACATATACGAGATTCTCGCGCTTTGTAAAAGTGACTTTTTTATGATTTTCTGTCGGAAGTTGGCAAAAAAAGGTCATGCCTATTTCTACCATGGAGGGCAATGTTTCCTCAAAAAAAAAATCAATTTTTCTCCCACGAATCTGGCAAAGATATGGGCAATTTTTTCTCACCCATCTGGTCTTTTATGTTAGATGCGAGCGCAAAATTTAAAAAAAGGATTGAGCGTCTTATTTGGGATATCCTCTTTTCTTAATTGGTCTCCAATTTTTGTGATTTTGCCAAATTTCTAAAATGTCCAACTTGCGTTCCTCGGAAATCCTAAACCAAGCACTTGATCTCTCAAAGACCATAAGTCATCCAATTAGTCCCCTCAAAAACTCACTTATATTTGGCTGGAGCCATATCGCTTCGAACGCGTTACAATTTCTCTTTATCTCAATCACTGTAGCCACAACACAATAGAAATCGGAAACGCTTCCATCATATTTTATAAATTACAACACACTCGGGAGTGGAGGGTCATAAGGTTTGCGAATGCCACGAAACTGCAATCCCCAAGTGATAAACGGCCCGGGGGGCAGGCGGTTTGAACGGCCGGAACATGTGTTCGAGCCGGATCAAAGACCCCTCCGCAATAAATAAAATCCGGTGACAGTTGATGGGCTCGTAATGAAAACGAACACGGTCGTTATGGGTTCATAAAATTGCTGAGTGGTCGAAAAAGGGTAATTGAGGAAATGAGCTGGACCAGAAGCTCATGGCTGAGAACACGTTGAGTAGTTGGCGTTGAAAGATCAATAGGTCCAGACTAAAAAGACGGAGAAAGAATGTCAGTGGTATTACGGTTAGATGGAGGTTGTTTTGCCTGCAATAAAGCGCGTCTGGCCTGAAAAATAAATCGTCTAGACTTTGAACTTGGAAGGCACTGCTGGGACTTTGTTTTCCCTCTTATGTTGACGTTTTATTTATAGAGATGGGATCAAATCTCTGCCCGTCTTCAAATTTATGGTAGCCCAAAGGTCAACCCAAAATATTTGTGGGTTTTTTGCAACGAGACAGCGAAAAACACCGTAGGAACCGGCTGGAACTCTGTCAGCGTTAATTTTGAGGATACGATGCCGGAAATTCTTTTGCGGCATTATAACAAAAGCAGTGGCGGCTAAGACGTGGTTCTTAGAAAACTGCTCAAGTTTTTTTCCATGTTCTGTGTAGGTTTTAGAAACGCGCCAAACAATGATTTTAACGCTACGTTAACGTTAACGCGGTCAATCAAACAGTGGATTATTTTCCGCTCATTTTTTTATCAATTCTTTAAAGCCATCTCCAAGACGTAAATTCAAAAAAGTTATCGTTTGTGACAGTCTTTAATACTGATGAGAATACAGTTACCGCTAAGAAAGATCGATTATAACATTTATCGTTATCTTCAGAGTTCCGATTATCCCATTGCAGAGACATTTGTAGAAAAATTCATTTTATTTGCGGCCACGTTTTTCCATAACCCACGTTTTGCTTATTGGAGAGAACAGTGACTTTGCAATACCTAAAATTTCGACAACACTTCAAAAATCAATTGCCAAATTGAGGCTAAAAATAGGCCGCTAATTGAGGTTAATCCCCTCACACGTCTGTTGTTTCGTTTCTGATCTCCTATCTAGCCGCTAACACTTGCGTTTCCGAGAATTTGTTTTTCGAACGATTACCCAAAACACAAAAGGTCAAGTTCACATAGAAAAAGTCCTTGATTCTTGCACTTCCTGAAATCCGATACCTGACAAACGACATGCACTCGGTTACGATAAATCAAACTGAGATATTGTTGTTGTTTTTTCGGTCTGAAAGTTTATCTCATCAGAAAAATGCACTCTTAAAAAATTGGCAGAGCACGGACAACACACACTACTCGCTTTACAATTTCACGCCGGACAACTTTTGAACGTCACGATGCGTCTTTTCCACCCTCATTTGTCTTCTTAACTTACCGGAGACCCGCTTGATCAACGTCCATTTTCTGTTCCGTTTCTGCAACTTTTGTTACAAACCCTTTTCCTGATTGATGATGGTCGTAACTTCCGTCCCAAAACCTGTCCGAAAGGCCATCAATGGCCTTGGAGTTAACTGTATAAAACGATTGGCAGACTTAGGATAAATTGCTTCAGTCTCAGTTGTAGACCCACCAGGTAACAGTATGCAGTTCCTCGCAGTCTTCGTTATGGTTTTGGCCATGCTCGCTCAGGCCAGCGGTTTCTTGTTCCCTCCACCAGCCCCTGCGGCTTGCTGGTAAGTTCTGAGATCTTTTTTTGAGGTTCTTCTGGGGTGTTGAGGATCTCGGCTAGTAAGAGGTCGTCGATTATGGCCATTGTGGGTCATCATCTTCATCAAGTTTACAATTAGCCACCACAGAATTATACAGTAATACAACTTTACCATTTCAGTGTGCCTCCACCACCCCCATGCTGTACCCCTCCTCCACCACCACCATGCGGAGGCGGCTGTGCCCCACCACCGCCACCATGTTGTCAAGCCGCCGCTCCTGCGCCCTTCAACCCATTGGCCGCTCTTTTCGGCAATGGCAAGTAAATCTCGGATGGAAACGCAATCGAACGGAAATCTCAGGACACATATTGTACTACCTACAACCAAACTTGTTCATTGATTTTGTATTTGTTTTTCTCTTTCGTTTTCATAAAGGAATATCTTAATTCATGTATACTAGGATGTAAAACTTTCAAAATGAATTACTGTATTCTCGCCTGCAAAATAAAAGGAGACGATAAAATATTGCGCGGAAGTAACCGACAAGCCCAAAGATTACTCCATTTTTTCCTTCTGCAAATTCAATGACCTTCACCGCTTCCTTGTGCACCTTTATCACCGACAAATTTGTTTCAAGACCCCCGCAACCACGCGAAAATGGCCAGCGGGCGTGGAACCGGTTCTGAACGCCCTTATGGACTCCTAAAAAAGTAGTTTTTTTGATGGAGACCACCGTAGTCTGTAACTAACGCTTCTGCTTAACAAACCACACCTTTGCTGTCGAAGAAAAAGGAATAATTTATTCAAGTGCATCTACAGTGCAATGAGACAGTGATTACAAATAAGTGCGAAGAACCCTGAGGTGATTTACAATAATAACTTTGGTATCTTTGTTGAGAGAAGTGAGGTGACTAAAAGGCAAAATCTTTGGCTGTGGAGGTATGCAGAGTGCATGGCGACAACAAACTTTCACTGTAGGCAGTGAATTGCTCGTTGTTGCAGACAAGGTGAACCGAGAATGACGGGCAAGTACAGAAAGTTGTACGGTCGGACAAAGTGAAATTAATGCTCAAAAAATCGAATAAAGAACCGCGATTTTGGCTTGTCTAATATCCTTGCTGTTCTGGCTCAGCCTTGGCTGGCTCGGGCGCTGTTTCGTACTTGGCTGGCGGCGCCTCTTCGTAGGCTGGAGGGGCTGGTGGAGGTGGAGCGGCGAAGGCCGGTGGTGGTGGTGGCGCTACAGCATAGCTGGGCTGCGCGTATGGGGCAGCTGGAGCAGCTGGTGGTGGGAACAACTCCTCGAACTTTGGTGGTGGTGGAGGTGGCGGGAAGGTGAATGGAGCGAGAGTTGGCAGAGGCTGTGGAGGAGGGAGGGTTGGGAGTGGTTGTGGAGGTGGTAGGGGTGGGAATGTGGGGAGTGGAGCGGCTGGGGGCAGAGCGTAGGATGGTTGGGGCCATTCGAAGTGGATTGGGGCTGGTGGTGGAGGTGGTGGCGGGAGGCTGAAATAGATTGTGTTATGGAAGGTAAAATACGCGATCTCACTCAAAAATTGCATATAATACCATCCTTATAACAGAAATTGTCGGTAACTCGACCATATTTACCCCTCATTAAAAATTTACCATGCAACTCCTGGCAATGGAGGAAGAGTGGCAGGAGCCGCAGTTGTGGTTGGCTCTGGCGCTTTCGTCACTTCCGGCTCAGGTTCAGGGGCCTCGTATCCGCTAGGCTCGGTCCTATAAGCAGCTGGCGGTTGCTGTTGAACAATCGGTGCGGGCCACAAGAAGCCGCTCACAAGCCCGGCCGAGGCCAAGAAGAGAAACGTCGACTTCATCGCTGATGATGTGCCGAAACATTCAGACTGCGCTCTTTTATATCCGATTCCGATGCCATTTACGTCAAGGCCGTGTACAGACCGGTAAACAGGAATCCGCGCCTTAATCAACGCCTTTTTCCTTATCATAAGGTGAGCCGAGGGGTTACCTGTGCCGTCGACGGAAGACGGCCTTGACGTCATGATGATTCAAAACCATTGAATCTTGCGTAATTTATGTTATCCGCTTCTTACGCGGGTGACAAAAGACGAGAGAAAGGAGATAATGTGATTAGTAAGACATTAAACGATTTTGTTCTTGGTTATTGAATACCAAACATTAGCCCGAGCCAAAATATCAAGCTTTACTTTCAGGAGAGTTACTTTAAGTGCGACGCTTGTGTATTCATGAAACACGGCAGAAATTTCGAACAATTTTTTTCTAAATCGGATGTGAGACTTCTAGATCACGTTTTGCAGAGACCACTGAGATTTTTAGGGCAAGAGCTGGAAAAAAATTACATTTTTTGCAAATTTTTTTTTGTCGTAGAAAGTAATTTTAATGCAAGGACAGAAATTTTTTCCACGAAGCTGTCAAAGATACGACCAAAAAATGCGTTTTCCTGTGGCTGCTTTCCTGGTTTCGCGCACTCATTGGGCCGCAAAGATCATGGAATATCTCCGCTGCCCCTGCAAAGCACAAGGTAAATATTTCATACAGAAATCGGCATGGAGACGATATCCGACGTGTGTGTTTTCTTCGTAGCAAAATCTGAGCGTCGCACTTGGGACCCTTCCTTTGCGAGCTTGTATTATTTCTCCGGCTAAGAAGGGACATCAAAGCCAATAATCTTGTTTTTTCCGCCTTAACTCATTTGTATATGGTCGCCAAACCCCTTGGCTGCACACTTCCGACTCCGAGCCGAGATCTTGTTCCAAGAACACCCTCATATTCTCACGGAGAGGTTCACTCGTTTTCGGCGTGGATCTTCGGAAAAGATTATAGGAAACAATCATAAAGTCTCTTCCTCTTTTCTTCTCTTCTTCGTCGCTTTTTTTGCGCAGGAATTCAAACGTTTTTGGAAATGTTTTAAACCCGTTTTGAAACCTCCGAAGTCCACCTGCGGCGCTTCAAACGCGCTCTTCTTATCTTTGCGCATGGGCTATTCTTGACAAATGTCCTTAACAAGGGACATGCGTCCTTATTGTTAGGCGGAACAGAACAAGAGGAACGCAATGTTCTTTGGAACACAGAACGTAGTGAAAACCGAAAAATGGAAAAATAAATGACGATTCACGTGAACATCGAGGGAAACAAGGAAATAAAAGTGGAGAAAAAAATGGAAAAAACTGAAAATTGCAAACTACTGATACCAGTCCGTTCGTAAAGTCACTGAAGTAATTTTTGGAGTTTGCACTGTGCGGAAACAGTCAGTGTGCAAGCGCCGATCCGAAAAAGCCAACTGCATGCAGAAAGCAAGAAATTGCACAGTCACTCCAGCGGCTTTGCGAACGAATTAGTAAAAGTGGACAAAATCCTGGAATAAATGAAAATTGCAAACTACTGATAACAGGAAACGTTCTGTAGAGAACTCATGAAAAGTCCTGTGGCCATAAATTTACGGAAACTGCGAAACGCATTTAATAACAAAATTTTTTAACGTGAAGCAAATAGGACTTGACAAAAAATATTATTATATCTCAGATTTAGAACATGGTTTAGTATGACGTAAGTCGGAGGCTCTTAAAAAATTTCCGTTTTTTGCGAGTTTTTGTTTGCAAATTTCATGCTTAATTATTAACTACTGTTCTGCAAAAAATCCGATCTTTTCGTGCATACACATAAAAATATGGCAAAGAGCGTACTTTTTTGTTCGACGTTCCTCAATTTGCATGCTCTCTGAAAAACAAGGTATCAGAATATCTCGAGTGCCACTGAAAAGCCCGAGCTAAAACTTTTGATGATTGAGATGTGATTCAAACCCCGAATTTTGTTGCATCGGCTCTTTAAGTGGATCGACTCAAAAAACTTTGTTTGTTGGTGTCCTTGTCGTGCCCCCTGAAATACAGAAATTGGTAAAATTTCGACATACAATCCTACGAAATTGACCTAAAATTTCAATAACCGATGTATCATTGACGATAACTTGCTTCAATTCATGCATCTTGGCCTTTTAGTAACACATTGCGGCTAAATTGTATAATAATTTTACCGCTTAGCAATAAAGAATTTGAACCTCAATATTTGAGTCTAGCAGATCGTCGAAAACCATTTGTACATTCCGATGATCACTTAATATTTTCGGTTAATTGCTTTTCTTAACGACTGTTACAAGCTTTCGCACATCGTTCGGCGGTTTCGTCGGTTAGTTTCACGCTTTGACGGTGGTCACGGAATTTGCAAATCTCAAAAGTAAAAGTCGCTTTCACCGTTACCGAGCCTCTTTTTTCTGCTGGGTTCCCATCCACTCATCACGCTAATTGGGAACGTCAATGGGAGGAAGATTCTTGGAGCGGCGAGCCGGGCGGAAACGATATTAAGTTGAATTTGAGGGAAGGGGCGACGGCGCGCGTTGATTAATCGCCTACGCATCCCCGCGCAGAGACAATGGGAAGCGCGGAGAAGGCGCGATCAAGTTCGTACCAAGTGCTTTCGCGTTTCTCGTAGAACCCGTGCCTCGAGGCTGAAGGCTCGAAGTTGCCCTCAGGCTAGCGAGAACTGCCCGCCTTTTTGACGCACGGCCCAAGTTGCGTATAAAAGTGGCGGCGAGCGAGGATAAAGACGTGACAGCGACGACTTCAGTCCTCACTACAGCCTCCGCATCCTCATCATGAAGACCGTTTTCTTGTGCTTGGCCCTCGTTGGCTCTTCGGCTGCCTTCTTGTTCCCACAAGCCGGCGGCGGTGGCGGATGTTGGTGAGTCTTTACCTCTAGTTTGCTCTTATTTTATTATTCTTTTTAATTGGGCACCCTGAGTGGCATTGTATTCAAATTCACCTTTCTCACATTTCAGCCCACCCCCAGCCCCATCTTGCGGATGTGCCCCACCACCACCCCCACCATGCGGCGGTGGCTGCGCCCCACCCCCACCCCCACCACCAGCCCCATGCGGTGGAGCCCCAATCGGAGGAGGATGCGGTGGCGGTCCTAGCTATGCCGCTCCACCCCCATCGTTCGCTGCCCCAGCCCTATCATACGCCGCTCCAGCCCCATCCTTCGCCGCCCCCGCCCCATCATACGCCGCCCCATCCGGCCCAATCGGCGGAGGATACGCCGCTGGCCCACAGGTCGCCCCAGCCGGAGGAAACGCCTACGCCGGAAAGAAATAAGAAGTTTGTCGATGAAACACTCGCCCTCCTTCTAACCCACTTGTTTGTATATTCCTGGCAACGACTAACAAAAGTCCGGCCACACGTGGCCCAGCTTTAAATTGTTAGCTAACTCCTCTCCTCCTCTTTTTTTTGTATCGCTCAGCACGACCGGTTCCCTCATTATCTCAAGTTGGATGCAATAAAATCAATTTGATATCTATATGAATTGGTGATTAATTGGGGATTCCATCGAAAGAGCAATGCGCGAACGAGCGGTTTGAGAAGAGTAATCCGCCGATAGGAATTGGTGGACTCAATCAGCGGTTTTAAGGAAACTCGAGGTTTCACACGCAATCGAAGCGGTAGATTTCGGGCTAGCTTTAGTCGCAAGATAATTGCTATCAAATGTTCTAGGAGAGGGAAAATACTGGTTATATGAGGGTTGTTTTTTGTTGAAATCTTTTTTTGAGCGGGAGAACTCATCATGCAAAGTGTTTGAGAGATTTTCGCTTCTGATGTATCACGGACGAAAAGTATATACATTGATTATGTAGAACATTCTTATCAATCTGTCGGGAATAGACTTGGCTGCCGGGCTGGGCCGAAGAAAAATTGAAAGGGCCGGGCCGAGCCGACCTCTTCCGGCCCACGGGCCGGGCCGCGATTTTCGGCCCGGGCCGGCCCGAGGACCATGTCTAGTCGGGAATATAATGAGCAATCTGCCGCATCAAAAATACGTATAAATACATATGTATAAATGAGTGTATCAATTTTTTTTCACTTGAGCGACCCGATCGGCGCAGAAACTTTTTGTGTTCGCACGTTTTTTTATTTTGCCGACAGATCAATACGGGTTTATGTACCATTTCGATTTTTAATATTAAACGAGCTCTCAAAGGCACATACTGAATGCCTAGCAGATGCCAGTACCGAAGACTTGTTGGCAATGCAAACTTTAGAATTTTTCTGTGTGTAGTTTGGCTCGGTTACGCCTTAAAATTGGTCAGTTGGGAGTATTATGGCAATAGAAATGTTGTACAGCGTTGTTTGATCTTACTTGTTTATTGTTTCCCATTGAATTCTTTGGAGTATTCCTTTTTCTGTGTTTTATCTTGTTAGGGCTAATAGCCACTTATAAAGATTGAGAGTGGGCTACGGAAAACCAATCTACCGCAGTTTTGCAACAACAAAGCAATGATCAGCAAGGTTCCTACAAAAAATCCGAAACACACCTTAAGTCCGCGCTGCTAGAGGGGTCACATTAACGAGTTAATTCAGAGAACTGTAGTCTTAAGAGGAACAAAGTCTCAAATAAAAAAGACGACACCTAATGAGTCCCTCGGTGAAAAAAGTGATCAGTAAGCTAAGGAAGGTAATCTAGCTAGACTGCTGTAGTGGTAATCATCAATTTTGTGGAGATATAACTTCGTTATATGGAAAAATTGCAAAGACAATTTTAAGCCACCGGAATGGAGGACATCATAGATTTGACGTCCGAGAGCTTCTATGCGACAAAAATTTACCAAACTATCTCACTTTCAACCGTCGCGTCTACATGATGCTTATCTGGAGAACAATGCCGACTGAAATGGTTCCAGAAAGCCGAAAAAAGCGAAAAGACGCGCACTAGTCAAGTATGACAAATTCGCAGAATTCAAACGGCTTTCTGATGAAGTTGCCCTCGAAGGCAGCCAAACGCTAAAAGGGAGTAGCGAGGCGTCTTTTTTCTCCTACAACCGCGTCCAATCGTTTCCATCTCTTTCTCTCCCTCCCTGTGCGCGCGCGCGAAACCTCTGATCGAGGATCGGTGTCTGGGGGGCGAACGCGCAACGCCGCTGTTTTTTTCTTGGTCGATAGCGGAAAAGCGAAATTCCCCGCCTGAGGGTAGGAAAATCCACCCACCTTCTTGCGCAATGCCCTCTCGAGTATAAATAGTGCGGCGCTGAAGGCTGAAGACGTGACAGCGACGACTTCAGTCCTCACTACAGCCTCCACATCCTCATCATGAAGACCGTTTTCTTGTGCTTGGCCCTCGTTGGCTCTTCGGCTGCCTTCTTGTTCCCACAAGCCGGCGGCGGTGGCGGATGTTGGTGAGTTTTGTTACCGTGTTTTGACAAGATCGCTCAACAAGCGAGGAGCGAACATTGATAAAAGCCGATCTTCTTTGATTTTTTTTTGATAAAGCCTTTGCCAGTTAGCAAGGCTTTTGTGGCATGCGATAGTACTGTAAAAATAGTGAAGAGACATTAACCAGGCAACGAGTTTTTCTGCCAAAAATTTCAGTCCCCTTTCTTACCAATTTAATCCAAGCCCAGTTACGCACAATCAAAGTGCTCCAACTTAACGCTCTCACATTTCAGCGCACCCCCAGCCCCATCTTGCGGATGTGGAGCTCCTCCACCACCCCCACCATCTTGCGGCTGTGCCCCACCACCTCCACCACCATGCGGAGGAGGCTGCGGAGCCCCACCACCACCCCCACCACCAGCCCCATGCGGTGGAGCCCCAATCGGAGGAGGATGCGGTGGCGGTGCTAGCTATGCCGCTCCACCCCCATCATTCGCTGCCCCAGCCCCATCATACTCCGCTCCAGCCCCATCATACGCCGCCCCCGCCCCATCGTACGCCGCTCCATCCGGCCCAGTCGGCGGAGGATACGCCGCCGGCCCACAGGTCGCTCCAGCCGGAGGAAACGCCTACGCCGGAAAGAAATAAGCGCTTCATCGATGAAGTCATCATTTTCCTCATAGCTCAACTATCTGTACACTTGGTAATGATCGAAAAGTACTCGGCGCGACTTGCGCTCGGGCATTATCGGTTTTAACTCGTTTTACGCAATGTTTTCCTTGTTTTTTCGGGGTTTGCAATAAAAGGATTTTACTTTTTAAAGATTGGTCTGAAGATTATTGAATCGTCTCGTTAAAGGAGTGGTAAAAAAGCTCGCAGCAAAAAAGACCTTGAAGATTCATTTTAATGGCAAAACTGTCAAAAAATTCAGAAAGTTGTCCAGTTATCATGTATGTAAAATTCAAAGATCAATCAAGTTCTACAGCGACTACATGGTAAAACATGCACTTTTAAAGGCTCTAAAGCCGGTTTTCCGCAGGAGGAAATTTGATGCCCCATCGCCAACATGTAGGGATATAATTTATCACTTCGTGTTGCTCGCAACGCGATTTTTGCAGTCGTCGTCAACAACAAGTTGTGGCAAGTGGTGTGACGCCGCTTTATTAGGAACTGGAGGTGATTCGGCATTATTATGTGGCATGCTGAAACGTTCCATATGCTTTCTACAGGCCCTTACGGGCCTGCTTCCCAAATTATAATTGGCTTTTGTACATAACAACAGTGGAATTTGGAAGAAAAGTAACAAGAGTCAAAGTGCAAAACAGTAAATTTATTCAAAAAAGGTTAATGGTCAAGAGTGGTACGGAATTAAGTATAGCTAAGGTTTTTAACCTTGTTTCAATTGATAAAAAAATAAGAACTAGAAGCTTGAGGTAAGAACCGGGAAGATAAAAAATCAAACAAAAATGAAGAAGACAGTATGTATAATAGCATGAACGATATGCGCGCTCCAAGAAAAAGACGATAACAAAGGAAATGACAAAACAGAAGAGTTCTATTCCAACTATTGAACATGTTGAAATTAAAACGAACCCGCGGTTTAAAAACTCCTGGTTGGCACGGCAATTCTATAGCCACGAACACCCTCTCTAATTATCATATCTCTCCGAAAAAATAAAGGCTCTCCGCCCCGGCAGGTCAGCAAGTAGACCTCACAGGTTTGAAAGCAACCACTAAGGAGGCAGAGGATAACGAAAAAAACAACTCCACCAACAACGAAGAGAAGAGTTCTCTGCCAATCCTCCTTTTCACACTGTTGACGGGCAATTTTGTGGAGCATGAAAGGATTCTCCTTGAGCTTGTCGAGCGTGCAATTTCCCCTGAAAAAATATATAAACAAAATTCTATAAAATCTGTAGTCCTTTCAGTTCGCGCTTTGCAGAAACAGCCGAGGTTTTTAGATGTGAAAACCGTGGCACATGTTATGCGGTAAAATTTCCACAAAAGTTTTTTCGTCCATGAAGAACTTGCAAAAAATGTGCTCAAGAGTCTTTTTTGACCGCCCTCCACATTTGGCGTACTCTCGGCCGCAAAGATCATCGAATAACTCCGCTGCGAAGCTTGAGGCCATCCCTTGTCAGTTATTTTCCTTACATTTTCTCCTCATAAGTCATGCCGCCACCTCCGAACCCACCGACTCCGGCAGCTCCACCACGGCTGAAATGTAAGCCTTGATTCAATTCGGGAAAAACGCCATATCACTTCGTGATATGACAGTAAAACCACTTACAATCCCCCACCGCCGGCTCTGGCAATTGCAAACCCACCGAAGCCTCCTCTACCGCCACCGCCGACTCCACCTCGGCCAAAGACAACGTCACATAACATCGTAAATAATATGAAAAAGCATTTTTTCATCTGGAAATTGGTTTGTGGATTTATGTCGGCTAATTTAGTGATATCATATTCTCATAAGTCCGAAGAAATGTTGCAATTTTAAAACGTTAAAAAATGATATGCAAAATGCAAAACAAATAATATATTTTTACAAAATTAAAATAATAATTCGATCTCAGCGACAAATGTAGACATGTTATAAAACTTTCAAGATATTTCGCTTCTAATTTTTGTCACAAACCTCTAAAAACGGTATTTTCTGGCCCCTCTGCTTGCCTCTCTGACGCCAAACTCTCTTTTTTTCGAAGCAAAAAGCTCACCCAAATCTACGTCACAGAACGTTTGGCCAGAGTCCAAGAGTGTTTCCCCGAAGCGAATTTCGAAAGTCATGCCTGTGTCTTGCATTGCGTATATAGCTGTTGTCTGTTCGATAATGGATCTGTTTGTTGTTGCGAAATTGATGGGACTTGTTGTTGACCTCGCCAGCGGCTCCTTGGGGAATGAGTTATTGCGGAAGTATGGGCAAAACGTGACCTTTTATCTTTATCTTATGCCCCAGCTGTTTCGGGTCGCTAAAAATAATAGGATTGAACTTTTTTGCTGTCTACCTATTAATCACATTCCGTGGTCAGATGGCTACAATAATGTCTTTTTTTATACTACTGCCAAGGGGCTGATGAGTGCTGTACTGCATTCCTGCATTACTTCTTTTTTGCCTTCGCACTTGCACTGCAACTTTTATGCATTTTGTTTTATTTGTGCATTTGAGAAGACGGGGAATTTGTTGTACCGTCTAGAAGGCGATGCGAACAGTCGTGCTTGCCGTTTGGCCAAATTCAAGCATTTGGAGCACACTGTTACGACGGATGGTGATGCTACACTTTGTGTTCCTCAAACGCCCGTGAAGCGGAGATTTTTTCGTTTCGCAAAAACGCTTTGGACCTTGATCTCAAGAAGCCGGTAGGACGTCGGTACATCACAGTAAGTCTTTTTTATGTTCCTTCAAGAATTGGTAGCGCACAACTACCATTCTCAGATTATGAATACATTTGTGACAGGCTTTGATAGAAGTTTTGCAAGGCATATGTGGGACTTTTCAACTTGTCCATCGTCAAAATTTCAGCGCATGCATAGAATCTGCGTGCTTTATAGCGATGAAAAGTTGGCTTTATGTTTGGAATAAGTGGTTTCACATTTCTGAAGAAAGTATTTCAAAGCTCGCAAACGTACGGAAGAAGTTTTAAGGACTAATGTTTTCCTTTTATAAACAAGATACTCTTGTTTTGTTTCAACACAATTTGAGGGAAATCTCAAGCCGCCCTACCGGACTAATTGTCCCTTTTCTGGTTGAAGGACCAGCTGAAAGCTTAGTTTTTATTTCCGAACGTTCGAATGCCGCATAAATCGTTTCAAATTTAATAAACAAAAAACGCGGCATTTTCTTACCGCCCGCCCTGCCTCTTCGGCCGGAACGCTCTCTTTCTTCGCTTGAGAGGATAAAAAGTTTCGTCACGGGGCGGGCATTTGGCCACAATCCAAGCGCCTTTTGGAAATTGTTCAAGGCTGGCCGGCATTGTGAGTACCGTTACTCACTTTACTTTCTGGCCTGACTCTTGAACTCTTTTTTGCCAAAAATTGTTTCCCTTTGCGGGCAGTGTTGCTTGAGGGGTTTTACAGGGGCGTTTTCGTGCTCCATACTTGTTTATTTCCTCCCGTTTCAGATGCTCAAATATGCCGTGATATCGCTAATTAGCATTTCCAATTCGTACGCTCTGGGTGGTCGAGTTTATTCCAAGTAAGAGCTGTTGATTTTTGTTACAATGAGAAGAGAAATGCGCGAAGGGAAAACTTGGTCGTTCGATTTTGAAGAAACTTGCGGTTAACCTAGATTATGATCGTGTTTGAGGTCTCTAACTTAAGCTAAGACCGGACAGTCCAAGACTTTAAGGACACAACTTCTCGTAACACGGATAAGATGGCAAAGAAATGGCCAAAAAAGTCCATTGGCCGGCTTTTCTCAAATTACATCCGTTCTCGCGGCAAGATCCGTTAAATGCCTCAGCAATGCTTGAAGTGCGCAAGCTAAAGCTTTAAGAAATTGACATTCGTGTGTTACAAATCAGGCTTACAGAGAATAAAAGCGAGTTAGAAACCTAGCCCTTAGCCAAGTTCTCTTGCAAAATGCTACATTAGCGCCACCATCTACTGCAACAAATCCCTAATTTTCAGAGATGATTGTATCCGCGCCCACATGAACGATGGGCTGTCGCACGCCGAGGCCTCCGAGCAGTGTGAGTGGGTAGCGAAACTCGGGCAAATTGTTGTAGCCGTCTGCTTTGTGGTCGTCTTCGCCGGCTACATGCTTTATCGGATCAAGAAATTGTGCGAGACGCACGGAGTGGTCTGCCGCGGCGGAGAGCTCCTCTTTGTGCGCAGGGAGCTTCTGGACGGCCGAAATCGTGTTGCTGTGATCGCTGCTCAAGAACCATAGCTCGGCAGAGCCGTGCGAATGTTCCATTTCGAGTTCTACCTCAAGTAATTCTATTAATTTTTTAGTGTTGCAATGTGTCTTTCTTGTTGGCCTCGGTTAACTTTCCCTGGAGGCCATTTCTCATAATTCCCCCCTTCCGGTGCTGTCCACTTGAAATACGAGGTAATCCGAGTATCGGTAAATAAATATTCATACTTTCGTCAAGACGTTTGAAGAACAAAGGGCCCGGCAAAGCGCCTTCCTTCCAAACTGCATAGAAATAGAATACCTGAGAGCCTTCCAGGTGCCTGCAAGGAGTTTTGGAGGGTCAAATAGATGATTCTTTTAGCATTCATAGAATTAACGCATAGCGGCTACCGATATCTTTCATGGTGTTCAGAATGAAACCGAATTCGGGAATCCAGTAGATAACGGCATCATGACAAAACTGAGGATCCAAAAAGATATATTTTCGGGCTGCAGCAGCCAATAAACGCCCCGATTAGTCAATTTATTTTTCAAAGAAAACCTTGATTCGAACTTCGCCCTGCGGCGGACCGTAATGCTCCGCCCAAGCGCCGGTGCAGGTTGAACCCTCCGGAGCGGGAATGTGGTAGACGCCAATGTGATGACGATCGGACTGTGGTGTGTAATCGGATTTTGGTCTAAAAGACCAACGAAAACCAATTGGAAAGTAGCGACAGGAGCCGAAATACAGTACGAACTTACTTGAAGGTAATGATGACGTCAACGCTTTGTCCAAAATCGAGGATACCGGCTGCCGGGCGGATCTTGAAGATGTCATTCCTGGTGCATTTCACTTTGAAGGCCTGGCGAGAGTCGCTTCTATTCGTCAAATGAAGCGTCGCGGAAGTTTCTCCATTCAAATCGCCGGAGAAAATAAGCTGAAAAAAGGGCAGTCTGCGGATAAACAGAGCGCGAGCTGCCAAAAAAATCTTAATTTTTTCATAACTCTGATCAAAAATGCCGAAAATTAAAGTTTGAACAGTCTATCAAACTTGTGACTGTGAATTTTCGTCCTATTTCACCCGACCTACCTTATCTCTGGGCTGAGCGTTGAGCTGGAAGTTTCGCTCACTCATTCCGGCTTCAAACAAATCCACAGCTTCGGACTCCAAGCAATCGACCGGTCCGTTCTTCGGCGACCGTTCCTTGGAAAAGAAAATTGCGCGAAATGACGAAATCAATCTTTGAAATGAGGCAATTTGAAAAATGTTTTTTTTGTAAAAATCTAAAGTTTTTGTGGGTTATTCAGCCCGGGAAAGTTGTCGATTGTAGCCGGAATTTTTCGCTAACGTTGTTGACGAATGATGTCAGGTTGGAGTCAAGTGTGATGCGTTTGCTGGGAAGTTGCAGTTAGGAAAATGCAAAGTCTGAAGTCCTCCACGGTTCCTGTGCTCTCTCGGCGTCAAAAACCATTGAGTACGAATCATCTCTTTTTACGCTGTGTATGACGCTCGAGCTGTAGCTGTTAAAATAATTTTTTAGTAGTGTGTGTCCAGAAAACTGAAAGGAGACGGCAAGAACACTATTAGAACCACAGATTACGAACCTTTCATAAAAGAAAGGGAATCTTTCTCTGATAAGAGTTGGCATTCTCCAAACAATGACCTTAATTAGGCTCCTGACTTTTTGTTTTATTCTAGTACAAGTTGCCAACGGGTTTGTGCCCGATATTGCTATCCCGGTTGTCTTCGAAGATGATCGAAAAATTTCGAGGGATCTACTGATCGACTTGACCAGTTCATCCAGTTTTGTGCTTGAGAAAAGAGCCTTTGAAAAGTCCGTTGGAAGAAACAACACCTACGAACCTGAGGCCTCAAAGACCTTTAAGAAATTGTCTGCGGGAAACTTGTCGTACGACCAGCCATACAGTAATCATCAAGCGTTTGCTCATGGATATTGGGGTGAAGATGAACTGGCGATATCAGGAATACAATCGGAAGGAAGATTCTTGGCGGTTAACAGGACTGTTGATGGGCAAATTACGCAACGGTTTAGCGGTAAATATGCGGCTGGAGTTATTGGATTTTCACAGAAATGGGGAGTGAAAACTTTGAGAGACGGAGTGTTCAGAAGGATCAGCAAGAACTTGTGTTTCTATACCAGCTATAATGAGGAGTATGTAATGAGTTTTTGCTTTTTGACAACGTTCAGATCTTAATGAAATTTGGCACTATTACTAACGCAGTTTGTAGCCGCAAATTTTCCCACACATGATTGTAAATTTCAGAGCTGCAGTGACTACCGTCTCATTGGGAGCCCAAGGCAAAAACACAAAGGATCACATTGTGTCGGCACCAGTTCAGCGCAACATGGAAGGCCTTTGGCAGGTTCTCCTGACCTCCCTGAAGATCGGGAATTACAATTTGGCCAGCCGGAATTTTGCCATTTTGAGCACTCTCACCGACAAGATTGTGGTCCCGGAGAGTGTGTTCGGCAGCATTGTGCGAGCCGTGAAAGCCCGCTTCGACAGTCGGCTTCAATTATACACAGTGGACTGTGACTTACAAACACAACTGCAAATCGGAATTCAATTTGAGACCATAACTTTGACGACACATACGTTTATTCAGTCCAAAGATGGGCAATGCATTCTGAATATCCGGCCGCACAAACAGCCCACGTATGTGCTAGGCGCGGCTGCATTTGTCGACAATGGAGTATGCTTGGATTTTTTCGACAGCATCGTCACATTTTTCCGACCCCCAAAGCTGGAGAAGCTCGTTGCAAACTGCTCTAGACGCGTTAGCATAACGAAAGAAAATGTTGAATTTGAAAATGTAGTTCTTCTGAAATAAACCGTTATGCATCGGATCCCAACAGATTAGAGGAAACTTTTTTCTATTGTAAAAATCAACAATTTTTGCGCTTACAGGTGAAGTATCCAAAGAGTCACTTTCAGATTTACGAGCTTCTAGCTCGACCTTTGCAGAAACGAATTAGGTTTTGAGGTCACAAGATGCAAAAACCCAATGTTTTCGGCGAATTTCGGCTTGTCCATTTCCCCCCTATGGATAAAGTTATCAACAAAAAATTAATTTTTCTCACGCAAAACTCTGCAAATTTATGGGCAATTCAATATACCGGCAAAGAGCACGCAAAAATTTTCAAGAATTGATATCTGGATATACCGGGCGTCTGTTCAAAATGTAAGAAAATATGAGCGTCCTGCTTCTAGACCTTCAGTTTTTAATGACAAAATAAAACATTGAAGCAGTTTGAAAACGGATATTTGAAAATATTTTAAAAATTTCTAACGATAAGCTGACTTTAAGTCATTCATTCAATGTTTATTTTCTCATAATGTCGCTAGTTCCGGAAATAAAGCCTTATCACAAATTTTCCCCACTAATTACCTCATTCGTTACAATTGATAATATATCAAGAAATAGATGATAAATATTATCATGAAATAGATGAGAAAAGGACTTTTCGTTCAAAAACGGTTGTTTTGCTTCAGCGAATATTCACAAATGCGTCATGTAATATCTTTATTTTTATTTCTAATCCTCATCAGCCTAACTGTCTCTCAGTATCCCACATTCACGTATAATGTCAAATTAACCGGTGCGTCGGAAAAGCACAGATTTGCAATCGACGTATCTACATCAACTTCGTTTATCTTGGAGCGAGACGCCTTTAATGCATCTGCTGGCTTTGAAAATACTTTTGAACCCGCCGACTCTGGCAGCTTTGAGAAAGGCGAAATCTTTTTTCAACAATACAATCTTCCGTACAACAAGAGATACACGGTTTTGACGGGATATTTCGGCGAAGACATTATGAATTCGACGAGTGGAGTCAAAGAAACCTTTGTTGTAATTAACAAGACAAACAGCAACGAGATTTTAAAGACGTTGAATGGAGATGACTGGCTTGCCGGAAGACTGGGGTTTGGGTTGACAAGCCCGGAGAATCGGACTAGCAGCCTGGGATATTCGCTATTGACGAAAAACGAAGCCATTATGTGTCTGCTCGTGGACAAAGTAAAGTAGGTGAAAATAAAAGGCGCTACAACTTTTTGGGTCAGCGACAGTTTGGATCAACAATATAGTACCATGGATTGCTTCGGTTAGTCGTTGTATTTGAGAGAGGATGGGAGAAGGCTTAGTTAGCAGAAATATTATAAGACTTCCTTGGTCCTAGGGTGGCCTATCACCTATTTTGAGGTGTTTTACATGTACTCACATCATTAATATTTAGATAAAAGTCATGTATCTTCGTTTTCTGCCACAAGTTTTGATTTTTATATGTGATGATACAATAACTCGGGGTGAAGAAAAATAACGTTAGTATTAGTCAAAATTAGAAAAAGTGGGAATATTGCAAGTCTTCGCCGAGCCTTCGCCGAGTGTCCGCCGACCATCCCACGGCTTTTCCAGCCCTCGTAGGAGTTTCTGACGACCTTTTTTTGGGGATCCACCTACCCGACGCTCCGTATCGATCGATTTTGTGTTGACCCAAACTGTTGTCGACCCGAAAAGTCGAGACTCGAACGGATTTCGTGCAGAATGGCATTTATTTTTCAGGCGGACAACTACAGTTACCTTCCAAAAGCCACCACTTGGAGAAGAGATCGTCTGCGATTTCCCCGAGCCGAATAATGAAGGCCTTTGGGAAATCAACGTTTCAGCCGTCGTTTTTGGAAAATTTAATCTTCCAGCCAACTATACGGCTGTTTTGAGTACGACCACAGCGCAGCTTCACCTCCCAACCAAAGCCTTTAATGGAATTCTCAAAGAGCTGAATGCCACATGGAGCGACGAACATCAAACGCACGTTACTAACGTTGAGATTCACACTGGCCCCTTAGCGTTGAAACACGGCGACGTTGGAGCGCTAGAAATCATTTATGGTTCGTTTACAAGGAGAGTTTGCGACGTGAGACTGATCGACATACGAGCACACGACAAGAACGTGATTGTTCTGGGGATGCCCTTTTTCACTTGCAACAATGTCTGTCTTGATTTTGACAAGGCAGAGGTCAGCTTCAGCAAGAACTATTAGTTGTTTAGGAGAGGCTGTAGATAAAAAATTTCGAATATTAAACCATCGTTTTCGATGATAGAGCACTTTTTTCCAAGCAATCATCAAATGGAGATTTGTTTCGACCGGTCAGAACTAATTCGGTCGGTTTCGCAGACAGGTTGACGATGCGACTGACTCTTTTCCTCTTCCTTTTACTGATCCCCGCCAGCAATGCCATGCCTTTTCTCGCAGCCAGAGCGGCCATGCAGACCGACGAAGCGATTGGCGACAGCACGGCGAAGCCGCTCATCGACAACGACCAAAAGCGGCTGAATGAGAGTGTTGTTCAAGAGTAAGTGTTTTTTGGGAAGGCAGGGGCTTCAAGTGGGACACAGAAATTTTGGTGAAACCTGGGACAAATTTAGATTTTCTCTGGAGCTGATTCGTGGCCTATGCTTTGCTCGTCCATGGGAATGTCTGAAAATTTTAAAGAAAATCTGGGCGTCGCACTGTGAACTGGAGCCTTCCTTTGATTTGGATGAATCTCGATTTTACTCAAAAAAGGAGAATCCATTACGTCCCATTAGGTCCTCAAATCCTCTCGTACATCATTTTCTTTCAGTCTGAAACAATTGGTCTCCGATGCCGGTGGATTCATGCACAGTACGGCCTCCAAAATCTGGTCCTTGGTCACGTTCACGGGTCGCGAAAGTTTTCACATCAACACAGCCAGCATTGATCCGAATCTCATGAAGCCTGTGAACAGTCCGTCAGCCAATGAGACGGGAGGTCACGAGGGCATCAGTCGTCCCGATTCCTACAACCAATGGCTAATTGTCAACGCTCCATTGGCCGTTTGGTTTGTCTTCATCTTGTGTGTCTTGTTGTGCGTCTGCTGTCTGTGCAAATGCTGTTGCTGATTTGACGTCTTGGCGAATAAAAACTGATTTCCCAGTTGTGTTATTGTAGTAGTCGGTCTAGATTACGGTTGAAGAATACGAAGCTTTTATCATGTGTTTAACATAAACTATGGCTAATACCATTAACACTAATGCTACGCAATACTGAATCAGTCGTCCGACAAAGTAGCTGACGGCTCAACTTTGGGTTGAAAACTTCCAGAAAATGCGTCATCAAGACACAAAAATGGGTGATCATTTATACATGCAAATCATAATCTTTTCCGTCGATAAAGGCCTAGACTGGTCTCGTAACTCTGAAATACAAAAATTCAGCTCATTAACGCATCGAATTCGCCGAAAATCAACGAGATCAGCCCAGGATGACATATTTTTTGGACTGTTTATTTTATGTCATCTTTCCTTTTTTTCTCTCGGAATTTCGGCCCAAGTTTCCTGAATTTCTGGAGGTTCTCCATTTTTCTTCTCCATCAACGGCAAGACTCGGTTGTAGGAAGTTAGCGCAGCTTCTCAATTTATTCAATTTTCACGGATTTACAGGTAATAAACATCTTTTACCAAGGGTTTATCAAGTCCTTCTCTAGATTATGGAAAGGCGCCGTCTTCGAAGCCATCCTCAACAACAAAGTAGACGTAATCGTCGTCCAGCACGTAGAAACTCTTCGTTGGACCATTTTCCAATAAGTGAACCGACTCCAAGCACACCTATTCCCAACTTTCCAAATGAGGTATGTTGTTATAGATTCGTACTTGATTTTTAGGTAATACTGGTAACCTGGTTATCGTTTTTGGTCTTTTACGTTGAAACTACTCCGGTCTTTTATTTCATGGATGGTTTAGAGAGATTCGAAAAGAATAACCGCATTGCTCGAGAATATTTCTTTTGTACCTTGTGCAATTTAGAAAAACCCTTTCTTGGATTTGTATCTTACTGACTTATTTTCAGACAATTGGACACTTAATGTTATACCTTGATGCGCAATCATTACGAGCATGTAGTGAAGTGTCAAGGCTTTGGCGACAACTCAGCGAATCCGAGCGTGTCTGGCGTGCGAAAAGTGAGGAAGAAGGATGCGACTGGTACGAACTTTCCAAGCTGTATGTATTTATTATGTTTATCTGATTTTAGATACACTGAGGAGTCAATCGGAAAAAATAAAGCCTTGTCTGTCTTTTGCTATATTACACTTGATCGTTTTAGAGTGCGACAATTCAGACCCTTATCGTTCTATGACAACAAGCTCACTCGTCGCACCTATCGTCTTCCGATGTATGCCGGGTTTCCCTCTGCTCCATTGGCGTATCCTTTGCAAAGTTACGGTTGTGTTCATGACCGGGCCATTCTGAAATGCGCCTACATGGCCAAGATGCGGACTGTTGGGAATTGGGTAAAGCGAAGGCCCAGATCCGTCAACACACTTGATTGCCCTCAGTCTGACTATTTGGTGGATTGGGACGAGCACGGAAGAGTTATGGCATTTGTCGGCTCGGATCACAGGATCACCATCTTCTCCATGCTGAAATCTGAAGTAAGGTTTTTATTTTTTGTTGAGTTTTAGATATTAACACTGATGAAGAAGCAGTAAGGAGTGTGAATCGTTTTAGGTCGAAGTTACCTTCTATTTCCATCAAAGTCAAGTTGTGAACATCTGTGTCGCCGGCGATGCAAAAATGATAATGTCAGCTGACAGAGAAGCCAATGTCGTCTTCTGGAACGTCCATAATGGCCTACAGTTTGCTCAGATCAAGTCTACACATGGTCAAGCGGATGCGCTGAAACTTTGGTGCGATGAGGAAGGGTAAGACCACCAAAAAAATTCATTGGCATACGTAATTGCAGGTAATCATGTATAATATTGCAGGGAGAAGTATTTGGGCATCCTTTTCAACTCGGACACTCGTTATGTCACATTGTGGAATCCACTGACCAAACAACAAGCTCATACACGTCTGCCACAGGTTGTAGAGATTGCCAATAATAACAGGAATCCGGACGAAGAACACGATGATGAAGTGGAATTTGATGGACAAAGGGCGATAATCTCGACAGGGAATTCGGTATTCGTTCTCTCCGTGGATAATAACAAGGTCTTAGTGACGCATGTCCTCAGTTTCCATCAAAAGAACATTTTTGCTATGGTGGTAAGTGAGTTAAGATCATGGATAATATAGTAATGGTGGGTTTGGGAAAATTTTATGTTCGAGGAAGGATATAAGGCTGGTATTTTCAGTACTGCCCCCAACGGAAGCTCTTGGTCACGTCGGACGATAATAACATTGTTTGTGTTTGGAATATCAACACTGGTCGTCTGGATCGACATCTCGCTCCACATGGGCCCGGAATGGTCTTGACGATCGCTCTGAATAAGAAGGGCGACATCCTCGCGACCTCGGGATCAGACAGATGCTTGTGTATTTACAGCACGGAGACTTTGGAGAGGATCAATGTGTTTACCGGAAGAGACGTCGGAATCATTGATGAAATCCGTTTCATCGACAACCGACTGATGCTGACCAGCTCCACGGATGGACGAGTAAAGCTGTGGGATTATCGAGCGGGTAGGAAGTTGTACTTTGAGATTAGTTTTCCCTCTTTTAGGCCGCCATATTCAAGATCTGATGGATCTTTCGGCCGCGCCACGCCGAATGCGCATCGGCCGAATGTTCGCATCCGAAACCAACTTTTGCTGCATAATTGGAGAGAAACGCGGCCTCCAGGCCAACAAGGTCATCATGATGGACTTCTTCGACGCCATCTGACCCATACTAACATGCATCGTGCAATCTGATTAACAATGATACTATTTATTATCCTCGTTGTTAAAGATTTCACCTGTGCCTTGCCATAGCTCTTAGTGTATATAATTTTCTAACCGTTGTTATTTCCCAACCCAATCTAGTCCATCCTCATATTGTTTTAGTGTGCCGACCCCTCCGTCCGGTAACTCATTTTTGTTATGTAATATTATGTTTGTTACTATTTAATCCAACGGTTCAGACTTGGAATTTGTGACCTCAACATGGATACTAATCAGGTTTAGTCTTTAAATAATTTTGAATAAATAATTGTAAATGCCAGTGGCTGTTGTTGAAGATGAAGGGATGAATAAGGTTATTCAGGGGGCCATACTTGAAAAATCAAGAAGGAGATCGTCAACTGTAGCTTCATCGTCACGAAGGAGGAGTTAATTGATGACCGGCATAGTTTGCAGAAGAGATTTTGGCCAAGTAAACTGACCAACTAAAAAATGTAATACTGACGATTTTTTTGGATACGAAAGCGTTTTTTTCGTTTTTTTTTGCTTCCGAAGTCGACTTGTTGATGTTCTTCCGAAGACTTTCGCTTGTGTTTCTAAGCCTTGCGTTCAATTTTATGTCTTTTCGATTTCTCGCCGATCGTCCCTTGTTTTACCTGTAATAAAATTTATTTTCTTTTCAGAAAGTGGATAAACGCGACCGTTTAGATAGATGTCAGATACAGAGAGCCCTTGCAACGCATCATGCAGCAAACTGAAGCGCAAAAACTCCACCGAGCTTGAGTACGACGATGTGGAAGAAGCTCTGTCTGCAGAGCCGATTTGTCGATGTGAGGATGAGCTGAACGAACGCTGCCTCATGTTCCGAGGAATCACTCCGAGGAAGGGGGCCAGCCTCTACGTCATTATTTACCAGATGATCCAAGAGCAGCTGAAACTTGAAGACGCTGTGAAGCCAGAAGATATTGGGCGCATCTGGGTCTCGCAAACTGGTGTCAAAGTGGAGTTCAGCACAAAAGAGCAGGTCAATTTGATTATGAGGTTTTCTGGAAGGCTTCAAAGTTTCAAGTTCAATGATCGGAAAGTTAGGGTACGTTTTTTTATTGAATTTTCTGTTTTTTAGGTAGATCAGCCATGTATAATATAAAATTTTTGCGCAATCTGGTTCGATACCTTCAATTTTTGCTGAAATTTTTGTAGGAGCTCTATGAAGGCCTAGCCTAACATTAGTTGGGCCAACAGTTTCCAAATATGATTCATTTACCTCAATTTTATATCATTTTACCTTCAGGTGGCACTGCTTCCTTCTCCTGAGCAGTTGAAACTCAAAGAACTCCAAGATCTCACTCTTATCCGCCTCCGTGAATTCTACAAGCTTCAGAAGCAGGATATTGAACTGAGCGGAGTGGACCAGTTTGTCTTTCTTCCAAATACCGAAATCAATCCAACGTCCCAAAGAAATGTGGTCTACCTGCAAGAGGCCGTGTTCCTGGTGACCGAAAAATTTGAGGAACTTTCGACCAGAAAAAAGTTGGGGAAGACCAGAAGAAAACAATACACACGCTACAAGGACTTAGTCGAAAGTTTGGGCTGGAGTGTTCGTCGAGATCAGTGTCTGGATCGACTGGTCAGATCGTTCAAGCGCAGGCTGGACCTCAGTAATGACTCTGTTGGGCCGAGTTTCAAACGGAGCAGAGGTTCTATTTCCATGAAGGAAGAGGAAGATTGAGAAAGACTTTGTTATTACGCAGCTTTTTTATATTATACATATTTCTTATACAAGATGACGTATTTTTTCATTGTTTTAGGTTTGTTGCTATCTGAATTTGTAAGTATATTGTGTATTCTCCCAGATAGATTTGTGTTTTGCTAATAAAACACTTTTGAACATTGGAAATGGGATGGCATAGGTTTTCGCTTCGGGACAGGGAAAAAATAATTTTTTGGAAAATTTGAAAGGTTTTCGCTTCGATACAGTGAAAAAGAATTTTTTGGAAAATTTGAATAAAATTTGAAATGGTTGCGTTAAAGTTTTACAAACGTTTAAATTTTGCTGAAAGACGGTCCATTACGGTTATAACCATTAACCTTACACCTGTTTGAGCAACCCAAAATTTCTATCACTGTATCCCATGTTTATTCAATTCATCAATCAACACGTCGGTTTCTAGAATGGCTCCATAGATTGTTACATGGATATAGTCGAGCCAGACCATTATTCCATGCATGGTTGCGGCATAACATGTGTCCGTGACGAAGTCGCAGAGTGCTTTCATAAAGTCCACTTTTATACAATTGTCGCATTTCACGGACTGAACCACTTTGTTGACTTTGGCAGCGATTTGTCGGTTCAGCTAAAGATTATGATTCCAATGATCTTATGTGCCGTCAAACTGTGTGACTTACAGTATAGTTAAAGTTGACTTCGTGGACTCGGTTTTCGTCCAGTACCTTGGGTAGTTTTTGCGGTTCCAGTTCGCTTTCATGCTCAGAATAGCCGATTACGACCAACTTTGCTCGTTTGCTAACTCGATCGTAGAAGGCCTGCATTTGGTTCAGCATGTGCTTTTCGACGTAATCTGGCTGAAATGAGGTAATTCGAAACACAGTGACGGACCTGATCCGGTGACAAAAAGCGTACCATTTTGCATCCGGGAAGTATCAAAAAATGTTCCAAAATCCCTCCTTCTCCAAATGAAAAAAATCAATTTTGAGGGGCGACCTTTCCACATAAAAAAAGCGGGCGCGCTTTGGAAATCGGAGTTTTTTCGCTTGGAGAGGGAGGTATTTTGCTACATTTTTGATACATCCCAGATGCAAAATGGTACGTTTTCTGCCACTGGGTCAGGTCCGCCACTGTATTGAAGTCATTAGTGGCAATGCTATACAATTGACCACTAAACTTACCGCGGGTATTGGACATCCAACAGCCTTTGGCTTGGCATGCAATTGGTAATAGCTAAAATTTAGTTTTGTTGAAGAAGGGTTTTTTGATTCTTACGTATGCCTAATAATGAGAATGTCGATCGGTCGATCCCACCGTTCAATGAGTCCAATGAAGTCCCAGTCAGTCTCATTTGTTTCCGGATTTACGTAGAACGGGATGACACAGGGTACGCAATACATTGATAGCCGTTTGTACATGTGCTTCATTTGTGGCCAAACCCCGAAGAAAAGATCCCGAGCAAAACTGTTGCCAACGATGGCGATCTCCTTGTCTCCTGTTCCCTGAAAGGTTTTTATGGCTTCAGAACATATGGTGCATTTTTTGAGTTCAACGCAATTTCAGATTATAAGGTCATTGCGTTTACCTTGCGTCATATTTTTTACTAAAAAATATTGGTTGACGAATATACGTCCATTTTACACTGTTTCATAGGGTAGTATGCCAAATTAGAATCTTGCTCGCTTGTTGGAAACGTCGCTTCAGACTTCTTACCTCAACTTGACACGCAAATTCCGTATATGTCAGCTCGGTTTTGCCGTACTTGTTGATATGGGCTTGTCGGCATTCCTTTATAAAGTCGAAAAAGTACGAATGGACTTGCACGTTGTACTCCATGGCTTCCCTATGTGTAAGGGTCAGGTTAGTGCGGTGATTGTAGAAATATAGGGACCTTTCCATAACGGACATGTTGTTTGTGGGTATCTTGTTCGTTCCTGTATGTATTGGCTTGAGAGCTGTAAGGTCGGCTTGCTGGCTGAACATGAACAACGCAGTGGACATTAAGATGGCATAGATTAGTGTTAAGAGTTTGAGGAGCTTTGGCCAGTTATCAATGTGAGAAGAGACCTTCTTAAAGCCATTTTCGAGCGGAATACTCAGTAGTAATGATGCTTGGAGGATGAATACGCCTTCTAAAATGCCGTGGAGTTTAGAATACTTTGTTTTTTGTGCTACAAAATCGCCAGGTTTACTCTTACCCTGAACTTTCGGTCCAGTCATTGACCACTCTCCAACATATTTGCTCATAATAATTAACGGCCAATGAATAAGGTATAGCGAATAGGAAACGTCCCCAACATAGACGGCCACTCGATTCTCAACGAAACTATTGCCCTTTACCATGATGAACAAAGCAGCTATTGATGTGCACAAAAGCCGGTTGAGCCAGAAGATGTAGGTCGGTGGATATGCCAATTGAACCAAAAGAGCTGCTGCTAGGCCGTTTTTGATCGCATAATAGTGATTATAGATGTTGAAAGGGGCTGGCTCATCTTCTTCCAGAGGTAATTTTTCGTAATTGTTTTCCGGCTTGATGGATTCGATCAAAAAGCCCAATAGAAATTGCCAGATACGAGATAATAGGCTCATATGAGCAATATTTACATCTGAAATTACGTAAGATGGTGTTGGTTTTGTTCTTCGCATTTTTTGACTTGCTCACTTACTGTATTCATTGAGAACCTGATATCCGAAGCTCAGCACAGCCATTGCAGCAATTACTCCCGGTCCCGCATACTTTTCGCGTTTTCGCAGCACATCATAAAGCGCATAGATTCCGGGCACAATGAGGTAAAATTGAATTTCAACCGACAATGACCAAGTATGCAAAAATAGTGGAAACGCATTATTTGCCGTAAAATACCCTTTCGGTGGGAGATTAAAAAGGTTTGATGTGAATGTTGCGGCCGACATTAGTTCACGAAGGATCCCTTTGAATTCTTGGTTGTAAAAAATGTTGGTCGCAGCGACTGTGACGACAATGAGAACGGTAAGATAAGTGGGGAGGATCCGGCGGATTCTCCGGAAGTAGAAGGTGATTACGTTCTGGACTGTATACTCCTTTGAACTGAGAATCTTTTGCATCAAGTAGCCAGAGATTACAAAGAATCTGAAATAAAATGCTGTGGTTTTCTTATCGTGCTTGGAGTTTATTTTTTGATTAATACAGAGCTGAAACAGTTACAGTCGCTTATATCACCAAAATTGGGGTCTGGAGCGTACCGAAAATCGGCATCAAAAATGTCTTGTTTTGCGCTAACCTCTACGTGGTTTTGTCGCAGCAAAATCTCTCCCCTCGTCGCTGTCCCGCACCAAATTTCCAGCCACGGATAGCTGTTTCAAGGCGACGACGGGCGATTTCAAAGCGCGACGAATCCACATTATTTTCCCGACAGGCTGATATGACAGCTGTAGGGCTCCAAAATTTCTCATGAGGTGCTGTTTTTGTCTTTACTTACATGTCAACTCCCAAAAATCCATTGATGAATACCGTTGGCCATAGATGAAATAAAACCACGTAGATTACAGCCACACATCGTAGACCTTGCACATCTAACTCCATTTTTCTCACTGTTTGTCTATTTGGTCGTCCAGAGGGTTCGTTCGTTTTTTGATTGCGTTGTTTTACATGGATTGTTTGTTCTTTGGCAAAGGGGATATATTTACCTGATACAGCTTTTTCTGCTCTACAAAACTGTGTTTTTAGTTTGTGTTAAAGTTTAATTTTTTATTATTTTTTGGGATCAATAAAGTTTTTGAGGTCCTCTTCGCCGTCGAATTTTTCACCCCGGATTTGGTTTGACAGGAAGCGGAAAAGGGGGTAATCGATTGGCGCAAGGTCCTAGAGCATGGTGGATACCGAAGAACCTCCCATTTGAGCTTTTGGAGTGCAATTTTGACGATTTATGCAACATAACGGCAAGATGGTGTAGCTGGGCAGCACAGAGCTACTTGTTGACCGTGGCGTTAGTTTCAAACATTTTCCGATGCACCATGGCCCAGTCCCACCAAACGCAGATCATGGCCTTTTTGGGTTGGGATCTCGCTTGACTGTCCCTGTGGAGCCACCCACTGCAGGAGACAGTCAACACTTTGCTTCATATTGACGTACAGACACTGTTTCTCGTATACCATGATGATTCGTACCAAAAGCGCTGCTTATGCTCACGTACTGCTCGGCGAAAAAGCAGGTGCCGTAAGCGCCTCCTGGATGGTTCAGTTTTGAGTACGAAAAATAATAAAAAATTAAATTTTCAAAAAGAAACTAAAAACATACATAGTTTTGTAGAGGAGAAAAAGCTGTATCAAATAAATATATTCCCTTTGCCAAAAAACGAACAATCCTTGTAAAACAAAGCAATGAAAAACGAGCGAACATTCTGGACGACCTAATATATGGACTAACTTCTACTACATATCGAAACATTGCTTTCCTCGAATCTAATTTTGCTTTATATTGTTGATAATGCGATTGAAATTCGTTTTTAACACTTAGTACTATATATAGTACCAGATGGTATCATCGATTTAAGACAAAATTTTAGTGGTGGCGGCACTCAGTTCATATTCAGTCAGGCACCCTTTTTTCTACTCCCGAAGCGAAAATATGTATTTGAACATTTTCACAAAAAAATCTTTGTTTCCACTACCGAAGCAAGATCTTTTAGTCAAAGGTACTTTGAATTATTCTACGTAGTTTTCCGATTTTATCATTATAGGTAGTCAGGTTGGTTGATTGAGATGTTGTGGCCGATTCTAGCAAATGTCGAATTTCCATAGCTATAGTTGCAATTTCGAGCCTTGGTGGCAACCCACAATTTCTAATCACTGTATCCCATGTTTATTCAATTCATCAACCAATACGTCGGCTTCTAGAATGGCTCCATAGATTGTTACGTGGATATAGTCCAGCCAGACCATTATTCCCTGCAAGGTTGCGGCATAGCATGTATCCGTGACGTAGTCGCAGAGTCCTTTCATATAGTCCACCTTTATACAATTGTCGCATTTCACGGTCTGAATCACTTTGTTGACTTTGGCAGCAATTTGTCGGTTCAGCTAAAGATTATGATTCCAATGATCTTATGTGCCGTCAAACTGTGTGACTTACAGTATAGTTAAAGTTGACTTCGTGGACTCGGTTTTCGGCTAGTGCCTTGGTTAGTTTTTGAACTTGGAGTTCGCTTTCATGCTCTGAATAGCCGATTACAACTAGTTTTGCTCGTTTGCTGATCCGATCGTAGAATGCCTGCATTTGGTTTAGCATGTCCGTTTCGACGTAGTTTGGCTGAAATGATGTGGATCGCGATACAGTGACGACATGATCCAGCGGCGAAAAACGTACCATTTTGCATCCAGGAAATATCAAAAAATGTAGCAAAATGCCTCCCTCTGCAACTAAGAAACTCCGTTTTGAAGGGCGCGCCATTTCCCTCACAGAAGGAGGGGCGCGCTTTTGAAATCGGAGTCTTTTCACTTGGAGATAGAGGTATTTTGCTTTATTTTTTGATACTCCCCGGATGCAAAATGGTACGTTTACTGCCACTGTATCACGTCCGCCACTGTATTGAAGTCATTAGTGGCAATGGTGTGCAATTGGCCGCTAAACTCACCGCGGGTATCGCACATCCAACATTCTTTGGCTTGGTATGTAATTGGTAGTAGCTAAAATTTAGAGCCTTATTCAAAAATCACTCTTTGATGCTTACGTATGCCTGACAATGAGAACGTCGATCGGTCTATCCCACCTCTCAATAAGTCCAATGAAGTCCCAGTCGGTCTTATTTGTTGTCGGATTGACGTAGAACGGAATGACGCAAGATATACAATACATTGAGAGCCGCTTGTACATGTGCTTCATTTGTGGCCAAACCCCGAAGAAAAGGTCTCGAGCAAAACTGTTGCCAACTATCACAATTTCCTTGTCTCCCGTTCCCTGAAAGTTTTTTGGTGGCGTCACAGCATATGTTTTTCTTGAGTTCAACGCAATTTCAGTTTACAAAGTTAGAGCATTTTCCCTTACGTCATAATTTTTTTTCACTAGGAAAAGGTTAGTTGCGAAATAAACCAGTCCATTTTGCATTGTATCATATACTAATAGGAAAAATTACAATCTTGCTCGCTCGTTGAAAACGTCGCTTCAGACTTCTTACCTCAACTTGACACGCAATTTGAGTATATGTCAGTTCGGTGGGGCCGTACTTGTTGATATGGGCTTGTCGGCATTCCGTTATAAAGTTCAAGAAGTACGAGTAGGCTTGCACGTTGTAATCGATGGCTTCCTTATGTGTAAGGGTCAGGTTAGTGCGGTGATTGTAAAAATATAGGGTTCTTTCCATGACGGACATATTTTTTGTCGGTACCTTGTCCATTCCTACGTGTATTGGCTTGATCGCTGTGAGGTCGGCTTTCTGGGTGAACATGAACAACGCAGTGGACATTAGAATGACATAGATTAGTGTTAAGAGTTTGAGGAGCTTTGGCCAGTTATCAATGTGAGAAGACACTTTCTTAAAGCCATTTTCAAGTAGAATACTCAGCAGTAATGATGCTTGGAGGATGAATACGCCTTCTAAAATGCCGTGGAGTTTAGAATACTTTGTCTTCTGTGCTTCAAAATCGCCAAATTTGCACTTACCCTGAACTTTCGGTCCAGTCATTGCCCATGCTCCAACATATTTGCTCATAATAATTAACGGCCAATGAATAAGATATAGCGAATAGGAAACGTCCCCAACATAGACGACCACTCGGTTCTCGACGAAACTGTTGCTCTTTATCATGATGAATAAAGCAGCTATTGATGTGCACAAAAGTCGGTTGAGCCAGATGATGAATGATGGTGGATATGCCAATTGAATCAAAAGTACTATTGCTAAGCCGTTTTTGATCATGTAATAGTGATTATGAATGTTGAAAGGGGCTGCCTCATCTTTTTCTTGAGGTAGTTTTTCGTAATTGTTATCCGGCTTGATGGATTCGATCAGAAAGCCCAATAGAAATTGCCAGATACGAGAGAACAGACTCATGTGAGCAATGTTTATATCTGCAACCACGTAAGATGATGGTGATTTAGTTCTCGGAGCTCTTTCTCAACTTGCTCACTTACTGTTTTCATTGAGAGCCTGATATCCAAAGCTCAGCACAGCCATGGCAGCAATTACTCCTGGACCCGCATTCTTTTCGTGTTTTCGCAGCACATCATAAAGCGCATAGATTCCGGGCACAATGAGGTAAAATTGAATCTCAACCGATAATGACCATGTGTGCAAAAATAGTGGAAACGCATTATTTGCCGCAAAATACCCTTGCGCTGGGAGATTAAAAACGTTAGATGTGAATGTTGCGGCCGGAATTAGTTCACCAAGGATCCCTTTGAACTCTTGGTTGATAAAAATGTTCGTCGCAGCGACTGTGACGACAATGAGAACGGTAAGATAAGTGGGGAGGATACGGCGGATTCTCCGGAAGTAGAAGGTGATTACGTTCTGGACTGTATACTCCTTTGAACTGAGAATCTTTTGCATCAAGTAGCCAGAGATTACAAAAAATCTGGAATAAAATGCTACAGCTTCCTTATCGGGAGTCTGTAATCATCAATCTGTCGTGAAAATAATGGCGATTTGTTGCAGAAAAATCAAAGCGCGACAAATCAACATTATTTTCCCGACAGTCAGATACTATAGATTTTCAAAAATGCGTAGACTTTTTGTTGCGGCGCACAGTGCATTCCACTTTTTTTCGCATTGTGGGAAATATGTTACCACTGGGCGAAATCCAAAAATCTCTTGTGCTGCTGTTGTCGTTACTTACATGTCAACTCCCAAAAATCCGTTGATGAATACCGTTGGCCATAGATGAAATAAAACCACGTAGATTACAGCCACACATCGTAGACCTTGCACATCTAGCTCCATTTTTCTCACTGTTTGAATCTATTATTTTCTAAAGAGTAATAGCAAATCATATGGACTAACTTCTACTTCATATCGAAATCATTGCTTTCTTCAAATCTAATTTTGTTTTATATCGTTGATAATGCGATTCAAATTCAGTTGGGTGCATTTATGTTAATCAAATTATCTTGGCGGTTTTATGACCGTAACGTCGTGGTTGGCTAATTGATTGGCTCGGAAAAAGGATTGAGGCCAAAACCGAATATCAGAATAAGAATAAAACAAGTTTCATTTTGGAAATTATTTGTAGAATGGTATAATCAATGTGGAGGATCTGTGTGGGCCATACTTCTTCTTCAGAAAACTTTCGGTCTTGCTTAGCAAGCACTTTTCAACGATCTTTGCAGGCGAGGGACTGGGAAAGAGGAACGGTGATCAAAGAAAACAACGTTTTTTTCTCTGACCGTTGCCCTAATGTTTCATGGTCCGTTTTCCGCGTAGATCATTGAATATTGCGGCCGTTTCTTCCAAGCTAAGTAAACATACAAAAGTATTCCCAAGTATGGTTCTTTATGCCCATATTGTTATCTATATTTATAATCATGTGCGGAGGCGGAAATTCTCAATGATTGGTCACAGCCGCATTAGACTGGGAACGCAAAGTTTAAAGGAACATTGACAGGTTTTCTTACGGCACTTCCCTAGTTTGGGTATGTAATTTATTGTGTAGTGTTGAGAGGACTAATCTCAGACTCCTTGTGAGATGACATGAGTTTTTCAGAAATATGAGCAAATTTAGCAAATTTGATAAGCTCCTCAAACGTCCAAGCCTCCGGGATTGCCCTGTAATCTTTCCTAATCGCCTATTTATACCCAAACTCGTGCCTAAGCCTTCTTCATTACTTATGAATAGATAAAAGCCAAAGAATGCGAGCCCTCTCTTCTCTTTGTCCTTCAGCCATTCTGACCGCATGAGTATGTAGAAAGATACTCGATGCATTTGCTGTTTGTGAGGGCGTTTTAAACCCTTGCTCCACTTTTTTTGGAAATTTCGCGAGGTTGTTTTGATGTTATCGGGAAATTTTTGCAAAACCTTTAGGCCTTTGCAACATACATGTATAAATTCTTTAATTTTCGGGTGTTTTCATCTGTTTTACTGCAGAAAGAAACAGTTTTTATTCTTCAAATTCCCTGTAGAACGAGGAAATAGCATCCCATGTCCGCCCGTCCCAAATAATGAACGGAAATTGAATTTCACTTGTTATTCCGTTACTTTGAATTAAAACGAAGAAATGTTGACGGAATTATTTCCCTTTTATGGCTCTTTGGCATTTCCAGAAAATGGTTAGTGCTTTTTTCGAAGTTTGGGGGGTCGGGAATTACATAATATTGACGGAAGGAGAGGGCGTTCGTCGTGCAAAAAATTTACTCAAAGAATACTACATTGATTACTCAACGGGGTTTGTTACAAGCTATGCAGAGGGGAAGGTAAAGTAGAAAATAATTTTTTTGAGTTCTTTAGCAAAAGAATTGCCTATATTTTGCTGAAATATAGGCAAATCTAATTGTAAAAACTGAAAAAAAACGGTCTGAACCTTTACATAACAAAATTTCCAAATATTTTTTCCAAAGCTTGGAACTTGTTTTCAAAAAACTTTTTTTTTTTTTTTAATTTTTTCCAAGAATTTGCAAAAAATGGATTTTATTACCGTTTTCGAGCATCGAATTTGCCAAATTTCCCCGGAGGCATATTATCTTTTTTTGTTGCCAGGAAACCCGGCCGAACGAGAAGCATTATCATATAAGGCCGCGTGTGGTATGAGCCACAATTACTCGAGAAATAGACAGCAGCATCCTCGGAGTAGTTTTCCAGTATTTCGAAAAAATCCTTTCTCCCTTGGGCCATTTTCGGCCCAATGTTTTTTGTCGCTTTTTCCTCGAGCCGAATCCCATTTTTGAGTGGGTGTTGACAACAAATATTTTAGAGGTTGCATGGACGTTATGGCCCGACGGAAATGCATGCAAGGCCTTTGTGGCATTGCCCTTGATTTTTGGGGGAGGGGAAAGGAGGAGGGGGATTGTAAATTGTAGGTAAAAAGTCGAGAGTTTTGGGAAGAAGTCTTTCGAAGCATCATATTTCACTTTGCTCTCGGGACTCTTTTGGAGAGTTTTTCGATAATTTGTGTTTTTGGCTTGAGCGTTGACTGTTAATTTGCAATTATAGTAAAATTTTTTTTGGCCATATATGGTCATGATTGTATGAATTTATCTCCGAAAAATATTTTTGTGCTGCAAGCAGACTTTGCAATCATTAGCGCCAATTTTTAGCCTAAAAATCGCTAGAATTGTCGACATTTTGCTTTCATTGTTGATATAATTTTTAACGCGACATTTTCTTTCGAAAATTTCATCATTTTTCAAATGCAAAAAATAACTATCCAGATCTCTCCCTTTAATCCCCATGTAAATTTCGCGGGTCATAAGACCAAACACAAATAACTCTTTCCAAATTCGCCTTACTTCGAAGTCATCGTTTCATTTTTTATGCATCGAAATATTTCCAAACTCAATTCCTCTCGGCCAACGACCTCACCTCGTATAACACAATAAAGTGTAATGCATTTCAGTTTGTTTGCTTGCATAAAATATCCGAAATACATATATAAATATTAGATAAAGCCGTGTTTTGGCGCGTTTTTCGGTTTTTGGTCTACTTCTTTATGTCGCGATGATTGTAGGGCAGCGTGGAATGACCAGATGTGTGGTGATTGTAGCAGTATGGAGACGCCCGCTCGACTTGTCGCTGCTGCAAAAGCCTTTCGACCAACGACTGATTGTCGTAGGCCCGAAGTCGATGATTCACGGGGAGAATAAGTGCGTTTTCGGCCGTTTTTATTCTGCCTTCTCGCCGCTTTTGTGGCCTCTAATCCCGGTGTTTTTGTTTTTAATTAATTTGGTGTTGTAGTATTGACACTTTCCACTATGTTGATGGGCCGGTCAGTCGAAAGGACAAAAACTACGCGTCAATCATCCAGAAAGTCTTGGAACTTTGCGCCGGCCTCGGCACCACCCGATGCAGACTGTTGACGTTCGAGCGCGCGCTGCAGCAGGAAATGGCACAAATTCGGACCGAGCTGAACCTGGAAGGCCTCAGATTCAAGCAGTATTATGAGTTGTTCAACCGGAAAGAGATGAAAAGCATCTGCAAGAAAGGAAGCGTCCCGTCGGCACGGTAAACAGAGCCTTTCAAAGCATGCAAAACAGTTGCAGATCGTGCTCGTTAAGCTCGATTACGGCGCACCTAGATCAGTGGGTGGATCATGCCACAAATAATGTGGGAAGGTACCCGATTGTGGTGAGGCCACAGCAAAATGTCCAATACGGGTACTGCGGGATGAGGATTATTCACAATCCGGACGAATTCAGTGACTATCTCAAGGTAAATTTGCAGTGCGACGTGCTTCGGCAAGTATTAGTCTTAATTTTGCTGCCAATTTTGTTGAAATTTGTGCCGGTTGTAGCGGAATTTTAGCAAAATGTAATTGATGACAAACATTTTTAAAGTGCCAAGTAAAGTTCTCAGATTTTTGTCGCGCATACCTCACACATAAAAATTTTTTATAGAAACATTGCCCTTTACGGAAGCAAAACGTTTGAAGTAATCTTCTCTATAAAAGATCACGTTACAGGAAATGTTAGCGCGTCAGCACGGAGAAACCAACAAACCTATTGAAATCATTGCTGAAGAGTGCGTGGCGGACGGCCAAGAAGTTGTAGTTATGTTCTCCTCAAAAACTGGGCTCTTTGGTGAGTAGTGGATCGCAGTTCTTTTGACTAAATTGCGTCTCAATTTTGGTGACTGTCTTCTATGACAATCGTAACTTTTCCAGCCGCTATGGCCGCAGTTGAGCCAAGTTCAACGTTTTTGTCGGCGTCTCGACACCATGAACCCTATGCGATTGAGTATCTGAATGCCGATCAGACCCGAGACAACTTCCCGGGCCTCGAGACGTTCGTGACGCAGACAATGAAGTCGATATTCCCTTTCGAACACAGCGAAGTCCTCTTTTTGAAGGCGTTCTATAAGGTAAATAGTTTGTGGTCTCCGTTACGTATAGCCATAATTTTGCGCAATTACAGACGCATAGCAACATAAAATTTATGAATGTCTCCCTGGAGATTCATAATGACACCCTGGCCTCGCTGTTCGCCGAAGCCAATAAGGGCAAAAGTTGGGAGGCTGCGATAATTGAGTCGATATTTGATACGGTATTAACTCCGATCGATGAACCCACCTCACCCAATGGGTTTTCAACCGCCACCACGGACGTCGTACCTCAGGATCACATGCATTATGCGGTTTTGAATTATCCCACAACAGAAGGGATCATCCTACATCAGGTGACAATCCCAAAAAGAAAGAGTACGAAGAGAGTGGCGTGGAGAGTGTATGAGAATGAGGAGATGATCGAGGCGGAATATATCGATGATAATATTGTTCAGGTGGGAATTTATGTATTCCTTTCAAAATAACTGTTGTTTTTTCTTACATCTTTTTCACAATTTTTAGTAAAAATTGAAGCGCTGCTCAGATTTTTTAAAAGTCTGCACACACATCAGGCACGGGTTTCAATAGTGTCTGAGAGTTTTAATGATAGGTAGATACACTTTTTGGCTATATGAAAATAGCAATTTTTATGCCAAATTTCGCAAAAAAGTATAACATTTTGCAATTTTGAGCTTAAAAATCTCGATTCTTTTTACAAAGCTCGAGCCAGAAATTTCGCACATGTCTTAGAAACAATTATTTTAAATTTGTGCTGACAACGAGCTTCATATAAGTTTCAGCGTAAAAGTACTTCACCTTTAAAACATACTATACGATTTGCGTCTCGGGGCACTCCTCTTTTGAAACCCGTTCATTGACTAACCTTTGATGTCATATTTCTGTTTTCCTTCACTTATCCTATATGGGAGTTACCTCAAAAGCTCAAAAGCCTCTTACAGGTCTATCTCTACAACTCCGACCGTCAACAACTCTTGGGCGATATTCGTGAGACCATCCGCCGCACCCACCTTCCCATTGACAAGTTCACGCCCATCGACAAGAACGCGGTTCGTTGGCGGAAGGGCAGAAAAGAGGACCGGTTCTTCTCCGTTGCGGGTAACACGCTCATCCGTAGCTGCACCACAGCTGATTAACATATGCAATAAAACGAATTACGAGTCGATTACAGTGCGAAAATAAATTTAGAGCTTCTATCGGTCATCGGCTCCGTAAATCCTTTAGTTTTATTATGCACTTCAAACAAATTACCGGTAGATATTATAACTTATGTCAGGCATGATATGTGTTGAAAGCGAGTAGAAAACGAAACAATATTAGAGCAGTAAAATAAGAAAAACTGCCACAAAAGACCGCTAGTTGACTATACATAAGACACGTTTAGACTATTTGGCGCTAGTTGCGCGGGTATAAAGTTTGGAGCGTATTCTCGGAGACGATGAGTTCTCGGTTTCGGATCCGGAAACGAAACGATCCCGTTCAATTGTATGGTACTTGTTGGTGCTGCTGACAGAGGAAACTAGCCAGGTCGTGTTTGGCGATCGACGCACTGAAAATACGATCGTCATCAAGCTTCTGATGGGGGTTAAAAGAAGCATGGAATAAAGGGCTTACTCGAAACCCTGTCAATGGAATTTCCAAAGTCCGTTTTGGAGGTTACTGTAATATTTTCGGTGCCATTGTTGATGGTGTAGTGCTTTTCTGAAAAAAACGGTGATGACTTTGGATAGAGAAAGTATTTATTTCTGAAATGCCGCTGCGAATCTTTGTGTTTAATCGTTGCAAACAAGCCAGGCATAGGCCACATATCAAGCCTGTAAATTTTAGCTCACGCCTTGCAGGGGCAGCCAGGACACTCGAACAAAACCTCAGACTTTACTCTCTGCCAATTCGCCTCCAAACCTCTCAAATCCTTACCTGTATTCGCTCTTGGGATTGTACTTCTTTTGACCGCATACAACCTCTTCGGATTGCAGTGGTCATGCTTTCCCTCGTGCGACGGATTCCGACACATGACGTATTCGGCTTGCTCTGGCCCGTTCTCTCCGTGATGAACAGCCTTGATGAGCCTCATTCGACAGCACAAATCAAGGGCTTCTTTGGTTTGGACTCCGCGCTGAAAACGGCCGCTATTTGTTCTGTGGAAGTCGGTGAATTCGCTGTCTGAATCGGTGGTGTCTCGTTGTTGAACAACGTAGTGTGAGGATCTTGTAGTTGATGAAGTTGGAGCTCTGCAAAAGGCCGAATTTAATCATATTTGTCATTTTTTCTTACCTTGATCTTCTATGCCGATACTCTACGTATTTATCAGCCCGCTCATTCTTATGTTTTTCAAGTTCACCATCAAAAACCAGTGTCTTCAGCAGCTCCTGCGGTCCCAAGCTCTCCACTCTCGTTGTTGTTTTGGTCTTCAACAGTTCAGGCCTGGTTGTCATTTTGTCACTTCGATCATGAACCACCTCTGTGATATTGGTGTGCTCCACAACGACACTTCCCACTCTTTCCGTTGAGTAATATCTCCCAGGCCTTCTTTCCAGATATACGTCATGATGAACTTGATGCACCTTCTGTCTTGGATATGGGACATTATGTGTTGTCACCGAGATCTCCGGAGAAAGCGTTCGCTTCTTCTTGATGTTGTAATTGTAGTCCTCGATGACGGAGGCGAAATCATTGCTGTCGTCCAAGGCGCTCGATGACTTTGATGGCCTTAGATGATAGGTGGGGCCAAAACGGATGCTCTGACTCTGCAGGTGGGGCCAAAACGGATGCTCTGACTCTGCAAACGATGTGTTTGGAGTGTCTCGGACGCTGATTGCTTCGTGGGATTTGGAGGGACGAATTCTTGGACTAGATGGATTAGATCGGATCGTTACATTGAAATCCACGGGCATATAATGGTACCTTGGCTCTGATGGGACTGGACTAACCGCGCCAAACGATGCGTCGGTATAATGCTGATCGCTGTCGCTGTATTCATGAGCTCTTCGATGGAGATATGCCTCTGGCAATGTCTCGTGTTCTCCTTTTCTGTATTCTCTTCGCTTCACATATCGCCGTTGTTTCTTCCGCTCCGCGCTTTCTGAGTCTATGGTGTTGTTGGCTTCGAAGACTTCGGAGATGTCGTTTTCCGAATAGACTGAGCCGCTGTGAGGAGCACTTGCGATGTTGAGATGGCTACCAGAGGGCTTTGGGTCTTGAATTCGGTTGTCGAGAGTTGCTCCGCTTTCTGCACTCCTCAACAACTCGTTACCTCCAGTCTGAGCTGTGGATCCCTCGTCGCCGATTGGATGCGTAACAATGAGTGGGAAGTCGATTGTGATGGCATTCGAAGCGTGATAGGTGTCCATTCCAATGCCGGAATCATTCAGCGTACTTTCGCGGTAATCCTGACGTTTCAGAGTAGAAGACGATAATGGCTGATAGTTCGTGTCCACATGGAGCGGTGACAACGGCGGCGACGAAAAAGTGTTATCATGGGAAAGGCTTTGATCTCCATTCTTTTCCTCGGCCGCTGAATTCTGGTCGTTCTCGGTTCCCTTGGCCGGTTGGCTTTGAGTACTGAGCACCTTGATATCCCCATGGTTGGCTGTTGTTGTAATTTGAGTCACCTTGTATCTTCTGTGGCCTCCATCACTGTCGCTGGCATGCTCAACGTTCTTTATTGCGTCATCAACGAGTTCAATGCTTGCCTTCTTCAACTCCTCTTCATCCGACAACGAATTTTGATTCTTGAAAGTCGGCTCGAAGACTTCGTCAATGTAGGCCGATGGGGATTGGGCACCCGAGGAGCTGGATACACGCGGGTCACTTACTACTCGATCTAACGACCCGATCCGTTTGTAGCTCACTTCTTCGCCCTTCTCGTCCTTCGCCACCTCTCTCCGTTTATCCTTGCCTCCGAAAATATTGGACAGACCTTCCTTCAACTTCATGGCGAGCGGCTTGTGAGCGTTGACAATCACGTCCAAGTTGACGGCTTCTGGCTGCGTGTTTTGCGGCTCCTCTTCCGTGGTTTGCTCGCTGCGTCTCACGGTCTCTTCTTCCTCCGCGTGAAACACGTCATCTGACAAGACCGACTCGCGCACCAGCGGTTCGGGTTTCCCGAGGCTTCGCACGCTGGGCGGCGAAGTTTTATGATCATCAATTTCACTCTCACCCTTCTCGTCAACATCAGTTAGCTCCTGAGTGAACGAGAGGTCATCCATTGAAACGCGGTCAGTGTTGTCGTCGATGAATTTACCATATTTGTCGAGGTCCTCTTGTGAGAGTTCAAAGACATTGTCATCAAACATTGACTCGGTGTATCGGCGGCCCGGAAGACCCACAGAATCCTCCGGGAGCTCTGAAGGCACTAGCGGTTCCGTCGAGGGTTGACTGGCCGTAGCTTCGATATCTTCAACAGGGCGGATGTCTTCTACAGATGACTTTTTCGTGATTTGCTGAGAATCTTCTTTGCTTGGATCTTTTGTTTGAGCCTCTGATTTCTGCGCCACAACGACTTTAGGCTCTTCAAATATGCGCTTGTATTCGTCGTCCGTCAACGTTGGCGACATTGTTTTTCTGCGTTCGTCGGCAGTCTGATGTCTCGGGAAATTGGTCCCGTCGCTTAATTCGGGATTACTCGACCGGGCCGCCAACTTTGTGGACGTTTTGGTTGTGTTGTGGCGCTCAGCAAAATACGACGGATCAGGTTGGTGCTCGAAGACCTGATCGATCAGTTCGTCATGCCCTAAGGGGCTTAGTTGTGAGTCGCTGAGCTTATGAATGCGATGTAGGGCGTCTTCGAACTCTTCGACATGTTGGTGTTCATTGGTGTCCGAGATATCCGACTTCAACAGTTCGTCAGAAGACACAGATTGTCGGTCATGGACGTCGGAGACGGATTCTTTGTGATGCACTGTTTGCTTCGGAACAACAATTTGAGGTTGCGAAAGGAGCTCTTTGAGGTAAGCGTCGTCAGAAGCTTCTGGAATACTCGTTTGGTCTTCCTTGTGGATAACGTTACTGTCATCCGTTTCTCGCGAGTATTCTTTGATGGTATCGAGCGTCACAGATCGGGGATACAGAATTTCCCGCAGCTCTTCTTGACTTAGCGTCGGCTTCAACTGGGATTTCGCGTCAGTCTGTTGCATCCGCTGTCTGAATACACTTGTGTCCAGGGTAATATCAGAATCCTTTGTGTTGTCGGCTTTTGGCTTTGCATTTTGATGGAATTCGTTGAAATCGTTGGTTTCAGGTGGACTGAAGACTTTGTCCAAATCGATCGGGCGTTTCTCGAAGTCAATGATTACATCGTGATTTTCATCTTCATAGAATTTACTGACTGCCTTTAACTCTGCTGCTTCCGTTGCTGGGCGAATATCTTCATTTGCATCTTTTTCAAGGTTTTCAAAGACTTCTTTTCCAAGATTGGCCGAAAAGGTCTCATCTACAACACCTTGGGCTACCTTCTCTTCGGTGGTTTCGCCGTGATGATCAGGAATTTCGTTCTTGACCTCTTCCAGGTCTTCACACTTTAGATCTTCGTGTTCCTCAGGAGATGACGCAATGATTTTCTTTGCCCTGTCTCCCTCGAGGAAGACTTCAGATAACTCCTCATCCGTCAAAGTTGGTTGTCCCAAGGCGTGCTTCGACTCAGCGTTCCGGCTCCTTGAAAATGCTGACAAATCAGTTGTAATCTTTGAGTCGTCAACTGATCGTTGAATTTTCTTGTGAACCACCGGGCTCGGTTCTGAAGGTACCGGAGAGAAAACTTTATCAAGCAGAGGATCATCGGAGCGGTTCTCCTCATTACTTGACTCAAACTTGGTATCGGTTGTTATCACTAATTCGTTCGCGACATTATTCGTTTCTACATCTTGATCTTGGCCTTTCGGCTTGGCATCGGCATCTTTTGGAAGAGCTTGATCTGCGAACACTGTATAAAGCTGCTCATCAGTGAGAGTTGGCTGGCCGACGGCATGTTTGGGTTCAGTATTCCGGCTTCTGGAGAATGCAGACAAATCGGTGGTGATCTTAGAGTCATCGACTAATCGGCGGAGCTTTTGATCGTGATGATCAGAAATAACATTCTTAGCGCCTTCTAGGTCCTCATTTTTTAGATCTTTGTGTTCCTTTTCTCCTTCGCGGAAGACTTCGGACAACTCTTCGTCCGTCAAAGTTGGCTGACCCAAAGCGTGCCTTGACTCAGTATTCCGGCTCCTTGAAAACGCCGATAAATCAGTTGTGATCTTTGAATCGTCGACGGATCGTTGGATCCTATTATGCTTGACAGGGATTGGCTCCGATGGAACTGGCGAGAACACTTTGTCCAGAAATGGATCATTCGCACTATGGTTTACTTCAACATTCACTTCTTTGATGCTTTGCGTTGCTTCAGGCATTGTGTCATCTTCTTTTTCAGTCCGATGATTTTCTTTATCATCAGCGTCTAGAATTGTGCGGGTTTCATCAACTGTTGGCTTATTAACAAACACGGCTGACAATTCCTCATCAGTTAGGGTTGGCTGGGACATGGTCTTCTTTGCCGTGCTCTGTTGATTTCTTGAGAAAACAGATGTATCAGTTGTGATCTTTGAGTCGTCTGCAGGCTTCTGAATTTTCTTCTCGTTCTTTTCGAGGGGTTCTGAAGGAACGGGTGTAAACACTTTCTCCAGCAAGCCATTATCCTTCGAGTTGTCTTCGACATCAAGATTCAACTGACTTGGCTCAAATTTGACTTCGGCCAGGTCCTCGTGGCTCAGTTCTTCAACAGGGATTCCACTTCCATGCTTATCTGTTACAATGTAGAAGCTTTTGTTGTCGTCGTCGTATTCTTCATTCTCTAGGGCCAACGATTTTTCCGGTGCGTTCACGAACACTGCCGAAAGTTCTTCATCGGTTAAGGTCGGAGGTCCTGGAGATCGAGCCGTCTCCTCATGTAGATGTCTTGAGAAGGCCGAAAGATCCGTGGTAATATTTGAATCGTCTGCTGTTTTATAGACCTTTCTGGTGGGAGTCGGCGAAACTGGTGTCGTTGGTGGTCGGAAGACTTGTTCCCAAAGATCAGCATTCATTTCGTGGCTCTTTTTCTGCTCATGGACAACAACTTCGTACGGGTCGAAGTCAGAAGACTTTCCTGGAATGTTATGAAGCGGCACTGAGGACTCAGAAGGCTCCGTGAGCTTCTGAATAAGAATCGGTGGAGGTTCTTCTTCATGTAATGAATCGTCTCTTTCTCCAATGTATTGAACGTGACTTGATCTTGCATTCTTTTTGACCGTCTCAGGAAGGCCAGGCTCATCTTCCGACGAAACTCTTTGAGTAAATATCCGCTGATATGACTCTTCGCTCATCGTTGGCTCCATTTTTTGCTGACTGATCGTCTCTTGGCTTCTGCGGAATACCGAAGTGTCAAGAGTAATATCTGAGTCTCGTTTGTTTGAACTGACCGATCGTTTGACTTCATTGTGATGTACCAAGGCTTCTTGTGGAGTAAAGATCCTCTCGTATTCGTCGTCGGTGATGACGGAGGTCGATGGTGTAACAACATCATGTCTTGAGGTCTCGGAAATCTCGGAGACATCCACATGGCTTTCAGCGCTTGGTTTCGAAATTTCTTCCGTCGCTGAATCGTCTTCAGGCAGACTTGCCGGAGGTGTAATCTTGGATAACATTTCCGATATGCTTGGCGGATGACTATCGCTGCTTCCGTTCAGCGAAACCGCCTTGCTGTGCTGAACAGAGACGGTTGAGGCTGGGGATGGCTTTGGTACAGGTATTTGAAACTCGTTGTAGAGCTCGTCCAAGGTCTGTTGATCGTCCTGAGATGCGCTGAGTTGGGGCTCTTCAATTCCTTTGCTCATAAAGTACTGTCTGGACAATGACACTCGCTCTTTCACCGGACTGACCGATGATGTGAAGCTGGTCTGATTTACAGGCTTTTCGTCTTTCATCAAATTCCCTTGAACGGTCGTTGTTGGACGTGTCTCAAAGACGGAATCATAGTTCGAATTCGAACGCGTTGAATCATGGCTGTGTATCATTGGATATGTATTGTAATTTTCGTCTTCGGTATACTTCTCTTCTGCAGCAAGATCTTCGGCAAACGCTTCTGCTGTATCTCCGTGTTTCTGTGGAGCTGTGCTCTCGAAAATGTTGAACGGAGTGTTCTCAATATGAGTGCTTTCCATTTTATCGGCCTCTCGATTGATGTGCTCGTCGGACGTGACCAATGCTCCAAATAAGGGCATCGGAACTCCAAAGACCTGGTTCAGAAGATCGTCTCCAGATTGAATTCGAGTAAACGATTGAGAGTCGGGGGCGGCCCGAGTTGGTAGCGCCGACTTTGGTCGATCTTTTTGGCGTTTTTCCACCACCAACAAAATGTCGTGAAGACGGCGAAGACCTGAGGAAAAATAGGGTTTTAATTGGAAAAGACGTTGCGCTGAGAGCCTTAAAATGTTCCCTACCTTCTTCCAGCTCAGCCTGCGAGCAGCTGATCACCAATCTGAACCAGCCCGGTGTCAGATTCCCCATGAAACATCCAGGGTTCAAGTAGACGCCTGCCCGTGTGAACCGCTTCCAAAGTTTGTGCTCCGCTTCGAAAGTTTCGTCCGCAATGTACTCGGTAAAATCGATGAACAAAAAGAGGCCCGAGTCCGCTGGCAAGTACTTGATCTTGTACTCGTCAAGTTTACCGACAGCAAAATCCCGGTTCTGTTTTAGTCGTTCGTTCTTCGAGGAATGGAAGCGCTCAATCCACTCTGGAAAAGCTTTGAAGTAAAATTTTCGGACATACCGTGATCCCGCAGTAAATGGCCAATCAGATGTTGGGCAATCGGAGAGCAAGGCTGAAGGATCTCCAGCCGTCGCAAGCCTTTCTGTAGATCTTCAATTTCTGTGTGAACTACAGCAAATCGGGCTCCAGGCAAACAAAGATCCTAAAATACAAAATACATATTTTTTTAATATGTAATGTTTGCAAAACGAAAAATACGAATTTTTGTTCAAAAAACCTTACCTTGGACGCACTCCACATCCAGATGATTTTCTTGCGGTTCTTGACGCCCAATTGATGGCGCAGTGAAAGCATCGAGCGAAAGCGGTGTGCACTCTGAGTGGTCGAAGCAAAGACTTCATCTGCGATGATGAATAAATCGTTGCTGGAATTGAAAAAGGTTAGGATCACATTCCATTAAAAGAATTTCTCAAAGCTTGAGCTCGCGCTTTGCAGAATCAACCAAGATATTCAAAGATCTTTTCTGCCGAAGAAGCATGCGAAAAGGAGCGCTGTCAGGAAAAAGATTTTTGGCAATCTCTAGCTTGTTTAGCGCTGAAAAAAATTCTATTGTTAAAAGATAATCCTCTACGGCAAAAATAATTAGAAAGCTTTCATTGGCAAAATCAGAAAAAGAACTTTCCATTTTTTCAAACTTTCGATCTAAAAATCTCGGCGATTTCTATAGAGCGCAAGATAAGAGCCTGACATATCCCTCATTGCCAGAAAAAATAGTCTAAATTTTCGTTTAGTCCAACTAAAATTTGATCGCCGCATTTGGGGAACCTCCCTTGTATAAAAGCAACATTCTCACCTGACCGCCCATTTGCAGACATCGAGGACATCTTTTTCTGGAAAGACATGACCCAATGGATTGTTGGGGTTGATTAGTGAGATCGCTTTGACTTTAATACCCTATAATACGCAAGTTTTGTTTGAGACCAAAATGTAAAACCCACCTTAAGACTAGCTTCGTCAAATGCCGCTTGAAAATGCTTTGGTCGGAGACAGGGTTCGCTGAGGTTATCCTGAAATATTCGTATGAATTCTAAACTATTTTTCGGTTGTATAGATTCTTCAAGAGCTCGACTTACAAATGCTACAGGGATTACTCGGACATGCGCTCGTTCTCCCCAATTGTCCGCCAGCCGCACGTAGAAAGGAACTGGTGCTAACACGGCTTCTGAAAATGCATTGACCGTGGTTTTGGTGTAAATATTATAACTCTGTCGGGAAAATAATGAGCATTCTGCCGCGCCGAAAGTCGCATCGACACCGAAAAAATTAATTGTGTTGTGACAAAATGAAATTGCTTTTTCACTTCAGCGACACGGTCGGCGCAGCGACCTTATGCTCATTACTTTCCCGACAGGCTGATAGCTAAACAAATCAGGTCCATCCAACAGCCTTATACATTTGAAAGTCATCATTACCGTTCGCATCAAACAGACAACAGCCAATCATATCGTATGCCGCCGCACATCCCGGTACGATCACCAAATTCTCTTTCAAAACACCCGGATCCCCGTTCATGGAGACGAATCTGTCCACGTAGCCGGCGACGGCTGACTTTACCCTGAAAAGAGCGTAAGATCATTTTTTATGCAAATTTCATTTTTGGTGTGTAAAAGCCTTACCATTCCAAGCCGCCAGCGGGTGGATAATGATGGATTGTGGGGAACAATGTCTGCCAAATTTTGGGATCATTGATCTGAACGGAGCGAATTAGCTAATGAAATAAAAGGTCGAGCGAACTTACCCTTTCTTGCAGGAGATCCTCGCATAAAATGTTTTCTGCGGTGCACAGGTTGATCTTTCCCTAAAAGGGGTAAATGTAATCATCAAGCGGCATAAACAACACATTGGTCTGTAGGGAAAATAATGTGGACTGGTCGCAAAATATCTCGCTGTAGCGGACGAAATCTCTGGTCGCGGCAAGCCATCGCAAAGAGATGATGGGCGATTCCAAAGCGCGAGCAACCCACATTATTTTTTCGACAGACTGATAGTGACTTGCAAAAAAGAAAATTGGATCCGCCAACTCACCTGTGCATTGTTCACCGGATGCCACAGATCTTCGTACACCTCTCTGTAGGTCTTTGCCAGCTCTCGGTTGGCCAACAAGTTCTGCGCTCGTTTGGCCAAGACTTCGGAGACGGACGCCTCCGAACGCTGACTCAAGTCGTCGGCAGCAGTGCTGGCGGGCGATAAGTTTTGGGAATGCCAATTTCGGGAACGCGTGTTCATTCTGTGGACCAACCAATCAGGATCTTCCGTGAACTCGGACCAGGAGCAGGAGGGGGCGTAAGCGGTGACGGAATGGCGACGGCCAAGCTGAAAGTCCAGCATTGTGAACCACATTTTGGGAAGTTTTTCCGAAGAGAATATAGCAGAGATATGAAAGGTCCAATAGCCAATGTCTAATAGGACAGTGTGACCCTTTAACCAAACATTGCCGGATTAGAGCTATGACAACCTTAGTTAATAGAAAATAATATACTCACTAGTATATCCAGTGGTAAAAGTAAGGATACTGAAGTGCAATTTATGTGCCAATGAACATAGAAATTGAAGAAAAAGTGATGATAAAAAGTGAGAAATCGGCGAGAAAGTTGTAGAAATGTAACGTTTAATTAAGTTGATGAGACGGCTAAAAAGGGAATTCCTGTTAAGAATACAGTGATAATTATAATGACTGATGACCCTTTTTAATTTCCCATCGATAAAAACTAATTTTACACATTTTTTGACCGCTTTTACCACGTTTTCCAATTTAGCTCAAATCTAAAAATGAACCCAATAAAAAACTGCGTAACCCTGCATTATAATCAAGAGTAAACTCTTTGAATAAAACCCCCCCAAAAAAATCTCAATCGCTGCGTAACACACACCTAAGTCATTGGTCTCGAAGAGTAAACATTGTTAACTTGACAATTTCCCCCGTGTCGCGAATAAGGAGTTCGGTAAGAAAATTAAAAAGTTTAAAGGAACGAAGGGAGAACACTCTCCCATCGACCCGTAAAAACAATATTCTTTAGTTTTAATTGTAAACTGCGACTGATTTCTCAACGATTAGACGAAAAACAGATACTAGTATAAACATAATTTAAACAAGCAGTAAAAACAATTGCTTACGTAGTACGAAATTGTAGCGTACTACGAATTTCGATGAAGCTTGGCACAAATTTAGATTTATTTTCCTAAAACAAATGAGAGACTACGAGCACGCGCTTTGTAGAAACGACTGAGATTTTTAGATCGAAAAGAAGTATGGAACTTTTAGGCAAACTTTGAGCACGTCAGTTAGAAAATTGTGCTCTAAATTTGGAACTACTTTCATACAAATCTGCCTGCCCTACGTCAAATATTTCGATTGAAAGGAAATTCTAGTCTTTTTTGGCTTATGTATCGAAGTACTTCAATAGTTGAAGACCCACCAAGTATCAATACTCCTAGATCCTTGAACACGGAATCAACACTCCTAGATGTTTGACCACGGTTAAAAATGGCTCAAAAGCCGTTCGCTTACAACTGTTTTTTGCCCTCAATCAGCAACCGTCCGTCGTAAACTCGACTTGTCATGAATTGCATAAAAACAGCTCCCGCTGGGTTTTGTAGCGACTCCAGCGTTTGTTTGATCGACTCTCTTTCACAACTGGTAAACGTTGAAAGATCAGAGTTTGAAAGTACCCAGCTATTTACTCACGGGTGATTATCCTTGAAATTCTTTGTGTCAAGGTTGGAGTTTCATGGAAACATGGCTCATTATTTTGCCGACAGACCTTTGAAAATAGCCTTTTTGTCAAATTCCATTCGCCGAATTCTCATCAGTCCCATGTGAACAAAAACCTGAGAATTTCAAAAATTCATGTCACTGATACAAAAATTCCTACCCAAGTAAACAAAATATAATAGTTAAAATACAACACGGCTATTTGCCAAGTAAAGGGTCAATTGATGAGGTTTACCGAATTAACCGACATATTTTGACCTCCAATTTTCCCGACAAAAAAAACAGCTTGCAAATGCGCCCATTCGCTACTGAGCTAATTCAAATTGTTCGATAAGACACGCGAACTCACCTCACGCAATGAACTCCTTTCGACCAGGAAGCAATGCTTAGAAAATCTTCCAGGTTGGAGACTGATCACTTTTGGCGAAATCAAAAGCTGACGAAAGAAGTAGGGTTATGATATCAACAATATTATGATTCCTCGGAAGCGGGCTGAATTGAACTGACCGTTCGCCCAACGACCTCGCCGCAAAACGTTCAAAAACCCCATTCAAGGTGTTGTCGGATTTATAGCTTATGTGAATTCAAAGAGCACCTCAACCTATCAAGGTCAATTTCAAATTGATTAACTTGCGGGCAAAAAATAGACTTTTTTATGAAAACATTAACCCTGTAATGTATGTGAAACTTTTGCCCAGAAATTTGAAAAAAAATGTCAAATGTTCGTCAAATTTTGATCAAAAAAACTCGGTCGTTTCTGCAAAGCGCGACCTAGGGGTCTTGGATATGCCTCTAAAAAATTATCCCGGACTACTATACATAAATAGAGTTTCATACATTTTTATGTCTCGGCAACACTTGCAAAGCGCTGAAAAACTTTACGAAATCTCATCAAAAAATTTACTAAATCAAATCTTGCCCGAGCACTTTTAGCTCCTCTCAGTGATGAGAATACAAAAAGTTCTTTTGAAAGCAATATTGACAAGGAAAGTACTTTTATGGGGGCTCCTACTTTTTGACGGGACATATCTCAAAAAATCAGAAAAAATGTGCTGATCAAGGATATATAAATCATAGCTGCCCATTTTAGGTTTTTAAGGGTGAAAATGCCCAAAAACTGGTTTAATTTCCCTACAAAAGGCAGACATTCGAAACGATAAAAAGAGCACTCGATCTCTTCCTTCGGAAGAGAGCGGTGTGGCCGAGTGGTTAGTGCCGTAGTCTGGGAATCAAGAGGGGGGACGCCGCACAGGTTCGATTTCCCTTTTGGGCTGAATCAACTTCTTTGAAGTTGAAGGTCGGAAAAATAAATTTTTGGGCCCAGACTGTCTTATTACGTCTTAGAAACTCAATAAACACCATTTTAAGCCAAAATAAAAATTGTAAACCTTTGAAAAAATTAAGCGAAAAGGGGTTCATATAGGACTTTAAGTCAACTTCCGACTGAGTTTTCACCCCTAAAAACCTAAAATGGGCAGCTAAGATCTATATATTCTTGATCAGCACATTTTTTCTGATTTTTTGAGATATGTCCCGTCAAAAAGTAGGAGCCCCCATAAAAGTACTTTCCTTGTGAAATTTAGCATAAAACAAAGTTCTACGACACATTTTAAAATTAAAGGTAAAGGACGACACAAACAACATACAAAACCTACATTCCGCCATTTCCGTTCTTCGACGGCCCAAAGAAGGTCGTTGGTCAAGGAAGCCAACAGAAACATGATTACTTTTTAGGTAGATAGCATGAATACCACGTTCGAGTCATTGGACTAAAGTTTTACAAAGTTTCTTACAATGTAAAGCCAAATGCGGCTCCTTTTCCTTGCAATCAATTTTATCGATTTTTTAAAAGTTTTTTTTTGTGTATTACTGTAGCAAAGATTGAAACGGTACTTGACTGATGACTAGAAGAATAAAATAGTCTAATAAATTATTGCCTGCGGGCTTAAGCACCCATAAAGCACTCCGAAAACCGCAACTACGCAATATATTTTTTAGGATGTTTAATAATTGATAGCAGTAAATAAAAAACTTTGAGCGGCTACACAGCGCCGACCTATAAAAAGTCAACGGCCCCCGCTTCTCTCCAGCTTTTCGCTCTTCAAGTGTTAGAGAAACCGAAAAACAGTCAGTCTTTGGTTCCGAGTTGTATAAGGGGTTTTTTGCGGATCTGCAAACATTGCGATCACTCTGAATACCGCTGAAAAATGTCATAACCAGCTTACAATGGGTGAAAAGATGGGTTTAAAAGAGTGGTGACGAAAGGAGTTGAAGAAAATAAAAGAGTGAGGCAAAGATGATGACGAGATTACTTTTAACGTGACTTTGAATTGCTGTGGGAAAAAAATGCTACCGATTTATGATTTAGTATAATCTATAAAAGGAAAGAAAGAGTTAGAAAGGGCAAATCAGAGCACTTTTTTACATGGGGAGGCAGAAGTGATTGAAAGAAAAAATAAGTTTGTACAGTAGGACCTCTATACCACAAACCATCTAAAAATTTATCTAAAAGTAAGTCCCTTGAGCCAATTTTAGAAGAAACGTGGATCACACAAACCTTCAATTTCAAACAAAATCGCTTCATTATGTATTTAAAAACACTAAAGAAAACGAACGGTCAAAACATGGACTTGCTGCAATGCCGGAACAATGTAGGCGGACTATGAAGCTGAGAAAGGGACCCTGTGGGCTCAAATCAAATTTTCTATTAAAGGGTATCAAACAGTCCAAAACGAAAAGTTGTTTTTGAAAGGAACGGTTGTCACTTCTATAGTATGCATTTTCCTACCCAAAAGTTTCAAAGAAAGTGTTCCATAAAAGAATGCGTTGTATCATTGAGTTATCTTTTGATATCAGGTCCGGAGCCCAAACTCTACCTTTCCTTTTAAGTTATAGGTGATAAATTAATTAACTTCAAACTTAACCAAACCTCCAACAAAACAAGAAAATGTAATATCAGTCCATCGGGAAAAAATGTGGATTTTTCGCAGCAGAATGTCTCGTCTTATTGCAGTCGCGCATCAAATCTCCAACCCTGGCTAACCATGCGATGGGAAACCCCAATGCGCGACCAATCCACATTATTTTCCCGACAGGCTGAAAACGGCTTTGACGGCAAAGAAAAATCCAAACAAATCCATAGCTGCCTTATTAACACCAGACACACAAGCTCCAATGGCCAGCAACACGCACCTACACCCTACTACGTAAAAAGTAAAATTCATCTCGTGAATAATAGCCGAGTTAAACGAGTGAACACGAAACGAACTAGAAACCTATGAAATGGCCAAAACAATTTTATGTTTTTCTATGAATGGGAGAAATTTGTAGTTATCCAACAACAACGAAAAAAATTTGAAACAAGAGGACTTTTATGCTTTAACTTTGAGTTTGGCTTGTATGTACATATTTTGAGCAAAAAGACGATCTATAGATAAGAAACTCGCGCAAAAACAGGCCAAATTGAAAGCGTATTTCCAAAAAACACAAGCGAACACTTTCACAAGCATTTTCGAACATAACAAGGCTCTGAATAACTGTATAAACTTATTTACAACTATGCCCTTTGAAGCGCTTTAGGCTCAACGCACTAATAATGCACTTGTTGAACCCCCATCAACAATAGTATAAGAGATCTGATTGAAAGGTTTTGTAAATATCCGCTGAGGAAACAGCTGAGTTTTGAGAGACGTCTTCAGGCTGTTGAGCTATGCGCAATCTTTTTTCCCGCGCTTTTTAATTGTTTGTTCAAACTTGTAAACATTGAAAAACTTTTTGGGAATGAAAGGTAAGTAGAAGCCAAGACTATTTTGCAAAGATTTACATGGTGTTTTTATTGTATTTTTAGAGCGCATTCGGGTAGGAGGTCCGGTTCATAACAAGAACGGTTCTCCTGTTGTAAGCACCTGATTTTCCTTGAATCTTGCCTGGGTAATCTAGGCGGAGTGCTTTCCCGTATCTTGCAAGGATCGCCAGAATCACAAAATTTTCAAAAATGAACTGACTTCTTGTTATCTACACAGCCTAAAATCAAAGTAATTGCTCTAAATTGCAAGTTGAAAATTTGTAAGTTGCGTCAATTTCCATCAAATTCTAAGCGGCTATATTTTTACATTTTTCCTGTCATCCTTAAAAATTCCATATTTTTGCAAGGGACCAATTGGCTTTACATTGTAAGCAACACTTTGCCAACATTATGAAATAAACCAGAATTACTTTAGGAAGCTAGTTATCCAATAATTAGAACCAGTATTGTCCCATCGGATTAATAAACAGTAATAGCATTCAAGAGAAGGTCCTGAGTAATACTTGGAACTTCCAAGAGATGAGAATCCGATTACCACAACTATGTAAATAATTACACAGACACTGGCAAGTCGACAACTACATATATCACCTCTCCGCCTCCTTCGAACAAAAGAACACGGAGGAAACGTGACATCAACAAGTGACGCCTGCAACCTTGGAGATTGGTGCGCGGCAAATTTGGAGAAGACGGAACGTTGAAACATGAGACGAGCGAAAATCAACGGTGAATGATCGCCCGGCTCAAATGGTTGCGAGAACGCCGCTTCTGGACCGTTCTTTTGGGGTGTACTCTGTGTTGGAAGGTTTGGGGTAAATTACGGGGCCTTAAACTACTTTTTTAGGTCAATTTTTTAGTAAAATACTTGCCGATCTGCCTCAGATTCTCTAGGGGTCCAAAAAAATACACCCAAACCTTACCTCACTTTTGGGGGAACGGCTGGGCGGATGTGTCAGCAATATTAAATCAAAAAATGGATCGGCCAAGTCTACCTGGGGATTTTTGAAATTGGACTTTATAACAACTTCTCAAGCGCTCTCAAATAACGTATAGCACATCCAATTTTGGGGTGCTTCGTTTTTGCACTTGCTAAGCAAGACCTACACCATCCAAAGGAGTCGTGGGATCAGATGCCAAATCCTTGCAACAAAAAAATCGATCTATTAGGTTGTCCAAGAAGTAATGTCGCTTTTCGAAATTCTTTTTTTAACAAAGTTTATCTTAGTAACAACAATCTTTTTGATCAAAGTAAACTCCGTGTATTTTAACACGCTCATTACGCTAATTGCAAATGACAATACTTATTTGACAACCTAATATTTTGCGCGACATTCGAAAGTGTAGCGCCAACACCGTTCTTTCCATGACTATCTCCCTTCACTAACCATGGCCCCAGCAAAATACCAAAGCTCTTGGATGCCTCCAAAGACTCCAAAGCTGTTTCGAAGAATCTAGATGCCCATTCATCCTTTTCCTAAGCCACTTAAGCGCGTGAAATAATTGCTACAGTACCCGCCAAGACTCAATTACAAAGATCACCGCCCTCCAACTTACCCACAGAACCGGTCCACAGTGGCTCGCGGAATTACTGTAATTACAGTGGCTAAAGTAACTCACTGTGATAAAGTTACATTAACCGCTGTAATCATCGTAAATCCGCGGAGCCTCACGCGAAAGCAGTGAATTAAAGGGCCTCGGCGGCCATCGGGCCGGCCTATTTAAACAAACCTGCGACTGATGAACCCGAAGGAGGAAGGGAATTATGACTAAACGAGGGGGATTAATTTGCCCAAACTATCCGCCAATTTCGTATAATCTGCACATTGTAATGTTATGGGCGGCTTTGGTTCCCGAAATGGGGGGAGAGAGAGAGTTTTTACAGTAAGGTCGGGGTTGTAGGTGTTGATGAAACCGCTGTTTGTCCTTATCAGCAAACACCTTCTCCTCCACACGGACATCTTTCGATTCATCCGAGATTAGAGCCGCAGTTCTAATCTCCAAATTCGAAACTGTCTAAAGCAGATTACAGGGGAAGTAAAACACTTACAATATGACATTACAACACTAACAGAGCTATATACAAAGGAAATTCCGGCCTCAAGACTTTAAGGAAAATAGATTTCCTCAATCTTGATCTCGTGGGCGTCCCCGGAAATTCTTAGCCCACGGGTTTCAGCGACAGCCGAGTCTGAAGTCTGCTTTCGAGGGAACGTGCGAGCTGGGAGTGTACGCCAGTGGGAAACAGTTCCCTTCAATAGTTCTGTTTTTCCTCTATAGAAAAGCAAAAAAAATAATCTCTAAAGGAATGCGGAAATGCTGTACATTAACTATCGAGCCTGCTATTTTAGGGTCTCATATTGCTAAAAGGCCTCGATATTTTACAACATACAGAGCAACTGCTCAAAGTGCGACTCTCAGGGCTTGATGAAAGTAGGGACACATTTATATTTATGTAGATTTTTAGGTCGAAAGTTACTATAAAGTGAGAGACTTTCTTGTGTTTTACCTATTTCTATCATAGAGGGTAGTTTTTCCACAAAAAGTTCTTTCAGAAACTGGCGAAGCTTCCACGTAGTCTATCGGCCGCAAAGATTGTAAAATATCTCGGCTGCGCTTGCAAAGCACAAGCCAAAAATTTCAAGAATACAAATCTAATCCATGTCCGACGTGTGTGCAGAATACAGAAAAATTCTGGACGCTTGAGGCACTTCCGTTTTTGGTTAAAAAAGACCCTGACATCTCCTGGAAAGCGCAATCCAATTGCTTTCAAAAGTGTTGCTCCAAGGATTTTCCCTTTAATTTTGCTCTACTTCAATTTTTCATCAATTTGCGGCCTGCTTAGAACGTAGGCAGCCCTCCGCCGTAATAGACGCTCATAATTCCCTATCCTACAACCTGGAAATCCAGCAACTTCTCCCAGATTAGGCGGACTACGATACTAATCTTGACATTCAAAACAAGTACGGTGGTTTACGCCGACGCCTCTTGCGGGCCGATTTTGGAAACACGTGACATTTACAGCATACCGCTATAAATAAAGCGCCGAGCATCTCGCATGCGACGCTTGGCCGAAGAACATGGCCACTACGGTAGGTGAAAGAGGAGCCGGCAGGAAAGCGGGATTAAGGCTGTTTAGCAAGAAGTTATGCGGAGATGAATCGGTATTACATCCGGTTTATATGGTGTCCCATTCGTAGGTCGGGGCGAAGATCTCTGTTTATCTTCGGTTTTACTATATTAATACGGGCAAATATTGTGGGCATTGTGAATTGTGGAGTAAATAGATGCCTTCTGACCCTTTCCTGAGCCTATTACAAGCAAACAAGCCGTTTTGAAAGAGTGTAAAATTAGCTATCGACATGCAATAACGACTTACAAATGGAGCTTCTTCGATTTTCAACATTTTTTACCACGCTTTTTCGGTCGAAATGTAAGTTTTTATGTAGTAGTGGAAGAAAAAAAAAACAAGTAGAAATACGATGACACTCGTATTGCTTTGTAAAATAACTTGTTCGGAGAGTAACGAACGCCCCAAAATTCGCTCTCCATTCGAGTTCATCCGTCATGAAAATTCGGATTATCTGCTATTGTTAGACAAAACAACGCAAGTTTTGTAAGTGCTAATGGGTCAAAGCTTTTTTTAGCAACCAATGTCTCGCAAAATAAGAAGAAAAATAAGAGAAAGTAAACAATTTTATAAATAATATCAGTGTGTCGGGAAAATAATGAGCACGCTGTCGCAACGAAAATTGCATCGCCGGTGAGGAAATGAAAGTGGAAAAATCCAACTGCTAACGCGATAGGCAAGCGAAATTGCGCTCATTATTTTCCCGACAGATTGATATTCAAATTTCTTTCAATATCATTCGTAAAAGTACTCCAAAATACGCATAAAATCCCTCAAAAACACAAAAATAGCAAGATGAGTCATGGAGTTCATAGTGACAAAAAAATGTAAAGGTCCAAAATTTTGATCACATCATTCGCGCTCTCCACTTTTGCCAGTCACACAACAGCCCATTTTCCTCCAACGAATTCCCGAGATTCCAGTAAAAACGAGGAAAAAAGTCGGCTCGTTGGAGCGAAGCTAACATGTGAAAGTGATCGGCGGTAAATTTTTGTCATTTTCAATGACTTTTGCGAAGAGTAGAAAGAGAAAGTGGAAAGTTTACAATGTCTGGAATTGAGTGAAAAACTGGATCATATTTTTATTGGAGTGGAAGGCGGAAAGGGATTCTTTTGAATAACTTGGGGACAGGATGCCGTTGTAAGCTATTATTCGTTTTAATTTCTTGATGATTCTGTGCCATATCTAGCCCAAAAAATCTACAAATGTGTCACGTGGCGTTTTCCGGACATGGCTAAAGTTTTTCCAGGTGTTTGAAAATGTGAAGCCATCAGTTTAATGGCAAAATAATGAGTACAATGTTGCTACGCGATTAGCTTCGCTGAATTGAAAAACATTGATTTTTCCCGCGATACAATTCAATTGATGACCTTTACTTTCTTTTTTCGTTACTTCGCGGGACACTGGTTGCTAAGAAAAGCTCTGACCCATTAGAGGTTAAAAAGGTTGCGTTGTTTTTCTGACGCTCATTATTTTCCCGACAGACTGATATTTCGATAACACAGCCCCAAGGCGGACATCAGAGAAGAGACACTAGAAAAAAAAAGCAATAACCGCGATGGAAGACCGGAAATACTTGGAGATACGATAGAAAAAATGATGACGCAATAGTAATACTTTGCCAAAAGAACACCATAGACAGACACATAGACGTAAAAATTACCATTGTGCTTTCAACAAGAAATTTAAAAAAAGAGTAAAAAGCAGTGCACTTCAAATTATGTAGAATCCACTACGAAAGAACATTACAACGCTGCAGCTCGGCTTATAAAACCACCCCCAAAATTAGCGGAATGGAATGTAAATTGAAATTCTCCCAAATTCAACGTGCAACCTTCAAGGAAAGGGCATCCAAATCGAATAAAAAGAATTTGTATTATGATGAATACCATTCTGATCCAACATTGATCTTTTAAGAGAATTTAAAGACCTTTCTGCGGTTTTATGTCACACACACAATAGCTTGAGACGTAAGGTTTGCAAATAAACAAACAAGGAGGCGTTTTAACATGGAATACGGCTTACAGAGCGTGTCATTTTACAAATGCCTCTATAAAAAGGAAAAACATGATTTGATCGCGGTTTTGCAAAACAAGTCCAAAAATATTTTGAATTTTACAAAGGTACATGTGTCTCGAGAATTGAGCAATCCCGTATCAGTCTGTCGGGAAAATAATTAGCACGTTGGTTGCGTCGTTGCAGTGAAAAGTAAATAATTTGCTTTTGCCGCAGCACGATTTATTTTCTCGGCGGCGATGTGATTTTCGAAGCGACAGAGTGCTCATTATTTTCCCGACAAACGGATATCTTAAGTGTGGCAAATTTTTCGAATCCTCGTTGAAATTTGGCACAGATATTGGGCATAAACGCTATGTCAAGTACAGAAAGTTTGTAGAGCTATGTCATGTTCAGAAAGGTTTTAGCTTGCGCTTTCCGCACCGAGATTTTCAATGATCGATGCCGCAAAGAGATTGCGCAAAACTTGGGCAACTGTCAGAGAAAAAATGCTTTTTTGTCAAATTTCTGGAAATTTTCGAGGAAAAGTATGAGCAGCGTTTTTTTGTGGGAATATTACACGTTTCGTTAAGCATTACCAAACAAAATTTTCACTTCTAAAAAACTGAATTTTGACGAACTTTCGGGCTAAAAAATTCGGGTTGTTTTTGCAATGCGCAAGCTAAAAACATAGGAAACAAGTATCTTGGAAAAATTTTATTGAAATTCACGTCAAGCTTTTTAAAATCATAGCGTTACATTTCAAGCACTTCAATTGTTAATTTATAATTAGAAATTCCGTAAATTTGTCCCCCTAATATTTACAATTGCGATTGTAAACACGTCCCTTCCCCCAAAAAGTCAACTTTCCAATTTGTTTCATAAACAGATTGACGTTGTACAATGGAATCATCGGGAGGATCCCGGTCTGATTTCCAATGTTTGCGCAGCTCTTTTATTAATCATTTCTCCATCGGATGAACGGGAGCCGACGAACAATACAAAACACATAAAACTGCGAGGATAGAGTGCCCATTACTGCGGAATTTTTTGACTCGTTTGTTGAGAAGTAAATTGAAATTTCGAATTTTGACAAGGGAAGGGCTCCAATTGCGACGCACGAAAATTTTCTTTTAATTTAAGTAGCGCATAGCACACATATCACTTCCTGAAAGTTTTAGCTCTGACTTTTCAGCCGCAGTCGGTAAATTCAACGATCTTTACTGCCGAGAGAGCACGGGAAACGCGGAGAGTGGCCAGAGAAAAAATATTTTTTTGTCTCATCCAGAGAGTACGCTAAAAGTGGAGGGTGTTTTTAGGTCACATCTATGCCAGATTTGTACGAAAAAAGTTTTTTTTTTTGTGAAAACACTACCTTCTCTGATAGAAATCGGCATGAAAAACGTCACAAATTGCAAAAAATGTAACATTTTGGCCAACTTTCCAACTGAAAATCTCCGCTTTTTCTTCAAGGTACAGGCTAGGATCCTAGCACATAGCATAGAAGGAGTTAATCCAACGCTGTGCCAAGTTTTATCAAAATCCGTGCGTCGCACTTGAACTATATACTTCACCTGTAAAATTAAAGAAAAAACAGTTTTGCAAGAAAACGGAAAAACAGTGTTTATTAAATTTTTAACACAAACAAGTACGCTATTTGTCACTACCGGTAAACTATATATGTTATTATTACAACAAGCTTTGCTGTATATTGCGTGCCAAATAAAAACGAGGTTTACGCCTTGAACTCGCCGCATTGTCCACGAGTTTTCCAATACGTTCGGTCCATCCGCCGTTTGAATCGATATACAACCTAAAAAGTCCGTTTTACAGAGTAAAAAGTTTCATAAATAGTCGCATTTTCACTTCTTTATACATAACAAAACTTCTAAGTAACATTCTTAGAGTAACATATTTGCCTTAAAAAAGAGCATAAAAACTTCGCCTACCTCACGATAATGCCGTTGCGAGTGCTGCGCGCCCTTCTTCTCTCCCGCTGAAGCGCTCGTTTTGATTCCCGGATGTAATGTGAAGAGATCGTTGACCACCGCGAACTGAAACCCAGCTCTACAAGTCTCGTATCCCAGCTCGGTGTGGCCCCGGTGGGGATAGGGGAAACTCTCGTCATGCAGCGCGATGGCATCGGAATCCGCGACAAATTGCGGCTCCCATTCGCCGTTCGTGTACGGGACAGTCTGAAATTTGGGGATTGAAAATGTTTGACGAAAACTTACTGAAAAAACAGATCCCTTTTCCAAATCTTCAGGGACTTTGAACCATTCGTCCAAATACGGAATACTATGGCCAGCGGCATAGAAGATTTTGTGGAATTCGACTGCTTGCTTTTTATCGAAGAGGATCTAAATGTAAAGGTGCAAAAATACTGCGGAATTGTACGTACTTTCAGTTCTGTTTTAGTTCTTGGCATGGGGACAAGCTCAGAGACTTCAAATCGTCGATGAACCAAAACTATTTTTCTCCTTTCTCTAAAAAATCCGCTAATTATGACCGCCAGTCTTGTAGAATTACACGAAGAATAAAGTAATCTTACTCAATCAACAGTTTCTGCGCCAGTGGAAGCATTCTCTCCACATATCTTGAAGCCGGAATATTCTCAATATCCGACGCAACAAACAGCCGGGTATTCATTCCAAATCTGGCCACATTCCTCAGCTGTTGACAGGGATAGTTTGGGATATGACCAGCATGATCGTACATATGCTTTAGGTATTCGTAATCCGTACTAAGTTGGTCCTCACTGTAGACAAAGTCCTCACAGCCTTCGCTGGGCCGATCAAACAACAGATGGATACCAACCTTGCCGGTTTCCTTGACTTTGCGGTAGGATTCAAACTTGGCAAGGGCTTCCTGAAAAAGAAGAGTTAAGTGACCCATAAAAAGAGAAGGTCTCCGGGTTTATGGAAAGATTACTCACCATGAACGAAAGATTCTGCTCCTTTGTCGCATCATAGTCAAAATTCGGAGCCGGCATGTAAACTCCAATCGAGATCGGGCCATTCCACACTTCCACCAGCTCCTGCATGTACTTAATGAAAGGCATCGTCGAATGGACGACATAAGTAATCGACGTGTTCCACTTGTCATCCGGTTTCCAATAATTGTAGGCAACACAGTAGCCTCCTTTGTAATGCGTGGACCTTATAACTTTGGCATTTTTGGGTAGGACTCTCTCGTTATTAGCGGCTTCTTTATTGTTGCCCCGTTGACCGCCGCTTTCTTGGTCATCGTTTTCCTGGTCATTTGAGGCATCAGGGTTTCGACTGTCTTGCTCATCCTCTGGGTGTACAACCTTTGCCAGATTGTGAGCGACGTCTTGTCTGTGGGCATTATCTCCTCCATCCTCCCCATTAACTTCCGGTTTCACCTGCCGCAGTCGATTTACTGCTTCTTTGAGTTTTTGCAGGTCGATTTGAAAGCCATGCGGTGCAACTGGTTTGTGAGGTGCAGGTGGCTCATGCTCCTCGCTCTCTGGGAATTTTTCCACAGCTTTGGGCGGATCCTCGCGCAATGGGACCTGTTCAAAAAGCCTTTGCCGATCCTCAAACGATTCGTGCGAATTCTAAAACCCAAAACATTACATAAATAACATGGCAGCACATACCTTCACTGCATCAACTGGCGCATTTATATTTTTGAGCAATCCCAAATTCGGTTTGAAATTATTTTGCGACAACAGCAACATCAACAACAAACAGTTCAAGACTAACAATAACACATGATTCAGTCGAAACCTCAGCATTCTGGTGCTCGGAAAGCCAGCTTGAAGAGCGGCCTGAAATAAAAGTAAAAGTGTCTAACAACAGCATTCGAAAATACGACAGAGTCACTTAAATCACGGATCAATTTTGAAAAACGACTGTCACAGAAATGGAGAGGGTGCAACTATGATATCGGATCTGAAAACCGCTACCTCCAATGGCCTCTGTGACCCGCGGTAATCGACCAACAAGTTCGACCAAATTGTCCCGAATACTTCTTTCCTCCGAAAGCTGTAATCCAGACAATTTATCAACTTTTCTCGGTCAAACTTGTTGGTTACGATTATCTCGACCGATGGAGGTAGTGATTTCCAGATCCAGATCCCCGCCCACACCCACCATCGTTGTAACTCTCGTTTTAAAAAGTGGAACCATGACTTAAGTGACGTCTGTTGAAAGACGTGGAATTCTTCGAACGGTCTATTGAACCCGAGGATCTGCATACATTAAGGCCGTTTTCTGGACGTGGTGAAAAAATAAGCTCAAATCGGAAACTGGGGTGTTTTAATCGGTGAAACAAAGCCCAATTAGCATACAGGGTCTTTCAAGAAACGTGAAGGAAAGTAGGAGGCTATAACTTTCGGCGGAGGCGGCGCAGAGAGCCCGTTTTTGGAATATGTATTTTTAAGCAACATTATTTTTTGCCTACGAAATAACGAGCTTTTAGAGTGCAAACTGAGGTCGCTACGACTTTCTGAAGTAGAGGCATCTCTACCCCGAAAACCAGGTTTTTTTCGGTTGAAAATGATCGTGAAATTTCGGTCTTTTTCGGTTGAAAATCACCAAGAAATGCCGGATTTTTTGGGGGGTTTCGATAGAGTTGACGCTGAAAAAAAGGGAAGGATGTTGCCAACACGTTGGAAATTAAGCAAATATTCGGCCAGCCTCAACTTGGGGCAAATTTCGAGTTTATTTTTCAGTATCTTTCGCGAAGAAGCGTGACATCATTTAGGGATTTGAGGAACCTGGAACGGCTAGCCAAGGCACCAGAATGGCTGTGAAGTCTTACAAAAACTATTCAAAGGGTGTAATAGGCGTCAAAGGGCAGGAATGACAACCAAGTTTTAAAACTGCTAGCAAAAACTGGCTAGCCCAAGTGTCAGAATAAAGAGTAGCCGAATATTTGCTTTTCAACGTTTTGACAACATCCATCCCTTTTTTCAACGTCAACTCTATCGAAACCCCCCAAAAAATCCGGCATTTCTTGGTGATTTTCAACCGAAAAAGACCGAAATTTCTCGATCATTTTCAACCGAAAAAACCTGGTTTTCGGGGTAGAGATGCCTCTACTTCAGAAGGTCGTAGCGACCTCAGTTTGCACTCTAAAAGCTTGTTATTTCGGAGGCAAAAAATAATGTCGCTTAAAAATACATATTCCAAAAACGGGCTCTCTGCGCCGCCTCCGCCGAAAGTTATAGCCTCCTACTTTCCTTCACGTTTCTTGAAAGACCCTGTAGTATTTTAATCAGCAGCAAGCAGGTGACCCAAAAAAGTTGTTTTGTACATATATACTTTGAGCCCTGTGGCTTCAAATCCACATTCAGTTTAATGCAGTGCCAAGACCTTTCTATACGTCGAGGAATAAAGGTCCCTAATCTAGTTGCTATCTCTGATCCCAAGCCCAATGAATACTATGCAAACGAACGATGACAAACGACTAACTAAACCCAGGCAACAACTTCAATATAAACTCACTGTAGTTGACTCCACCAACGTACGTCGAGCTGACCAGAACACAACAATAGACAAATCAATAATACGTTTATTCGTCGGGGAAAACTATATAAAAAACTGACCGAAAAGCGATCGGTCCAGTTTATACAATTTATCGGTCGGCTTATGCAAATTCTAGGGAACTTCTCACGGAATCGTGACAGCAGCAAATGAAACTTTTTTATTTTGAATTGCAGTAAGAATTACGGAAGATATAAAAAATTGCAGTTCCAGTGCGCTTACCTTGTCATTAATAGTGTTAATGCATTTCCTGACCAACAATTTCCACATTAAACTGCTGTTGCTGACAAGCAAACACTTTTAATCCTTAAGAATCCTCAGAACGCTTGGTGTGATATTATCCGCAATTCTGTTGGTGATTAACTATAACAACAGCAAAAGGAGTCTGCATAAAACTGGCGTTGAGAACAGCTTTGCAAACAAGACATTCTTTTTTGCCTTAAACCCACCAGGCAAGAAGCAGTGATGGATGATCTAACCACCCATGAGATATTTTGTGTAATTTCACTGAAGATGTATGTAGGCTTGATGACTGGAAAGCTGGTTTGATAGGTAAAAACATCAAAGTCCCAACGTGATGGACGTAAGGCTTTTTGCAGGTGTTTAAAACTGGCAAGTCAATACTTTATGTTTTACAAGTTGCATCGTTTCGGACGGTATCCACTGGATCCATGGCGCCATCGGATATAAATCACAAACTCAGATCTTTGCCGTTTGTAAAAAAAATCGTACATGATCGTTATACCACAAAATTAACATATTCCGAACAAAAACAAAACGTTACTTTCGCAGTTATTCCACAGTTCGGGCTAGCAAAATAGTGGAAAAAATGTAATGGAGAAATTTTACTTCCATGCTTCGGACGTCGGTCGGAAAAAAACATTTAGCGTACCGACTTTTCAGGTCGGCGACAGTTCGGGCCAACACAAAATTGAACGGTACGGACGCAGGGCAGGTGGATACCCAAACAAAGGCTGTGGGAGGTGCATATGAGGCCTGGCAACGCTGTTTGACGATCGGCGCATGCTCGGTGCAGGCTCGGCGGAGACATGGCCAAGGCTTGCAATATGTCCACTTTTTCTAACTTTATCTATTAATAACGTTAGCTTTCTTTTCCGTGAGTTATTGTAGCAATAAAAGACCAAAATTTGCGGCAAAGAACGAAGATCCCTAACTTTTATCTAAATATTAATCATACAGGGATATAGGTGATAAGTGTTCTAGGACCCGCCCAATCGTATTACTTCTACTAACTAAGCTTCTCCTTGCCTTCTCTACTCTCTATGCAAACAACAACGAACCGACGCGATCCGTAGTATTGTCGACCCAAACTGTCGCTGACCCGAAAAGTCGTAATTCAAAATACATAACTTGTCATGCCATGCGTTGACGAGAAATAGACACTTATTACCCTTGAAGAAAACCCCCTTATATCTTGTGGTCCCAAATTTGAAACGCACCCCGTTTAAAGTTTAAAGTGGATTCAGAAACAGAAGAGTTACACTACAGGACATAGAACATTTTTAGTAGTTGCGTATTTGCATAAGCGAGCAACCTTTGTTTTTTTTTGGTTAATAATAACAATATCGATGGTAGATCGTGCAGATCTCCCAGAAAACTGCTTGAACAGGCGGATTGTGTGATGAAAAGCAGCGCCTTCGTCTAACGGGGCGATAATATAAACCTCGTTTTGTAGCTTAGCACGTGTAGGCTGGTTCTATAAAAAGATCTGGAATATTAAAATGATCATCAAACATGAAAATGTTCAAGACTGTTTTTGTGGTTTTGGCCGTTTTTGTTGGCGATGTCTTTTGTTCACGGGTGAGGTTGAGTACTGTAACTTAGTGTCCATTTTAGGCCGACTTGCTAAAAGACAACTACTACGGCCCTGGCCCAAAGAAAGCTGACGATGTAACAATCAAGCCTCTGAACATCACAGTTCCCTACTCTGTTCTTGAAGACCTCAAGAACCGCCTGAAGAATGCCCGCATCACTCATACACAACTTGAAGATCAGAAGAACTTCCATTTTGGGTTCTCGCTGAAAGCTCTAAATGAGTTCAAGGACTACTGGCTCAACGAATACGACTGGCGGAAGGTTGAGGAGGAGTTGACTCGATTCCCCAGTTTCAAGACCGAAATTGAAGGAGTTGGAATTCACTTCATTCATGCCAAACCTCCAGCTGGAAAATACAAGACAGTCAAGCCGCTGTTGGCTTCGCATGGATGGCCCGGAAGTATTCACGAGTTCACCAAGGCGCTCCCCATTTTTACCGATCCGCAGGCCAACGGTATCAATGTTAGTTACGCCTTCGAAGTGATTACTCCTTCAATCCCCGGCTACGGTTGGTCTGACGCCGCCCAAAAGTCCGGGCTGAATCAAGCGTCCGCCGCGCGGATCTACAACAAGCTGATGACTCGTTTGAACTTCACCAAGTACTTTGTTCAAGGTGGAGATTGGGGATCGACGATTGTGGGAAACATGGCCCGGCTTTATCCACAAAATGTGCAAGGCGCGCATTTGAACATGTTAGTCAGCTTGAACCCGGCCGTGCTGGCCAAGACTACGCTTTATTCCGCAAGACCTGTCCTGTTGAAGGAGGCCGGTTTCAAGGGCTACAGTGTTGCGCGCTATATTAATTTCGCAATCACCCAAGCCGGCTATTTCCATCAGCAAATGACCCAGCCCGATACTGTCGGTATGCTTTATATTGTCATTATTAAATCCGAGTTATTGTAATTTTGCAGGTATTGCCCTGAACGACTCCCCAATCGGTGTGATGGCCTGGATTCTGGAGAAATTCTCCGGTGGCACCAACCCGGCCTACGAAGACTTCGAGGATGGGCATTTGACCAAGAGGTTCACAAAGGAAGACCTTATCACCGCGGTGATGATCTACTGGGTCAACGGAAATATGCTGCAATCTGCTAGGTTCTACAAGGAATTGTTCATCTCCAAAGACGCTCAAAACTTGATGAGGTAAGATACGATCAGTAAAGCAAAAAATCTATTCTCTTTCAGTGAGTTCATTACGGTTCCGACCGGCTACGCCGCTTGTCTCAACGACGCTGTTCCCGCTCAACCTAAGGATGTAGCGTCCGCAGCGGTAAACCTTCAGCATTACAGTACCATTGACGCTGGCCATTTTGCCGCCATGGAGAAGCCGTTGGAGCTGGTGAAAGATGTTTTCGAGTTCACTAAGCCGCTTGTCAAGTAATTTTTGAGCTTTTCATGTTAGTCATCACAGTAAATACAAGCATTGCAAAATAAATCCTTGATTTAATTATCAAAGCATTAAAATTATTACTTTTCTGCGACATTCGAGATAACCCGTTATTGTGAAAAGACAGTGTAATTGTTTCGTCGCTTTGTGGTGTATGTATACGTCGCAAGACAAGAGAAGCAGCTTTCAAGCGAAGACAAAGACGATAAACAAATCGGGAGTTCCCCAGGAACGGACTGAACTCTCGCTCTTTGAACGAGAAGATGTTGAAACACAACGTATACGTTCAAAAAGAAAGGCCAGAGACTAACTGCTTAGCGAGTTTAGGCAATCAAATATGGCGCTGCCATCATTACGCCGGCAATGGTTGCGATGATAAAGATTGTGAAGATATATAAACAGAGACGATCGACAACCATCGCTGCGAACTTCCAGTTGGTGGCTTGGTTCTCCTCCCGTTCTTCCTCCATCATCCGTTTGGTTATCACCTGGAAAGAGGGCCGTTGTGTGCGCAGGTTAGATTTTTCGTCCGTCGGGAAAATAATAAGCACTCTGTCGCATCGAAACTCGCAAAGCCGCTGGGAAATTGAATTGTGCCGCAACAAGTTCAAATGGCTTTTCATTTCAGAGATGCGATTGGCACAGCGAGATGGTGCTTACTATTTTCTCTACAGACTGATGGAAACGCATCGATTCAAGAATCAAGGGAACAGTGTTGCACGCCAAACTGAGACGCGCTGGAATCTCTCGGTGAAAAGAAGGAAAACTCGCCGCCAAAATCGCAAAAAGTCTCAATGTCGGAAAAGAAATGGGGAAATTTTTGGGCTAGAAAGTAAATTTTACGTGCTTTTTGTCTGTTTTCTCTGTCAAATAAATAATACGAAGTGCCCAAGATCGATCTCACTTTCACGTCGAATTGACTAATGCTTTATAAATAATGGAAACCTACCTTGAGCTCCGAATGTATTCGTTGAAGCAGCTGCAGGGCTGCCGCATTGCCTTGGTCGGAAAGGGGAGATCCACTCAAAGCCGTGCTCTCCATGCTCAGCTGAGCACTCGGGCCTCCATTCTTCATCGGCTTGATGCCGTTGAGTCCGCCGTTACTGAGGACGTTGAAGAATTGATTCACAACATGCCTCTCAATATCAATCGAATTCCTGAAACATTTGGTTCAAGTGTCACCCATATTTCTTACCTTGTCCCATCCTCCACCTGTTTAATATTTCGAATAAGTGATTCGCTGTGCCTCTTCGGCTTTGACCATGGTAAAATCGAAGGTAACGTTTCCCAAGTCAGGAATATTCCTGGTCTTTCGATTCGAAGGAAATAGGGAAGCCAGTATAATAAGATTGTTCGAGCCTGAAATATACATTTAGGATGGGAAAAAATGTGCGTATTTTACCATCGGCGACATCTCATGAGTCTCGGGCGTGCGGTAATGAAGGTTGAGCACGTAGACTGTGAATACCGTAGATGCTGTTACCACGATCATACAGCTCGAAAAGAAGATACCTAGAAGAGGGACGGCTTCCGATGTCGGTGGAGACATCTCGGATAGCATACTCAAGAAGAAACAAATCGACAGGAGAACAGTGATTTCTGAAACACAATCAATTACTGTCGTACCTACTGTAGTGTCACTCTAAAGGGATAACAGCGATACTTACGAAGTGTGATTTTCTCTCCCGCATCCGGCGGTAACGTGAAGCCCAGTAAAGTCATCATGGTCGTCAAAATGCATGGCATGATCAAGTTAAACCCGTAGTAGAGAGTACGCCGACGCATGTGCAGGAAGAACGTGACGTCCGGATAGGGCTCATCCGGGCAACACTCGTAGAACTTCTCGGTACGAGAAACACTGGTCACTAAAATGCGATATGACAAGCTCTCGCCACAACTCACTCGGAAGAGCCCATTCGCCGTTGGGCAGATATTCGCTGATATCAAATCCCCCTTCGGCGGGTTGCAGGTCAACCATTCGTCCGCCGTACGTCCACGACCCGAACTTGAAGAAGCACCGCTGCTCGTCGAAGGGAAACCATTTGATGTCGATTTTACAAGAGATTTTGAAGATGCCCGGAGGAATCCAAGACACATCACCCGTGTTGTAAACAATCATATTCGAGGGATACGTTGAGTCAAAGTTTGAGTCTACACTGTTATAGAGTAGGACGTCTGGAAAAAAGTCAATAAAGTAATTGGAGATGCTACCATATGTACAGTAGGGGACCTGATCCAGTGGCAAAAAACCTACCATTTTGCATCCGGGAAGCATTACAAATGTGGCAAAATGCTTCCTTCTCCAAATAAAAAAATTCAATTTTGAAGGGCGCGCCTTTTTCCTCACAAAAAGAGCGGGCGCGCTTTTGAAATCGGATTTTTTTCATTAGGAGAGGGAGGTATTTTCCCACATTTTTTGACGCTTCTTGGATGCAAACTGGTACGTTTTTGCCACTGGATCAGGCCCCCACTGTATACTTCTCTAATTGCTGATATTTCTCATATCTTTTTTACCTGGTTTCCAAATCTTTCCGACCGGAAATCGAACGTCCGTTATGTTCCCGTACTCGAGGATGTCCCATCGCAACTTGTAGTCATTCCAAGCCTATTACTCAACATGTCAGAGAGTTTTTGCACAACTTACATAGTCCAGCCACGCGTTAACATACACCACTTGATTTTTCTCATCAACATCGATCAGCTGCTGCAACGACACCTTCAATTTCACAACAACGGGCTGCGAGTGATTGGCGACTGGCCTCTCTAGGATATTGTAGTCCCTCATCAAGTCTTCGTACAGTCTTCTCTCGTGGAATGACCCTTCCACTGACAACATCACGGAGAATATTGTGCATAGTGTCAGTGAAGCAAGAAGAGACAGTGTGCTAGGTCTTTTCCTCCTTGAAAGGCGTTTCCCTCGTGCGGGACGAACTGTCTGCATGCTGGGAATCCAGTCGAGAGCAGGCCGTCTTCAGTCTGTGCTTTCCTCCCTGCTTCCCACGTCCTTTTGCATCATCTAGCGGAGGCAGCGTTGGTTGGAGAATTTCTGAAGAAATGAAGGGTACCAAAATGGCGATTGCCGCGGCTACTATCTTCACGGAAAAAGTTCAGATATATAGAACTAGTTGCTGAGAATGAGAGACAACGGGCGGGAAAGTCAGTAACGGTGTGTTGGGAAAATAGTGAACCTAAAGTCGCTGCGGAAATCGTATCGCTGAAGTGGAAAGCAATTTGATTGCGATACAGTTCATTTTCCCGGTAGCGATGCGGCTTTGGATGCGACAGAGTGCTCATTATTTTTCGGACAGACTGATTTTAGCTGGCTTCAAAAAACAATTTTTTCCGGCTCCTGGCTCTACGCGACAAATATATCTGCAAAAAAAATGTGTGGTTTCATCCCATTTCGAAAAATTACTCTTACACTGTGCATAAACGCATCCACCATGAATTTTATTCGTCGCCGTGCAGCAACCATTTCGCGCACCATGCAGAATCTCAAGACTTTCCAGCCCGCCTAATATTTTTTCCCATCGCCAACATGCCCAAAATCGTCATTAACTGACCAGAAACCACACCTATCCATAACAACTCCCCTCGCCCGAAAACCCCACAAGGAGCGCTCTGAATTTTTTTATACGTGCATAAAAAATATAAAGCGCAAAGGATGCAACGGCATAAACCATCCGAAAATCCACTGTTTGTGGAGTGCTCAAGTTTCCGACGCACTAAGTCGTGGGGCCAGGTAAATTCGTATCAATATTGAACGTGGAATCGTTTAATCCGAAACGTTGAGCTCAACTTGTCTGGCCGCAGTAGTTTCGGCGGATGAAGAAGAGTTTCAAATTGAGTTTGGTTACAGACCGCCCGACAATTTGATCATGCGAAAAGTAAATAAAATAATAAACCGAAAATTCAATACACATGTAGGGAAAAGGAGAGCATTTGAACTGGAGCGCATCCAAAACCATAGAATGTTCTCGTAGAACATGAACATTGGGAATAAGAGTAAGAGGTCGAAGGAAACAAATTTTGTTGCAATGGGAGTTTATGTAATTTACGAAAAATGGAATCCACGCGATGTGACCAGCTACTGTGCCTGCCGTTTTTAGTGCTAGTTTAGGTACTGCAACCGATGGCCAAGCAGTCTTTTGACAAAAATCTTATCAACGACTAGCAAAAAATTGATTGGTAAACAAGCCACCCAAATATCAATCCAAATGATTGGAATGGCAGCCATATTTTTGAAAAGCGGCTCAAGAAAGGCCAAACCAGCGCTTTGACTAGCTGTTCCGACGTTCTGGTTATAAATACAACTTTCTAGCCAACCGCACAACCCTACCAATCATCAAGACCTCGGTAGTAGCCAATACTGTTCTTAAATCAGGCGATTATTTCAAATAGTGAGTTCTCATATTAGCCTGTTGGGAAAATAATGATGACTTCGCTGCACCAATCGCGTCGCTGAATTGAAAGGCAAAACAGTTTTGTCGCAATACAATTAATTTTTTTTTCGGCGGCGATGCAAATTTTGATACGACAGAGGGATCACTATTTTCGGACAGAGTGATAATAAACGGTAGGCCATAATTGCTCTAATTCTAAAACCACGACAATTGTGGTTTTAGAAATTTCTTAAATCACCATTTCTCTAAACGAATAAAATTTCCATCAAACTCCTTGAGCACAATCTTTGGCCAAGACAAGTCTTCGCACAAAATGTATTTCCAAGCTACTTACAAGGAAGACGGGCAAAAAAAAAGAAAACAAAAAAAGAGCTTCCCGATTGGTTCGGCGGGATTAGTGGGAGCAAGTTTTCACTCTTATTTTCCTCCCCGACATGCCCAAGATGACTTACAAATCACGGTCGTAATGTCAAAAAGCGGCATGAATAATACCAAAAACGGCGTGGTCGGGAAACGTGATTTTTCGTAGGGAAACAATGAAAGAAGTGGAGGGAAGCTTGAGGGATGAAAAATGAAGCAATTTGGCGAAGAAAACTCAAAACACGGGATTACAGGGCTAGATTATGGAACGGTCAACAGAATGACATGGGATCAAAAAGTGGGCTGTGTTGCCTTTGGCTAGGCTGGCAATAAAGTTCAGGTCTACCAAAATTGCGTAGAACTTTAACGCAACATTTGAATACCTTGGTGAACTTAAAAGAAAAAAGTCTGAAAAATCAGTCATTCTGAAAATTTTGTAGCTTCCTGTAAGATATAGATGAAAATGAATAAAATCCTTAAAAATAAAGTCAAACTTGTATATTACTTTTTCGTCCCCGTTGAAGCAATTGGTTATCATCATGCCGGTATAATGCGGATTCGTGGCACCATGGAAGTTTATGTAAAACGCTTTGCTGGAGATTAGGTGTGCGAAAAATCTTCCTGCGCAAAAATCCACATTATTTTCTCGACGACTGACGGGATATGAAACCCGAAACCCAACCCGACAATTGAAAAACAGGGAATAACTAAAGGCAAAACTTTGGGGCTACCACCCTCCGCTGGCATATCAAATAGCTCATGAATCTATAGCAAAAAGAAGTGGGATTTTGTTTGTTTTGAAGGGTTTGATGACTAGAGGGTTCAATATGACGATAAAATAAACCGATACAAGTGCAAGGTTAGTGACCGGGAAGTGAGAAAAGACCACCGAGTTCAATGACCAATGATTTCAGTAGGATTTTATCAAAAAAAGCCAAAAAAACATCCGAAATCTCAACGTCTTTTCGGCGAACATCTTCTACTCACGCGGTATGTTTATAAATACGTACGTTGACAAGTGCCGCGCTTTTCGTGAAAACGACGAATTCCCCCCAAAAAAACATTTCCTAATCACAGGCCGGAACTCATCTCGATGGTCGCTGGCCGATACAAGGATCTGGCCAGTACTTGCCGTCTGGAAGAGGGCCGCGAAATCGGGCTTCTACCCTATTTCGTCTCATTATGGTCCGCAACGAGCCTGGGGATTCGCCTTTTTCGGAGGCCCGAATCCCATGTCCACCTACGCTATTTATGCAAAATAAGAGAGGGAACGAACCGAAGTCCAAGAGACCCGGAAAGCCTGTAATTGGCAGCCAGTCGACGATGACTCAGATGGATGTTGAATTTGACGGGAGTTGCGTGGAAGGAGAGCAAATAAATTGGCCGTCATTTTCCCACGATTCTACGGTATACAAATCTTGGACTCATCAGACCCTTGACTAGTAAAAAAATTGGGAAAAACCCCAATCTTTTGGCTAGTCTAGTATCGGTCTGTCGGAAAAATAATGAGCACAATGCTGCTTCGCCGATATGTCGCTTAAGTGAAAAGCTATTTGATTTTGCCACGGCATAATTCATTTTCTAGGCAGCGTTGCTACTTCCGATACGACAGAGTGCTCATTATTTTCCCGACGGGCTGATGTGTAAGGGCATTTTCAGTTTTTGCACGCACTTTTACTGCCCTCGAACCCACCCCCACCCTCTTCTAGACACATAAATTTGTAAACGCGGGGATATAACTCAAAGCGGATCTTATAATCGAAAAAATAAGCTCATCGGGCCCGCACGGAAATGGAACGTTTAAAAAATTGAAATTTCAATACCAAGTAAAGTTTCTCCAGATGCAGCGCCCATCGTGTGGGGTCCGTGCGGAGCGTCTTAATCAAACTTCGACATGATATTTATAGGGCGTTGGGAGATTAGCAGCGGGTAATCGAATTCGAACGATACAGGCGGATTGGATGACGTGGAAAGCGTAATTTTTGCAACTAAATTTTTTTTGAAATTTAGTCGTTTGCACCGTCACAATACCAGTTTTACTAGTGCCAAATTCTGGCGGAGTCAGCACATCACGTATTGAGAAATTAACCTGATAAAGTCATGGCTGTATGAACTATCAGTCTGTCGGGAAAATAACGATCACTATTCAACTGCGCCAATCGCTTCTTTGAAGTGAAAAGCAATTTGATTTTGTCGCGGCACAGGTTATTTCGCTGCGATTTTTGATCGAAAGAGTGCTCATTATTTTCCCGACAGACTGATATGTAATTGCGTTTTACGATTTTTCTTTGCACCACCTGCAAAGAATTACTAAAATTCCCAAAAGAAAACCCATTGCAATGCGGAACACTTTGCGGTCAGAGCTGTTCAGACGTCTGACATCTTGCGGAACACATTTTTTTTTGCAAATCCCTTTGGAAGACGAAAAAATAACACCTGTTTTTCATGTCAACGCAAAAAATTTGTTCCTTAAACTTGTCACAATGTCACGTCTACTGGAAAATCAAGTATGTATTTCCAGCAGACGTGACATGTACTGGCTGAAAACAAGTTCTCATTGGCTGGCGAGATCTTATGACCCAACTCAAATGGAGTATTTTGGGCCGCTTATCCCATAAAATTCAAGTTTTTTGGACACTAACTACCCCTCATTAATACTCAATACCCATAAAACGTAACAAATCACCAAAATATAAGCAATATGGCAACAGTTGGCCGTTGAGAACCATCGGAATTTCTAAATCAAGCCGAGTTTTAGTACGTTTTCGAAAAACTGTGAAATATTTCAATTTTTAGAGCCAAAATAGTAACGAAAAACAATAAAAGAAACCCTCTCGGACTTAAACTCAACTCCTGTAGGGTCGGGAGGTTCGGGTGCAAAAAGGCGGTTTTGATGGAGAACCTGGATCAAGGGCGGATATAAAGCACAAAGGTTGATTAATGCCGCCGTCCCGAACAAAATGTCACTTTTTCCCCTCAAATTCTTTGGGTTCCAACCGAATTAAACTGCTTACACAGTGGCCTGTAAAAAGAGATGATTGATGAAAAGTGGTTCGCTGTACGCGGCTTTGGTTTGAAACCATAAATGACGTTTTTTGAGGAGAGGTGTCGGAAGAGTCGAAAAGGAAGTCAAGTAGGGACAGAATCATGATAATGGGTAAAGTTCAGAGAACAGAATATCAGCTGAAAACAAGTGGCTTGCAAAGTCGCATTTGCAAAGTTGTTTTGGAATGCTTTACTAGCTAGAAGACCTACAAGTCACAGTAAAAGATGCCCGAGGAGGACTGACCCGTTAATTATCAGTCTGTCGGGAAAATAACAGTCACATCAAAAATGGTGCCATTGACAGAGATATCAGTCTCTCAGAAAAATAATGTAAACTCTTTTTCCGACAGGCTGATAAGGCAGGATTTTTTGGACAAGAAATTTTTTATAAAGACTAAAAAAGCTTTTGAATCCCTAATTTGCAACTCCCACTTTCTTATCACCCATTATCCCCATTCTAAAGTCACGGCCATTAAACCTCGAATAACCGCACGTCACCGCTTCCTTCGAGGAGTGCAGAATCCCCTCTCTATAACAACAAACACGAAATGGATGTTTGAAAAGTGAGAAAATGACGATAACCTGTCTCTTCTCAATCCCCCGGCCATCCAGCTGATAAATTGCAGGCCTGCCGGCCGACGGGAAACCATTAGTAGAAAAAATAACAGATAAAAGTGATAAGCAGAGCAAAAGTTTTGATAGGCAAAAAAGCGGACCTGAGGAGTTGGAATGTTTGGATTTTCGAGGGGTTTTTTATAGGCCCCGAACAGTGTTGTTGAGTGAAATGAGAGTTTGTGAAATGGAAGGATTGAGGGAGTTAGGAGGTGGTAAATAATGTAAACCAAAAGGATTGGAGTCCGAGACGTCTGTAGGCGGTTTGCCAAAGTTATAGCGAATTTAGACATATATCATTACTCTGGTGACACCTAAACTTCTTGCAGAATGAAGGTAGAACCCTCTATTGTCAGCCTGTCGGAAAAATATTGAGCGCAATGTCGCTGCGCCCGCTGCGTCGCTGAAGTGAAAAGAATTTGATTTTGCCGCGACACAATTCATTTTCTCGACGGCGATGCAATCTTAGACGCGACAGAGTACTCCTTATAATTTTCTCTACAAACAGATATTACAGTACATACATTCATAAAGTGCATGGGCATCTTGTCTCTTTTTCTGCACTGAGCACACATTTTTATAGAAGAATCGCTGCGACATACGCTTAGCTTCAGCCAAAAGTAATTTCCACTGTGCAAGGCATTTTTGAGGTTTGCAGTGTGTGTTGGTGACAAGGGTGGGAAAAAGCTCAAAGTGCACTGTGCAGAAGAGAACAAAGGTCTATGCACTTTACGAAAACACCGATACCGTAAAAAAGGCTCGCATTTACATAAACCGAAGTAAGAACTATCCTCGACACGCGTTACGAACAGGGCAGTATCGTTTGAATGACAAAACATGCATTTCCGATGACTAAATCTTCCGACAAGAATATTAATTTATTCCGGCAATAAAATCCCCCCACATTTCAAAAGTCCCCGAAGCACAAGCCCTGCGGCTCTTTCTCATTGTTTCCAGCTCTTCCGGGTGATTTAATTGAATTCATTCGAAGTTGAACGGCCATTCTGTTTCTTCGGGCCGCACAATGCGCAAAGCAACAAAAAACATTCATAAGTGAATTTTATTGTGACGCACAAAACGATTTACATTTGTTTCACAGAGTATTGTTATTACGAACAGAACAGTCGCGGCATCAGAGTTCAGGCGACCAAATATGGGGCTTGAACGGCGATGGTGGTACCCGTAATGACGATGAGTAGTGTGAACACGATCAGACAGAGCCGGTCCACGATCACAGCGCCGAACTGCCACTCGGAGCGGATTTCGTTCTCCTCGGCGGCGTCGTCGTTTTTCATGCGGATTGTCTGAAAGATTCGAGGGGAAAATATAGCACTGTTATAGCATATGACAGAACCAAAATACACCGACGTTTTAAACCTCAAAAACCGTATTTCTCTTTGCGGACGAGGGAGTAAGCAAGACGCGGAGAGCGGTCAGGGAGCAAAGGACTTTTTTGGCCATATCTGGGCCAGTTTTGGACGGAAAAAAATTGATTTTTCGTGGAAACATTACTCTTTACGGTAGAAATAGACATGATATCTTTCAAGGACAAATTCTAAAAAAAGTGTCACAATCTTATCAAGTTTTAACTTTAAAATCGCGATGACTTCTGCAAAGAGAAAGCTAAATATAAATCTCGCATATGTCTCAAAACAATCACTTAAATTTGTCCCAAGTCTTATCACGTCAACTTACCCTTATATGGTTGTAGATCTTATTCAACGTATACAACTTCCCGGCCAAATACGAATCCGTTCCTTTGACCATGTAGGCGTAGTGATCAATCTGTTTGCTAAACTCTTCCGGATCATCCTGAAAGTTCGTTAGTGCAAAGAGCAAGAGATCTTTAATCCTACTTTCTCTTCGTCAGATAGCAATGCTTCTTCTTTCCGCTTCCGGAAACTGGCCTTCAGGGTGTCAAGATTGACCTTCTGTTTGGGCCGCTGGATCCGCAAGAGCCACGGCATAAGTTCTAGCAGGATATAACGCATCTAAATTTAGAAAATATTACTGTAATTTTTGGTACTGTAGTTTCAAAATTTGCTACCGTAACCCACCCAAAATCCCATCCGATGACCGCCGCCATAGCTTCGGAAATGAACGCTCTGAACGTAGACGGTAAAAGCCGTGGCCAATACGCTGATAACCATGCAGCTTTGGAAGAAAATCCCCAGCAAAGGGACTGCCTCTGACGTTTGCGGGGTCATTTCGGCCATTATAGTCATGAAGATACAAATGGCCAGCGAGACCGAGATCTGAAGGCCAATCTTCTCGCAGGAGAATGGGTTTAATGTGAAGCCCAGAACGACCAAAATCATGGTCAGAACACATGGCATGATGAGATTGAAGGCGTAGTATCTAAAAAATGGCATCGAAGATTACTTTTCATATGGAGAAGCCAAGCCAAATCGAAGAAAGGAAGTATAATTTTATTTTTCACTTTTCCTCAAGTTTGTTTGTGTATTTTGTGCAGATGATAATTGTCATTTATACATAAAAAATTGGTGTTGCGTTTGTTAGGAGAAAAGATAAAGAAAGGGCAGGCTTGTTCACCTTATTAATTAGAAAATCGTCATTTTTAACTCTTTGGTTTCCTTGTTTCCATCGAATTTTTGGCGCTAAATTTTCACCATGGAAAACTTTACTGTGCTAACGAACCCAAACGAATCGGTTTGGGAATGTGTTGCCGACACGGTAAGAGTCCCCATCTTTGTTGACCGAGTCCTTATAGATCACAAAAACGGAAGGCACCGCAGTAGCCATCGCCGACTACTCTTGCTGGAAAAAAGGTTTTGGGGACGATCTAACTCTAACTGTTTTGAAAGACAAGAGTAAGTGTCAATGCACGCACAAAACACCCATGTTTAGGTACCGGTGATTTTGTATGCTCGCTAGCTACGGTTACATATTGTATGTCCAGGAACTCAAAAACCCGTGAACCCATAACGGCTGTTGGGATGTTCTATACGTCAGAGAAGTACCGCGGAAAGGGTATTGGAACCAAGGTATTCGGCAGCATGCTATCTCTAGAAAGATTTGCCGGCCACAACATGACTCTTCTTGCAGGTGAATCAATGTGATCTGTCGGGTTATATTCAGGCGAGGCATTCAAGCCGGGCCTGAGAAATTTTAAAAACGGCCCGAGCCGGACCTACTTTTCGTCGGGCCGGTCCAATTCTGCTTTTCATCAAGCCGGGCCAGGAATATTTTTTATCGGCCGTGACAGTCCTACTTTTCGTCGAGCCAGGCCAGGAATATTTTTTGGGGGCCGGGCAGGGCTATCTTTTACGCCCAACCGGGCCAGGCCAAGTCCACTTTTCGTAAGGCCAGGCCGATCGTTCTTTTCATCGAGCCGGGCTCTGGGCCTCAAAAGACACAAAGCCCGGCCCGATTACCATGTCTGGTCCTATTCTCGGGTTTTCAGCGGAGCACATGGCACCAAAATACGCTTCAAAATTTGGGTTCTCCAACGAGCCGCCGTTCACGTGGAAAACGTATGCCGTAACTGCCGATAGGATTAGCACAAAACGGTTAATGCGTCACAGGGAAGTGCACATTTTACCCTGGACTAACGTGGAGTTCGCAAAAATCGATAGCTTTGACAAAACTATCGCTACAGATATTGTTCGGACCGACTATCTGAAGGCTAGTTTGGAAATCCCGGAGGCTTTGACACTTGTGAGTTTTTTAAAAATCATTAAAGATTGCAGCATTAGGTTGCTCTGGGTAAATCTGAGGCTGTTACTGGAATAATTCGTGGCCGACAGTGTGTTCAGAATCAACTTTACGTTGGCCCTTTCTACGCTGATTCTCCGGTAAGTCAGAATTATGTCAAAACTTTCGAGAGTTGTCAAAGATCAGTCTGTCGGGAAAATAACGTGGATCTGCGGCAGCTCGTCGCAATTGCGTAACAAGTCTCCAGATTCGGCTAGTTGTTGCAAGCGATGATGGTAATTTTTAGCCGCGACAAATCCACGTCAGTTTCCTTACAGTCTGTTATAATCCAAAAGACACAATTGCAAAAATATTGTGGTATGCATTTTTCAGGCCATTGCGGAGTCCCTTCTTAAAGAATTCTTTGAAAACTTTACTTCTATCGCTTCAGTTAGCAGAATTTTAATCAGCGCGCCCTCCGACAACGAAGACTTTACTAGGCTATGGTCAAAGATGTTGAATTCGAATGTAGAAGACGCTGGAATATTAATGCCCGGACAATTTACCAAAACGCCTCCGAAGGTATGTTTCTATTTAATCCTCAATTTTGGATTTTCTAGATTCCTACCGACAGAATCTACGGGGTCTTTGAGTACAGCATGAGCTATGTTTAAAATACGCTACTTTACCTACCGATATTTTATACGAAAACAAGATTTTTCGAAAAATAAACTCACAAAGTCCTCCTTCGTATGTGCAGGAAGAAGGTGATGTAAGGGAAGGGGTCATTGGGCAGCGCATCATAAAACTTTTCCGTCCGATTCACCCAGTACCTCATCAGCACCCATTCGCCATTTTCGATATACGTTGTTACATCAAAATCGCCCGGTTGAAGGTTAATGTAACGGTCGGAAAAAGACCAGGAGCCAAACTTGAAGAAGCAAATCTGATCATCCCAAGGCCAATAGTAGATATCCAGTTTGCAGGATATTGTAAAAATCCCCGGCGGGATCCAAGTTACCATTCCGTTGGAGTCCCCAACCATATTCACTTTATATGTTGAGTCAAATGCGGAGTCAACGGAGTTGTAGAGCAGAATATCGGGGCGCCACAGCATGTCCGACGGATAACGGAGGTCTGTGACGTTTCTAAAAGAGGAACTGCATAAAAAACGGGTTTAAAGTGACTTACTCATACTCCCTTGGATCCCATTGTAGATTCACATCCTTCCAGGAGAAAGTCAGCCACATGTTAACAGTTAACTGTTCATTGCGCTCATTCTGCAAACATAGACTTCAAAATCTAAGGGAATTGTAAAATACGGGCTCTTCTTCACAATCTTCGTATATTTTCTTACCAAATCAATGATTTGCTGCAACGAAACACCAAGTTTGACAACAACTGGCTGTGAGCTGTCAACAACAGGCCGTTCTTCCTTCACATAGCCGCGAAGCAGGTCGGTGAGTAATCGGTTTTCAGGTGGGGAGCAGACAGTCTCATATACAAAGTAATGAGCCAACAAAATTAGACGCAATGCCAGAAAATCCATAATATTCTTCATTTTGGAGCTATGAAGTCGTCATTTTGAAATTTTTCCAGACAAAAGTGTCGAAAGGTCCTAGAGAAATATGCAATTATTATGTGTATACCTTCTTCCAGACTGTCGGGAAAATAATGTGGATTTGTCGCAGCAAAATGTCTTGCCTCGTGGCAGTCGCGCTCCAAATTTATAGCCTCGGCTGGTCGTCTGGCTGTTGCAAAGCAATTATGGGCGATTCCAACCTGCGACAAATCCAAATTATTTCCCCGACAACTTGACAATGGAAATCAATCATGGCCTCCGATTTGTCATCCAAAAAAATTCCCTCATATCACAATGAAATCGAAAAAGTATGAAATATTCAAAAAAAAGTCGTAAAAACTGTGTTGTCCCCCATGTTTCTTCAATTTACCCGGCGGGCACTCAAAAAGAGATTAGAAATTCTAACCGCGACGCTCTTCGCTCGAAAGTCATAAAGAATATTCATAATATCAAAGACTATGGGTCCACACGTCAGAAGCCGGGGGGTTTTCGATCATAGGGATGGTATAACTGATATAAATCGTATAAAAAGTGTTAAACAGAGGATTTGAGTCATCGCAATTATCATATAACTCATAAACGTGTATCACAAAAAACAATAATCGTATTGGAGCCGCTTTGGAATTGAGCTGGGCCCAAATCGGGCCTCAAAATTGCCAAAAACTTCCCTAGGCGGGAGAAAAATTAATCCCCGCGACTCGAAAAATATTTGTATACACTGGAATTCTTGCCGTGCCGCCAAATAAACACAAAAAACAATGGAGGTTCGGCCGAAAATATGTCAAAAAGTCATCGTCTTTTAATCCACCGGTTCAAACAGAAAACCCATAGCAATAAATCAGTCGATTCCGCTCCAAATCTGACACCAGAATGGGCGAGATTAGCGAATAAAAATTTGAGACTTTTTGTTTTATCTTGTCATAAAGATTTATGGAAGTCTATGCATGATAAGGTCGAAATCAAAACTGATTTCCGCTTTTCCCAGCTCATAAGAATCAAAAAAAAGCAAAAATGTTGAATTGAACGATCGTTTCCACAGGGCAAATCGCAGCCCTCAAGCCTGGAGGCCTTTTAATAGCGACTTTGATGGATTGCCGGGCACTTAGGCACCTCTCGTGTCCTCAAGATGCGGTAAGAGCGATTTTAATGGGGTTTTGATACGGAACAAGTTGGCTGGATAAACAAAGAGCAAAATAGGAGGAACAGATGAGGGTTGTGGTTCGGGGGTTGATGGGGTAGTTACGATGTAAATTAGGGGCTAATTCGGTGGATAAACCCGGCTCTAAGGGCGGAGGAAGTAAAAATTTTGTTGTATTTGGATGGAAACGTTCTAGAGAAGTCGGTGAACGATGATATTTGTCTTTTCTCACCTTTAAATCGACAATAATGTTGGTTATTATACAAAAATCCCGTCGAACCCTTGAACATCTCCCAAAAAAGCAATCATTTCCCCCTTCTGAGACTTCAAAACACGTCTCTCTCTTCTTTTACCCCACTCCTTGGACCTCCCGAATCTCCAGACAATCTCAATATCCGAAAGAAGCTCCCCAACTCAAGTTTCGTGGGTTGAAATTAATTTACTTGGCCCTCCTTCGGCAAAAACGCCGTAAACAAATTGAATATAACGACTCATGCAAATCGCCGGCCGAACAAAAAGTATTGTTCGGAACACTCTTTTTCTTCCCATAATCGAATTATCGGAAACTTATGGGAGGAAAGTGGATCGGCATGTTATTTGTGGCAAAAAAAGTTGTCATCCCCTGGGGACTTGAGGAAGATCGAACGACAAAAGTCCAAAAGTCGACTTGAAAAGTGAGTTGAACGTGAAATTCGATAGCTAGACAATATTTTGAATCGCAAAAATTACTGGAATGCGATCAGCAAAGTATCCGAGCTGACAAGAAACATGAAACACGATACTGAAGGATGTCAGTTGATGCAGGCAATGTACAGGGCAGGGCGCTCTGCACTTCTAGGCTTAGTTCAGGTATTTCTCGGTCAACAACTTGATCAGCCGGATATCCAAAAACTTGAAGGCCAATTGGAAGCAATTTTGAAAATTTTCCAAGTTTCAGAGGTTTCAGGCTCCAAAATTTCGAATCAGCGTGTCAAAGGCGGTGAAATACCTGAAAAAAAGTTCAAAGTTCCGTGTGGCCCACTACATATGTATATATAGTGTATGGTACATACGTGTATATGGGTATGATCAAAGAACCAAGCAAAGTAGATTCCCGGTTATTCAGCCAGTTAACGGAACTGATCGTGAGTTTGTATCGCTTTGAAAAGTATACAGCGAGGGACCTGATCCAGTGGCAAAAAACCTATAATTTTGCATCCAGGAAGTATCAAAAATGTGGCTAAATGCCTCCCTCTCCAACTAAAAAAAAATCTCCGTTTTGAACTGCGCGCCCTTTCCCTCATAAAAAAGGTGGGCGCGCTTTTGAAATCGGAGTTTTCTCCTTTGGAGGTGTTTTGCCGCATTTTTGATAATTCCCGGATGCAAAATGGTAAGTTTTTGGCCAATGGATCAGGTCCGCCACTGTAAAAGAAGCCAATACGATGTTCACTTCAAGGAGTTCACGACATCTAATTTTTTCATTTCCTGGCCGGTTTTTACTAGCAACAGCGTTCACTCCATGATTTTTTGCATGTGATTAGTGTAAATAAATTGAAAATTATTATAAAAAATGAATGGCATCATTATAATATGCAGAAGATCTTTGTGACTGGTTGAACATCTCGCAGAAGTTCACCCTCAGCGTCGCTGACTAAATCAAAGCATTACGTAATTTTGTCCAGAAAGACCTCATAATAGCTTTGTTTGAATATCACCTTACCACAATTAATTTTAATGCCTTATTTTAGCAATCATGCCAACTGACATAGAGGTCTCTTTCTTTGGATTTATCCCGTCACCTCGGGTCATCGTATACACACATCCCAAAAATACCAATCTCATTTGTAATTCTTTGTCGCGTGTCTGCGCGTGTGTTTAAAAACCGCCCACTCTTCAGTGGGGCGATCTGATTCCAGTTTATCTGCGGTTTTACTTTCAGTCTTGTGCAAACAGTAATGGTGTTTGCGTCAAGTCCATGCCCTCCCGAAGAATTATTGGCGTTGGGGAGAGGGGGGAGCTCAGCGTTTTCGTATTTACTTGCTTTATTTGTTGGTTAGTTCACCTATTAGTCATATTTTGGCATTTTATTTTGAAGCTGCTTTTTTTACTATAATATGTATGTGAAATTGGCCACATGTATCTTACGTCTGTTATTTTTGCAAAATGCAAAACGAGTGATTTCGGGGCTAAGGTAGTACAGACCCCCAGTCCAGTTTAGCCCCCCATAACCCAGTACAACCCCCCTCGTCCATTCTGAACCCCAAAATTTATTTCAAAGAATTAATCCAAGTTGTATGGTCCAGCACGAGCCCCCTACGTTTTAGATGAAGCCCCCTACGTTTTAGATCAAGCCCCCTCCGTTTTAGAAAAAGCCCCCTACGTTTTAGATCAAACCTTCAACGTAGTAGATCAAACCCCCACTTACATTTTTTGTATTATTCTAATTTGTTCATTATGTGGGGTGTGAAACGGGCAAAACAGTGGGGGTTTGAACTACCTTTCGTGGGGGGCTCAACTACCGAAGCCCCGTGATTTCGATACGATTTTTGATGCGACAGAGTGTTCATTATTTTTCCGACGGATTGATAAGGCTTTTGTGGATCTGAGGGACTCAGACTTGCTCTTGAAAGGATTTTACCGTCTCACGGGACCCCAAATAACACCTTTGAGTGCATTTTGACCAATAAACACCATTTTCACAGTGCATTTTTACTTTTTTTGCCTTATTAAGTCGCGCACGATTCCCATTTCTTCGCAGCGAGAAATCATTTCTTCAGAGTGCGACAAATAAATTCTCAAGACCTTTTCCGCCAAGTAGTACCCCCAAAAAAGCTGGGGGTACTACTTACTTTTAGTCCAAAAATTCTCTCCGTTTTTTCGCATCCGTGTTTTCCCCCAATTTAATCCATGTGCGACCAAATCGTATTACCTGACCTCTCGTAACTGACCAAAACAATTCGCCTTTATCCTGTCCGCCCTCAATTTGTTTGCACTTCGAAGTGTCCAAGAAGGACAAGAAGTCATTGTAATCCTCGCATTGTAATGTTTGGAATTTTGGAAAAAACAAGAGAGCGCGCAAAATTAGTAGAGTATTGGACAGTTATAGTAATAAGTGACCAGGGACCAGCACTGTAATTTTGCAAATATGTGTTTCAAGAGTGGTTTGTTGGCTGTGGGACAAATGATACAATTCGAAATACTGAGCAACCTATTTGCAGAACGGGGTTTTTTGTACGACGTGAGCCCTGGCAACACTTTGAAAGCTAAAATCTACCTAAACTGGTGATTTTTATAGCATAATATTACATTTGCCCTTTGGCTTTTAAACGGCGAAGCTTGGCGCAACAACTGCTTCCTACAAAAATCAATTTTTTTGCTTGCGGTTCTCTGTACATTCAGCGTACGTTTCAGCCGTATCTGTGTAAAAAAATGAGCCCACTGTAATGTGCCAATTCCGTTGCTAAAATTAAAGACGATTTAATTTTGCAAAATTGATTTTTTCGGCGACTAATGCGATTTTCGATGCGACAGAGTGCTCATTATTTTCCCGACAGACTGTTACTGGCTTCAGAAAGCCTTTGAATGTTTCTTGGCCCGTTAAATTTATTTTATATGTCATTGCAATGTCACTACGTACATCCCAAAACCCTACTTCATGTTTGTCCATCAAAAATGTGCTTAACCTTATTTCCGTCCCTCCCATTACTCTCGGAAATTTGAATATTTACCCAAGATTTGGTGCGGTCAACTGTTGCACAGTCACACATTCCCCATTTCCCCTCGAATGGGGTTTGATTCGGGATTTCATTCGTAAGATTTATAGGGGAAACAAAGCGGGGAAATACAAAAGACCAGGCGGCCAAAGGGGAGATTGGAAACGAAGGGGTTTTTTCCCTCCTCCCTCCTTCTCGTGCGCGGATCGCACAAGTGTATACGATTGTCGGGCCGAGGCCGATACAAAAAAGAAATTAAAGCGAAAAACTTGGCTGGGGGATTATTCCTGTGTGTGTGTTCAAGTGCTATTGATTAACTACATGATTGCGGAGGCTTTTCGCTGGCTACTATTCTAAAATTTTCGGCCGCAACTTGGGACCATTTCCATATTTGGTCAGCGGATGAGTCGGCGCTAAAAATAGAGGAGATTTGGTGACTTGGCGCCCTCTAGGAAGTAATAAGTTATGAGTCGGTGGGAGCTGAATACGTTGGGTCGGACTCGGCCGTTGCAGCCAGTGTAAGTGGTGGACATGACTTCATAGTTGGCGGAATATGCATTCTGCTGATGGTCTTTGCTGATTTTGTAATTTTACCTTGAATAAGGAAGTTGAGTTTTGATTCGCAGTTATGCCCTTTCTAAATTTTCATTACTGTGTATTTATGTTATCTACAAGAATTTGGAAACCTTGAGATCATTTTTTTGGAGGATATCAGTCTGTCGGGAAAATAGTGAGCAAGCGCTGTCGCATTAAAAATCGCATCGCCACCGAGAAAATAAATTGTATCTCGACAAAATCAAATTTTTTTTTCACTTTAGCGACGCAGTTCTTGCAACGACATAGTGCACGTTATTTTCAAGACACTCATAGCTTCGATGCCAGGTTTATTTACTTCTGTAAAAATCTTCAATCGAATCGCTGAATTTTCGAAGCCGTTTGCAGCTTTGCAGTTTAGAAAAATTATTATAAGGCTCGCAAAAAATTTCAATTCTTTTAGACGCAACGACGCGGTTTCGATGTCCCAGAATGTCCTCGGCCTCGAGCGAGAGGTTTATCAACACGGCACTGTCGGAGACTTCCTAGGATCTTCGTTAGAAGGTATCAATTTTCCTATGCGTTTTTTCAGTCTTATTTTACCAAAAAAACTCAAATTGTGACTGTTTTTAGGCGTTCAATCCGGATTCATCAAATGCGTCTACACGGCAAAACACCAACCCAACAATACAGTTACATTGCTCTGTGAGAAGGCGGAGGGGTGTTGCAGAGATTGGTGTTGTCCCAAGGATCAGTTTTGGTATGAAACCTGATAATTTTATAAGGGAGAAGTCCCAAGTGCGATGCAAAGATTTTTTAAAAATTTTACATACTTGTTGTTGGGCTTCGGCCGCTTATCATTCTCTTGAAATTTTAGAACGCCTTTGGCAGTAGCATCGAGGGTTTTCAACGGTGTGCACGCAAAATTCGAAGAGCGGACGGAAAGAAAAGAACTTTTTTGGTAATTTCTTTGTCAGCTTTGAATGGAAATTTTTTTTGTGGAAGCTTTACTCTCTACGGTAAAAATAGGCTTTTCATGTCAAAAGCTATAAAAAATGTTGCACTTTTGCCAATTTTTAACTTAAAAGTCCCATTCTTCGCGCAAAAGAAAAAAAGACGCCTGCGCTTTGCAGGTTCAGCCGAAACGCAATTTTTTTTCGGCCGGGAGCCGTATTTCTGCCAGTTTTGAGCGGAAAAATTGGTTTTTTGTCGAAATTTTACCCTTTTTGGTAAAACCGGACATAAAGCTTTTTAGGCCACAAATTTGCAAAAAATGCCATATTAAAGTACGAGCTAAAACTCCCGCTTATGTTTTTAAAAAACAATCTGAATTTATGCCAAGTTTCATCAAAATCTCAACGTCACAATTGGTGCCCTTCCCCCGGCTAAAACTGTATTGCTTTAGGATGACCGGAGTGTTTGTCCTGCTCGGCTTTGTTCTATTAGTATTTATTATTGGAGCTTGTGCTATAATAATCTGCTATCAACGGTCGAAAATTCGACAACGACGGGAAGAGAAAGAAGTCTACGAATACGTCGAGTCGCAGGTAAATAAACGAACTCCTTTTTCACAGTATTTACTCAGTCACGGTTGGGCAATTGCTCATTTTATGACTGAACTATATATTTACTTTTGAACACGATTTTTTGTATCGTTCTGTCGGCAAAATAATGCGGATTTGTCGCAGCGAAATTTATCGCTATCTCATTACCAAATCTCCAGCCGCGGTTAGCCATCGCAAAACGATGATGGGCAATCCCAAGGCGCAACTAATGTTCATTATTTTCCCGACAGAGTATATATTTTCTCGAGAAAGTGTTATTGATATCTACTCTCGTTATCTTTCAGCTATCGAATTACCCAGTCGGGTCGACCCAATCAATAATGGGCCCGATGACCACCGAGGGCCCCACGATGGGCTACTCGACCTACAATAATCATGCACATCGATACTAACTGTGATCTGCTCAATGTTGTAATTTTACTGAACTTGTAATATTATGTGTCTACTTTATGTGTACATCGAATAAAATATGATAAAAATATCATTGATACTTTAAGTTATTGATTTCCGAGTTCTTCGATTGCAAGTCACAGTTTGCCTTTAGCTAACTCCTTGAATTTGTCAGCTGAAAAAATAAGAGATATATTGCTGTTTTCTTCAGACATTAACTCACATAATAAGGTGTCGTGAATACTTGGAAACATCGCCTTCAGACCGCTCCTCCGCCCAAGGGTGAGCTTGTCGAATCCGGCAAGTAGAACCTTGGCCGTCTCGATAACTTCTTGGTCATTGAGCTTTCCAAGCTTACGGTCTAGCGCTCCCATAACCTTAAAAAATGTAATAGAGCAACTAGACAAGATATCCAAACGTCATCAAATTATATTGTCATGAGCGAAGAGTTTCGCATACCTAAAAAAATGTAATGACCAAAATGTTTGTCAAATTTCATCGTTCTATATATCCGTTGCGCTCTAAGCACTCCCCTATAAAACTGTTTTGCTATGATACTCAAATCTGTTTGTAAGATGTTCACTCTAATGCCTTCCCTTACCTAAACAATGTCAAAATCACTCACTGTTTTAACAAAATCAGATGTGGTCTGATCCAAGGCAGCCATTCTCGTCACAATATCCTTTACAATAACGCTTCCACGCTGAGCCAGCTTGGGGTTTTTGGCACCGACCCTCTTCAGGTACTCGGAAAGTCCACCTGAATCATCAGTTTCCTCAAAAAGTTTTTCATCTTCGGGGGTGAAACTATCCATGAACTTCAGCATATTCTTTGGCAAGAGGTCTAAACTTGTTGTACAAGGTCTTGACATCGCATAGATTTGCAACCGCCGCAAGGCATGACGCTAACTCACCTCGAAGTTCTGGCCGGACCTGATGAAACTTCCCTTGCACATGGCCAATTCCTATTATCAGCAAGATAACAAAAAGTGACGTTTTCATTGTGTAAAATAAAAACTGTATTCAGATGATGGGAGAGCGTTAAAAAGAAAAGTTTCCGAGTTGTTTTGTTCTTATATTATAGCCAGAAAACAGATAATTTATCAATCAAAATGTTTGATAGAAGCTAAGACAACGTTTTTCGAGCAAAAACTCAAGTCTTCCTCGAAGTATTTCGCTAGATTTGTAACAATTATCAAGTTTTATCAACGGTAAGCGCTCTTTTTAACGATAAGGATTGATTCCTACAATTATTATCAGAAAAGCTGCTTTGCCGTGTGAGAAATAATCTCCATTGTTGAGGCAACGCAATCTTCAGACTTCAGATACACTATGACTTCTCAATTCGTTAACTTAAAAAAGATCTGTGAACTTGGTACCCAGAAGAAAAGATATTTTCGAGCTGTGAGGTAACTCAACGCCGGCTCTTCACTGCAAAAAACCCCGGCATTTTTTCGAAGAGCTAGCGAATGTCTTATAGTCGAGAGGAAACGCGTCGGCTTTTTTCTCCAAAAGCTTTGAGTTCGCTTCCCACCGCCGCCATTGCCGTTTCACATTGCCTTCTTCCGGTTCTGCGAACTGATATTGGCGGCCAGATAGTATTCACGGCTACCAATCCAAGACGAAATAAAATTTCGTCAATGGAAAACTGTCGTTGAGACATTTTGCATAGACAACCATCGCCTTCCAAGTCATGGGAGTTGGTTTTCAAAAACTGCTTTATGAACCTTTGGAAGTGCCTGGTTATCATTATGTTAACTATTGAAGCCACTCATACTCTTGGAACCATAATCCGCAACATCTAGCTACGTAGTGGACGTTTTTGCCCCACCCCGGTTTTGTCCCCAAGACGGTTTTGTCCCCAGGACGTTTTTGTCCCCACTTTTTTCGAGCCTTTTTGTCCCCAGACCGGTTTTGTCCCCAGGACGGTTTTGTCCCCAAGACGTTTTTGTCCCCGTTTTTTTATTTTTTTGTCCCCACACCGGTTTTGTCCCCAGGACGTTTTTGTCCCCAAGCTGGATAGTACGATTAAAAATTATGCATTCAGATGTTAATGCTGTTGGTTTGGTGCACAGTACTGCTCAAACAACTTGTTCTTAGCGCTTGGTACTTTATAGTACGAAGTGGTACTATATAGCACGAGGTAAAAATTAAGCCATAACACGTCAATGCTATGGGTTTGAAGCCCAGTACTTCTCAAAAATGTGTTTTAGCACATGGTACTATATAGCACGAATTTGTTTTTGCACAAAATGAACATCTGATCAGTACTGCATACCAAAACAACGTCATTCACGCGTTATAGCTTAATTTTTACCTCGTGCTATATAGCACCACCTTGTACTATACAGTACCAAGTGCTAAAAACACATTTTTTGAGAAGTGCGGGGCTTCAAACCAACAGCATTAACGCGTTATGGCTTAATTTTTACCTCGTGCTACATAGTACCACCTTGTACTATACAGTACCAAGTGCTAAGTACATGTTGTTTGAGCAGTACTGTGCACCAAACCAACAGCATTAACATCTGAATGCATAATTTTTAATCGTACTATCCAGCTTGGGGACAAAAACGTCCTGGGGACAAAACCGGTGTGGGGACAAAAAAATAAAAAAAGTGGGGACAAAAACGTCTTGGGGACAAAACCGTCCTGGGGACAAAGCCGGTCTGGGGATAAAAAGGCTCGAAAAAAGTGGGGACAAAAACGTCCTGGGGACAAAACCGTCTTGGGGACAAAACCGGGGTGGGGACAAAACCGGGCCCAATCATCTAGCTACCAAAACCATCATTTATTTTAATATCCACTAAAATATGTCTTTTTTCTAGTGAGCCCAGTTTAACGGGCCGGCCCGCAGCCTAGCCAGTCTGACGTTGGACTTGCCCCTACCTGGAAGACATTTGACTACAGACTTTTCAATTGCACGTTACAGACAGTCTTCGTATTACGAGTACTTGTTGCAAACTTCCCTTCAATTTTCGTAGGATTTCAAGGGATGTCAGTCTGGACTGAAATCAAACGTGCAATTAGGAAAGTGCACTTTTAAGCGTCTAATCCGTCTCATGTTGGCCAGCGAGTCAATGATTTTTAATGCCGTATTCAAAAAACATGGCATTACACTTAGAGCAAGGAAGATGTACGTAAATTTTACTCTGGATTCAAAGATACCATACATTAAAAAATGTGTAGTCAACAACAAAAAATTCCACCAGACTTCGAACAGATTAAAGTCGTATTTATAGAGCAAACAGCTTACATGAGATACTGCTGTGAATGCAATTAAATTCCTAAAATCAGGACAGCGATTACGAACACATTCATCACTAATGTTTATTGTACTTAACTGGCCATTAAATCCCTGCTTTTTAAACAGCTTTACTCCCACGTGTTAATTTGGAATTTGCAAGGATTTGGCGGTAAATGGATTGCTAATTCCAAAAGCCAATTAAATTCTTGAAATGGATAATAGTTTTCGAACAGTACTGTAAATGTAATTAAAGTGCATTATGTCAAACATGGTGTTTAAATAAAGGAGTAATCAACAAATATTCTTATGGCTGCAAGTGCGACAGTCATGTTTTGATGACACTTGACACAATTTTTCCTTTGGTTTCTCTGACTTGCTTTCCCAGCTTCGCTCTGCGAATACGGCCAAAATTTTGAAGGTCGAAAGTTGGCGAAAATGTGTCTCTTTTATCAGTCGAGAAAAATAGCAGTGGGTCGTCGCTGAAAGATAATTCGCCTGGTCGAAAAAAGGGTGTCGCGCATCAAATTTTCAGCTGCAGCTGGCCGTCGCAAAGCGACGACGGGCGACTCCAAGGCGCGACGATCCGCCGTTATTTTCCTGACAGACTGATCTGAACGTTGCACTCGGGACACTTCCCTTGTTGTTCGTATACGTTCCGGTTCGACGTTTCTTTGTAATGGTAATAAAATCTGGAGCTTTTATGAAGAGAATTGGCGCTTGACATCGTTGAATTTAAAACGATTTTGTTTGAAAAACTACATACAACATTCATTTTTACTGTCTCCCCAAGAATTCCCCATCCTTTCGTTCTCCAGATCTTTTTTCCTTCCGTTTCGGATTGATGACATATCATGTTTATCCTCGGGACCACTTACCGTGTTTATCTCCATTCCCATCAGCGGATTGACATTCCGCGGTCGAGTAAACAGTGACATGACAAAGAAGGTAAATATCCTCTCTAATCCCCGCGGCCAAAAAAGCGGCTCAACGTTGGGCCGTAAACATTCGGTTAAGTGGATGGCACAGTGTTTTTCGCCGCAGTCATACGCAGCGTATTAGCGAGTGGTATTTCGGGAGGGCTTATCCCGAAATTTCACTCTCGGAGATCTTGTCAAAATGATAAAAGATTTGTTGACGTACGCGGATGGTCGCGGTCGGATAATCTCTCGAACACAAAGTAGAGGACACGGTTATTTTTGGGACAATAATATGGATTGCTCTTTGCTGTCAGCTACAAAGTCCTCGGGATGACTGAGGAGATTTATGTATAATATAAAAGGATAGAGGTGTAACAAAGGAAACTAGTTTGGTCGTGGTTTTTCAACGACAAACCAGCCATTTTTACAAGGTGGCCAGAAAAGAAGGCAACTTCTTTTTAAGGGTCCCGTCGAGAAAATGTTTGCGTGCTGCTGAAAGATTCTTGTACCATTAAACTCCTCGTGTCCTTCTGTTCTAGCCGTTTCATTTTCAAGGTCATCTCATAACTTTTGAATTTATTCCGTGGGAGTAGCAAAAATTATTTTAAATTTATAAATAATTTAATCCTGAATCCGACATTAGTTTATTTAGCTGTTTATGGGCGGAATACTATACTTGAATGTGGCCTGGAAAGGAGAAAAAAGTATATAGGGTCCAAGAATTGTTATCAACAATGTTCGGTTCCTTTTCATTGCGTCTTGGCCGCTAAATCGGATACCCCGTTAATTACCCAGTTTGACTAATTGCGCCCACACATGAACTTTTCTCTGCCTCAGGCAGTTTTTTCCAGAAATTTTACACAGTACGTGTTGGACCCGGTTCTTTGGGGCTTGGAGAGCTTTTGGGCAGTTTCAAAAGATTTTTTGTTACATTTTCGACCGCTTGTTTTCGGATAATCTGCATTATTACTCACGTTACATGAATTTCTTCCTCCTAGTGAACGAGTTGAGCTTTCAGCCTCTAATTGGCCAATTCTTAGTTTACCACGGGATTTGTAAAAGTCAAGTGTGTACTTTGGACAGTATGAAGTCAAGTTCAATAGCTCGAAATCAAATTTAGCACAGGGTTCTATGATTCGGAGGCCCTCAACTTTACAAATGATTGTTTATGCAAAGCTTACAACTTTTTTGCCACCCTCACACTTCCTTATAAAGTTTTCATAAGCTTAATGAAATCACTAGACTATAGAACTATAGCATTCATTATAAAGCAAATCCCCGCGGCGACTTTATTGTCCACAGAATTGAGAAATAACACTTGGAATTAGTGTGGGTGGAGAAGCGGGATTTAGCCCCTCGGATTTACAATGATTTTATTGCAATAACAGCCGTGCATAGAATGCTTATCCTGTCACTTTAGTTTTGTGGGTGGTAAATTAGCCGCAGTCTATGAGACTGTAAATCGGCTGCTTCCTTTAGACTGTTTAATATGTATATGTAGCTGTTTCTTTGGGAAGACGCATAGTAAAGACACAAAAAAGGATTTTTTACAAATTACCTTTTCTGTTGTGCGCTTTAAATTTGCACCTGCCAACGCTTTTGGCTTATTGTATTTTTATCATCCGTTACGGGTTACGGCCAGATAATCGCCGGATCGTCTGGAGCTTGCTGTCATTGTGTTTTAATGCACGCCGTGTTCACTGGTCGTTGAATATATGAGGGCCGTCTGGGACAACATTTTTGTAATTCTATAGAAGCTTTTATTCAACGGGATTAACGAAAGATGGCGCTATTTTTGAAATGTCAGTCTGTCTGAAAAATAATGTAATTTTTGGCGCGCCTTGAAATTGCCGATCATCGCTTTGTGACGGCTAGCCGCGGTTTAGGATTTCGTGAACGCCTGCGAGGAGACGAGAGATTTTCCTGAGGCAAACCGACATTATTTACCCGACAGACCGATAGCTACCGTATTAATCCAAAAGATAGTTGACCTTTGAGGACGGCAAAGCGAGCCTTTTACTGGTCCCCCTATTCAACGTATTAAAGTTTAGAAAATCCAGAAACCTTCCTTTGTCCAAACAAGAAATCTTCTCTCATTTGCCTGCACTCCTCGGTACCATAATTAAACTGGATTATTATTATCTATGTCTATGTTGTATTTCAAGACTTCCCCCACGTCACAGCGGCTCATTGCGTACTTCTAACACCCTCAGTAATTGTTTTCACACAACACATTGCAAACGTGCGTCATCCCAAATGACATCCCGTCCATAACTCCTGCAAATCCCGTTCCATCTCATCTTTTCTGTCATCCAGTTAATCGCCGTTCTAGACCAGTGGTCTTTACTATTTTTACCCCGCTACGCAATATACAAAAGATTTGGGATTGGACCCGCAGAGTACAATGCAACTGCGGCTCCGGCTAATCCCTGGCCCAAAAATAGTCGTATTTAACTGCGGGAATTTTGTTCAGCACATTCAAATGTCGCGATTAGCTGCCGCTCAACGCCGGATCGAAAGGATTTGAGTTGCAGACGGCACTCTGAAACTGTGAAATTGAATTGCAGTAGTACTTTTATTACTTTAGGAGGAGATCTTCATCCCTCTCACGATGAAGTTAGTTTTACCACGTCTTGTTTACCTAAGAAGCCCTTTCTCTGCCCTTGTTATCTTCCTCATCGCAGCCAACGTCTATGTAAATGTTGTTGCCCTAAAGTGCAGCTTAAACGACTTTCTAGTTTTTTCAAATATTCACGAAATCTCGGCCAAAGACAACGCCGCCCTTTGGCCGAGTTAAAGGTCATGTTCGACTAGAATTTCATGCTATAATACATGAAAGCTTGGTGGGGAATTCGTTTTTTTGGAACTTATACTATAAAGGGAATTAAAACAGCACCCTCGGCGGCAGAGTAATAACATTATGACGGTAGGTCCAGAGAATAAAGTTCATTCAATTTTTCGGAGTTAAGTTTATGACCTTTCTTGGAAGTAGAGGTATCGAGATGTCGGAAAAATAATAAGCACTCTGTCGCGCCAAAGATCGCATCTCTGCCGAGAAAACAAACTGTGTCGCGAAAAATCAAATCGCTTTTTAAATACTTCAGCGACGCAATCGGCGCAGCGACATTGTGTTCATTAATTTCACGGCGGACTGGCACATCTACAAAATCTTCGATTTTGATCAAGCTGTTGCTTGTTAGACTACATTTAGCTACACCACTTCTTTAGGTAATCGTATTTCACACATCGTAACACCCTGACGCAGTATATTTTTTCAAAATGCCGCTTATTTTGGTGTTTGAAATTCGTGAGGTGCAGTGCGCAACCGACCACGAAAATAACTTGTTTTTGTGGTTGGTAGTACGAGTTTTCGATTTGTTAGTTATAGTGGAAGTTGTAGTAAAAGTTTATTGTAGCAGTGGCTTTGTATTAGTAATAATATATAGATGTATTAGTAGTGGTGTGGCAGTTATATCAGATGGAAAAAAATGTTTGTAAAGTCATACCGCCGCACTGGAACACGAAATTCTCAGTGGCGATTTAACATAGCCTTTGAAAGACTACAGTAACCCCTACTCACCAAAATTAAAACCAGGAAAATGATAAATATGCTTGTCATCGTTGTGATTTAATTAATTTAATACAGGGATGATCTCCAAATTGTGGAACCTTTAATTCCTTCCAAATGATATCATAACTATCATCCAAGTAGTGACCCCTCTGCAGTAAACAAGAAGAAAGGGGTGGCGTTTGATCCTAACGTCCTTGTATTTTTATTTCTGTACACATTAAGGCCGTGGTAATTCCATTTGTGCAACGGAACACTCAATAATGTTTCGGTGTCCTTTAGCTATCTTTATTTGGCCCGTTATGCGCCTTACTTGTAACTATCGACGCTCTGGATTATTGTTTTTTTTATCATCTTCAGGGCTAAGCATGACTGCTGTCCGGTAGGCCCCTTGTTTAATTTACCGGCTGGAACTAACTTGGTACCCCCCGGTCCCACCCCTCGCTCCGCCCTGCTAATTTATCCAGTTTGGAAGTTTTTATTCTGTAAAAACGCCCTAGCCGGAAGTTTATGGATGTCAAGAACTATTGGACTTCTATTTTGCTTTTTATGGAGCGATGGCCAGACGTTTTGTTGTTTTCTTAAAAGTTCACAGCAACTACATTTCGCTTATGGCTGGATAATCGCCGGATGGCCTGGCGCTCTCCTTTAGTACGTCGCGTTCGCTGGGATTTGAATATTTAAGGAGCGTCTGGAACGAAATTTTTGTAATTTTATGAAAGCTTTTGGTTGCTAGGGCCATGACTTGCGACTGCAGCGAGACGAGACATTTTGCGACAAATCCACATTATTTTTCCGACAGACTGATGGACGGGGCAACCATGGTGTGCAAAGGGTTAGAATGATAATTTGTGTAGACCGCATAAAGATTTGCGATACCGTTTCGGCTTTAAATTGTCTGTTTGGGGATTTTAAACTGGTTTACAATAGCTAGCCTGAGGCTATATTGGAACCGTCGTCGAATAAGCTCAAATAAAATCCTTTTCGGAATACTGTCACGGCCCTTTATTACCAAAATATCCGTTGTTTTCTCCATTAAAGTTCATATATCTTCCCTCGTTCCCAGAAATGTTCTCTTCTCCTCCCCCAACTCCAAAAATACCCTTTCTTCGGGTATTTTTTTCTCCCTATTAACTCTGATGTTATACTGTAGCATTGTGTTGTTGCGCAGTGTATCAGAAATTTATTAGATTGAAGTGAAGCGAGTCATGCATGAATGAAATCTGTAGGAGCCAAAGACGGCCGAAAGCGACTTTTTCATTCGTTTTGTTTGCAATTCCCTGGATGATATTGCATTACATCCAGCCGAATTTGATTTATAAATTTTGGAGGGGAATGTATTGGTTTATGGACTTTTTCGGCGAACGGAACGCTTAGATGTATGACTTTTGTTTCAATTGCGTGATGTCAGAAAAAAATGACCGCGATTTGTTTCGTTGGACTGTAGCAAAATTGATTTTCAGAAGTTCAAAGTCCCGCTTGTACGGAAAAAATAATCAAAATGATGGTCCTTCTGGCAAAGCTTCGAAGCCGGTAAGTCATTAGGTTTTATAATACCCCAACAGCATGCAAGAAATGCTCAATTTGCATTTCCTGTAGATCTTCGGTCTCGAAAAGACCGGCACACAAAAGATAGATTCAAACAAAAAATTATTTCCAGGAACAGAGCAAATGTCACCATAATTTTTTTTCTCTTAATGGCACAATAGGCGACGTAATCTTATATATCTTGTTTCACACGCTGTAAAAAGCGCGGTTCAAAAAAAAGAGGCCAACTTGATATCTCAAAGTTCGTTGAAGTGGATTGAAAATGTCAGGGCGCAGCTCGATAGTCTGGCTGTGCTGCGCCAAATCATTTTCTGTCGCTTGCCTCTTTGAAGTAATCAAAAAATGCCTCTTTGCCTCTCTTATATCTAATATTAGGACACTTTAGTCTCAAATAGCGCATAATCTTGTAAGTACAAGGATTAACGAATAGTTGAGTGCGTGTGAACGCAGGCGTTGGAAGAATATCGACATTTTTGGAGCAAACAAAGTTATTTTTAGTACGGAGCTGGCCCAATGTACATGTCAATGATTAGTTAGGATGAGTAAGAGATTTACATAATTTTTAACGGAATTAATTTAAGGAAAAATATCTCTGACTTGCGGATTATGTTTAATAACAAGTAGGGAGAATCACAAAACATTGGGTTACTATAGCTTCGACGTTAATCTTATGCCCTAAGAATATCCAAAATTGTCGAATTTAGCTATTATATTTGTCACCTTGAAAAATTTCTCTAAAGTGCGCCACGAAAAGAAGCCATTATAATTGCAAAAAGAAAAAATATTTCAAATAAACATGTAGAAAGTTGTCGCTATAATTTATTCCCGTCGTTATTGATACGGTAGACAAAGAAGTTTTTTGGACAACGATATACTATACAAAGGTTTCTGAACAACGGAACCCTGACTTTCTACTCGTAAGCCTAAAAAAGCTAGTTTTTTTCTGTCTTATCGAATAGGGTTTTGAACTCGGCCAACGAACTCTTCTGAATTTAAACTTGAGCTCGAGAATTTTAAGATCCTTGGACCGGGGTTTAGAGTCTTTCGGAGCCATTTACAATTGCACAGTGTAAAATTTCGACCTTTTTTTCAACAAAGCCTATCCTTTTAACTTCCCCAACCAAGTTTCAAGACGTTTGCACTCCTTTTTACGGCCTTTCCCTTTGAAGGATCATCGAAACGTTCTTCAAGTGCATCTTGTTCGTGGTTTGAATTTTGAATGCAAAAATTTAAATGGCGTTTTTCGTTGAGTCAAGGTAAATTTAGACGCATTTTGCGGTAAATTGCTTTTGCCTTCCCAAATGCTAATTAATTATTGCCTAAATCGGTGATTAAACGGGGGAGAAATTCCGTAAATCCGAGGACTCGTTTTTTTTGCAAGCTACAATGGGTTTAATTGGTCGTCAGTCGTCTTGCACCTGCGTATTTTTACCGTAGTAATCGTCGTTTAATCGCGGGATATATTATTAGATTTTCTCTAAAATCTTGCATAGGTGGTAATTAAGATTCGAGTAGCTTTATATCACGTCCAAATAAGGATTGTTGTTTGCGCTGACATTTGCCACAGGAAAACAAAAAATTGTAGTTTTTCGAAAAAATATTTTCTTTCATTAGAGGAATTTTAGTTTTATCCCAGAGCGAAAACAAACTTGTTTTCTAAATTTTATTCGTTTCAATTTCGAATTTTTTATATGAATTCAAATCAAGCCATTATTTTTGTAGCGAAGACCTCCAGTTTCCTAGAACGCCTTGTATTTTTTGCTTCTTTGCACTCAACTTTTCATAATTTACAAAAACTGTGTATAATATATTCCTCATGTGACACTCATATCACAAAATGCCACACAGTATTCTCTGTTTTGTGACCGTAATGGTGCTTGTGATAATTATCGTTGTCATCGTAAAAGGCGACTATACAATCCTGCGGAGACCTTTCATTTTCCGGTTCTCTGTAACTTCTTGATGTTTATGGCCATTTGGATTGTAGGAATTACCAAAAAAAGTGTCGGAAATTAAGTTTTTAATGCTACAGTAAGTGGGAGATTATTACGTGTGCCATCTTTTGCAAAGGGAAAAGGGGTGATTAGGGCATGGTTGTTCTTTGGAAAGTAAATTATTTTTTTTCTCGTAGCGTTCAATTTTGTCCAACATTGCAAACGCAATGGAAGCTTTGCTATGAAATTTCGCTTCTTTCAGTACTGCAGCGCATGGTAGCCAGTTTTTGATATGGAAAGTTGTAAAAATACAAACTTTTCGCATTTTACAACCTCGAAACTGCATCTATTTCCACAAGGATGTGTAGACTGAAAAATTAGCGAAGCACCGGTATGAACAACAACCGTTAACTCCCGCTTATCCTTATTCGTGCCATTCCCTCCAAATCCAGGCAAAAGGATTTGTAATTTTAATTAAACAACTCATCCGCTAACAATTGAAAGATGCGTGACATTTCCGGGTTTCGGAATCCTCAAAACCAGAGATTCTGCAAAAAAATTGATTGTGTTTTATGTCTGATGGAGAAATAACGTGGATTCGCCTTGGAATCGCGCATCATTGCCTTAGCGACAAGGCACGATTTTGTCCATAGTGCCGAGGGAGATCCACATTATTTTCCCGACAGACGGATAATTACAGTATTGCGAAAGACAAAGATTTTCGAAAGCCACTCCTCTGTACGGCTTGTACCTTCTGTCACTGTAAACTCTGGTCTTCTTTTCTACTTAGCCAATGGTTTAGTAAAAAACAAAAGACATGAGGTTCTTTGCCACGTGAGTAATCTTATCTTTTTTGAAGAATCCCTACATTTCGCAGATTATTTTTTTGTTTCAATTATCTTATTACTGCGTTTTGGGTTTAAATCTCTGAGATTATCACCTCCGGTCGCGTTATTCAGCATGCACTTTTATCCCGGAATCTTATCCGACTTTTTTGAAAAGAAGAATAATTAATTTGCATATTAGCAGTCTGTAGGGAAAATAATGAGCAATCTGTCGCGTCGGAAGTCCCCATGAATTGAGTCGCGACAAAACCATAGTGGTTTTCGCTTTTAAGTTTAGCGACGCGATCGGCTCAGTTTTCATTATTTTCCCGACAAAAAAAAAATACATGCAAAAAATGTGGTTATTGTTAATAGCCTTGATTACAACGATTTTTTTTTGAGGGTTCACAATGTTTCAGCTACAAAGCACATCTCCTTTTGTTGTAAATTAAGTTATCCTCAACAATGCTGACATTAATTTTCAGTCTTAATTTTCCCATTGGGCACGTAAATTTTTGATATTTTATTCAATCTTAATTTCCCTCCATGCAATTCGGGTTCAATACACTTAATTTGATAGTATTTTTGGCTGCAGCAGCAGACCAATTTCACTCTTTAGGGCTCTATTTTTGGATCATGAGGTAATTACAGTCGAAGGATGTTTTTGCAATGCTATATGATTACAAAATATTTATTTGAAGTTGTGGGTTATAGTCTCAAATTATCCCGGCAAGGAATACGAAATATAATACTACAAATTTTTGGACCTTCGAGAAAGGTATTTCCTTATTACACCGATAATTACCCGGTAATATTACAGTCCCGGAGCTACGAAAGACGATTGTATTATGTTATAAATACTTTGCCAGTGTCTGTTTGAGCCTCGTTTTTTCGGTTCAAATTATGTATCAGTCGGTAGGGAAAATAACAATGTCTTTGCGTCAATCACATCGCGAAACTGAAAAAGCAAGCTGATTTTGTCGTGACGCAACTCTTTTTCTCGGCGTCGATGCGATTTTCGGTCCTATATGTAGTGCTCATTATTTTACGGATTGATACAATTAATGAAGAGCTTTGATTTCCATTGTTACTTGATGCAATAATAGACCAAGCTATAAAACAAATGCCCTTCCGTGTTAAATATTGGCTGCGTACTGATGATTTCTTTGTTTTTATAGGTCAGCTGTCAAAAGTGGCGTCAAAGGTCTCTGTTCGCGTGCCGACAAATGCAGTAACTGCGAGTATGTTTAACACTGTGTACGTTTTGGTATAGCATTTGTCTGGTAAAATGGCGAGAGCTGGCGGACACATTTTGATAAAACATAGGCAGGCGTAGAATTGAAATTTCGATGGGATATGGGAGATTTATAGCCAGCATATCGTAAAAAACAGTCGAGATTTTACTGTTTTTTACTAATCCATCTGGAAAATGGTCGGACTGATTCTTGGCGTTTGCACTGTGCAAAAACAGCGGAGTGCATGCGACAGCACAAACAGCCATTTGCATGGTGCAAAAAGGAAGAAACTGCCGCACGCAGTAAACTGAACTTTTGTTTTCTCAATTGTCACAGTGCAAGTCGCAGAAATCAGTCTGGTGACCTTCCGGACAGGCCAGTCTTGTCCCTAAACTTTTTGTCATGTGGGAAAGTAAAGATATGGAGTCCAAAAAATTGTTTTTTCCTTGTCCATCGCACTATTTTTTATGGTCGCTCATCTGCAAAGGGCGCGAAATATCTGGCAGTCTTTGTAAATTTGGAAATTAAAGCTAGAGCTTACAAACAGAAAAATCGAAAGCAAGTCGTAAACTGAAGGTCAGAGAACTCTCCTAATTGAAGAGTGCCACTTCAGAACAGCATTAGCTGCCCGTGCTGCCATAGATCTCATTTCCAAGCGCTCAATGTTCATCTGGACCCTGAGGCATTCTTAGCGCCCCGCCTTGTCGCCTTAACAATCCGCTTCGAAGATGTTCGCCCCATTGTGTTTGTACGTGTGAACAACAAATAATTTATGAGTTCAGAAGGCTGAGCGCTTTTTGAGGATTCCCCCCTCCCTGTCATTTTCATTTGCCCTAATCCGAAAAGGTGTAGTCGCGGGGCGGAGTTTTGCACGATATATAAAGTGCAATGGTAGGTAGAGATTTGGGCGCGGTTAGGCAAGGCGACGGTTTCAAATTGTGGGAATGGCTCTTTTGTAATTGAAAATTACAACAAGCGTCTAGACCTAAGTTTCTAGGGGATTCCCCGGGGAGAAAACTTGCATCCTGCCATGTGATTAGCGGTGTAATCTTGAAGCCTTAAGCCAATCCTTTCATCTCATGTTACAAACTTGAATTTTTTATTTTATCCTTTCACTTGAATCCCTCGAATCCAGACGACTTTTCGGGATCTCTGCCTTCCAGACAGTTGTCCCATAACTTCTTAACCCCAACAAAGTTAGCTGGCAATTCGATTACTGGGGGGTTTTTCCTGTTCTGCGTCCACCCTCAGGATGTTTGTTGTGCCCGGAAAAACATAGTTTATCATAAACTAGGATAAATTATGCATACGGACATACTTTATCATGCGATGCATATTTTTCGGCGTTCAAATTCCATTTCAAAACCTCCAGAAATCTTGTTTTTTTACCACCCCTCTCCCTGTTACACTAGTTGTTTTGGGGGTGACTGTGAATGCCATGTTACTCTGACTAATGTACCCGCTAATGTCAGTTTATTGCGTCTGTGTCCGAGAACTCGCATGCGATGCACTCGAAATTTTTCCGAAAAACTCTTGAACTAAATGTGTGCCGGTTTTGCAGACTGCCTTAGCACAGTCAAAGTCATACTGGAGACCACCACCCAACCTCGACAACGTATGAGTGCCTATGTGTACATTTTCAGAATGAGCGCCGGCGTGAAACACGTGGGCGTGCGGCCGGACAGCGATCTGCTGGCGCGAACGGCGAAGAGCGCGAGCTTGGACGGAATGTCGGACCAGGTAAGGGGCATTTCAATATTATACTCGATAACTAAGTGTTCCAAAAAGACTGTATTTTTTAAAAAACCTTAAAATTCGGTTCAAACAGATCCATTTCCTCCTCCCAATGCCAGTAGGGTCATGTACAATATAGTGTGTCCTATTTTTACTAATCTTCCCAATTTCAGCCTCAAGACCCAACTGTTTACATGATGATCTGCCTGTTTGCCGACATTCTCATCTGGACTTTGGCCGGAATCATTCTCTACCGTGCCGTGAAAGCGTGCAAACAAAGCAGTCGCGACCAGGGCGAGCTGGAGACCCGCTACGCTCGCTTCGACGGTGAAGACGTTGTCGGGGACTATAGTGAGGACGAAATTGAAATCAGTGAAGACGAGGACGACGTTCGGCGATCCGTTGAAGAAAGAGCCTCTTTCAACTTTTTCCCCAACATCTACCCGACTTCATTGAAGAGAATGGAAGAGGGAAAAGCGGTCCTAATGTCATTGATGCCCATGAGAGACGTCAACGTGGACAGCGAATGCAAAATGAGCCGACTGCAGCGGTTTTGGCAGCGACTCCGACGCGGAAGCAAGACCCATACCGTGCCAATCGTAACGACGTTGCAAAACCAACACGGCGCCGAATACGTCTAGGTCTGATTGTCTCCACACATGACTAATAGAAATCTTATACACACACGATATCAATGATCATCTCAGTGCTCTTTGTTCTCTTTTCCAATCTCAGTTAATCGCCTTTTGGTCTTGCAGATATTGTAGAATACCTGTTAACCAAACGCTCGTCATTAACATGTGTTCCCTTCTGAGTATTCCCGGAACACTGCTAAGAGCGTTACGTCAAAAAAGAAGTAATAACGGTGTCTACTCCCTCAACTTTAATATTATAAGTTTGAATCTCCCCTTCGTCTGGCCGGGTATCTTTTTCGTAAAATTGAGTATTGATTACTGTACAATTTGGATTGTTAATGCAACTTTACGCCATATCTGAATAAACCAACAATTACGTAAAGCGTGAGGGACTTTTTTTGGAAAGCGTTGTAACGATTGTATAAAAAAAGAATTGATGTGTTTAATTGGTTTGCAAACATCAATTAGCGAGAATTACAGAGTGAAATAATTGTACCTGATTGCAAGTGTTTCTACGTCAAAAACGCAGAAAGTTAATATTCTGTACTCGGCGGGCCAAAAAGTGTTGACATGTTTGCACGGTGCTCTGCCGCTCGAAAAACGTGTGGCATATTGGCAAGCACGATTCACTTGGATCACACATAGCGCGATTTTCATTTTCCCAGTCTGTCGGGAAAAGAGTGAGCGCTCTGTCGCCTCCAAAATCGCACTGCCGCCGATACAATGAGTATCATCGCCTCAAAACCCAATTGCATTCAAGTTCAGCGACGCGATTGGCGCAGCGATACTGCGCTCATTTATCTTCGCCAATTTCTCATGGGGAAAATTCATTTTATGTGAAAACATTATTGGGCACAATTTCCTAATCGAATTTTTTCTGAATTTATGCGGCAAAGTCGATTTTCATTACTATGAAAAATTCAAATTCCCAAGATTTCGTAATTTCAAACAAAATTTGCAGAGCTTTGCTTTGGAAGTTGAATTATTAAGCCAAAAGTTAGATTAGAAAATTGGGCCTTGTTTGTGGTAGAAAAAAGGCCGAAACTTTTATGCACTAACCCGCAAAGTATTGTCAATTCTGATACTGTTCAACTTTGTGCTCAAAATTTCGGCTGTTAGGCGAAGGACAAGCTAAAAATCTGGCATACTTCGCAGAAAACAGTAATCTAAATTTGTGCCAAGTTTCATTACATAAAATCTGAGCTTCTCACTTCAAGCCCTTTCTCAACAATAACTCACTTCCGCTTCTATACTTCCTTTCTACAGTACAAGCCACAAAACAGTGGATTACAAGTACAATCGGCGTTCTACACCCAAAAACCTTTCGTGCAGTTACATTCGTTCCAATCCAATCCGTTATTCGGAAAATCTTCATTTTCGAAATCCTAATGTGGCATTTTTTACTTCCAAAATTCCATCTTTTTTTCCTCCTTCCAAACGCTTCCAGATTTTGGATGCTTTTATTACAAAATACACAATAAGATTAATTTGAGATTCGAACAGATTTGTAGATTGTGAAATGAGACTTTTCATTAGGCGATTAAATTATGATGGAAACAGTGGAGGCGAACTATGATGATATGTGCCAAAAGGAAACTGGAGTGCGAAGCGCGGGGCTTACATCGCTCCGAACCTCGCTTGACCTGGCCTTTCGGCGGATAATACCACGATAACGGCAGCAAAAGCCCAGGCTTAAACATTGATACCAGGCTTGCGGCAAGGCGATTGGCATGAGTGCGGGGCTTCGCATGTGCGGGCTGTGTTCGTAAGTCTCGTAAATACTACGTCGTTCGGAGCCCGCACTTGCGGTTCTGCACGACTTCGCCGGGAATCGGGAGAAAGTGAGAACACAAATTGGGAAAAACGGATTTTCGTCTTAAAACAGGACGTCACGGAAAAACATGAGAACTTTGTACGTACTTCCCGATGTAAAGTGCTTTGCTCAACTGTTGTGTTCTATTGTAAAACAAACAATAGAATTTCTTTGAAGCTTTAAAGGAGGTACGACCGGTTTCCAAAGCAGATATCACCCAAAAGACGTACATGTTCAAACATCACAGTACAATATAAAAATTGAGTGTTGGAAGGAAGTTATAATAATTACAGACTCGAGGTACTAACATTACAATCCACGCTAGTTAAAGGATTTTTTGAAATCTTGAGAATTTTGGGAAAGTGCAAAATTAGGCAAAAATTCAAAAAAATATTTCCAAAATTCTCTGAAAGTTCCACAATTTTCAGCGATTTAGAAGTGCACATTCCGTGTCATGTAGTACCTTGAAGTGTTATCCGAATACAAACTCGAGGGCGACACCCCCAAAGTTGGTCTATACGCAGTAAATTGCATGCCACTTTGACTGCGCAACAAGCCCCGTCGACGCATCCGTGCGGCCGCCGAATCTCGTCGTCGTATCATGCCCATACAGACGATCGTCACACCAAAGATCAGCTAAAAATAGTTGTACATCATTCCATTTAATTAATTGACGCATTCCACTGCAGAAATTCCCAATAAACAACAAATTTTTTGAAAGAATTCTAATGAGAAAACGCTCTTTAATTTCCCTAATTTGGCAAATATTTTGTTGAGCTGGCCGAGATTCGTGGAATTACTGTGGATCCCCAACGAGGGATTAGATGAAGATGTGGTGTGGCGTAATCCTTTTAGCGTCAATATATAGAGTTTTCACTTAAATTTGTGCTGAATGTCAAGAGGAATTCAAAAAATGATCTAATCCATTAATATAGTTGGGATTGGCGTTGCTAACGTCATCGCAACGCCGATGAGAATAGATCTTTCGTGCGCTTTTTGTGTTATACGACACAAAGGTGGCTAAAAGGGGAAAATGCCACGTGGATTTACGGGCAATCGAGATAAAAGTGATAAAAAAAGATTCCTGGGTACAACGCTAAGCTATAAGACACTAAAATAAAATTTTAGCTCTTTCAAAAAAAGGATATCATCTCTATATTAAGATTTCAAACAACTAAAGGACCAAACGTGAAATCTGAAAACGAGAGGAGTCAAAATCTATACCATAACTATTTGAAAACTCTAAAATCAGCTGAAGGGGTCTAAAACATGGTAATGAGTAAAAAAATTGGGATATTGAAGCTCCGAATGTTTTAAAAAAACCATGTTGGAGATGCACGACATGTCGTCGCGACATCCAAGATATCAGTCCGTCAGAAAAATTATGAGAACACTGTCGCTGGGCAGATCGCGTCGCTGAATTGAGAAGCAATTTGTCTTTTGCGCAACACAATTCATTTTCTCGGCGGCAATGCGACTTTCGATGCGACAGAGTGCTCATTACTTTCCCGACAGACTGATAGGCGTTTGTCGATCTGACGGATTGAGCCTGGCTATTAAAGTGTTTTACATGTTAGGGTTTAAAGGGTCAATAAGACCACGACGTCCAAATAAATATATCAATCACGACCATGACAATTTTAGAAGACATGTTCTAGAGCTAAGCTACTGAGAAATTCCTTTTCACAATTAACAAAACCAATTGTAAAATTTTGCAGGCCCAAAAACCCCAACGAAAAACTGAACTCACCACTCCAAGCACCAAGAATGCCGGTCCCAGGAAAATCAGGAAACTTCGATGCGATTCATCTCGAGATATCGTCTCTTCCCTCAATTCAACCGGAGCCAACAACGACTGCGTGAACGAGGCAACCGAATTGTCGTTGAACATGCTCTGTTCCGCCAGTACACTGTCCACCAAAACCGGGACCAAAGTGCTGTTCAGAGCGCAAACAGCCAGCCCATACTCTTTGTCCTGATAGTTCAGAGGTTCGGCAACTTTCAGGGCAAATGCCGTCTTATCAAAGACGTCAACGGCGTTCTGCAAGTCAAGTTTAAGCTATATTACACCAGGAAAAATATTCAACAAAAAAATTATTCAAGCTTACCTCAATACTGATCATACTATGCTCCTTCGCTCGACCCTTCACAAAGGCATATCCGTTCTTTTGGCCGCGGCTTTGCTTCGACGCCAACTCTCCAAACTCCAAGTACAATTTGTCGTAATCTTGGGCATTTCTGATCAATTCGGCAACTGTTTTGCTAAACATTTTCAATGTTTTCGACTTCTTATCGTAAACAACTTGAAGATCATTGACTTTAGGACACAGTAACCCTCGAATGCATGCGGTGTTCGCTTCGGCCATGTCACAATTGCATCGAAGATCATCAAGACATCCGAACTCACAGATAATCCCGGATTTTTGCTTACATGACTTCTAAAAATTGGGGGAAAATAAATTTTTTTTATGGTACAGTGGGGGACCTGATCCAAAGGCAAGAAATGTACCATTTTGCATCCGGGAAGCGTCAAAAATGTTGCAAAATGCTTCCCTTTTCAAGTGAAAAAACTCCGATTTCAAAAGCGCGCCCGCTCTTTTTGTAAGGGTCAGTTCGAACACATCCCTTCAAAACAAGGTTTTTTCACTTGGAGAGGGAAGCATTTTGCCTAATTTTTGATGCTTCCCGGATGCAAAATGGTACGTTTTTTGCCACTGGATCAGGTCCCTCACTGTATTTGTAAGGACAAAGCAAGCGCATGCACTATTGTGCTTGTAAAGCACTTGTAAATAAAGGCCATGACTGCCTTAACCTCCCTAACCTACCTTTCCAGGCTTTTTGTGAGGGCCGGCGGTCTGTTGATGAAGTCTAACTCCATCGGCCTTTACTGGCTTCTCCGTGGTCGCCTGGACAGATGGCTGACTAATGGAGACAAACGAAACCTCTCCAACAAGTGGACGAGTTGTTGTCGTCTCAGCGCCGCCTGATGTTGATGTCAGTGGAGTTGTCGTACTGACGATTGATTTCGTTGGCTGAGAACGGCGAATTTCATCGGAAGACTCTAATGGCTGGCTGGATGAAGGGATCGGAGCTGGAATATGAACGAATTAGAAGAGAAAGTGGGAAAATACCGTAGATGAGAGAAGAAGGGGTGTGTTATCGCCAGAGGCTGTTAGTAATTTTTGTTACAGTTTTGAGCAGACTAATGTGGACAAAATAAGTCGAGGGGAGATCAAAATAAACTCAAATTTAACGTCAAAAAGTGTCGTGGAAACACGGAGAGACAACTTTTTGAAAACCAAAGTTTTACCCTTGATCAGCGGCCCAAAAAAAGCTTTAAAAATTTTCCTGGAGCTCTTTTCATTCCAAAAGATGAGTTTTTTATGCCTCTCCGATACAATTTAACTGCATAACTTGGATTATTTTTATCTCCTTGCAAACTTTTTTTGCCTATAGAAGGCTGTTCCAACCATAAAAATAGTAGTGTTAGTAGAGAAGTTATATTATATTAAAACCACTACAAATAAACAAAAAAATCCTCAAAATCACAAGTTAGAAAAACCTCCACCATCCCAATACACCCTCCCACACACCTGTCACCGTCGTTGTTAACGGTGTGACGGTCTTTCTGGCCGTGCTCACCACCTTGTTACTCGGCTTTCCCGTCACTCGCACGCCCCGCGGGATGTCGCGCTCGAACGTCCCGTCCATCTCCATTGTTAGTTCGGTCGTTGGCAAGGGACTAAGCTCTTGCAGTGCGGTCGTATCCCCGGCCGGGTCCACGAACCGACCGCGGACCTTCTCGCCGAACGCACGACCCACAATCCCATTACCTGATCCCTCGGCCGAGTTGAGCGTAATGTCCTCGATTCCTTCGGAACTGGAGGAGGCGACAGTGTGCGGCACGGGCTCGCGATGTTTCAGAAATTCGGTCGAAATGGAATGACGACGCGGCGATTCCGTGGACGGAAGGTCAACGTTCAAGGACTAGAACAAGATTTTATTTTCATTGGAAAACACAGAAAGTTTTCATTCTAAAATACGATAGAAAAAAGAAAATAGATCGTCTCCTACCTGGTTTTGAGGATCTTTATCCACTCGCGCCAAAGTGTCGGTCAGATTATCCAAATTCGAACTGAAATTGGGTCCATTCTCGGCTGTTTGTGTTAGCACTCCCAATGTAGCCTCGTTCTTTGAAATAAACTCTTTGTTGACGTTTGTACAATTGTCCTTTCCTTGACACTCGACCACCGGAACGAATGGTCGAAGAGGTGCGTCCTCGATTTTTGCGCAATCAATACAGTCGAGAGCTAAAATAAGGTGGTAAAAACGGAAAAAAATCTTCGAGTTGATAAATCACAGGTATAAAATCAAGACTTCATCGATAAAACTGATAAATTTTGCGTAATTTTGCATTTCTCGACCGAAAAATAGAAATTGTTGTACAGGGTGGGCCACTCGAAACTCCCAACATTTTTTCAATTATTTCTCCGCCAATAATGCACCAATTTTTATAAAATTTATATCAAATTGAAGCTGGGACACCCCATTTCTTGTCCACTAAATATGGCCCGTCTAGCTTCACGGAGGCATCCGTACTGACCTTTTACATTTTCATTCCAAATTTTGGAGCCCGAAATCGGTGAAACTTATAAAATTTTTGGAATGATTTCCAGTTGAGTTTTTTGGAATTGGAAAATGTTCGCGCCTTTGGCTAAATAAAACTCTGTAAGCAGCAAAAAAAATGGTGGCAGTCAACGGAATAGTCAAAATTATTCTTCAAGGCGTTGCTTTTGCGTTCTGGGATCTGTCCGACTAACAGAGCGTACGTTTTTTCCGTACGCTTTTGGTCAGAGAAGCGAAAAGATTTCGAATTAGCGAGAGGGTCCGAGAGAAACCGCTCTGGTTGATCCAAAACCTAAAGTAGGTCTCAAAGTTGGAGCCATAACTTTTGAGCCGGTGGTCGTACGTTGATGAAACTTACAGGGCTTATGGATTACACAATTAGCTATGCAAGAGTATAAAAACCGTCATTAAATATTACAGTATGCCCAAACCCGCCCAGATTTTACTCCAAAAACACAAAAAATCCGTATTGTTTCAAAGTTGGGCTTATAAGTCAGCTAGAAGTTCAGCTAGAATGCTAAATTTAAAAACGGCAAGTCTTGACACAAACGTCGTCATTATTTTGGAAAAATGGCAAAAAAATTTTGGCCAATAACGTGCACAGTAAGCCCAAAAACTTTATTGTGCACCCCATTTCCGATCATTTCCCGCGCTTTACTTTTCGCTTTTTTCGATGAAAATGGGGGCTCGATTATCCTCGATGGGGCTTCACAGTTGGGCCTGTAACTTTGTAGTCGTTGACTGCAGATTGATGAAATTTTACCAACTTATAGAGTGGACATTTAGCTTTACAGAAATATAAAAATTGTTATTTAATGTTACAGTATAGCCAAATCCGCCTTGATTTTCCTGAAAAAACACAAAAAATCCCAAAGTTTTTAAAGTTGGGTTTATACAGGGTGACCCAAAATAACGGAGACAAAAGATTTCCCGTTTTTTCTGCGACTTGTGAAGATTCATGAGTGATTCCTTATTTATACTACAGTACCACGTTAGTGTAGTTTTATATACCGGAAGTTTTGTTGTACGACGCTCTTGTGCCTTGAACCACATCAATATATCCGGTTGACTCGGAGCTTTCTGCCCGTGGGGTCTTTTTGCAAGAAAGCTGCCTTACTCAAAAAAGAAAATTCGGAATAGTTTGAGATTTGCTGTGCTTAATTATCATAATATGGCCTTTAAAACGAGCCATCGTACTAAGCTCAACTATCGATGGTTCAAAAGTTACAGCCGAGTATTTTCAGGCAGTTGAAGTGCAAAAATCGGCCTTTTTTGAAAATGTAGGCGTAAAGAGGAGTTTAAATGTTAGATAAGGCAAAATGTAATATGAGTTACTAGAACATGATTAAAGGAACACCATAGAACCAAAAGAGAAACATTTTGTAACTGCTACGGAATGCTATTTGGTAATCACTAGAATTCTGCCTTATTTTTGCCGTAGGCGGAATACCAGTCGAGCCGGTGGCACATAAAGATCGAAAGTGCCCTAGGCTGATTCTCAAGAGTCGTATTCATAAGTGTACAGGAGCAGAATGCGCCGTTTTTATCTATCTTGTCATTTTGTTATCGATAACCCATCTTTCTCAAAGCCGCGTGCCATGGGGTAGTTCTGGCCGAGAAACTTGTTAAGGAAAATCTGTTGCAACCAGCAAGCAATCACAGCGTTTTCCAGAATTATTGTATTTATGAATAGAATACGTTCTAGCGGTTTTAGCTTTATTCTAAAAAAACTGAATTTTTTATGGAAAAAATTTGGAAAAAATGGCGATCTTCAATGTTGAGATTGGTACCACCGTAGAAATAAAAACCGTAGCCCAGAAACCTACATAACTGCTTGCTTAGAGACGTAGTAGTCTAGCAAAACAAATGAACTTGCCATTTCTGCGGCTGTAGTACAGCCATGCTCTACACAACACAAAGGAACCAAAATTGAGGGCCAAAAAACGGCGCAAGGCATTTTTGTTAAGCTGTAACTTTTTACTGCGGCATGATGACTCCGCCAAATTTTCGTGAATTATAGACAAAGTCTTATAGAATATTGCCCACTGTCGCTTGTGTTTTTATAATGCCCGGGTTTCGCGGTGGGACCCTTCAAAAATTTGTCTCCGTTATTTTGGGTCACCCTGTAAGTCAGCTGAAAATTGAGTTAGAATTCTGAAATTAACGCAACGTGTGCTACGCAGTAGCGCCTTGGATAATTTGAAAAGACGGCGTAATATTTTGACGTGTCCCGGATACTGTAAGCCCGGAAATCTTTTTGGGGGCGCCTTTTCTCGAACTTTTCTGTCCACAAAAGCGAAGGAAGAAGGGAGAGATACGGTAGAAAACGCGTGCATAAAAAGATTTCCGAGGTTACAGTATCCGCTACGTGTCGAAATGTTATACCCTCTTTTTAAATTATGAAAGGTGGTACTTCATAGGACACCCAGCTTTAATTTGAGCATTCTAGCTTACGGTTCAGCTGATCTATGAGCCCAACTTTAGAAATTGCGGATTTTTTTGTCTTTTCATGCGGATTTCTTATGTTTTTGCAGTAACATCAAGGCGGGTTTGGGTATACTGAAATATTTAATGACGATTTTTATACTCAAACAGAGCTAATTGTGTGCTCTATAAGCCCTGTAAGTTTTATCAACTTGCGACCATCCGCTCAAAAGTTATGGCTCCAAATTTGGGCCCTACTCCAGGGTTTGGATCAAGAGGAACGGTTTTTCTCGGACTCTCTCGCTAATGCGAGATATTTTCGCTTCTCTGACCAAAAGCGTGCGGAAAAAACGTACGCTCTGTTAGTCGGACAGCTCCCTGAGGCAATAGGCTTAATTATTCGAAATTTTCCGAAATTTTAAAAAATGGGCGAAACTGTCTACGTGCATGACGACATCCATCCCGAAGATGCATAGAAACATTCCAGACTTAGATTGCACGAGAAAACAGCTTTCGTTCTCATTCGCCCAAATTGGTACCTCGCCTGATTGAAATATGGGTTTAACGCACTTGGTACGGACGTAAACTTTAATGTTTTAAAATTTTTTCCGCAAATTTGGCGACTTTTTTCTTGCCTTTAATCCAAAAATTTTCAAAGTCCGAGAAACTCAATTGAAAATCATTCCAAAAAATTTTTAAGTTTCACCGATTTCAGGCTCCAAAATTTGGAATGAAAATGTAAAAGGTCATTGCGGGTTCCTCCGTGAAGTTAGACGGGCCATATTTGGTGGACAAGAAATGGGGTGTCTCAGCTTCAATTTGATATAAATTTTATAGAAATTGGTGCATTATTGGCGGAGAAATAATTGAAAAAAGGTTGGGAGTTTCGAGTGGCCCACCCTGTACGTTGCGGAATGTCACAAAATTATCGAAAAGAAGCAATGTCAATATTAACAAAAGAATTTATTGTTTTATTGTTTCCAACCTACCATCGCTTGGACACTCCGCACAGATGAAGGGAATCACTTGAGCCACTTCAAAAGGTGGTTTATTCCGACCTTGCGAGTATATTCCGCAAATCTGAAGCCCGTACTCGATCCCTGGCCGTGCTACCAACTCGGCATGCGTTTGATTGCCCGCGATCTTGATCTCCTCGCCCTGTAGAATCTTTCTAGCGATGAATGGGCGTGCTCCCTAAACAAATTAGGACGTATATCGTAGTATAGGAGAAAATTTGACGGAAAATTTATGTTTTTTGCCGGGAAAACTTACCCGTTGCTCTCCCATTCCGTATTTTAGCACGTAATACATTGGCTCGGTCTCCGGCTTCTGCCAGACAACCATTGCTTTCCCTTCCTTTCCCCAAACATCAATCAGACTCACACATTGGGGAGTTTGCTCTGAAAATGGCAAGTACAATATAAGTTGCTACTAGATTACGTCATTTTTTAACAGATTTTTGCCTCACCTTTCTGGCAATACCTCAGGTTCGGGAATTGCTCGCAATTTATCTCAATGCTCGCTTGAATATCAAAACTATCAATTCGAACACATCTGGGGAGCATTCGCACCTCAATGAAGATTCGACACTTCTCGCTGAGCACGCCGATAGGCAGATTCAGATGCATTCGCGCTCCTCCTTCAATCAGCTCGACCCTCGGTTGTGTAAGTCGATCTTCAGGGGTCTGACAGCTGATTGGGTAGGCTACTGGTTGTTCGTAGCCGTAGATGTCGGCATCGTCGTAACCAAGAGGATTTTGCCATGTCACGAAAGCGTGAATGCTTTGGTTGTCGCTAGATTGTCGGGGTGGGTCGAGGTGGATCTGAAAATAGGAGATATAGATAGAGTGGGTATTTGCATGACAAAAATTCGGGTTATAAAGAATTTTTCTCACACGGGAAGGGTAACTCTCAGCGGTTGTTGAAAGTTGGCTAAAATTTATATTGACATGACCGACAAATACAATGGGGGACCTGATCCAGTGGCAATAAATGTGCCATTTTGCTTCCAGGAAGTATCAAAAAATGTGGCAAAATACCTCCCCCTCCAAGTGAAAAACTCAGGTTTCAAAAGCACGCCCGCTCTTTTTGTGAGGGAAAGGGCGCGCCCTTCAAAACGAAGTTTTTTCGCTTGGAGAGGGAAACATTTTGCCACATTTTTGATACTTCCCGGATGCAAAATGGTACGTTTTTGCCTCTGGGTCAGGTCTGCTTATAAAACTCATTAGAGCAATCGTTTCCTTACCGATTCCGGTGGGACCACAAATTTAGGCAATTCCACTGGAATAGCTCTCGGCCTAAACGTCACCAGCTGTAACGAGGGGTCAGTTGACCTCAATACAATCATTGTTCGGAACTGATAGTCTCGACATGCATCAGGGACGTTGAATTGGATACTCGGCGATGAGCTGGCTCCCTGAAGATTTTCTAGTCGTTATTTTGTCGCAGTTTGACTTTGCATTCAATTATAAGAGTGTTTTATTTGCCCTACCGCAAAGCTCCAATGTTCAGCTTCGCCGCTGATTGTAGAGAACTCAAAAATGTAAATAAAGGCTCCATTATATGGCTCCATTTTGATGAGGACTGTTCGGACGTCCTTGTATACCGTTTCGACTTGTGGAACGGTGTTTACTGTGTTTTCTGAAGGTCAATAGATTAGAAAAGGGTTTTCCAAATTCCAAGGGCAATATCTTGTACAAATCGCTTACTTTTTAGCATTTCCTCTGTCACCATTTCGCAAGGCTGTAGTTCCAAGGACAGCGGGCAATTGCAATATACCGCTTTCGGCGTTCCGGCCGTCACACACTTCATATAACATTCTATCGAACATTTCGCCCGTTTACTGATTTCTATAGCGGAAATAGAGCTGATCATGCATAGTAATGGCAATATTAGACCATGCCAAGGTTTTTTCATCACTGAAAAACGAAAGTGAAATTTTGCGAACAGTCAAAAAATGACCTCAAATAAACGAGGCTCAATGCGTATAATACCGTTATAAATCATTATCCCGCAGTAATTACGGAGAAAAATCGAATTCCAATAATCTGGGGAGCCTGAGAAAGGCGGCTCGCAGAAAGTTTCCCGCTCCAACCCCCGTTAATTATACAGTTTAATTGTATTCAAATACCGGCGGATTGAGAGTCGTAAAATTCCGCATGGAAAAAGCGGGGCCGCCACCCGTTTTCCCGCTGAATGGCGAGCAAAAGTGGTCGGTAAAATAGCCGGACATTCCGTCAAAAAAACGGGGTAGTTAACTGTTGCGCACTGTTCTTGTATAGCCGGCTATTGCGTGTTTGGGGCGAGTGGCTAGTTAGCAGCGTGTTGCGACAGGAGCGGAGGAAAGTGATTGTTTTTTGCAAATAGTTAAGCAACGGTGCTTGGTCACGGGTGAAATGGTCATAGAACATTTTAAAGGTGTTATAGGACGTAATTATGCGGTTTTAATGCACTTTCGCTCCAAATTAGACTATGCGTAAGGATTTGTAGCTAATTTTGAAGGGAAAGAACCAAAGATTAATTCAAAAAGTCAAAAGAGTAATGTATAGCGTAATATATCAGTCTATCGGGAAAATAATGTGGATTCGTCGCCCAGGAGACCTCCAAAATTGTCCACTATCTCCGTTGCGTTTTCTAAAGAAAGCCATGATTTTTAGAAACTGAAACATGGCCTTGGTGGAGATTCTGTAAGATTTTATAAAAATATATGGGCACAGCTCCTCAGGCACTCTCTTTTTTCCCACCGTAAGCGGTAAGTAGCGGTATATAAAAATTCCAAAGAAGGAACCCAAAAAATCCAAAAAATAATAAAAACAAAATCCTAAGGCGACTCTCTCCCCACGAATTTGCATATACGTGGGGCGCAATACATTAGACGGGAAGCGACGGAAATGTTCGCTTTAACAAGGGCGCGCACGCGCATTTTCACGCTTGATTCGATCAGTAAACTCATAACCACATCAAAAAGGATACAAAGCAAAAATATTTGCGCGAGAACAGATAAAGCAAATAACAACAACGTCGTTTTGGGGGTCTCAAAACACCCCGCAAGACGTTGGTGGTGGGGGAAACCGGAAAGGCGGATATTCTGGGATGCGTTCGGGAGGATGAGTGATTGTGCAACCGGCAAGAAGTGGAATTCAGTGGGGTTGCAAGCAACGTCGAGGATGGGGATTCTGCGAATTTGGGGGCAACGGAATTGGGCCTAGGAATAAGGGAAGATGCCATGAGTCTGTCGGGAAAATAATAAGCATGTCGCATCAAAAATTGTGAAACGTTAGGCTGCAAAAGGATAGTCGTTTGCAGGATGCTTAAAGAGTGGATTGTCCGCAGCGCTCGCCCACAAATCCTGCAACCCCCGTGTCGTCCCCATTGCCAACTGAGTCACTCGCCAAGATTGGCGTCATCACGGAGAAAACGGTGAATGCAACGGGAAAAATGCGATTTTCTTGCGGATTTCAATTGAATGAAATGTGTAACGTACCTTGCGGCATCGCCCCTTCCCTTTTTTCCCCCACCACAAAATTCTCAATGTTTTTTGGCGCCGAGAACGGCGCAATAATTAATAAGAATCATTTTTATTGCGCCAAAGTTTCGAGAAGAGGTTCGTCTTCAACGCGCCGCTCTTATTTCCATCAAAAAGTGCGTCAAGAGGAAGATGCACAGAGACCAGACCATGTTGAATGACCGTCTTTGAATATTCCACAATGTGGAGCAGTGTGTGAAGTGGAGGGGATGATGAAACGGCTGGGCAGTCAGGAAATTTGCGATAAACATTTGCAGATCAACGTCAAGAGGTTTCTAGGTCTAGACGTCGACTGTATTTGACGGTGTGGGGCAAAAAATGACCTTCTGTTAGAAGCTATCAGTATATAACAATTCCTGAAAGTTTTAGCTCGCGCTTTTCAGGGACGGCCGAAATATTCAGCGATCCTTGTGGCCGAGAGATCACGCGGAGCGCGGAGAACGACCAAAGAGAAGAAAACTTTTTGGCTGTTGCAAGTTTCAAGCGGAAAAATTGTAGGAACATTGCGCTCTACGGTAGAAATGGTCGTCAAAATTTTTTATGCCAAAACTTTAGTTCAAAATTCGCAAAAAAAAGCTGAATTTTTTTGCGAAATTTGACCTGAAAATGTCGGTCATTTCTGCAAAGCGTCAGATAAGAATTCCGGATACTAGTCCTTCTGGAAAGCCGCCGGAAATATTTTTGTCCATTGCACTGTGCGAAAAGCAAGAAATTCCACAGTGCGAAGAAAAGTTTTGTTTTCTTACGGTTCCATCCGGCGACTTTCCGGAAGGACTAGCACATCCTAGAAAACAGTAATCTAAATTTTCGCCAAGTTTCATCTGTGAGCACAAGCTGGCGGAAACACCACCAACTTGTGGTGTTTTCGCTGTAAGATGATAAACGTGTGAGGTCCAGAAGTATCTACACGAGAAAAATCGTTGATAGTCATCCCCCGTCTGCAAGATCCCGTGAACTTGCCTCACGGCTTAATGTCATCTTCCTTTGTTTAATTTCCCAAAAGTTATTCATAAAATTTCCTCATCAAAAATTTTGTGGCACTGCTCCAAAACCCCTGCAATCCCACTGCAAAAAAACTACTGTACCGTTAGGCAACGGAAGACAAACTTTACCGCACTCGAAAGGTCCTTCACCGCCCTCAAAAACAACGCCAATTTCGAACAAAAGTGAATGGTTTCGAGTTAACAAACCCATTCCTCCGATTCCTTTTCGAGTTTTCACTGACGATCCTTTTCGTCTTTTTTTTTTGTTTTTTGCCGTCGACTCTGCGAAAATGGTCAGGTCAATTAAACTTCTTCTGTACCAATTTTCATGCCTTTCCTCCGCCCTCGAATGCCCTGCGGAAACAAAACAACGCATCCGTTGGTGGCGAGAAGGGCGGAAGAAGTTGAAAGAAAAAAGTTTTTATTTTATTTTTTATTCAAATTGAACCAGGTCAAGTGTGGGTTGGAAATAACAGACGACTTACAACACCGACTTAAGGAAGATGAGTGGGGGGCGATCTGTAATAACATCGGCGCACTGTTGGACTTATTGTCGGGTTTTTTTGGAGTAATTTGCAGCCACTTGTCACCACAGTTTTCAAAGTTGAAAGGTTATAGTGTAGCGTGTGTTCTAGAAAGCACTAGACGGGGAAAAAATCCTGACATGGTTGCACGGTGCGCTGTCGCGCGAGCAACTTGTTGCACAGCGACAAATAAAATTCATTGTGCACGTCGTTAATGTGCAGTGCAAAATGAATCATTTTGGCAAGGGAAATCAAAGCCTATGTCGCACGATCAAACTGCACAGCGCACAAAGATATGTCGGGACTTTTTGGCCCGTCTAGTACAGTAAGCTTTATTACTCTTCGTCAAATCTTACACTCTATTAAAAACGTCGTCGTGTTGTCCGGAGGACGTCGTGTGAACTTTCGGTTTTTGAATAAATGTCATCATTTTTTCCCGCAGCGCCCTATTGAAGGAAATGTAAATAAAAACCGCGATTCCGTGGCACGACTGCCAGCAGACCTGTCCAATGACCACCATAAGCCACGGCGCACCGTAATAGTTCATCCAATCGTAGATGATTGGGGCGATAATGAATACGGAGCAGATCAAAAACGCCTGCATTATTGTCTAAAAGCAAATTACGTTATTACACACAACAGAGATTAGCCTACCGCAACCAGGCCGCTCCCCCATTCACTTACACTTTTCTGGTACTTAGTCAGCGCCGGAGAATTCAGCCGGGCCGTCGCGCTCTTCGCTCTGTAGCTCTTTACCACCACAACAGCACTTATAATCGTGTACATAAGCACCATCAAAACAGGAACCATAATATTGTGAAGTATCAAGGACAAATTGAAGTACTGAAAACTGAATTTACTTTGGGAGAATCTTGAGAGTAATTGGCTAATAGTATGACATACTTGCAAATTTGTTTGAGCCTCAAATACCGTCCCGACGTAGGGATTGCTAAAGCCGGCGTAATTGGCTGACGTGTACACGAAAGGATATGTGAAAAAGAAAAAGTAGAAAAAATACAAGATTGGGCCGATGAACCAGTAATAAGTGCGGTTGCCATGAAATAATAGGATCATAAGGCGAGGATTGATCAAATCGCAAAGCCGATTGAACGCCAGGATCAGGCATGTCATACTGGCTGCTGTCCACAAAGCTGAAAAATTGTAGTTAGAGTGGTATCGATTGTGTGTGCAACGCCCGACTTGGGCGAAACTTTCCAAAAAAAAATCTAGCCTTATTTTTCAACCCCGTAGAAAAATAAGTATTTCTAGGCCGGGCTTTGTAAAAAGAGATCTTCAGTCCTCGCTGTTCGCAAACGACCAGAAATTTAGGTGGAAGGTCGCTAAAAATGTGGCACCTTTTTGCGAATTTTGGTGTGAAAAGTTTCATGTGTATTCCTGCCGTTGAAGGTTTCGAGAAAAAATAAAAATTTTTCAGTGCAAAACTGGCAATGTTATGGCCAAAAAAATACTCCTCTTTCACTGCTCCCCGTGCACTCTATGTGCCAAAGATCGTTTGATATCTCGGATTCGCGTAAATCGGAACTTCACGGTTGGTACCCTTCTCTTGTAGTGCAAATCCGAGTATATACGTATGTATCTTGTGTCACATTTCCGTGATTTCCCGCACGCGATCTGCATCTACCGCAGGCATCACAAAGTCGGAAATGAACAAACGTTTTGGGATGTACAGGGTGGGCCAAAAAAAATGGACAAAATTAAAAGTCGGTGTATCCCGGCACGAATACCGTAATCAACGGAAAGGAAAATAGTTTTATAATTGTCAACTATCCTACTTTATCACAACTGTTTAAATTTTTTATATACTTTTGTTGTACCGATGATACAAGCCAAAATGCTAGACCAGTCCATATTCTGACTTCGTTTTCCGAAAATTTTATGGGTCGAAAAATCTTCAATGACCTGAACGTCTACGACCAGCCCAAAACTGGTGGTTGACTGTTTATCATGATACTAAGGGGAGCCCACAGAAGCAAAAAAGCTGATAGTATTCTATTAATTTCGCTCCAGCAGTTCTCAACGTGATCCACAAGAGGTCCATCTAGATAATTCTAGATTTTTGAGATAATTGACATTCAAGAGTCGCAGGGGAGCTCGGCTCATGCTATTGATAGCAAAAAGTGGTCACTGTAAGACATCTAACATTGCTTTACATGGGCCAGCTGTTGATTTGATAATAGCTTGCATCAGCCGTGCGCAGACCTTAAAAAATTTCAGCCGGCTATACCCAGAGACGCTGATATTTTTTGATCAGAAAATTTTTTCTTTTTTGTTGGCGTTCTTCAACATGCCGGATAACTATGACGGGATACTTTTATATCAAGGTGATACGACTCCTTTCTTCCATTTTAAGTCAGTTTCATAAAATGAGGATGCAGCTAGCCTTCAGAATCCATGTATTATTGAGATGACCCATCAAAAAGTCAAAAAATCGATTTTTTGCTTGCCATCTTGCTGATTGAGGGGTACTATTGTCAAAAATGCGCTTAGTATATTCATCGTAGAGTAGTAAACACCGTATGGGGGTAAGTAGTTTCAAAATGTTTACTATGTTTGGTAGAGCATCGATTTTCCGAAAGCGCGCAAATAAAGCTCGATTTTTCCTGGCCGAGTGTCTAACTTCTGGTCACTGGTTCTTCATTTTCCGAAAAGCTTGGGTTAAATCCTTTCAAAGCATAAGGGGGCATGTCTCCTAGATTTGCGTAGACTGCTTGGTATGTCTTTACAGCGACACTAAAAAATTTTGGGGTAAGAACTTTTGAAATTTTTGCCGCGGGAATTGGCGCGCTGACCCGGTGACCTTCCTGCAACCGTATGTTAGAAACTTCTGCAGATAGGACAAAAATTCTACAGTTAATATGTTACCTTAACACAGTACTTTCATGCCACATATACCTTTTTTCACGAACTGTTTCATGGCATGAAAAATCGAAGAAAAATTAATGTCCATTTTTTTTGGCCCACCCTGTAAAGCAAGCAGGTACTTAGAGGTGTTTTTACACCAAGTTCTACGCCATTTTGAGGGAAAACGAGTTGCCCTAGCAGTTTCAAAGCTTTTTTATAGAAATTTTAAATCTCAGCATACCCGTTGTCAATCCTCCACTGATATACTCCAAATTCGGATAATCACAGAACACATTCCCATGCAAAGCGAACCATCCGTACAGAATGGCGTTTAAAGGTATGGTCAACGTGTCAATAATACCTGAATTTACAGTGATGCTGACTGTATAAACGAAACGGTTGAGACCGTTCGCAGCACTGATAACTAAACACATCACAAACTCTTACCCAAAAACAGCATTAATTTGTAACAAGAGAGCTTCCTGAATCGCTTGCCCGCCATCGCTATAAGGCACGGGATGTAGAGGCACTCATACACAAGTCCAGCCGAAATGTAAATCGCTCCAACGTAACGATTTGGCTTTTTCAGATGGTTAAAATATCCCTCTTCATACAACGTGCAGTTGTATAACCGCTCGTATTTTTCTTTGTCGAAGAGGAATATCTCCATAAGGAGCTGAAAAAATTAAAATATTGCACATACTGCGGGTCACATATAAATTTCTTGTACGAGCACAACAAAGCAAATTTGCGCGGAAAAGAATTATTTTTTTTTTGTTCTTTGGCTGGCGACAAAAAAGCTTCTACTTTCAGACTCGTTGCTTTGACTTGCGAAAAGCCGGGATTTCTAGGCCAAAAGTTGGCAAAAAATGACAAGTTTTTGCCAATTTCGTATTGCCTTTTCTGCGCGCCTAAAATATAAAAGCAAGAATGTTTAACGCAAGAAAATTTTAAAATATGAAGCGTATATGCAGAGAGACAAAATTTGCTCGAAAAAACAACAAGGGCTACAAAAATGAATACAATAATACTCTTATCGTTTTTTACCATTGTTGAGTTTTACATATTTGCTCGAAAAAACGGATTACAATTTTAGCCGCTATTATTCATAAGGGATGTTAATTGTTGGTCCACCCAAAGAACGGTCAGCTAAACGAAACCTACGTGAAGTGTATATTTAAATAGTGTAAGTTGTGTCAAGAAAGTGCAGTCTCTACGCAAAGTGGAGTTAAAGTCTTTGAATTTTGAGATATACGGGCCAAAATGAAAATTTAGCCGGGTAAGTGCACTGATATTTTTTTCAATGCACTTACCTTTTTTGAAGTCTAAATTTAAGTGCTTCGAGCGCGACGTTGGAATCTTAATGGAACTTGGCATTTGCCTAGCCAATTGTTTTCCTAAAAGGTATGCTGGATTCCGAATGGGAGCTTCCTACAAGCACAAGAGCACCGGGCAAAAACGAGACAACCAAGCGGAGCGCTTTACTGTAGAAGACACGCTCTTTAATTTATACCCCTCAAGAAGTTTCTTGCAACTCGGCCGTGACCGGTCAAGTAGCTGCCAAATCTTGGTCAAGATGGCGCACAGCGGTCAAGTTTTAATCCCTATAAACCTTGCAACATTTCCTTGAGACCAATTGTGGTTTTTTTACTCAACCTCTAAAAAAGAGGTTGAGTAATTGGCAGCACAATTTAAATACAAACACTTTTTTGAATATGACCAGCGTAAGAGAGCATGTTCACACAAATTTCATAAGAACATGCTCTGTTACAGTTCGTAGAGTTAATTTGTTTTCGCAAACTACCGTTTCCATAATCAACTAAAGACACAAACCATGGGTATTAATTAATCAAGCAAAAAGGTTCAATATTGCAAAATAACCAGATATTTCCGTGTATGTTTGTCTTACAAACAGTTAAAAGGCTTTTTACACACTCGCTTCAAGGTGAGTGATAAGACAAGCACGAACATGTACACAGAGTACTTGTAGCAAAGTACAGCTTGAGCCAATTTTACGGTTCTAATGGTGATCATCGTACTCTTAAGGTCGTTGAGGCAAGTAGAGTTACACAGAGAAAGAAAAAAAGAAAAACAACGTCTGCAACACGCCAGGTAAAGCTTTCATGAATTGATATTTAGTCTATGCCCGACGAGTGTGCAAAATTTAAAGAAAATCTAAGCGTCGCACTTGGCACTTCCATTGTATGTCCTGTAATAACGAATTATATTCCACTTTGCGGCTCAAATGCTCGACTGTACTTGAAAACGCACAGACTACATCTTTGATATTTTTATTACCGCCATTTGTCGCAATAGTCAACGAATTACAGAGGGATCTTAAAATTTGTTCGTCTGGTATATCCTGCGTGTAATACAGAAAGAAGTCTGCAAAGACTGCTGTAACAATAGGTTTTAGCACAAAACTAACAATAAGACCTCTTTCTAGTAGCTTTTCAGCCGTACATTGTGTTTGCATCTTTGGCGTCGTTGACAAGTCCTCGAAGAAGTCGTGACAGTCAACAACCGCAATTACTACATGTACACGCGTCGGAATCATATCTTTTACTGTAAAGTTTATTGAAATTAGGGAAAAATGAGTGTCAGCAGCATTTTGAGACCGAGTTTTTAGCACTGCATTACAGTGCATTACAGCATTGCAGAGCACTGTATCACTTGTTTTGATGACAAATTAGCCGAGTTTCTCACGCTATATTTTTGCTTTTGTTACATATATGTAATCATTCCGTCAATCAATAACGCGGTAAGTTTATTTACATGTCATAATTATGGAATATTTTGCAGAAATAAATATTGTTGTCAGAGTTGGCTTTGGTGCTGAAGAGATAGTTTTATTTCTTTCCGTAGAATCCACGGCCCCATCCGCCGTATCCGCCCCATGGTCGGCCCCATCCGCCGTAGCCGCCCCATGGTCGGCCCCAACCTCCATAGCCTCCCCATGGTCGGCCCCATCCACCGTAGCCGCCATATCCTCCGTATCCGAATCCGGGGTAGCCATAGCCCCACTGTGCCTCAACGACGCTTACTGCGAGTACCACGACGAGGAGGGAGAGAACAATCTTGGTGAGCATTTTGTCTGAAATTAGAGGCGTAGATTTTCGGATACTAAAGGTGACGATGTTGAAGGTGTCATGATGTTTTACAAGGCGAACAGGCACATGAGGCGATATACACGAAGCCTCTACCTGCTCTTAGGTTGGGACATTGAGTTATCCTGGCTGTCAATTTCTGCTTTCAAAGAAGCCATAATGCCTATCAATAGCAATTCCCATGAAAACTATTCCTAATCTATGCTTTGTGCCCTACAGTAGCCCCTCCAGCCCCCACAAAAACATTCGACTTACCGAAAGGAAAGTCAAAAAACAGAAAGCGTTGTAATTTGATGTGCTCCGACCCAGAAACCCACAACATTTATATGCGCCGTTTTTTGTGCCACCTCCGGTCTTCCGCGAATTTTGTGCGCCCCTCCCAAAAGTTGCGATGGCGTCGCGGAATCGAAAATCGTCTTGCGCAAGCCGCCCCCTCCTCCGGGAGTCTGTCCGAGTTACGAGGGCGGCGTATGATGATCCGTGTTCGGCGAACGCCGCAAATTTGATCGTTTTTCGCGACTTTTCGACGGATTTGGTTCGAAGACCATCAATCTCGAGAGCGTTGTTCCCGGTACAACAACTCACTTCATTAGCAACAGGTTCGAGACGATGTCTAAGGGGTGATGTCTGAATTAGAGCTGAGTTGGCTGAGAGAACGGCTTTTAGTGGCTTGGCTCAACAAGCGTGGAACTCATAATGCTGTTAATGGGAAAGCATCTGCAGAGATACAACGAATAACTTGGCGAAGTTGTCACTTACGCGAGTGGTATTTCTAGTGGAAACTTTGCTCAATGAGCGGTTCCATGCTCGTCAAGTTGGAAAGGTTTTCTTGTCGTCAATAAAAAATTTGTCAAAAACAAAACAATTTTTTTATTGACCCACCCATATAACAACTTCAAATTTTCTATGAATTGCGCCTTTCCAAAGGAGACCCAATTGCTTTCTCGGAACGGACAGTTGATCTTACTTTTACAACAACCATGCGCCGTAATTATACTTGTAGAGGACTGTTACAAGTTGGAACCATAATTTTTGCTTTCTTTTTTCAAAACATACCCAAGAATTACAGTGCCTACTAGTCCGTGTATTTTAAGGTGTAATGTTAAACAGTCCGTTGGGAAAATAATGGGCAGAACGTCCCATCGAAAATTGCCGCCAAGAAAGTAAATTATGTCGCGGTGAAGTGAAAGTGTTTTTTTACTTCAGCGTCGCCACCGCCGCAGCGACATTGTGCTAATTATTTTCCGGACAGTAAAGATATTGCCCTGAAAAATGTTTACCTCAATCAATGGCGGACTCTAAAATTGAGGCTTCGCTTTTGATTGTCACGCAGTATTCCAATCAAATTTTCAATTTTATGGCTTTTCCCAAAGTATCGTAGATTCTTCATTTCAACTGCCCAACTTCCTTCTTTCGACAGGCAAACCTGCTTTACAGCGTGACATCAAAAAACAAGCGCCCAAATCAAATCAAACCATAGTTCCACGACCACGAGTGATCTTATGCCTTCCAAGTTTAGCCAATTTTGTATGCAACAGAAGCGAGGAGCCACGAGAAATGTTTTTCTTTGGATCAGCATGTACGTGTTGGGCGAATAAAGTTGGAAATTTGTTTGCTTAGGGCTCGTTGAAACACAGAGTTGAAGAAACTGCTGATCACGGTAGGTGATTGTAAGATGATGGAATTTTTATTGAATTCCGTTTACAGAGGAATTGAACCCCCAAGTGCAACGCTCACAATCGTACTTTAATCAAAAAGCACAAATTCAGAATATTAGGTTGAGTCAAAATTATCCGGCGGTTTTATTGGCGCGTTTTTTGTTAGTTAAAATTTATGTTTTGTTAATGTTTTTTTTATAAAAATAATCTTCTCTGGTTGTTTAATAAAATGGCAGTCGAAACCCATACTCATATTTGCCACATTATGCTCTATTATTTCGAGAAAAGTTGGAAGTCGGCACAGTCATTTCGCGATCTCAACGAACTTTTCGGCGAAGGAAAAAAATCGGCAGGTGTTTCGTCCAAAGGAGTACCAAAAGACGTCCACTGTAAGAAGGCTACGTGGTATGTGTGGTGGGACAGAAGCGGAATCATCCACTGGGAAATCGTGTCTATTTTTTGTTCCTTCGCCGAAAAGTTCGTTGAGATCGCGGAATGACCGTGCTGACTTCCAACTTTTCTCGAAGTGGTAGAGCATAATGTGGCAAATATGAGTATGGGTTTCGACTGCCATTTTATTAAACAACCAGAGAAGATTATTTTTATAAAAAAAACATTAACAAAACATAAATTTTAACTAACAAAAAACGCGCCAATAAAACCGCCGGATAATTTTGACTCAACCTAATATTTTTTGAACAATTTATAGATTTCCCCAGCTCGTGTTTTACAGAAGGAATGAGATTTTCAGGCGAAAAGTTGGCAAACAAATGACAACTTTTGTTTGCAAATCTTAGCATCAAAAGTTTTATGCGCATTTCTACCATAAAGGGTAATGTGTTCACAATAAATTAGCTTTTTCCGCATGAACTGGCAAAGATATGGCTTAAAAGTTTCTTCTGCCTAACCGTTCTCCGCTTTTCGTGTACTCTTTCGGCGGCAAAGATTATTCAATATCTTTGCTGCGCCAGGCAAAGCACGAGATAAGATTTTTATGAATTGAAATGCGGCCTATACCCGAAATCTATGCAAAGTTTGAGGAGAATCTGCTCCTGTGCGTGGCTGTAGAGGTACTACACCAATTACGTAGATGAAAATTTTGAGCTGATAATCCGATTTTTAGATCGTGACGAGTATCCTCCGACGAATGAACTTGACGATGAACGGCCTATACAGTTTTATAAAGCTCTACTATGCAGAAGGATGCACAGTATACATAACTAATACATAATTAATTTTCTTTTCCATGCTGCAGTTCCATTTGATTTTTTGCACATCCCTCAATAACCCAAAAAATCTTTCAATCTCACATTAAGCATCTCCATTTTCTTGTAACCTTCCGCTTTTACTATTGTACACTTTATTACCGGTTTCTAACGATAAGAATAAATTAAAGCCAGCTAGCCATGTTGCCTAATCCGTCTCGTACTGTTTTCCCTCCAAGAACCAGCCGAACCACGGTCGCTCTCCCATGCACGGCAAATGCAATTCGTCTTCTTTCGTATCGTACCGATATTCCACCCGATCAATGGTCAGCTTCCTTAACAGCGCCGCTCGGACATTATCGGCTCGTTCGATGAGCGCCGGTGTGAGCTCGCTCCAGCGTGGTGCATAGCCGTAGCGAACGGCGGCCTTCTGTTCCCCGAACAGATGAGCAATCTCGTAAACATTCCAGAACGACTCGGCGTGATGATGGCATTTCGTGTTCTTGCTCGGATTGTCGGTCATTTCCTTGCATTCGTCCGTCGAATTCTGTGGCGCAAGGCACTCGGGCGTCGTGGAGCAGAGATACCACCTAAAGCCGATGAAAATAACAGAAGAAAAGCAAGGTCGGAATTTGCTGAAGAATTGCAAAATGTAGAACATGGGAGTGTTGTTCGTCAAATTGGGGCTTTAAAAGCATCAAAAAGCACTTAAATTGGTCATCCTATCTAAAAATAGGGCCGTTTCTCTGAAGCGGAAGTTCTCAAAGTGCGAAGCTCAGATTTTAATGAAAATTGACGCAAACTTACAGTACTTTTCTACAACATAAAGGCTTGATTTCTAGCTCGCGCTTTGCAGAAAGAACCTAGACTTTTAGCACAAAAGTTGATCAAAATTTGTAATTCTTTTTATGAGTTCATCAAATTTTCTTAGCGTTATGTCTACCAGGAGGGATAATATTTCCACATAAAATTTCTAAATTAGCCTACCATTTCATCATTTCGCGGGTGTACTTGCTGTCAATCAAAAACATTGACTTTCCGGACATTGCGGTCATCTGCGTGGCCTGATATGGGATTGGAAAGTACTCGTACATCCCTAAAAATTCAAATATTTATTAAAGCAAGTTGCACTCTACCTCGATGAGTAATTGAGGCAACGGTTTGTGTTGTCATTGTCAAAGGGACGGATGTTGGGAGGAATGAGAATTTGATTTTGAATAAATAATCGATCAAAGAGATGGAAACCCCAGCATTCTCGACTTTGAATCGAGTTGTAGGGTCGGCATAGATGATGGAGTCAAACTTGTCCATGGCGTCGACGAGGACGAATTGATAGGCTCGCTCTCCCATCTGCTGCAGAGACTCCGGCCATTCAGATAGTGTGAAATTGGCCGTGTAACAGTTGCACCACCAACGCATTTCTTTTTTCTATAAGAGCAAGAGTTGTAAAATACGGAAGTGGACATTTCTTCATAGTCATTTTCAATGTAATGCAATAAACGGATCGTCCGGAATAAGCAAAAAATAGCAGCAATGGCTTCGTTTTACGGAGGCTTTTTTGGTTTGAAAATTTTTGTTATTGACAGGTTTTATTGTCTGGGACTTTGTTGCAGAGATGTTCCGCTGGGCAGTGATTTCAGTCTGTCGGGAAAATAATGTGGACTTGTCTCAGCAAAATGTCTCGCCGCCTTGTCAGAGTCACGCATTAAATATCCAGCTGCAGCGAGCTGTTGCAAAGCGATGATCGGCGATTCCAAGACGAATCCACATTATTTTCCCAACAAACTGATATAGCCAAAGTTATATACGCAAGCAAGGTTTAAGAAAAGGATAAGCACGATTTTAGAAATGATGACAAAATTTTAAATATGTATTTATCGGCTATGGGTCAACGAAACTATAAAATTCGTCCCATTGCTTGCGGAAGTGTCGTTTAATTCCGCAAAGTTTGAGTGCCTGCCTCATTTTCCGTTTAAAATCCGCTATGAGTAAGAAGCGTTCCTACCTGCGCCTCTGTGAATCCAAAATCGTAGACAATAATCCTGCCCGCCGGGTAATACTTGGCCGTATTCATCGCCATCTTTTTCAGATATCCAAACGTTTTCTCCGTCCCATATGTAATGATGGTGGGTTGCCAACCATGCCCGATCAAATGTTGAAATTCCTCGGTTGAATCAATGTCCTCTTGCAGCAGACTCAACTTTTTCAGGTTCCTCAAGTTCTCCTCCGTGCAAGGGAATTTCTTGCCGAAAACAATTCTGCCGTCATCGTCCACTCCTTTGAAGCAGAACTAAAATTAGTTTTTGTAAAAATATTTTTTGAGTAAATTTTTGGCATGCGTGATAAATTGAACTCACATTTTCTCCACCGCACAAGCATTCTTCCGGCGCCGGCTTCGCCGGCCACAAATTGTCGATGAGAAATTGCCGAACATAGAATAAGAGGAGAAAAACTGCAAAGGCTGTTAACCTAAGTGCCCAGCGGAGTTGGCATCTCGTTGCAGCCATCTAAAATGCATGTCAATATTAAGCCAAGAATTTCGCTATTTATTTAGACGGTAGTTTTCTCGATTTTCAGGACAATTAGTTTTAAAATTCGAAAAAAGGGAAGGGTCCAATTGCGACGCTCAGATTTTGATGAAACTCGGCACAAATTTAGAATTTTTTCATTTTGTCAGACATGAGAGAATTGTAGCATCCGCCTTGCAGAAACGACCGAGATTTTTCGGTCAAAAGTCGGAAAAAATTGACATCTTTTTGGCAAACCTTGGCATAAAAAGTTTCGTACCTATTTCTAACGTAAAGCGTAATGTTTCAAACAAAAAAAAATATTTTTTGGCAATGCTGGCAAAAATACTCCTATAAAGTAATTTTCGCTGTGAACGCACTCCGCCTTTTCCGTGTTCCCTCTGCGGAAAAGATGGTTGAATATTTCGGCCGCACCTGCAAAGGTTGAGCTAAAATCTTCAGTCATTCATACATATGTATTAGGGTGTCCCATAAGTCTTGTGTATTTTTGGGTTTGAGAATTAAAGTCTCGTTTCGCAGGCCTAAATGAATGCATCCCTTAATGTTTGGCATTGTTGAAACCGCCATCTCTTACACTTATAAGCAGCATAAAAACTTTAACTAATAACATGCCCTCCGGGAAAATACTTGAAATTTTTTAATATCATCAACTTCTGGGAAGGGCTGGGAAAACCATTCCGCTTTTTGATAAATGGGGCTGCACCTTTGCAATTGCATTTTTTAACACATCTACTAAGCACCCTGTCTCTAAATAAACTGTTTTCCCCTCTGAATTTGTTCTTATGACGTTTTCCTGCAGGTTTCTTGTATTAGGCACCATGGTGAATATTGTGATGTACATCATTTTGCGTATAACATTTTTTGAGGGCGGTTGCTCAGGTCGCGCCGATACCAGAGTGAAAAAAACATAACGTTCATGCGTCCTAACTATGAATCCGCTGGCTGTCATGCTCTGAATCACCACTAACCCAAAAAAATTTGAAAAAATGTGGTGCATTTATTCAACACCAAAAAAGTTGGTATGGATACAAATAACATTGTAGTGTAGTGTGTTCTAAACAGTGTCATATGTGTTTTATTTTAGCAAGAGGATTTTGGAATAGAGGTGCTGAGGGCTGAAAAATCAGTCAATTTAAAAAATTTTCTGTAAATTTTTAAAATAATTAGGAAATTTTTAAATTAAGCTTATTTCAAGAAACAAAAGTGACACAGGCTGTGATTATAATGTCGTTGTGTTCACAAACAACAGTAGATTACCTACCATACGCAGCTACAGCCAACACTTTCTACTATTGGAAAATTGAGTCTGAAAAGCATGAGTGCAGCAGTTCTCATGTTATTTACACCACCACCAAGGTACGCCCGCTCGTGCTGCAGCGCCAATTAAAATAACATCTAGGGCTCTTGGGCGTCCTATTTTCACGTTTAATAGGCGTACACATCTGATTTTCCAAAGTATATACCCATTTTAACATCAGCAAGCAACATTTTTTTTGATGTCTAGTACAATATTGGGGTAGTGCGGGTAGCAGGTTGATTTTTTGCAGCTTTGCTGTATACGGTTTAAAAGCGCAATTCCTGATCTTCAAAACCGTATGTCTAACATATCTCGTAATGCGTTACAAAGCTCACAGGAATTCGCACAAGTCAACGACCCCAAAATACACAAGACTTATGGGACACCCTAATACTTGACCAAGCCCATGGGCAAATTGAAATACATATTTACAAGCCCATGCCCATGTGCAAACTAAAACCCAAGCGTCGCACTTCAAACGCTTCTCTGAAAAAATATCGAAAATGTAAATCCTGAAGTCCCAAGGTTCTTAGAACCCGGCGGCAATCTCCAACAAAACAAAATCCGAACACAAAAAAAGCAAACAACCACTGCAAGTTGCGCACGCTACACTTGCAATCCCCTCAACCCGGAAAAGATTTGCCGTCCATCAATCCCATTATTGACCAATCTTTTCTGGAAACAGCCATACTATTTTGTTTCTGGTTTTATTATCCAAATACATCCCCTTGATTTCCCGGAAAGAGTGGATTTGAGACGCCAAACGAAGTGCCGTCGACGGATACATACGAAGATACGCCGCGAGATAGTGAAACTCGCTTGTTTCCACGGGTTCCTCGGACGTGTTGAGGGAAGAAGACGCTAATTTCGGAGACGCTTTTAAAATACTTCTTTGTCTATATTATATGTGCAAGCAGCATGGAAGTGTCGTTTTCTTATAAAGAAGAATGGCCGAGGTACTGAAAAGCCTATCATTTTTTATTAAGGGATTACCTCCTAGGATAGAAACGAGCATCTTAATTTTTACCCTAAGATTTGCGAAAAAAATGTCAGATGTTTGCCAAACTTCGACGTCGTACGAGCTACGGATCTGGCGTATGGCTTATTAGAAAACACTACGGCGCAAGCCAAAAAATTTCAAATTACAGAAGGCATACAAATCCCTTTATTCCCAGAAACGAAATTAAGCAATCATGACCTCTTCCCTTGTCGAGAATTGTCGCCCCGACGAGAATTGCCCACTCTTTCCCGTGGTCATGGCGCCCAATGAACTGTCTCCATCAACGCGCCGAGGACGACATCCCATCAGCCGCATAACATATCGTCGGTACGCCTTGATCAAGTAAATTGTCAGGATGGCATTGGCTGAAGGAAGCCAGCTGAGCGGTGACATAACCGCTGTTCCTATCATTTTCCCGTCAAGTCGCCATTGCATGGCAATGCAGACCAATGCAATTGGGAAAATAGCGAAAATTCCAGCGTTTATTGTCTGAAAATTACATATATGTACAGTATGACCGTTGAAGTAAAAGGTGCTACAGTATTTCTTATAGCAATTTTGGGTTTTTATCGACTTGTACTCCAAGTGCGACGCCCAGATCGTTCTCTGCGCTTACTCTCTCGACGGGAGAGGAAAATCAGAGCGCTGCACTTGGAAACATTCCCTTATGAGTTATATGTATATATGTAGTATATACAGAAAGGCTACATAACAAAATCATGCCCCTACCTGCGCAATCAAACTCCGAGTAAACTGTCGTTGCAGTTCTTTGGTGCGCTCGCTCGATTGTTGAATGCTCACTGCTTTCCAAGCCCTCAGGGTGTAGGATCCGGCCATTTGAACGCTAATGGCAGTGGCAACAAACCCACCGTAGAAGTAGCCGGCGGTTCCCCAGTCGCGCTGAAATTTAGGCTAACTGTAAAAGGTGAACGTTTATTTTCAAAAAAGTTTTCTTTAATTTTTCGTTTTGAATCATTTTCCAAACTTTCCGATCGCCTGTTGGTCGGTTGTTTTTCGGGTGCCTTGGAGAATGTATGGCTCAAATTCAACTACCCAATTTCTACATTTCCCCTGCAGTCCTTTCGATAGCCGGTGTGTTTGGAGACTTAGGTGAGTATTTTTGCTTCAGAGGGTCGATTTACAGCATACTAGGACACGTATTTATTATATTATAGTTCTTAAGACATCTTCTTAAACTCATATCAGTTTGTCGGGAAAATAACGTGGATTTGTCGCAGCAAGATGCCCTGCCTTGTCGCTGTTGCGCACCAAATCTCCAGCTCTGGCAAAGACTTTGCAAAGTGATAATGGGCGACAAATCCACATTATTTGCCCGACAGCTCATAGCTCAAGATGCGTACCTAGGGCACCTAAATTTACTTTTTCCTCTGGTGTAACTTGACTTCTGGTTCTCCTACTTGTTTACCTTTACTTCTCAGCACAAACCAAGACGTCTTGGACTACTACTACGCATGGGCCACCTACGCCGAATTTTGTATGTTCCTTCTAAATGTCACGGCTCTGGTCTTGCTGTCTGCACTATATATTCGAGAGCGGCGACGGCGAAAAGAACTGGCGGAGGCTCAGGTCCTGGAAACGCCCTTCCACAACAGCTTTCAACGACTAAAAGTTCACACTCCGAGCATATCGCACTCTTGGGACAACGAGTAAGTTTGCAGCCGAAAATATTTTTTACTATTACTAAATATTGTAGAATAATAGACGGTTGAAATTGCTGTGCGGAAGGTTAATTTAATATGCATATTTTCAGCGAGGTCGTCAATTCGATAAGACAAAAATGCGTTAAAGGTCATAAGACCAGCCCTTCTCCATTGCTGAGCCCGAAAATCGAGTCTGCAACGAATACTCTGTAAAGAGCAAGATGCGATTTTGCACTAATTTGGCCATAAATAAATTATTTCCATTCCTATAATACAAGGGAAAATTTGACGTCATTGTGTTTTATCCGCCCGATATTGCTCTGTCGGGAAAATAATGTGGATTTGTCGCACATCAAAATCGTCTATCATCCCTTTGCGACGGCTAGCCGCAACTCGAGACTTGGTGTGCGACTGCGACGACGGAGAAATTTAGTTGCGACAGATCCACATTATCTTTCCGACAGACTAGTAAAAACGAAGGAAACTCAAAAATATCGTGAAAACTTTTATGCTTTAACATATTCAGCACTCACCATATCACATGCATATCTGAACGGCGACGTTCCATCCTCAGCGATCCACTCGTGAGTTACGAATTGAAAATAGTAATCATAGCCTCGGAAGCTGGCCTGATACACACCGTATCCCAAGCTCATCCCCAGCAACAGCCCGGTGAGCGCCGAAATCGCGACATTTCTCACAATGAGCATGGGATTTATCGTACTCCCGCTGAAAATAGATAAAAGTGTAAAGGTAATACGTACATACTATATATGTTTAAAAATAAGAGAAGTGGCAAGACTTACGACGTAACAAGTAGATATCGGTAATGACAAAGAGCCGGCAAGATGAGGATGCCGTGAAGGACGACGAGGGAATGAGGAGCCATGAAGGTTGGGTAAGACCAAGGCCCGAGGAAGGCCTCCACACCATGAGGCATAACCAGAAACATCCCATTTTTGATGAGAAGTTGCTGAAAACAGAAAACATTATCATCGATTTTAGCCTGGCGACTTTCCAGACGGACAAGTATCGGCCTATTGGGAAAATAAAGTAGATCTAACGAACAAATAGAAAACCAATGTGGAAAGGTTTTGTTAAACCTCCAATGCCTTCATAGCGACGTACATGTTGGGTAATGAACTCCACGATGCTGAAGAAAATGTCGAAGAGAGCCGACGTCAAGAACAAGTAAGAGTATGGCCTTGTCTTCTCAGTAGTTGTCTTTACAATCGCCAACAATAAGAGAAAATTCAATATGAGGCCAAGACCGGAGCCAAGATTGTCGGAGATCCAAAGGCAGAAGAAGAAAGTGTTCATTATGGCTGAAAAATGGTCAAATACTAAAAAAGATTATTAATTATAAAAACTTTTAGGGGTCGACGGCAATTCAAATTAACACTAAATCGATCGACACGAGGTGGAGGACAGGCGGAGACCCAAAAAACAGGGTACAAGAGATGCCTACGAGGCCTGGCGAAGACGTTGGAAGCTCGATGAAGGCTTGGCGGAGACTTGGCAAATCTTTCAACGCGACCATTTTTTAAATTTTAGCTATTTCAAAAATTCATTTTCAAACAAAAATCCGTAAGTTTCACCTGTTTGTTATTGCAGAAAAACATGTAAAACGCATTAAAATGGGTGAAAAGCTATCCTAGAACCTGACCAATCCTATTATCTTTCGATTAACTAAACCCTTTCCTAAAGCCTCCCACGCTTCAACAAATCGAGGCGTCGAAAAGTATCGTAGATCCTAACTGCGGTTCATTCGAAAAGTACTAGTGCCAGAGTGACACTGTCTGCACAAACGAAGTCTCATTAGGCCCGTTGTAATGGTCAATGTCACAACCTTAGCGAGCCTTTTGCAGATTAAAGTACAGTTTATTTTCTAGTTTGGTGTTTGAATGGAAAAAAAGCAACAGAGGACAAGTGTAACGTACAAAAATTTTCTTCGAATTTCTCACTTCAAGCAGCATAAAAAAGCTCAAAACTCGGCATGAAAAACCTTTAGCCGCGGGAATTTACATCGCCGTCTAAGAGCTTTCAAAATAGAACAATGAACCGCACATTTCTTCAAAATGATGCCGAAATCTTTTTGGCCTTTTTCGTTGTTCTGTTATATAATACAATTAAAAATACGGTGGGTTGTATTGATGAAAGATCGTAAACATATCAGAGAACAGTCGCATAAGATGACCGCTTAGAGTGCAAAACAATCAGTCAAATTTGGTTACAAGCAGAAGTGCCTCAAGCGACGCTCAGATTTTTAAAAAACATGATACATATTGAGATTAATTTTTAGGGCATATACGAGACTTATACTCTACACTTTACAGAAACGACCGAGATTTTTTGATCGAAAGTTGGCAAGAATGTAAAACTTTTTTGTAAATCTTGGCATAAAAAGTTTCATGATTATTTCTGCATCTGAGTGGAACTTTACCAAAAAAAATCAATTTTTTCCGCACAAAACTGACAATCACCAAAAGGTATTTTTCTTGTTCACTGCCCTCCATGTTTTTCGTACTCTCGACGGCAAAGAACGTTTATGTATAGTAATATCTCGGCTGAGTGTGCAAAGCGCGAGCTAAGATTATAAGTAATTGATATATTCTAAGCTAAGGTACTTCCCCTGTAATGTTAACCCGTTCTACTTCACTTTTAAACAAAATTAATTGCTAATGATGACCTTTTCAGCAGTATTCCTTTATGTGCCGATTCATTTCGTGCGGGGGCGGAGCCTAAGCAACTAATCTGCGCGTCAGCGGTAGATGGAAGCTCAACGACAAACGAAAAGATTTACAGGTCCCTGCGTAGAAATCCAGCTCATTTTTTATAGATTCTACAGAAAATGAGTTGGAAATAAATATTATGTAATAGGTACAGTGATTATCGATGACATGGTACCCAAACACGTTCTGTTTTTTGTTTAGGCCACACAGCTTAACCGGACAATTATAGTCATTGTAAGTAAACACGATGCTAACAAGGGATGGGCGCAATGGAAGATCTGGACAAGGATTTGCGTAAAATTAGAGCGGCATTTCTTCCTGACCAGGGTTAGCACTTGTTGGTTTTCGACAAAGACTAGAATTTTGGAGAAAGATTTAGCTAAAAAATTCGGATATGGATTTTTTGTGTGTGATCTTCACACTGTTTTTCAACAGGATCTTGCGAGACCAAAATTTAGAAATGGAAGATTCAAAGGACTTCCACAAGTACGAATACGGTTACGGCGTATCCGATGATTTGTCATCGGAGGCGAAATTCTAGGACAAAAGAATCGAAAAAATCGTTAATCCTTGAGTTCGAAAAAATGAGTTTCATCGAATACGTACTTACACTCTACCTCATAGATTTGCAACAACGCGATACACTTTGCTCATGTCACCTACGCTCTCGCCACCAATATGTACGAATTTTGTCCGCGTAATAATAAATATAACGTACTTACTCAATAACAAATGGGATGTACTTATCCGAGGGTTGGCAACACTCTTAATCACCCTTCTCTGAGATTATAAAACTACAATCCTTTTTCTTACGTTCGGTAAATGACTAAGACGTCTAATTCTTTCTTACCCCCTAAAAAAAGAGAGTAAATAAAGTACCAAACCGATTTACTGTACGAATATTGAAGCAAGCTTTGTCGAAGGGCAAAGGAGCATTTACACAGATCTGCCTATTTTAGTTGGCATTAACTTCGTTCACTTCACATATCTGCCGTGGCAAGAACGAATATAAAAGAACGAATTTCTTGGCAAGTGCAGCGATAAACGAAGTTCAAAGCGACAGCAGACAATCTTTGTTATGACGAAAGTAAGGTGCAAAGTAAGAACGAATCTATCTACATATATTCCGAGACCGCGCAATAAAATAATGTGCTGTCTGTGAAAACGAAATTAATTTTAACCGGCGAAGGAAGTCGTCCAAATCGCAAATGAGTTGAGCTATGGGACTGGAATATTCTTGACCTCCACATTCGAAAACGGTAAATAATTTCGGTTCCGTACCCTGGTTTGCGGAAGAATTGACCGTAAATTTAGACCGGAGAGCCTCCTACAGTGACGGCCCTGGGCCCTGATCCAGTGGCAAAAAAGGACCATTTTGCGTCCGGTAAGTATAAAAATTTAGCAGAATGCCAAAGTCGCGGCCCAATGAGCTTCTCTGTTTTAGGATATGATCAACAGAGCGCAGTAAAACTTGAGAAAACGCTAACGACAATTTTCGCCGAGCCAAAAAAAATTTTTTCTAGCCAAAATGTTTTTCTTTTGTCGACTAGCCAATTTTTTTCTAGCCAAATTTTTCTCCCGTCCTTACAAAAACTTCATTTTTGGTCTCTGCCGACCTGATATGGACTTACAGGGGAAGTACTCAAAGCTAAACGTGGAGAGCGGTCAGAGAGAAAAGCGTTTTTTGGCCATAACTTTAGCATTTTCATGCGGAAAAATTTGATTTTTTGTAGAAACATTATCCTTTACGGTTGAAATAGGCATGAAACTTTTCGCGCTGAAATTCGGTAAAAAATCCGAAGTTTTCGCCGGCTTTCGATCTAAAAATCTTGGTTGTTTCTGCAGCTCGGATTCTCGCATATACCTTAAAAAAAATTATTCTAACTTTGCGCCAAGTTTCATCAAAATCTGAGCGTCGCACTTGGAGTACTTCCCCTGTTAGCTGGTCCGTACAACCCTTGAAACGCATAATATATGACGTTTTTAAACAAATGCCGAAATTTCGGTCCTTCTGCAAAGGTTAAGATCGTTATTTCAGGGCCAATTAAGTGCACGGGTGGTTGAAGGCGACTACAAATGGAGCTATTGTGAGGATTGGATAGCGAAGCGAACTCTCGAAAAAAGGCAAAATGTTTCAAAGTTTAAAGTTGCCAAATGCACGTCAAAACGAGGGGTACGGTGACCGTAATAGACCCTTCGCTACCGGTTTTTTTACATTTTGTCTTGATTTCACAGAGAAGACAAAGAAAAGACGCGCAAAACGTACTCTCCTGCCCATAAAGTTCACCATTCCTTCACCGACACAAAGATTTTCTCGTATTTTTTTACGAATTAACAATCCATTCACCAGACCGTTTTAGCTTACCCAAGTTTGACGCGCAATGGTCACTTTCCCGAATTGAGAATTTTCCGTTGAAAATGCCAAATTTCCCACTGATTTGCCAGCATGATTTACCCCACTACAGCTGCAAAGACAAAAGTGAAAACAAGATTGTGAAGTTAGGGTGCTTTTTATAAGATTTCCATACCGAATTGGATGGAATGGTCGGCATATTGTTAACACACCTGTTCGTATAAGCAAGGTTGACAAAATGGAATTTACTATAATGTTTGTTATTGCAATTCCATTATCGACACAAGATATATAATGTTTACCGTAATTAGGGTGGCAAACGGGCTTGTTTTTCGATTTCATGCTTTCTACAGAAAAAATATATAAAAAAATTAGGCCCGGTTAGGGCGCGAACTGCCAAATTTCCTTGGATCTTACCGCTTCTGTGGCGCTAAAATCTGCTGATGGTTATAGCATATGTTCTAATTTTGGACTCTATATGCATTTGACTATTTAACATGCATATCTTTAATACGTATATGTAAAGGTTTAAAAAAGTGCTACAAACTAGTAGTAGGCTCTTGAAGGACCCTCGTAATGCAACCTCCACTTCCGACTTTTGCATTAATTTTGTATGTACTCGTTGGCCCACAAAAACAAGAAAGTTTTTTTCACTTTACAACAGATTGTTTTTTATCACTTTGGGTGCAGGTATTGCACCCAAAATCATGAAACAGCTCCTAATTACGAAAGGCTAGAGGTTGCGGCCAGTTCTCACACAAAAGACCTACTTTTGTTTTAGAAAAGTGGCTCAATGCTTGTAAGTAGAATACGATATTCGGCTCGTAGTGTAATAAACGACCTATTAAAAGCAATCGTCTGGACGAAGGTCACTGTTTCCTTCACTCTTCCCACTCGCTTTTCTTGCTGCAGAACTTTATTCTCTGCGACCTTTTCAATACATATATGTAATCTAAGAACGCGAATGCTGACCCGTGTAGTTATGGTAATAAGGTGGGGCGTTCTTTAGTGTCGATACTGCCAGTCCGTCCTGAATTTTCCGACGATGTATACCAAGTACATGGAGAACGTATCGGCGATACGCCTTGATCAGGTAAATCGCCAGCAATGCGTTGGCCGAAGGAAGCCAGCTCACTTGCGACATGACCACAGCGCCAGCAGCGTGGACGTCGATTCCTCCTTGCATCGTGGTCGACGCTACCGTCGCCGGGAAGATGGCAAAAACGGCCGCGTTGATGGTCTTAAAATAAAATATTTTTCTAAACAAATTTGGAGCTACTGACCTCTTATCAGTCTGTCGGGAAAATAATGTGGATCTGTCAAATTTATCGCAGAAAAGGCGAGAGATTTCCCTGGGGCAATCCCACATTATTTTCCCGACAAACTAATAAAAAAAAAAGCTGTTAAAAGCTTACTTGCGCTACCAAAGTCCTTGTAAACTGTCGTTGTAACTCTTTCGTTCTCTCACTGGCGTCTTGAGAGTTAACCGTCTTCCACGCTTTCAGTGAGTAATACCCCGCCATGATCACACCTATGATCGCAAGAAAAAAGCCGCCAGCAAAGTAAACCACTGTTCCCAAATCACGCTAAAATTACGTACAGTTATTGAAAGAGTTTCTAATTTTTGCTCCGCTTTTTCAAAACTGCGTAGTGCGTTCGAAGAGTTGCATAGTGCGAATTAAAAAAAAGGCAAAAAAACTCGGTCTATTGCAGCCTGGCGGGAAAATAATGTGGATTTGTTGCGCCTTGAAATCGCCCGTCATCGCCTTAAGACTGCCCGTCACGGCTGAAATGGTGCGCGACTGTGAGTCGAGACATTTTTCTGCAACAAATCCACATTATTTTCCCGACAGACCGACAAATAATGCGCACAATTTCGAAGAATTAATGCGCCAAAACGTGCCGGTGAAGAGAAAAGCAAGTTCTTGGCAGACTGATATAGAAACCCCTGCCATGTCACGTACCATATCACAAGCATACTTGAACAGAGTGCTTCCATCTGAATCAAACCACTCAGGGTTCACAAAGCGCCGGTAATACGTGTAGCCTCGGCGTTTGGCTTGTTCCACTCCGCACGCCAAGCACAGACCGAGGACGACGCTGAGAGAGGCGGAAATTGCCACATTCCTAATGACAATGAACATGTCTGTCCCGGCCTTACTGAAAACGTCTTGATTTTGTGCATGCCGTTAAAATGAGAAAAAGGTTTTATGTCGTTCAAACATACAATGTTTTCAGCTTATACCGGTAGTGACACAGAGCCGGCAAGATGAGCAGTGACTGCATAACAACAGCGGAATGAAGCCACATAAATACTGAATAGGACCAGGGGCCCAGAAACGACTCAACTCCATGGGGCATTACGAGAAACATTCCGTTTCTTATAAGAAGTTGCTGAAAAGTTTGGGTTACAATTTTATCGTCAGATTTGCGTGTAAAGTAAAAAATATGTTAACATTGGCAAGCTGGGAGGGGGTTTTCTGGCATTTCGCTAGCTAAGAAGCTTTTGAAGATGCCGTTGTTCGTTAAAACAAATCGCAAATTTTGGTTCTTTACGATTGCCCCTCTTTCGCATTAAATTTACCTTAACGTCAAAAAAATCAAAAATAATCATAATTTAGTTTGCATCAACCTACATGTTGAGTAGCCCCTTCCACAAGGCTGTAGAATATATCCGATACAGACATGCTGAGTGCCAAATACGAGAAATGCCGGATTCTTTGATCAGTGGTCTTTACAATCGCCATAAACAATAGTGAGTTCAAAATGAGGCCAAGGAAAACGCCAAGATTGTCGAAAGCCCAAAGCGTAGTGAAGAACGCGTTCATCGCTGACGAATGAACCTTAACGTTTCCGCTGTAGTTGAGGTGGCTTTGTCGAGGTGCTCTCAATTCGATTAGTGCTTAAGTGAAAGCTACAACATTGCTAACCCACCGCCTAACTAATTAATAACGTGCTTTCCGAAAATGTATTCAAGTCGTAGTTCCTTCATCTTTTGAGAGCTGAACCCGATTTCGTAAACGTCATACACTTATAAGCATGCCCACTCTACAAACTATGAAGTAGGTTATAGATCACCCGGCTTATGTTTGCCTCAAATACAATACAAGAATTTTGTCAAAAAAGGGAGAAGTTGCATTTTAAAGCATCTTGACGTATATCGTGGGGTCACGAGAGCCTCAATAGATACGTAAATTCTTTCAAATTGCAACAAAAGCTAAAGTGTTTGTTTTCCCCATAAATATCAGCTCTCTTATGACCAATAAATGAGTTTTAACTAGAATTATTCTCTTGTTGAAACACTACAGTACAAATTTTGTCTAGCGGCAAAGTACACTCGTCAACGACCAACTAAAACTAATAAAACTGTTGAAGGGAACATTAAACTGTCAAAGTGTAATTTCGATGAAACGAGGAATATGTACATTCAATTGTAGTGTCATATTCGTTGGAATTGCGAATAGGTGCCCGTGGGGGTCTTCATTTGATATACTATGTTAAAGAGCATGGAAAACGAGGAGAGCCGGCGGGACAAACAACGGTGGTCACCGCAGGTTATACTGCCTCTGTGCAGTAGAAATCTGTTGTTTTCGAAGGCGTTTCCCACAATCAAGGGTTCTTTTGTGAGGTCTCTTTATTATTATGCTGTGATGACTCTAACATCATGGCCGTTCTGTCGCCCTAATTGTAAGTCTTTTGTCGGTCTACGTGATGACTGGTAATGGTATGACACCTTTCATCCCCAAAAAGAGCCGCATTTTTGCAATTTTCGATGTAAATATCTCAGTCATTTTCTCGGTAGGTTCTGCAAAGCGCGAGCTAGCGGTCTCGAATATATCGTGGATAAAGTTATTCTAAATTTATGCCAGGTTTTTTTTAAATTTGAGCGTCACACTTGAGGTAGTCTCGTGTTAGCTGGTAGGACTCATACCGCTGCTCTTTAGAGACTTAGAAACTCTTTGCACAATGTTAATCACATAACAAATCCACTATAATTGCCCTCGCCCTCGAAGAAATCTCTTGGATGTCTTCCAATCCACATACAGTGAACCTTCAAAGATCTCTCTTTCTCTGATTTCCTAATGCCTTTAAAATATACTTCTCTCTGCACAAATTATATGATGACTGTTCCCGTATATAATACACATATGTACGTATCTTTCGATGTTTTCTTCTTGGATCTGCAATTAAATTTTTTCCACTAAAGTGTAATCCGAAAATTTGCTCAAGACGCTGACCACAAGCACCATTACAATTATTTTTTCATGCTGTACTTCTTCCTCCAAAGTTTTTGGCAGTACTTTAATCAACGTTGCACAGATAATTGCAAACGGTCCTATGATACATTACAGTGCGTCGGGATTTGCTGGCTCCGGTCAAGTCCAAACACTTACTTGCAAAACATTGGTTCTTCTTGTTGCCGCAATTATAGGCTTAAAATTTGGTTTCATTTGTTTCCACAATACAGTAGGTAATATGAAAAAACAGCTGTTCTAAAAACTTTTTTTGTCCCGCATTTAACCCACAGCAGACCAAAAGCTAAACGTTTTTTCGTAATTTTGGAATGGACGCTGACGACATCCGACTGGGAACTTGACAATCGAAAGACTTACAAGGGAACTACGCCAAATGCGGCGCACAAATTTCGATGAATCTTTGATTAATACATACTTTCTAAGGCGTGTATGTGAGATCTTGAAGATTCCAGTTCAATTCTTACGAACATATTCTACCATATATTAAACTCCAAAACTTCTGGTTTCAACTCAACCTTTATTCCCAAAAAAACTTAAACTATAATATCTCCTTGAATCTTGGATACCATATGTTTCCCAGAGTTCCCATTGACGCCGGAAGAACTTTTCCAAGTTCTGCCTGTGCTCTCCGTCGTGATGCGCAAACGTTTAATACAGATCAATCGAAGGGCGTAGCGACGGTAAGCCTTGATCAGATAAATCGTAAGAAACGCGTTGGCAGAGGGAAGCCAGCTAAGCGGAGACATGACCGCCGTTCCAATCATTTTTCCATCCAGTCTCCATTGCATTGCAATCATGGCCAACGCTATCGGGAATATGGCAAATATTCCGGCGTTAATGGTCTGAATAAATGAGGGTTATATGAATATTAGTTTGTCTGGAAAATAATGTGGATTTACCGACCTGCGCAATCAGACTCCTGGAGAATTGCCGCTGCAGCTCTCTGGTTCGCTCACTGGAATGCTGAGTGCTCACCGCCTTCCATGCACGTATAGTGTAAACTCCCGCCATGCAGAGTGCAATGCTAGCCCCCACAGAGCCGCCGTAAAAGAACGTAACAGTTCCCCAGTCGCGCTAAAATTACACGTGCTATTTAGCTTAATCAAGTCACGCTTAATTGGAAAAGTAGTACAAAAAACTGTGTCGTCCGCTCAACGCAAACTTACCATGTCACAGACATATTTGAATGGTGTTGTCCCATCATCATCAAACCATTCGGTCGTAACAAGTGCCAGATAGTGCTGATATCCTCGCAGACTGGCTTGGTACGCTGAGAATCCCATCAAAGCACCGAGACACGCGCTGGCAAGAGTAGCGTAACAAATATTTCTCAACATTAGAAGAGGGTTCACAGTGCTCCCTCTGAAAAGAGAAAACGTTGCAATTGTAGCGTTCCGGAGGTATTTCTCGCAAAGACACTTACGACGTGATGAGTTTGTATCGGTAATGGCAAAGCGCCGGCAAAATGTTGATGGAATGAATCATGAACGCGGCATGCGGCGCCATTATCCAAGGATAGGTCCATGAGTCTAGTTGTGCCTCAATGCCATGCGGCATAACCATAAACATTCCATCTTTGATGAGAAGTTGCTGAAACAGCATCATATAGCTTTTGATAGTAATGTATAATAATGTCGGTCCGTCGGGAAAGTAATGTGGCCTCGTCGTGCCGTGGAGTCGTCCATAGACGGTTTGGAGATTTGGTGTACGGTTGGGACAAGGCGGTACATTTTGTCGTGACAAGTCCAAATTATTTTCCCGACTGACTGACAGCAAGTCAAGATTAAAGCCTTGAAAAGCTTACGTGCTGAACAGTCAACTCCATAAGGCTGTAGAAAATGTCGAACAAGGCGGAAGTCAAGAATAAGTATGAGTATGGACGGGACTTGCTATCAGTGGTTTTGTACACAGCCAAGAGCAAGAAAGAGTTGAGAAATAGCCCAAAGCACGCTCCGGCATTGTCGACAATCCATAGTGCCAGAAAGAAGCTGTTCATTTCTAAAGTTAAAAACTCTTTATAAGTCAAAACTGGCCTTGATACGACAGAACTGCTTTATGTAACGTATTCTCTGTCAGTCTGTCGGGCAAATAATGAGCCTCTGCAGCAAAATCTATGGAAATCGCATCGCTGAGAGAGTTAATAACGTCGCAGCAAAATCAAATCGCGGCGCAGTGACATTATGCTCATTATTTTTCCGAAAGACTAACATAAGTATTGAGCTAGCTATATAACGCGTAGTCATCATATCGGCTGTGGAGGACAGAAGCTTCTGAACCCAACGGTATGCGAGAAAATTATTATAAAACAATCGACCGCGCTTTTTCGACCAATTAGCACTTCAATTAGAGAGGCTTCAGACAGGCAGACGGGAAAAAACAGATGAAAATCATATATGACTACATTAATAAACGGGATGCACTTTCTAGACCGCTGGTCAAAGTTTGCACGAGATATTTGGCCTCTGCCCTTACTGCGTGAATTAAAGTCTCTACTACGATATCTTTGCTTCTGCAAAGAGCGAAGATGTGACAAAAAATGGGCGTTTTGGATTTGGAGGTCAAAGGGATAAAGGCTAATATACGGTGACTACTTTTGCAACATCGGAAATAAACGAGAAGTAGCACGTATAGATTGTGCGAAAAACGTACTGTATCATCTCGATACAATTATTACAAACGATTCCAATTTCTAGCAAGCGGGTTAATTGTAATTGAATCTTTAGGAAAACACGAGAAAATGCACGAATAGATTTGTAGTTGGCTTGTTTTTCCATAAGCTACATCATTCTTGAGACTGTCGTTAATCCGCAGGCGTTGACAAATTGAAATGCCATTCGACTTACATAGCATTTTTGGACTCTTCTTTGTCGAGTTGCTCATGAACTTGTACTCTTAATATGCGGGGGCTTTTCCTCTTATTGCTACAAGTCTTTAAAAAAACCCCCATTTCCGAGGGATACACACACAATTTATGAAGATTAAACCATGTTATCATGAATTCTGTAGAGAGCGCCATCCAGAATGATCGTTGCCGCCGGTAGAAGTTCTCCAAATTGTCGTGCCACCGCCGCCAAAACGCAGGAACATGACACAGATCACACGTAAGACGTAGCGATGGGAAGCTTTGATCAAAAAGATTGTCAACAGCGCATTGGCCGAGGGAAGCCAACCCAGTGGGGCATCACAATTGTTCCAACCATGTCGGCGTCCAGTTTTATTTGCATTGAGATTGTAATCAGAGAGACGGGGAAAATCGCAAAGACACCGGCATTTACTGTCTACAGCTACAATGTAGCGATTTGGAACTTTGTACAATGTGTCGTTACAGAAGAGGTCGGTTGCAGAGATCTTTCTATAGCCTGAGGATGAGCGTTCATGAAATCATTAAGACTATTGCTTTTTCCGTTCGCTTTCCGATCACATTAAAGACATGCAATTCGAAAACCACACCCATCTCAGAACCGCTGGCCAACTTTTTCCGATCAAAACCCGCTGAGTTCTATGAGCACGGAATAATGGAGTTGCATGAGCGTTGGCAGCTGAACATGACGGTGCGTACTATCCCTTTTGATTGTTGTTAGGAAAAACAATGTTTTGTTAGAAAAAAATGAGGAAAAACTTTTGAATCAACCTAATATTTATGTAAATGTGACTCTGTTCGTTTGTGTCCCCTCCTATAAAAAGAGTGGGGTTTCCGTAAATAAACGTTACTTCAGTCAATCTCGGCTTATGCGGGTGACTTGTAAGCTAGGTTACTTCAACAACTGTTGTTAATGGATTTTGCAACTTCTTGCATAATGTTCATAACATAACACATATACATATATAAATAATTGCCCTCTTCCGCGAGACAATCTCTTGGATGTTTTCCAATCCGTATACTGTAAGCATCCAAAGATCACCCTCAGATTTCCTAAAGCCTTTAACAGAGATTCGTCTCCGCACAAATCACGTGATGGTATTGTCATATATAATATACATATGTACGTATCTTTTGATGTTTTTTCCTTGGATCTGCAATTAAATTTTTTTAAACTAAAGTTTAACCCAAAAATTTGCTCAAGACGCTCACCACAAAGACCATTACAATTATTATTTCATGCCGTATCTTTCTTGTTACTCCCGAGTTTGTGGCAGTACTTTAAGCAAAGTTACACAGATACTAATGGCAAGTCCTTATGACACATTAAAGTGCATTGGGATTTTCTGGTTCCGGTCGAATCCAAACAACAATGTCTCGCAAGACATTTACTCTTCTTGCTACTGCAATTATAGGTTTAAAAGCAGTCTAATTTGTTTCGATAATACAGTAAGTAATATGAAAAAGACAGCTGATCTGAGGGCCTTTTTTTATTACATCGAATTCATCCGACAGCAGTGCAAGAGCTAAAGGTTTCGTCGTAATTTTGGAGCGGACGTTGACGATACTCCGACTAGGAACTTGAGTTCGCAATCAAGGGCTACACAGGGAGTACACCAAGTGCGACGTTCAGGTTCTGACGAAAATTGGCATATATTCAGAATAAGATTCTTAGGACACATTAGGACCGCCAAGCTTACGCTTTGCGGAAGCGACCAACACGTTGGATCGAAAGTTGAAAAACATGAATTTTATGCGAATTTTTGCATGAAAATCCTATTTATGACGTGGAAGACAGTGTTCCCACAAAAACATAACTTTTTCCTAACGAAACTGACAAATTTATGGTCAAGAACTGTTCTTCTCTCAACCTGTCTTCCCAAAAAACAGACTGGAATATCAGCAGGAGCCTTGGATACTGGCCTTGGTATGTGTTACAGAGCTCCCGTTGGGTCCGGTAGAACTTTTCCATGTTTTACCGCCTGTGCTGTTCGTAGCAACGGTTCGATTGATCTGTTTGATGCAGATCAATCGAAGGGCAAAGCGGCGGTAGGCCTTGATCAGGTAAATCGTTAGCAACGCGTTCGCAGAGGGAAGCCAGCTGAGTGGAGACATGACCGCCGTTCCAAGCATTTTTCCATCCAGTCGCCACTGCATTGCAATCATGGCCAACATGATCGGGAATATGGCAAATATACCGGCATTAACGGTCTAAATAAAGTAGGGTTATATGAATATAAAGGTGGTCATATAAGATCTCGGAATTTTTTTTTCCCAAATCGCGATTTTCGGTGCATTCACAAAAAAGTCGACGCCCAAATCGAAAAATTGGTGTCGGCTGAAGACCCCCAATTCTTTGGTCTGTACCCAATTCCGAAATCCGGTGCATTTTTTCAAAGTGTGCACCAAATTCCGAAATTCGGTGCAGAGTTATCTTTTTGGGGGAACAGTTGACCCATTTTATATCCCCGCTCGAGAAGATTTTTTTTTCGTTTTGCGCCAATTTTCAAGGTGTATTTTCTGAATGAAGACAACATGGAACTTGTCCAAAAAGGGAATTTTTACCAAGAGCAGGCTACCCCGTTCGATTTGATGTCTAGATTTTCCGTTTTCTGCTCGGACAAAGCACCAAATTTTGGAAGGTTGTGATGTTTGTTGTACCATGGTTAATGTAAGTTTTATTCCTTAAAATTAGTCTAATTTTCATGGTATAATTAACTTAGTGGCCAGTCATAAACCTATATCTGTCCATTATTTGGCGAGTCTGCATAAAAAGATAGGAAAATCGACTTACATTATCCATGGTGCAACAACCGTCACAAAATACCAAAGTTTGGCGGGCTATCGGAAAAGAAACAGGGAATCTAGACATAAAATCGAACGGGACGGCCTGCTCTTGGTAAAAACTCCCTTTTTCTACAAATTAAATGTTGTCTTCATTCAGAAAATATTGAACATTGACGAAAAACAAAAAAATTCTTCTCGAGCAGGAAATCTTGGGTCAACTGTTCCCCCAAAAAGCTAACTCTGCACCGAATTCCGGAATTTGGTGCACACTTTAAAAATTTTGGAATTGGGTGCCATGCAAAAAATCGGGGTCTTAAGTCGATGCCAATTTTTCGATTTGGGCGTCGACTTTTTTGTGCACCGAAAATCGCGATTTGGGGAAAAAAAAATTCGAGATCTTATATGACCACCTTTATATCAGTCTGTCGGGATAATAATGCCGATTTGTCGTAGCAAAATGTCTCGCCTCGCCGCAGTCGCGCACCAAATCTCCAGCCGCGGCTACGAGTATTCCGATAAAGAGATTAACGGGTCGTGAGCGACAAAAACGAGAAAAAGCACTTTATAAAAAAAGCTAGTAACCGTCGCAAAGCGATGTTGGACGATTCCAGTGCGCGCTTATTCCACATTATTTTCCCGACAGATTGATGTTTCAGCATCATTATAATTCATCATCTTCCATCAAAGAACTGACCTGCGCAATCAGGCTTCTGGAGAATTGCCGCTGGAGTTCTTTGGTTTTCTCACTGGCATGCTGAGTGTTCACCGCCTTCCACGCACGCATAGTGTAAACGCCCGCCATGAAGACTGCAATTCCAGCCGCCACAGCGCCGCCATAAAAGAACGCAACAGTTCCCCAGTCGCGCTAAAATTACACGTGCTTGTTTAATAGGGGTCGCAACTCTTGCGGGCAACCACTTTATGGGCAGCTGACGTTTTTCGGTTAGAATTGCGATTTTCCTCTCGTAATCTATATACGTATTATGGCAGAAATTTTGCACTGACAACTCTCTGATAATGATAAATACACAAATCTATTGAATTTATCCACCGTTTTCAAAGTTATAGGAGCCGGTTTTCAAATAAATGGTAAAACTGCCTGGTTAACCTAATGATAACTATTCAAGAAACTTATGCACATGGAAACTTAATTCGCACAACCTTACCATGTCACAGACATACTTGAACGGTGTTGTTCCATCATCATTAAACCAGTCAGCTGTCACACTCGCAAGATAGTGCTGATGTCCTCGCTGTGTGGATTGATACGATGAGAATCCCATCAAAGCACCGAGACAAGCGCTGGCAAGACCGGCGTAACAAAAATTTCTCAACATAAGAGACGGATGCACAGTGCTCCCTCTGAAAAGAGATAACGTTGCAGTTGTAGCGATTCAGAGGTTTTTATAGAAACTTACGCCGTGAGTAGTTTGTATCGGTAGTGGCAAAGAGCCGGCAACATGTGCACGGAATGCATTATGAACGCGCCGTGCGGTGCCATTATCCAGGGATACGTCCATGACGCCAAATGTGTCTCAATGCCATGCGGCATAACCATAAACATTCCATTCTTGATAAGAAGTTGCTGAAACAGCATCATAAAAGTAGTGATGTATATATAATAATATCAGCCTGTCGTAAAAATAATGTGGACTCGTCGCGTCGTGGAATCGCAAATCATCGCTTGGCGACGGCTTGGAGACTTAGTTAACGGTGACTAAGCGATACCTTTTGCTGCGACAAGACCACATTATTTTCCCAACAGACGGAAAGCGCGGAACGGAAGACTTTAAAGTCTTGAAACGCTTACGTGTTGAACAGTAAACTCCATAAGACTGAAGAAAATGTCGAACGAGGCGGAAGTTAAAAACATGTAAGAGTAGGGACGGGTCTTGCTATCAGTGGTTTTGTATACAGCCAAGAGCAAGATAGAGTTGAGTAGAAGCCCAAGGAACGCTCCGGCATTGTCGATAATCCATAGAGCCACAAGAAAGCTGTTCATTTCTAAAGTTATAACCTCTTTATAATCAAACCTGGCGTCAATACAGCAATTATTTATATAACATAAGCCCGATCAGTCTGTCGGGAAACTTATGAGCAGCATCGAAATCGCATTGCGGCCGAGAAAACGAACTGTGTCGCCGCAAAATCAAGTTGCTTCTTACTTCAGCGACATAGTGCTCATTATTTTCTCGACAGACTGATAAAAGTATTGAGCTAGTTACACATATACAACGGTAGTCCTCACACCGAGTGAACAGAGGTTTCTGAAGCCAAAGGTCTTCCAGAAAATTATTATAAAACCATCGACCGCGCTTTTTGACCAATCAGCGCTGAAATTGGAGAGACTTCAGATAAGTAGACGGAAAAAACAGACAAAAACATATATGACTACATTAGCAAACAGGATGCACTTTTGAGACCGCCGGTCGAAGTCTGCACGAGATATTTACCGTCTGCCCTGGATGAATTGGGACCATCAAGGCATAGATATGCTCTCGATTTTTGAAATGGATGATAAGATTCTCATGCGGATTTTAAATGGCCAATCGGAACGGAAACATTGGTAAAAGTGAAAAAAATATACCCAATAGAACAAACGCCAAGGAAGTTGGCCTTTAAGAAAATTCTAAACGAAACGACTAGCTTTGTAGTTGCCTCTTTTTTCCGTAGGTTACATCATTCTTGAGACTTCCGCTAATCCGGAGGCGTAGGCAGATTTAAATGCCATTGGACTTACACAACACTTTTGGACTCGTCTTTGTTGTGTTGCTCATGAACTTGTACTGTTTTGAATTAAAAGTTTAGGAGGGTTTCTCCTTATTGTTCATTAAAGGGAAAGTTTCAGTTAGTCGGGAAAATAATGAGCGCTCTGGCGAATCGAAAATCGCATTGCCGCCGAACAAAATGTCTATTGCTTTTCATTCAGCGAGCGATCGGCGCAGCGCGTTGTGCTCATTATTTTTGCAACAGACTAATAGAAAAAAACGTTATCGGCAGCGTTGACGAGCGAAATGTTACAAGCCTTTAAAAAAATCGATTTACAAAAGATAAACACACAATTTATGAGGACTAAACCGTGTCATCATGAATTCTGTTGAGAATGCTGTCCAGAAAGACCGTGGTCGCCAGTTGATGTCGTCCAAATCTTTGTGCTACCGCCGCTAAAACGCAAGGGCATAATGCAGATCATACGCAGGACATAGTGACGGTAAGCCTTGATCAAAAAGATGGTCAACAGCGCATTGGCCGAGGGAAGCCAACTCAGCGGGGACATCACAATTGTTCCGATCATGTCGGCGTCCAGTCTTAATTGCATTGAGATTGTGGTCAGAGAGACGGGGAAGATGGCAAAAATGCCGGCATTCACCGTCTGAAAGTGTAAAGTGTATCAGAGATCAGACTTTTGTATATACAACAAATTGTAGTCAATTCAAAATTGTTGTTACAACGGGTTGGTGTACGGAGGTCTTTTAATAGCCTGAAGTTGACCTTAGGGCCGCTGATACTTTTCGCAATACAGAGGTTTTGCTACTAAGAATGTGGGCTCCGCTGTAATTCTTTGACAGGGCTTTGTCGCATACTTTACCTGAGCGATCAGGCTTCGAGTGAATTGTCGTTGAAGTTCCTTTGTTCGCTCGCTAGAGTGTTGAGTATTCACTGCCTTCCAAGCCTGTACCGTGTAGCGTCCAGCCAGATAGATTGAAGTGGTGGCAGATACCGAGCTACCGTAAAAGAAAACGACGGTTGCCCAGTCGCGCTACAAAAAATGAAAGTCCCATTAGCCGCGCAATATTCATCTATACATACACCACAAGCAAGGACTGTTGACAAACCAAACGTCATAAAGTCTCTCACCATATCGCAAGCGTATCTGAACGGGGTCGTGCCGTCCTCAGCGAACCACTCCGGAGTAACGTATGGGACGTAATGCTGATACCCTCGAAGGCCTGCTTGGTATGCTCCGAGGCCGAAGAAGGCCCCAAGACAGACGCTGGCAGCACTTGCGTAGCCAATGTTCCGGAGAATTAGAAGTGGATTCATCACGGCTCCTCTGAAGCGACATTGACTTGAGTTTCAGAAAGTTCGGCACCTACGATGTGATCAGCTTGTAGCGGTAATGACAAAGAGCCGGCAATATATGAATGGAATGAACCACCAACGCGGCATGCGGTGCCATTAGCCAAGGATAGGTCCATGGGTCCAAGTATGCCTCAATGCCATGCGGCATTACCATAAAAATTCCATTTTTGATAAGAAGTTGCTAAAAACCGTACATCTATCAGCCTGTTATGAAAATAATGTGGATTTGTGTAGCAAGGGAGACCAAACGAGGCCTTTCTCACAGCCAAAATCAGAAGAAAAGAGACTTGACCTCAGAAAGGTACACTTGACGAATTTGATGCAAATGGAAGACTAAGTTGAACGGCCACCGTCATTTTTTTTTACATTACCAAACCTGGCAGTATGTCGGGAAAATAATGTGGGTTTGTCGCGTTTTGGAATGGCTCATCGCGGCGGCTATCCGCGGCTGTGGCTTTCGTGTGAAAGTGCGAGGAGGCAAAAAAATTTGCTGCGACATATCCGCATTATTTTCCCGCCAGCCATTTTATTTGAGTGTATGTAACTAAGACGTCACAAAGTTTTTCAATTTGAAAAAAACGCATTCTTGTAAATTTAAAAACAAAGCTTACATGTTGCACAGCCAACTCCGTTAAACTGAAAAGCATGTCAAACACCGCCGACGTCAAGAAGAGGTACGAAGTCGTGCGAGTTTTGCTGTCAGCTGTCTTCAACACGGTAAAAAGAAGGATAGAGTTCAATATCAGTCCCAAACATGCTCCAGCGTTATCGCTGATCCACAGAGCTACTAGAAGGCTGTTCATACAAGAAAAGGGATCTGTAAGTAGTGGGTATGAGAAAACGGGGCGTATTTTTATTTTTTAATTCTTAAATTAAAAACAGCTCGAAGGCGGCGAGGGAATAATAAAGATTATGGCGATTTTTTGCGGCATTTATGTTCTAATAACAAGCTTTATTACCAAAGAAAGCTTCTAGCGAAAACACCGTTATCGTAAATATATCCCTGCTCTGGTCGTATTTCAGTCTGACGGGAAAACACCGTCGCATCGAAAACCAGCGACATTGCTCTATTTTCCCGACAGTCAATATGTGCATACAGAAGAGGACTGGCTATTCCGAAAAAATGTCATCATCCGAGATTGCAAAATTTCTTATGACCTGTGAAATTGTTATCGCGTATTAAGCGTACTAGGAGCTGCTTGCCAGAAATTCCCAAGAATTTAAAAAACTACAAAACGGCAGACAAGTTAACAGGGTTTTAATTTGATCACCATTGGTATTATTATGTTTACAAGCCATTCCTCCGTTTTCCTTCCAGTAAACACAGTAACATTGTTAATGGCCAAGCATTTCGCATCATAATTTCTGTAGTTCATTGCACCTCGATAAGATTTTTTTATGGCACTAATCCGGCAGCTTAGACAAAAATTCATCCGACTTGCGTTATATTATACTTTGCAACATTCCTTTCCTCTTGGATTGATGTCTTACTTGCACTTTCCTTTTCGCCGGAAATTATGAGTTGCTGTGTACGTGATATAATCTCTTACGAAGAGGACCAACTCAAACAAAGCCAAAGAACACGAAATTAGAATTTGTGAACACATTTGTAAGTCCTATTTCAACAACTATGGGCGCCTATTTCAACAACCTTAGTCGCCGAGGGAGTACTACCAACGCTAACAGTGATCAAAGGTCGAAAAACTTTTATCCCGTAACTTTGCTAGTTTTGCACAGAGGAGTCTCATTTTACGCGAAAGCATTATACATTAGTGCTTGGAGTACTTCTTCTATTAACCTCTTTTCTATTGTTTCAACCGTTCAAAATAACTGAACTTTACATGACATGTCCAGAAGAAGCATTGAAACCGTTTTTTTATTTATTCATTGTTATACAAGAGCTTTGTACAGGTCGAGGAATTTCATGTGCAAAATAAAACAAGACGAAATGAGATCGTGGAGCAGTTTGGTCTATCCCAGAACGGCTGCACCGAGTTCAGCACCGACAACAGATCCAACGGCAGCTCTAAAATATATTCATACAAAAATGAGATCCCGATTTAACATTGTGGGTCCAAGTCGCTTATTTCGGCTTACCCAGGGCTCATTGCAGGTCCTCCTCCATAGGGTCCTCTTCCACCATAGGGACCACCTCCATAGGGGCCACCTCCGTATGGACCACCTCCATAGGGGCCACCTCCATACGGACCACCTCCATAGGGACCACCTCCATAAGGCCCATAGCCCTGGCCGAATTGTCCGCCCCACTGAGCAGCAACCACCGAGATCAGCAGAACCAAAACAGCTAGCGACTTCATTTTATCGACTCTTTAAGGAGGCCTTCTGAACCGTTGAAAACAGTTCCCTTTTATACCATGTTTGCGGCGCGGCGTGAGACAAGAAGAACAGATCACTCTGTTGTAACAATTCGCCTTTTACGCTTAAATTCGTTAGAAAACGGTTAAATTTTATTAAACGTCTTCCTTGACGGGCGTTTGATGAGCCGTTGTAAAGTAAAAATCATAAAAAAAGATACGACGTTTCAAAGTTTCATCACTTCGTCAACAAGAAAGTTATACGGAAAATGGGTCTCTTAAGACGTGTTTTCGTATACAGGGCTCACGGTTGACGTAAAATTTTCACCGAAGATCCTGTTGACTAATAGTAAGTAGGATGTGATTTGCAAAAGTCTGCGCTTTAAGGGCTTCCAAGTCTCGCGAATGATGATGAAATCATTGTTTTGCCATTCATAGACTTTTTGTGTACTGGTCGGCTACAGAGGTTGCTCTACTTGTCACAGGTTAGCGTTGTTTGTGCCGTGACGATGATAAAGGTGCCAGTAGACATCGCTCTCAGGTCGGGCAAAGAATCGAGGCCGACCAGCGAGCTAGGATAAGTGGACCCGGCCATCGGAAAGCTTAAAGGTTGCTCTATGCCCTGCCCGGAAGTCATCTCTAGGCGGTACCCATCTCCAATGATTCTTGGAAAGACACCGGGAGCTTTTAGATTTCCACAAATGATTTGCCCTGTTGTGGCCTCAGATTTTGCCCCAGAATTTACTTTAGGCCTCTTTGCTTGATGCCGATCTTTTCCTAAAAAATTTCAAGCTTGGAATTGGGGTTATGTAAAACATTTGAAGTTCGAACTTAGCAGGTTAGCTTGGATGTGGGAGCTTACAAAGCCCTGTTTTTGGACGCAGACATAAGTAGAGTAATATAAATGTATAAATGAAATCCGCCTTTTATTTTATATCTTTTTGAAACCAAATTCTTTAGTCGGAGTTTTCAAAATTTATTTTGCCATGCCAAATAAAATAAAATTTACATTAACTTAGTGTTTGAAAGAGAAGGTCTGGCCATCGACGTTGGCGAGGACGTTCATGAGTCCATTATCGCAGGTGATCTTGCAGTTGTCTCCTTCGCAGACGTGGGTTCCGCATTTTCGGCCGAACACTTTGCAGAAGTTAGCGCAGATGCTCTCGCAAAGGGAGTCGTCGCAGTCAGCGTAGGCCAAAGCCGCGATCAAGGCGAAGAGGAGGGCAACAGTCATGAAGCGCATGATGAATGGACTGGAATGGACAGACGAGCAACCACGTTGTTGTTCGACTACAAGAAACTCTCTGCTTTTATACCCTTTTTTGGAGTCATAACTCTTATCAGTAAACGTGAGGACGAACTAATTAACGAAATCGACCGCTCCTTCCAGAGAAAGGCGCCTGGCCACTCCCCGCTTGCATTACATGACTCAGACGCTGATCTTTAGGCACAAGGTGTGGCTAAACAAAGAAAACGGGAAGTATAAAGAAAACAATTATGCTCACAAGTGCATGCTTATCAACGGAAGGAATTAGTTAGTAGCTGAGGTTGTTTGTGCCCCATGTAATCGGTTAAAAAAAGATGAAAAGGAAGATTTGCGAAAGAGAGTTGTCAGTAAATACATCATGTTTTATGATATGATACAAAATTTGTCTTGATTTATCAAGACGATTAGCAGGGATGCGTGAGGCAAAGATAATGAGAAAATTAAGGGACGGTAAACTTGTGACCATCCTCGTCAATACGTCAGATTATGGTGGCTGAACTTGTGACTACGGTTGTAACTCAGACTGTGTTAAATGAAGGTAAATTTTTGGCTGGCCAGGTTGCTACGACGGCTCAATTTACGTAAGATGAGTGTAGGTAGTTGGTAAAGGCAGGTGATCCTATTCAAGGCTTGCTAGCCGATTGAGCATCCGATGGAGCAGCAGAAAACATCAGGGGAATATTTCATATGGATATCTGTGCTTGCTATTACTTGACTTTCACCATCAATATACACGACAAACAGCTCTAGTTTTGCGTGGAACACCGACGGTACGGTGGACTGATTTCTGGTCCTTGGAAGGCAGAAATTCTGTGAGAACCGCCTCAATTCGGCCATCTTGTATTTGATATTTGTGAGGATAAACCCCACTATTTCTTGCTTGATTCATGATGGTCTAAGCAGCAGCCACTTGTAAACCACCAAAGCGCCTGCGTCAATTCCGGGTCATTTTTTTTCTTAAGGGCTCTAACGATGATATGATTTGTATACCATTAACTGATAAGATGGCAATAAAATGAACGCATCACGTCATAGCCATGGGAGCGACGACCAGCTCAGTTGTCGTTGAATTTACGGTTTATTTTTGCAGTACAATGCTTGTTAGGCTTTCAGAAACAGGTGAGGCATATTTATCAGAAAAAAAATCTGGTGAGAGAAAGCATTCCTTCAGGTTACAAAAATCCCAGTATTATCGTGAGACTGGGATTATGAAGTTATGTACGTGGAAACCGGTGAAAATGGCATACCGTAAATATTGTCGTGCCATTGTGTTTTGCGTCCATTACGAATGCAATTGTTTTCAAAAGTGAAATTTCTTGGCCTTTTCTTGCACCACACAGTGCAATCCTTTTCGGAATGTCCCGGCCAACCGACTGAATCTCCAAGATTCCCTTTCAAATCAGTAAGAGAAGTCCTCATTGGCTTTTCGTCCAAAAGTTTATTAGAGGTTTATTTTGTGGCTTTACAAAACAAGTAGCACTGAATTTCATATAATGGGCAGCTTTGATAACGAGAGCTAAAGACATGGTTTGCGCCAAATTAGCCAAAATATCGGTCAAAAACCTTTGGATCTCCTATTTATTTGTGATGAAAAGGCAAGGTTCCCTTTCTCTTGGACATTTGAATTGACCTGCTGCGCTCCTTTTCTTTACCTTTTTCTCAAAAAGTCGATGATATTATAACACATTTATTTATTCCTCAAACTTTTTTAGCTCCAACCAGCATTCCATCGTATGAACAATAGCGATTACATCCATTCTCTTCGCACTTGGCGTAGGCACAATACGTTCCTTGATCGCGACATTCGTTCTGACATTCGAACACGCAGTACCATGGGTTACAGGCAGATGGGAAGGAGTTGGCCACAGTGACCAGCATACAAGCGATGAGAATAGTGACAAAAAGTTTGTAGGACATTTTGAATTGAATAATCGAGTTCCCACAAAATTGCAAATTTATAATGCTTTTGGACTGTTATCAACCCTGCTAATCCCGCTTAGAAGCTATCAGCGATTTTGTGACTTGAGAGTAGTTTTGGTATTTCGTTGATTGATAAACAATACTTTATCAAGGCAACAAAGAAATTATCGAAAAACCCATGGCGAAAAGGGTTCAGAAAGATTAAACGTTGTGATTAGGAGAAGTTAAACCTCTGATAGATGATAGTGGAAGCACTGAAGCCATTGGAATGCAAAGAATTGAGTGATACTGGCAAAAGAGGTTCAAAGAGCTGTCTTGATCGACATTTGATGCAACATATACGTATTAAGCACCGTATTCATGGAGATTTTTGTTTTTTCTTCCCAGCATTGCACGTTCTCTCTCCGGGCGGAAAGAATTGTTAAATTTCTCGGCTGCCCCTGCAAGTATAATAGCTTACATTTTCAGCAATCGATTTGCGCCCTATGCCTGGTGTGAGACAGTTTATAAGCAAGATCTTCGCAATTTGGAGCCTTCCTCTTGCGAGTTCGTTTCCCCTGACCTTTGTCATCCATAAACAAAAACAATTACTTAAAGACCAACAATTCGTCAGCAGGGAATCTTCTGTCCATGGCCAAGACAGGCCGTAAGCTAATCTCTGAGAAATCTAGACCGCAATTTGATGCTTAATCACAGATGGGACACGTTTTCTGGCCGCTCTCAAAACCTCCGGTTTCCACAAAAAGAAAACGCCATAAACTAGTTCCACAGGGGCATCGGAAGTAATGGCCTTATTTGGAGTCGCACCCCAGCAAGAACACGCCGAACTTTTTACCCTCCACTTTCCAAGCGTTTTCCCTCACCTCCGAAAAACAATCATTTATGTTCCTGCGTCACCGGTTCGCTAAAACCATGTCGCACATCTGATTAGGATCTTCAAGCAGACCTTCCAAGTCATATTTTTACAATGATCTCTGCAAAATGCAAGACGAGGCAGTTGAGACTGATCCCGAGGAACCTGTGGTCAGGACCTACACCAAGATCCAGAAAATCTTATGGCTCTTGGTGATGTGCGTGCTGTTGTTTGGATTCGTCCTGTTCACAGTGCTGATTGGACATTTCAGCCGTGATATCGCCGCGTGGTCGCAGAAAAAGCAAGTTTTATTTGTGTTTTAATTAAAATGCGACAAAAAATATTGGATTTTGGGTGTTCAACTTGTGTATCAGTCTGTCGGGAAAATAATATGGATTTATCGCAGCAAAATTTTTTGCCTCCCAATAAGTCTCCAGTCGCCACATCATCAGCAAATTACGGGCGATTCCAAGGCGCGACTAATCCACATTATTTATTTTCCCGACACACTGATAAATTGTCAAAAATTCGGTTCGCTTACCTGATGTTTTTCTAGAGTAACGGCCAAGACAATTCTTCTTTGGAACGACCCCTGCAAAACTTGTGGCCAAGTGGGATATGAGAACGGTACGGAGTTCTCGGATCTCCTCAGCGACACATGTGGAAAGAAATGTGTGTTTGTGTCGGACTGGGCTCTGCAGAACTCAAGTGACGCTGTGATCGTCTTTCCGCGGACCATTGAAAGCAAGTTATCTTAAATTTTCTAATTCTGATAATCGAACAAGTCTTTATACGGTGGAACCTCTGTGCTATGAAAGTCCTTTTAGACGTTCGAAAGGTCAAATGCTAGTCAACATTAACCTCCGTACAACAAAACTCTTTCTTAATAAACCAAGTTTCTTGGCCTCCCTTGGTCGTTCTGCATAGGTTTAACGTTCAACATGTCGGGAAAATAATGTGGATTTGTCGCAGCAAAATGTCAATCCGCGACCTCTTGCAAAGTCTTCACACGTTGCTGACCGTTTTATTTGTGGTTGCATGGATCCACATTATTTCTCCGACACATACACTCAATCAACAAACCCTGCTCATTTTTTTGTTCAGATGTAGATAACAAGTTTCCAAACCGAAGTTTCCCCACGCAGAAACTAGTCCTCTTCGAAAAAGAGCCCCCATCCAAAGACAATACTCAAAAGTCATCGGTTTTGTAAGTCCGGCCAATTTTTACTGTGCAATTTTTGTATCTTAGAGTTCCCGACGGCCTGTTCAACTGGGTGGCTTCGTACGTTCCGGACGCTGACATTGTTTTGCCCTACGGAAGGCTGGTCAAACGGTTACCACCTTACAAGCACGACAGAGACTTCAAAGACGACCTGGTTGATATTGTGAATCGGAAAACGGATGGGGTCTTTGCCTACACGACGAATTGTGGGACCAATAGCAATAAGGAGAGGATTTTTGAGGAGCTAAGAAAGTAGGAGAAACTTTTAAATTTTTTCTATGTTTTTAATTTTGGGATCCTTTGACCGTTATGTATACAGATACATCCAAGTGGATGTGTACTCGAAATGCGGCAACTCATCGTGCGACAGCAAATGCTTCAAATCGAACTTGAAAAAGTACCGGTTCTACTTGGCGTTCGAGAGCACTGTCTGCGACAACTACGTAACTGAAAAGTTTTTTCGGACTGACAATAAAATCGTCCCAGTTGTTCTACGTCGCAAGGATTACTTGGATTTTGGAGCAAACCACGACTTTATTGCACTTGACGATTTTCCGTAAGAAAAATATCTTTTTCTACACTTATAAGGGTAGACTGCCATATGTGATTAATAATTTGTACGGCATATATGAGACTCCTAGCACACTCTGCAAAAACGACTGAGATTTTTTAGGTCAAAGGTTGGGAAAAATAAGACATTTTTTACAAATTTAGGCATCAAAAGTGAAAGACGATGTCATGTATAATATATTTATACCGTAGAGTTTAATGTTTCTAAAAAATCGAAATTTTTCATGTGAAACTGGAAGAGATACGGCAAAAAAGTGTTTTATCTCTGACCGCACTCCGCTTTTCGCGCACTCTCTTGGCGGAAAAGAGCGTTGAATATCTCGGCCAACGCGGAAGATTGAAGGCTAAAATTTTTTGGAATTAATGTATGGCCTGTATTCGACCTGTGTGTAAAATCTCTAGAAGATTTGTGCGTCAAATTTGTGCTTCTTTCTCTGTAAAGAAATCTGCAATTAAAATTTTTCAGAAATCCGGCATCTCTTGCAAATTACCTAAAGGAATTAATGCAAGATAACGACGCCTATATGAAGTACTTTGAGTGGTCAAAGGAATGGAAAAAGATTACCCAGCCACTTCCTTATTCTCTATGTTCGGTATGCGATTATATTCACCAGCCAAGCCGAAGCAGATCGGTGCTTGGAGAGCAAAGCTTTTCCGATTGGTACAGTCCGAAGAGACGGTGCGACTCGGACTTTATTGACGACTTTTTGAATCCAGATCTGTAGAATTTTACGTGTGGAGGGCGAGTGGTGAGGCACAATAAATTCATTTGCAAAAAACTACGGTTTTGGCATATGAAAGGTCAGAGGAAAAAAGCTTTGTGTTCTGACATGTAGCCTCGGTTAAAGTCTTTTGTTGGCCGCCCGAAGTCTTGGACGGCTAACAAAAGACTGAAATAGACTGGGCCGAAAACCTCTACCCTTCGTGTTGGACTCAGATTTTGAGCTGAGCATGGTTCAACTCAGCAAACATAACTTTCCAGCAGATGGACTGTTACTGACAACAATGTATAAGCTACATCAGTCTGTAGGCAAAATATGTAATCAACAAAATGTTGCCGATCACGTCGCTGAAGTGAAAAGCAAGTTGATTTTGTCGCAACACAGTCTATTTTCTCCTAAGCAATGTGGTTTTCAAAGCGGCAGAGTGCTCATTATTTTCTCGGCTGACTGATGCGTGCCCTAAATCATGATTAAATTAAGAGAATCTTGTACTGTCCCTCTAGCTATCTATTAAGTTTGATGACGTCGTAGGATAGCGTTCGGACCTCGAATGATCCAATTTTAGCATCAAAGTATGACCTTTCAAAGATCATCTTTGGCCGACGAAATAATCCATGTCCTATTAAGAAACCGGCTAACAAATGCGTCACACAACAGAACAACCATTCCGAGGCCAACTATTTTTTAACACCAAACAAACATCCAGCCTACATCAAGTTTAACAATGAAGGGGTTTTAATCGATTATGTGAATTTTTGTTTGTCCAAGGAAATGCGATAAAATGCTCCCAACAAAATTCGGTTAATGCCTTGATATAGAACATTTTTGACAGAATGATAAAGCCTCATTTCCGGAGTTTATAACCAACAACCTTCTTTTCGAACGCTTGTTATGGATAGTGCTTTGCAATGAGGCTACTTATTGTCATATCGTTTTTGCACGTGCTCCACCAAGCCTCGGCAAGGGAGCTGAAATTTGTCCAAGCTGTCTGGCGACATGGCCATCGAGCGCCCGGGGGACTACCATATCCTAATGACAAAAATGGCCTAAATGTTTGGAAACGAGGCTGGAGTCAGTTAACACCGGTGATTCAAGATTGAAAACGTTGGGGTTAACTCAGGTTATTTTAGCTTGGAATGCGACAACTTAAAGAACTTGGCGACTTCTTTGAAGAACGTTACAAAGGAAAATTCACATCGATAAGGTTCAATGTCTCAGAGGTTAGTTTTTTTTTTTAATGCTAATAATCCATTGATTTTCATTTTCAAATGCAAGATTACTTTTATGAAAAACTTCTTTTTATCATCAAAAAATATGAATAAAAAATATGTGATAACAAAGTCTTTGCCCATAAGGAACTGCGAGGTACAAAGGACATATCAGCCCGTCGGGAAAAAATAGTGAATTTCCAGGGCCTTGGAATCTCCCATCATCGAGTTGCAACGGCTGACCACGGCTTGGGATTTGTGCGCGACTGCCAAGATGCGAAATATTTTCTGCGGGAGATCCACACTATTTTCTCGGCAATTGATATGCCTTTGAATACTACATAAAAATTTTCATATAAACTTACATTACTTTTTCGAAGTTGCGATTTCAGATCTATGTAAAAGCCTCTGATTCAGACCGTGCGATTGAGAGCGCACAATCGTTTCTTCAAGGCTTCTACCCCGCCGAAAAGGATGAGATCTTCGAGAAAGGCCTGTCTTGGCGACCATTGCCCGTTCACACGTCTGGTCCCGACCAAGTCGATTTGGTGAGAACCCAAAAAACTTTGATTTCTCATCCTCTTGTACTCCTTTATGCTACGTTTTCAGGTCCTGCGGCCCACCAGCTATTCTTGCGCATTATACGACAAAATCAAATCTCATTTCAAGTTTCGCCTCATGTTGAATCTTTCCAAGCAATATCCTGATGTCTACCGCTTCGTGAAAAACATGACTGGTGTACCGGAGAAGAAATTTCGATGGACCGACGCTTTTCATGTGGCCTCTGCAAACCGTGAAGTGGAATATAACTTAACTGTGGACCCCTGGCTCTTCAAACGATGGCCCAACCATGGAGGAAGGACAACGCTGGAGATAGCGCTGGAATGGGCGAAACTCGCTCGGTTCGTCGAATGGGCAACACCAGAGATGGCGAAAATGAGAGGTGGAGTGATGCTGCACGAACTGTTGAAGACAATAAATCAGGTAGCCAAGGGAAAGCAAACTGATCCGAACAAAATGATGCTATATTCGGCGGTAAGGCGTCACCGATAACATTCTAATAGAAGCTGAAAATGGACTAAAAAATGAGGCATTCAATTTCAGCACGATGGCACCGTCATGACGCTTATAAATTCGCTAAAACTGAAGGCTGATCAGATAGCTCCGTATGGATCAGCAGTCATCATGGAAGTGTACAAAGAGAAGGAGCAGTTTTATGTTGAGGTAGGCCACTTTTTCCACAGCAAAAATAAGCCTATTCTGGCTGGGTTTTACAGCTCTAGGCCAACCAAAACATGCTAAATTTTGCTGGTAAACAAGTTTTGATTGTGCTTTTAGAGCCGAGCTTTCTTTTTTGTTTCAAACAGATAAGCTAGAATATTTAGTTGGTGATGAAATAAAAAATTTCCTCGGAATTGCCTCTTTCAATGCAAAAAATTGCTTTGTCAAAGAAGAAGGAGGGAATTCCTGGATGAGAGAAAACGTTTTTTTTTTGATGCTATGCCTCATTGAGTCAACGGTAGCTCGGGGCGACGCACCGCGACAATTCTTTTGGTTGCCTCAATTTGTCGCTTTTTGGTAGGGCCAAAGAGAAGGCTTAGTTAATACTACTCGATTCGTAAATTCGCAAATAAAAAATGGGACATACACTGTGTTCGTTACGCCAATTTTTTTAGTTGCTCTACCGCAAAAACAAGAAACTCCAAACCCTTCAAGTGCCTGGATGCGATGTTAGATGCCCCGTTGACAAACTACGCAAGCTCTTGGCCAACAACATTGTTGAAAGTCGAGAAAAGTTGGATATTCTCTGCGAAAACAAACCTCAAGTGAAGTCTTAGCCAATTCGTGCATCATAAATGTATTTATAATCTCAGGAAATGCTTGAAAAACTGCGTTGTTATGGCGGATTAATATTATTTCGTTGCATAGAAGGTATATTATTGAAGATTATACTATTTATAAACATGGCAATATCTCGATTACTTCGACCATTTGCATCCATTTACACCGAAGGTGGAGACGTACTCGTTGAAGTAGTGCAGATGGTCGTTGATTGAGATGGGGAACATCATTTTGTTGCTGCACTTGTTGCTCTCGCCTTCGTCGCAAACCTTGAATGGCGAGTCTTCCTTCTCCATTTTGTTGGCGTACCAAACCTCCGAGCCATGATGGAAATAATCTTCGAATTTTTGTGGGGGAATATGAGCGACAAGGTCCAGGTTGTGGTTGACTCGGTAGGCAAGCGGGACCTGCAAAATGTAATGTCAACGTTGTGAAAAGGAATTGTGATTGGCTTGAGAATTTTTTTTATTATACCAGTCTGTCGGGAAAATGATGAGCACTCTGTGGCATCAAAACTCGCATCGCCGCTGAGAAGATGAATTGCGAAGGTCAAATTACTTCTCAATTCAGCGATGCCATCGGCTCAACGAAATCGCACGGCAACCCATGGAGTCTCCCTCCTCGTTTTGGCACTTCGCACACCCAGTATCGTTCAAACTCACACGAAATGTCACAACGAAAAAACAACATTTTTGGTTGTTTTTCGATGGAAAAATATTTTTCTCGAAATTATTTTATTGCTTTTGTCAGTTGTGACACTTCGTTTGGACGAAACTCAAAAGTGGGCGGGAGACGTTTTTGTTCTACTTCGGTTTGCCGTGCATCGCGATCATTATTTTCCTGACGGACTTATCTTAACTATACCACAGGCTGCGTGACATCTGTTATAAAAAAATTGAACACCCTCATACCTAAGGCCTTGATGATCATCAGAATTGCCTCAAAAAAGCGGAAACAAGCTCCATCTCTACAACAGACCCTCTTCCCGTAACTCCCAAGAACTTACAGCATTCGGATAGTAGTTGGCGTACTCATTGTCTCCAGTCCTTGGCTGCCCGAACGTAATGACCTTCAGCCGCTCTTGTGGGACGTCAAACTGAGCCATGATCTCAGTGGCAGCAATTGAAGCCACAGCTCCGCCCAACGAATGACCAGTGATCCAGAACTCGTATTCTGGATATTGTTTCACGGCCTTCGATACGATCTTGTTCAATCCAGTCGTCCACAGCTGTTCGAAGACGTTGTAGAAGTAGGCGCCAACAGTGCCGTCAATCGCAGCCTCGTGCTTTCGCTTCAAAACCACATGGTTGACTTCCACAACGAGTTGGAGGAAGCTGTTGGTTCCGCGGAAACTAACGATAATCGATTTGTCTAAAGGTGAGACGGCGACATAGCCAACGCACATTGAGACTTTTTCGTCAGTCTCGCATTTGGCAAATACCATACCGAGCACCTGAAAGTAGCTTTTTTTTATTTATTTATTTATTATTGAACGTAACTTCAATTGATTTAAAATTAATTTCAAATGCCATATGCTTGAAGTGCATTGTAAACTATGTTAATAGTGACAGTTTGTCGGGAAATTAAAGAGCACAACGTCGCTGTGCCAATCGCGTTGCTGAAGTAGGCAATGCAATTTTGCCGCGACACAATTTATTTTCGGGGCGGCGATGTGATTTTTGAAGCGACAGAGTGCTCATTATTTTCCCGACAGCTTGATATTTTAATATTTTCGTAAAGTGCATAGACATTTTTTAAAGGTTCATTGTGCAAAACACGTCCATGAGCTTATATACTATCTAATAATATACTACCCAAGGATATGAATAACTTGTAATGTCGTTTATGTCTATCCCATGTGATATTCAGATGGTTAACATACATCGCACATTATCTATGCCCTCCAAATTGTTCTAGATTTTTCCATTTTCAAGTTATCATTTTTCGAGCGTTCTCTGATAAGCTTCTGTGGACGTCAACCGAACGGACCGGGTTTTAAATGCGAACTAAGATCGTACCGTAACGGTTCCTCGACTCGTTATCGCGTCCCAGACAACCAATTTTCAATTTAAATTAAAAAAAAGTCAAAAAAATTATTGAAATCGTACCTTGGCCTTGCTCAAATTGTTGTCCAGACATTCTTGTGGGTTATCGGAGTATGCGGCCGCGGCCAAAGGGAACATTTTGTGTCGAGCGAAGGCGTCGGTGTACGGAGCGATGGCTTTCAGGGTCTTGTTAAATACTGGTAGCTTCCGGTGAGCAGGCTCAAGTTTTACGTCGCCAAGTGGTAATATGTTGACTTGAGACACTGGCGAAGGGAAAACCAAGGGTGAAATGGATAATAGGATTACGGCAGCCAACATATTGGAGGATTAACTAAAAATTGAACCTTTTTTTATAGTTACAGTATACATTTGAGCAAAAATTTGTGGCGTCAATCACGAAGAATGGTATAGCCTTACAAAAAACAGTGGAAGGCTATAACTTCCGGCGGAGGCGGCGCAGAGACTTCGTATTTGAAATATGTATTTTTAAAAGACATTAAAGACATAGTACCACTCTGGCGGGACTAACAACGGAAAAAAAGTCCCCTGTGTGACGCTGAAATTTTCTTTATTCAACTTCTGAAAGTCTTGAGCTTTATAGGCCAAGATATTCAGCGATCTTTGCGCGCAAAAGAGCAAGCGAAACGCGGAGAGCGGTCAGAGAAAGAACACTTTTCGGTCATATCCTTGACAGTTTCGCGCAAGAAAAAAAATGTTTTTTCTGAGCCCTGCCGTCTACAGTAGAAATAGATTTGAAGTTTACGAAGTGAAAATTTGCAATATAGGTGCTATATTTTTGCCGAATTTCGACTTAAAAATCTCGTTGGTTTCCACACAGCGCAAACTAAAAGTCATGCATCTTATAGATGTATTATTAATTGGTCCCAAGTTTCATCAAAATCTAAGCGTCACACTTGAAGCATCTCTGTAAGATAATCAACAGAAAGTATAAATCACTGATGTCACAAAAAGCACTAAAAATCACTTTTACATCCACGGAACACTCCAACATTTACTATCACTCCGCCGACCTCCCAACCGCCGCAATACTTTTTCATATTGCTAATCCCTTCTGTTTATAAATGATTTGCCCCCAAAATAGAAGGGCCTGTATCATTTCCGCAACTGATAAGCGGCTCCGAGGGCTAATTGACACTTACGCACGAACCGAGAAAAATGCTTGCAATTCAGCGAAGATCATTTAAGTGTCCGTAAAAATGTACCCAACACGTTGGTCGGTGCGTCTGGTCTTGATAACAATAGTACGAATGGATCATGTAGTTTTGAGCAACATGCGAAAAAAAAGAATTTAATCTTGAAATTTTTTTTTCTTGACGAAATTTCAGATCGAAATTACAATTCTGAGCACAAAGTTGATTTCTAAATTAATTTTCGGACTATCCCATTTTTGCTCGTACGTGTAAACAATGATGTCGCATCAAAAACGCTTGAAAATTGTCTTTTGAGTAATATGACTATGTCGGGAAATAATGAGCACAAGTTGCTGCGCCGATCATGTCGCTGAAGTTACAAGAAATTTAATTTTTGCCGCGGCACAATTTATTTTCTCGGCGGTGAAGCGATTTTCGATGCGTCAGAGTGTTTAGCATTCTTCCGACAGAGTCTTGGAAGAGCCAAAAAATCTTTAGTGCACCGCCGCGCAAAAACCTTGTCGCAACTTTTCGAACGAAGACGAGTAAAAACGGTGCATTGCGACCCACGGCAAACCGAAATAGAACAAAAATGTCTTCCACTTTTGAGTTTCGTCCAAACGAGGTGTCACAACTGACAAAAGCAATAAAATTTCGAGAAAAATGTTTTTCCATCGAAAAACCACACAAAAAATTCGGTTGTGACATTTCGTGTGAATTTGACCGATACTGTGTGTGCGAAGTGCCAAACCGAGGAGGTAGACTCGCTGGGTTGCCGTACGACCTCACACACATCGAAGTGGACTTTTCCAAGCAGGGTAAAAAATGCTTCTGTCGCATGAATGAGACTGCACCGTGCCGGGTTTTTGTCGTACGACGCCAAGTTGTAATGTCGAACGGACGCGGCCGCACAAACACTGTCAAGACTTCTAGTAGTGCAGCAAAGTGTGAAAGCACTTGCAGAGACGATCATCTTTATGCAATTTCCAAATAGGAACTATAAATCTGTTTATTAGGTCGCTCCGACCGTTCTCTTATGCCGCATTTTTTATCTGTTGCAGTTTCAAGCCGCACGCCATACTCGTCGATGGAAATTACAACTGAGTTATCAGCAGAGAACTTGCCTTTGGGCTGCTTCTTCTCATTTAAAAACAAAATACATATTAAACAAATAATTCGGTTGTTGAGAGACATCTTCGATCACGTGGGAGAATGTCAGGCTATGCGGTTTCGAAAGGGTACTGTCTATCAGTCAAATGACTAGAAAACAGCGTTTACAACTCCTCTGATAACATTTCGCATACCAGGCAATGACGAACATTCGTTTTTATAGGAAGCATTGTGGGGCTTCCACAGGTTTAAAAAAAGATAATGGCGATGACAAAACCAGGAATTTGAACTAACAACGGAAGCACCCTAAGTGCAACGTTCATACTTTCTTTCAATTTTGCACGTACTTCAAAGTCTGAAAATTCTGAAAGTTTTAGCTCGCGCTTTGTACCGTAGATTTAACGATCATCGCCGAGAGAGTATGCGGAGAGCGGGCAGAAAGAAAAACTCTTTTTGGGCATTAGTTTCGTGCGGAATAGATTGATTTTTTTATGAAAACTACGCTCGTAAATAGTCGGGAAGCCATTCATGCCAAAATCCGCAAAATAGTGTTACAAAGTTTCAATTTTTCGACTTAAAGATCACAGCCGGCTCGAGCTTTCTAGGTCTAGATCAGTTAAACAATAACAGAGTAGCACGCTATGCCAGTTACAAGCAATCAAATTTCCAAAAAAAATAAAGAAAATTTTGTACAAAAAGGCAAGCTGTCCGGGCTCAACAGCCAGACCACGGATGCAGCCAAACCATATTTAGGCCCAGTCCGCCGCATATAAAGGTGGTCATATAAGATCTCGGAATTTTTTTCCCAAATCGCGATTTTCGGTGCATAAAAAAAAGTCGACGCCCAAATCGAAAAATTGGAGTCAACTTAATTTTTTCATCACCGAATTCCGAAATGCGATGCTGACTTAAGACTTTGTGCACTGATTTCGAAAAACTTAGGAAAATTTACAGAATTTCAGAATTCGGTGCATAGAAAAAAATAAGTCGACGCCAATTTTTCGATTTGGGCGTCGACTTTTTTGTGCACCGAAAATCGCGATTTGGGAAAAAAAATTCCGAGATCTTATATGACCACCTTTATATCCCTCTATATTTGCCACGGACCAACAACAGCAACAAAAGTAAAGATAATTATCTTTTACAAATTGTGCCGCGCCTTTTATATGTTGTGCCTACAGTAGCCAACAACATCAGTGACAGACCGGAGAGACACAAATTGTAGTACGAAACTTTTTATTCGTCATATGATGGCCTCATTGTAACCAATCATTTTTAAAAGGCTTGTCTAAAAGTTACAAAATTTACGTAAATCATCGCCACATCTCACAAAATACAATACAAAGTTTGACTCAAAATCTCGCAAGGAAAATTTTTGTAGTCTGATTGTAAGATACAGGAGCGGCACTCTGAAAATTGGAACGTCCTTGATCAAAAAGTTAAAAGTGGCTATAGAGACTAGTCGTTGAGCTACAGTAACCCATCCATTAAAACCTCCGTCCTCTTCTTTTAACCTCTTGAACTTGCCTTCCATCCTTCATGACCCAAATTTATATAGCCTGTTGATAACGCCGGGTATTTTATTGACCTGCGGAATGCAATTACTCCACACCAAGAACACGCTCTTTGTCCTTCTTTATTGACCAGAAAGTTAATAGAATCCCGTGGAGTGTGATGATAATTGAAATTTTACGACTTGAGGAACGCCGAGGACAGGGTTTTTTGCAGAGTTATCAATGATTGCCATTTAGGTGCGAAGGGCTGATTAAAGATTACGAAGGAGAAGAGGTGTCATAAAATCTGAACATACAACTTTTAGAGTACTGTAGTTAAGAGAGACCATGAGAAACAGAGGTATTTTGTTTATCAGTCTGTCGGAAAATTAATGTGTATTTGTCGCAGCAAATTTTCCTTTGCCAGGTTCCCAGCAGGGGCTAGCTGTCGGAAAAAGCAATGATCGTTACATATCCACATTTTTTTCCGGTAGACTGATCTTTGGTCAGTAGATTTTGCTGTTGTCATCTTGTTAGCTTGGCGTGGTTAAAGAACGGCTCAATTCTTGTTGGCGCTAACAAGGGAAGTCACTTTTTTCGCAGACGGACTTCGGAACGGGACCTACTAGGTTTCAAACCTGAAGCGTCTACGATCATACAACTGATTTCCAAAAGTGTTTACGGGGCTTCTCGGCCGAGAAAATCGACCACAAAGTTTAGCCGAAATGAGCGAATAGCCTCCTCAAAAGAAACAGCTTATTTCATCTGCAGTGGTGGCCGAGTGGTCAGCGCGCTCGCTTTTGCGCCAGAAGAGGCGGGTTCGATCCCTTGCGCAGTTTATTTTCTTTTTTGGTTCGTAAATATTGATTTGGTATGTAAACATAAAATGTATACACTTTTGTAATTTTTTACAGTAATTTAAACATATTTAAATTCAAAGCTGAATGTTCATGAATATTGTAAAGTCAAAACAGGGCTGGGTTGATGAAGATATACTTTCTAAATTTGTGTTTTATTAAAAATTGCTAATAATTAGGATATGTGATGTTAACGGCATCTCTCTATTTGATTCAATTGTCAAAAGAAATGCATCCGCAGACGACCGAAGTCGAACTCACGTCTTCTGGCGCAAAAAGCGAGCGCGCTGACCACTCGGCCACCAATGCAGATGAAATAAGCTGTTTCTTTTGAGGAGGCTATTCGCTCATTTCGGCTAAACTTTGTGGTCGATTTTCTCGGCCGAGAAGCCCCGTAAACACTTTTGGAAATCAGTTTTATGATCGCAGATGCTTCACGTTTGAAACCTACTAGGTGCCGTTCCAAAGTCCGTCTGCGAAAAAAGTGACTTCCCTTGTAAGGATCAACAAATTAACTCCACATAGAGCGTTGTGGATGAAGTTTTTTAAATATACACAGTTTTTCGAGACTCTCTTTTTTGAATTTTATTATTATTATATGTGCTTTACTATGTTAATCCCATGAACAGACCTGAAAATAAATCGCGGCTACCGGATACAGTCTTTATAGAGCAGACACCCGATTTTTGAAGGTCGGGGTTGAAAGAATAGGGGTTGTTTTTAACATATAAATTTTAGGAATTTGAGATGTTGTGTCAGCCTGTCGGAAAATAACGAGAACAATTCCGATTGCGTCGCTGAAGTGAAAAGTTATTTTATTTTACCGCGACGCAGTTTATTTTCTCGGCAGCGATGTGAATTTCGTTGCGATGTTGCGCTCATTATTTTCCCGACAGACTTATAAGTTTTGTGATGACTTTAAAGTGCATTTTGCTACCCTTTTTACCTCTTATCTTGGAAGTCTTGTTGAAATTTCGCGTTTTTCTTGCTTATCAGTTTTATGCAAATTTGTTGAAACCTTCCATTTTCCAGATCATGAGAAGAGCCGCCTCATCTTTCCGCCAATCTCAGAAATCTCTGTCCAAGTTGTTGAAGAGAGATCGGTCGAGTCATTCGGAATCGTCAAACAAATCCTCGGAGTTGACGACCAGCGCCTCTTCCCCGCAGCTGGAACGAACTTTGACCCTGCAAAGTTCGAGAGATTCTCCGATACATGCATCGGAACCAAATCTCCAATATTGTCCTCCATCGACCCCTGCCAGAATAAAGCCGCGAGGATTCTGGAGCAGTGTTGGCAAGAGTTTGAACAGATTTGCTTGCAAAATCTTTGGCCGCTCGATTTGTCATTTCTTATGTGGAAAGAAGAAGTCGTATGCCGTGGCTTATGCCACCCCAATGTCTGCGGGGAGTTCGAGGAGGAAATCAGAGGAGTTAAAATTGCCGACAGTTCCACACTGGATGACAGTGTCGAGCGAGAAGACCAGTATGCTCAAGTGGACGTTGCTGAGGCAAGCGCAAGGGGTGAAGAGCAAAACATTGAAAGCTGTCGGCGTAACAAGGCGGTTGAGCATGTTTTAGAGATAGCAGTGTCTATGCAGAAAAGTTTGGGCCGTTCTGAAGTTTGAAGGTTTGATTGCCATGTAAAGTAGTCTAAGATTACTATACGTCTGTCGGGAAAATAGTGCGCGCTCTGTCGCATCGAAAATCGCAATCGCCGCCGAGAAAAAAACTGTGTCGTAGATAAGTTTACTTTCTCAAAATGCTTTTCACTTCAGCAACGCGATTGGCGCAGCAAAATTGTGCTCATTATTTTCCCGACAGACGGATATAATATTATAATTTTCATAAAATGCATGGGCAAAACCCTGCGCAATGAGTCGCGGTACTTGTTACACAAGGTTTGGTCTGGAACACCCTTGTTGTTATGCAGATGTAGTCAAAGTTTGCCATTTCCTAGATGAAAGCGCTCTATTTTCCCAACATATTTTTTTGATTTTCAAATGTGCGAAGACTTTTTCGACATCTGCACAGGGAGTAACTCAAAAGAGTAGATTCTTTATTGTAATCCAAATGAATTTTTCTAATAATATATATTTCTTTCTTCGTACTCCCTCTTCTGTTTTGTACTTACATTTGCTATATATATGTGTATATTTCCCTTTGAAATTGCACATATGTCCTTGTAAATTGTAACTTCTCACCTTTTCTATATTGAATCCCTGTTACAGTTATTTGTACATATCCTACGCAATGTGTCCTATAAATCGAATAAAATTTCCCACAATTTCTCCGATTATAAAAGCGGCAAAAACCTATTGCCCTTACGATGGCCTGGAACAATAAAACACGGGTTTTTATACGTTTTACGGGCGTTATAAACAATGGCTCATATCCTTTTTTGAGGCAAGACTCGGTGCAAGGTTGAAGGGTTGGAACGGAAAATATTAGGGGTGTGTTGATCAGACGGATATGAGAAAATTTTGATTTTTTTGATTTTATGGGTGTATGGAGCTGGGAATTCAGATACCAGCACCATTATAGACTTGGCATCCAGACTTCCTGGAGGCTAAGTCTGTAATATTATAATAGGAGAACCATGCCTAGTGCAACGCTTAGATTTTTTATTGTTATAATTTTGCCCATACATACATACGCCTTAATAATCCCTAAAAATTTTATCTCACGCCTTGCAGGCGCAGCCGAGATGTTATGTAAGAGATCATTGCTGTCAAGGGATCCGGAACCTTGTCTATATCTTCAAAAACCCAATTTTAATTTGTGTCAAGTTTATCTTAAAATATGAGTGTCAATTTCGAGGACCTCCCTTGTAAGGATAAAACGTTTGAATGTTCGTCATCGGTGACGTCGTGAGAATCAGCTGTCTTCCATAGCTCCAAGTTATTGTGTAGAAATCGAAACATTAAAATGGTTTATTTATAGTAGTGCTTATGTATTACCCAGCACCACTGCAAAAAAGACAATTCTAAATTTGCAATTTTATGATCACACCTCTATATTTCCCAAGCCCATTATTTTCGAAGGAACGTTTGCGAATATGTTTAATGCACCGCTTTGCATAACTCGATAAACATTAAGTCATCGCCTCTTGCAATTATTACTCAATCGAGTTTTAACAGGAAAGGAATCAGGAATCCATTTGCAAAGGAAAAGCTCGAATTGCGACGTTCACATTTTGATGAAACTTGACGCAATTTTACAGAGATTCAACTTGTGCGAGACTCTTACTTGCGCTTTGCGGAAAAGATTTAGATTTTTCGATTGAATATTGGGGAATATTTATTGTTTCTTTAGAATATTCTTAAGGAAAAATTAAGCTTTTTTAAATGCCAATTTTTTTTTTCAAAATGGCAGGTATTTCCAAAAAATATTTTTTTCTATTTTCTGCTCCCCGAGAGCTGCGTAGTCTCTCGCTGCACCTGCAATGAAGCTAGAGGTGGCAATCGGGCTGGGCCGGCCCGGCCCGGCCCGGCCGGGCCCGGTGATTGGGCCGGGCCGGGCCGGGTCTGAGCAGATTTAAAAAAGCCCTGGGCCGGCCTGACCGCTTCGGCCCGCGGGCCGGGCCGACGCTTTCGGCCCGGCCCGGCCCGGAAGGTAGATAAGTAAAAACTTTTTAATGCTAACCCAGCAAAATAAAGCACAAATGCTTTATAGAATGGATGGAAATTAGATTAAACCTTTCTTGACTTATACGCTTTTTACTACTTTTTAAAATTATGTATATGTATATGTAACTTATTATGTATATGTAAAATCCCACCCAAATATGCAAGGGTCGGGCAAAAATCTTCGAATTTTTTATGATAAATTTAAAAATTTCACTGTACTTTTGATTCCTTGATGTAAATGAAAGTGTTTAAACATTTTTTGGTTAACCATGTACCTTATAACGTCCATACTTTTATATAGCTAACTTCCTATAGGATTTAAAAATTTAACACAATCCAACTTTTTGGCTAACGCTGGGGGAAGTTCAGACCATTCCCTTGTAGGTTTTAGCTACCTGTACGGATGTTCCAGTCATCCGACTAGACTTTTCAATTTCGCGCAGACACACGTAAAAACCTTCTGGAAAGCATAAGAACTTCCAGTAGAAAGTGCAAAGACTTTCATCCAACTTTTCTGTATTAGCGGGCCAAACCGGGCCGGGCCGGCCTGGGCTTTCATCGGGCCGGGCCGGGCCGGGCCTGAGCAAATTTGGAAAAGCCCTGGGCCGGCCTGGTCACTTCGGCCCGCGGGCCGGGCCGCAAAAATCGGCCCGGCCCAGCCCGATTGCCACCTCTAAATGAAGCTAAAATTTTCAAAAATTGTCATTTCACCTATACCCAACGTATATGCAAAATTTTGAGAAGATTTGAGCATCATACTTGGGGTTTTTGTTTGCCAAATTTTCATTAAACATCTTGTATATAAACGCTTTGTTCCGGTTTTTACAAAAAAAATGTGGTCTATGAGCTCTTACAGTTTTAACTAGATAATATTAAATTTGTACGGCGTGCAATAAACTCGTCCTTTCTGACAAAACCTCAAAACGAAACCTTATTCAATCAAAGAACGGAATCCCCATCCGCTCATCCAAATTCGTTTGACGTGTATAATTGAGCTTTCGCCTAATTTGAATGAAGGTTATCCGCCCGCTTTCCCCCCTCTCGGAAATTATTAACGGTCAGGCGAGAATAAATTTGCGCGCCCATCTATCTCCTCTGCTCCCCGTTATAAATAAAAATCACACAATGGATAGCCGTCGGTTCTCGCTCCCGTCGAATTCGTATGGTCAGTGGTTCTGTGAAGGCCAAGGGAATAGGAATGAATTGGGCAGTGGCTATTCGACGGGGAGGTTTTTACTTTTTTTTGGCGGTTTGTGTTTGAGCACGGGGTTTGTACGGATTAAGTTCGAAGCTGTTTTAGTATGTTTATGCGTTGGAATGGAGGGTTCAAGTTTGTTGGTACAAAACATGGCTCGCCGGACAACAAGTTTGTTTGAGGTTTTCTCCGGCCCGGACTGGTGGAACCCAGGCCCGGGCCGGCCCGGTTAGTCCCTAGTGTATTGTAATATGATATGACAAAAATTGGTATTGGCTAGCTAAGAGCCTTAAACGAATTGAAAGACTATAAATAACCAACAGCTCAACCCACTTTCTGAATCATCGTTTGGAACGTTTATAAATAAATTCCCCTTCATTTATTCAATTTTATTACTACATTGACGTTTATGCCCAAGAAGAGCCAATGCTCTAATTTTTTGGTGTTAGGTTCCTCTTTTGATAAGCCGTTGTCTCCACGCCGAAATTTCATTTTGAAATGTAGAAGTCCATGATAAGACCCAACAAACTCACAGCTTTGCATTCACGGATTCGAGCAACTGCTTCTTTCACAAATTGCAGCCTTTCATTGCTTTAAGCGTGTTAATCAAAGTCAATTACGAGAGCCTACAAGAAAGAATCGGTAAATGCTCCTACAGAATTCCCGTTTAAATCTAGATATCAATCAAAATGGCGGTCAAATCCTCTTTACAGGGTAGCGAACGCGCAAAACCGGTCGTTACAAAAGTTTATAAAGCAAGAAATGTTTTAAGATATATAGTTAGTAAGCCAGTTATAAGAAAATGAATTGTTTTCTGTGCAAAATTAGCAGAGATATGGCCTAAAGCTCCGCCGATCGCGTCGCAGTTCAAATTGAAAAACATTTTGATTTTGCCGGAGTTAAATTAACTTTTCCGGCGGCGATGAGATTTTTGATGCTACAATTTGTTCATTACTTTCCCGACAAACTAAAATTTTGCAATACTTTTGTATTATATTTTCCCAAAAACAGCCACCCCCGTCTCCAATTATATCACTCAATGTTTCAATTCCAAGTCTAATTACCCACACTCGCATGCCAAAACCGCACAAAGAGATTAATTATTATTCCATTCCCATCCCTCACGGTCATAATATTGTTGATATAATTCGGCGCTCTTGTTCGTACCGACAATGTTTGTGAACGCAGCGCTCTATTTTTTTTCATGTTGTGGTTGCTTTTGTACACAAGAACTGCATTTTCGAAACTCAAATAATGACCGGTGAACGGACGCTTCTACTGAGTCTCCCGAAAGGTTTTTCGTAGTTTAAGGGTTATGGAATTAATTATTGTGGGTGTATACGTATTTTTATTGAGATTAATTATACGGTGCTTTAATGGAATCGGTTTGCAAGAAAGTCTTTATTTTTTATAAAGTATAGATCCTCCCACATTCACTAACCCCGGAGATTTGGTCCAAAAATTAGCAAAAGAAACCATTGTTTTGCGATTTTATGCGAGTTCAAAAGTTTAGGCTACAGTAACGGCAAAAAACTGTAGATTTTTTTCTACTGCGGTAAAATTTTTGGCACCAAAGCTTTTCGAAATGACGATAATTTGTGTCGCCTCGATTCGTCGTTGGATTTTTGAGTGCCTTATTGTTAGTTACTCGAAATAGTAAGATTTTAGGCTTGCAGTAACTATGTAGTATTTAGAACTGGCCATAAATATTGTAGGTCTTTGCAAAGTCACCGCCGAGCGTTCGCCGAACGTTTGCCGTGCAGCTAGCGGATTTGCCAGCCTAGTACGTCTCCTAACAACTCAATTTTTAAAGTTTTTGACTGTCCTAGCCCCCCTATCGATTGAAAAAATTATAATATGTATATATTGATTAATTTACGGCCAGTTCAGAATTCGTATTCAAAATTTAAAAAAATTTGAGTGCAGAAAAAACGTTCTTTAGCAGAGACAACCAAATGTGTTTTTATTGGTGTTGAACTCATTTAAACTCCCTTGCGAACACCGTAGAAATAGGTCATTTCGAAAACGAAACAAGATTCGACTACCTGCCGATGGGAGTTGTTTTAACGCGACGCGTTTATTTACATGGAATCGGCGGAGGATCTGCTATAAGATGCCGGTGGAAGCGAATTCCAGATTCCTTTTGTATTTTTTGTTGGAGTGGTATGCCGCTGATTTAAGTAGATCGAGTTGAGATTTTTTTAAAATTGGAGACTCCCTTGGATGCATTAAGTTTTCTGAAATTTCTCTACGCGATCAGTCGTGTAAATTAATTGTGTTATGTCGCGCCATTTTGAAGAACCTCACGGTGATTTATATTTTTTTATTTCAGATAGTAGATAGAGCTTAGGTCAGAATGCGTGGCTTCCATCTCTTCCTCCTTATTTGTGTACTGCGTAAGTTTTTTCTTTTGGCAGGAACGCCACTTGAAAATTTTTTTTGGTTTCCTATTCGATGCGTTAAAGTCAATTTAACATCTATCTTATATCTCTAAACGTTTTTAATGTCAAATCTTACTAGATGGGCCAAAAGGCGGGGACACCCGGATTGTTTAGTGGCTCCTTGCGACATCGGTTGAAATCAAATGAAATATCACTAAATTATGTTTGTTTTGTAGAGTTTTCCGACCAAAAAATATTTTTCATGGGATTTTTTTATTTTTTTATGTCAATTTTGACATTTTTTTGGACGGAATTCTTTCTGTTTCGGGTTGCCGTCCGCACCATGGAGAGCGTGCCTTATGAAAAGGGTATTTATTCACTGTTGTTGATGTTGATTGCTTGACCCACCCATTAGTCTGTCGGGAAAATAATGAGCACTCTATCGCATCGAAAATTGCATCGCCGCCAAAAGACAACCAGGGCAGCGACATTATGCTCATTATTTTCTTAACATACTGATTGGACTTTTTAAGTCATCAATTTTCCTGCCGTATCCGAGAACATCATCCTCGAGAAGAGGAAGATAATTGGCTTCGAAAATTTTTATTTACTCCGCATTTACGCGTATTACATTCCTCTTTTCAGTCCTTGCCATCTCCCTGTCCGAATCCAAAATCCACGCTCGCGATGTAGCAGCGCCTTCAGCCGCGCACGGCATCACGAAACACCAGCCTCACCGTCAAAACAAACGAAAAAACGGCGGTAAAAAAGGAGGGAAAGGAAAAGGGAAGAAGGCTCGCAAGAACGGCAAAGGCAAGAAGAACCGGAAGGGAAAGAAGCACGGAAACCGGCAGTAGATTGCACTCAATTATTTATTAATTATGCCTGCCCCATTACGCATTTATATATACAACAATGTTTTTAATTATCTAATAAATAAAACTAGAAGCTATTCCTCGATACGAAGCTGGCTCAACGCGTCCTCCACGCTGTATTGGAACTCGTGCGGACGCTGGGCGCGCAGGATCTTGACTTGCATTATAACACTTGAGAATTCGATGGCAAAGCGCTGAAAAATTGTGGGATCAGTAAAGATCTGAAACGTGATTTTGTCTGTCGGGAAAGTAATGAGCACAGTGCCACTGCGCCGATTGTGTCCGTGAAGTGAAAAGCAACTTGATTTTGCTGCGGCACAATTCATTTTCTTGACGGTAATGCGATTTTCGATGCGACAGAGTGCTCATAACTTTCCCGACAGGCTGGTAGATGACATTTTGCGGCCAAGGCGTAACGCTCGGATTTTCGTTAAATTTTGCACACACTTCGGGCATATGCCACATATCAATTCCAGAACGTTTTCGCTCGCGCTTTTCAGAGGCACCCGAGATATTGAACAATCATTTCGCGGCCGAAAGAGCACGCAAAAGGCGGAGAGTAGTCACAAAAAACTGTTTTTGGCTATGCCGTTGATATTGCAGTCTAGAAAATTCATTTCTTTTTTTTTTGTGTAAACATTAGCCTCTACAGTAGAAATGCGCAGGAAGCTTTGTATGCCATAAAAAATAAAAATTTTCCCCTTTCATTACAACTATTCGCACCATAGTGAGATTCAATAAAAGGCCGGCCAAAATCCCGTTTCCAAAACTCACATCAACTTCTTGATACCACAACATCAATTCTGACAGCTTCTCCGTGTGCTTTCCGTTGAATCTCTGGCCAAGACTTTCCATCCACTCTTTCATCACCCGTTCCTTGTAGTCCTCCATATTTTTGGTTAATTTTCCGTTGTATTCGGCTAAAAATCGGGGAAATTGATTGTGGCTATGAAACAGCTTACCATGTTTCCAAATAGAAATCACCATTAAAACAACCGTGTCCATAAGGCTGATCCCAATTTGTTTGTACTTCTTGATCAGCCCGCGGTTCCGTTTTCCAAATGGCGCAATTAGTCTAAAAAATGATGAGATTGCTGACTATCGTCCGTTCGCGACGTCGCTGAAACTATTCTCGCGACATACACTGTGAAAAAAGAAAAATTTACTGCTGAAATTTCTTGTGCAAATTTATCGAGTTTGAAAATTTTAACCGGGAGTTTTTCGGCCTGAAAATCAAAGCCGCAAAATGGGTCAGCCCGGAGCCATGCTTGGTAAAAAACAGGATTTTTAGCTCAATTTTTCCGGAACTTTGCCCACCTTCTGAACGTGGGAATCTCGTCCGGGTCCAGGAATCCCTCAAGATACCATTGTTTGTCAAGTCGACAAAAATCAGCCCAATAGCCGGGCGCGAACACAACTCGATTATCATCCAATTGAGGGCAATAATAAGCCGACAAATAAGCCTCATTCAGAACACGGAATTCGCCAAAGGCATCTCCAACAACTTTCAGCTGAAATATGGTCAGAAAAATGTTCGACAATATCCGGATTACAACGAATTTAGGGAGATAGGACATACCTGATCATTCCTTGAGAGCTCCGCAAAAGGCCCAAAATATTTGGTCAGGATATCGATGAGATCGGGAATTGTCACACATTTCAAAGTGATCTTCTCGTGCTTCTTCGGGATAATGAACTAAAATCAAACGTTCTGGTATTTCAACGTATTTTGGCATATGAATTCGCTCATATTTTGGCCGCAAAGATCATTAAATATTTTGGCTATGCTAAAGAAAAAACAATACATACCAAACCGTTGGAGAAATCAGCATCCGGATGTTGACGTTTGACAACCTCCAGCAAGACAGCGTGATACTTTTTGAGGCCATCCATCAGCCGGACAATTGTTGGGAAGTTGATCCAGTTCGAGTCGGCGTCTCCGTCGCTTGACGGGGACGATGCTGCATCGTCCACTGAAAAAATTGGCGTCAAAAAACGAGCTATCAGTCTGTCGGGAAAATAATGTGGATCTGTCGCGGTTTGGAACCGATCGTCATCGCTTTGCGACGGCTAGCCAAGGCTGGAGATTTAATGTGCGAGGTGAACGACTTTGCTGCGAAAATCCACATTATTTTCCCGACAGACTGATTTGTGATATAAAAAGCTTGAAAAAATGACCATGGTTCCTAAGGAGATTCACTCACATCTATAGTTGACTCCGGCTTGCTTGCACTTGAGAAATCGGCAGGCTCGGCACTTGCTGCGTTCCGAGCGATCTGTAATTGAAAATTAATGCAATTCAGCTCTCTTACCAAACTTAACATCGCAGTCATACTGTCCGTTCGTGCACGAATACTTTTTCTTCTCCAAAATGCAGCGCTTATAAAACAAGGCGCAAGCGCGGCACACCTGCGCTCCAAAGTTGAAATTTCCCGTCTCCTTCGAGCAAACCGCGCATTCCATGGGCAATTTTTTGGCCACCATCTTTCTCGTGTCCTCAATGAGGCTTGTAGAGGCAACGTCTGTCGCTTCGGGCATCTAAATTCGAGTTTAGCAAAAGAATTATTGAAAACTGGGACAAAATAAAATCTCTTGGATTGGTAACCAAGGTTATTATAATATAACTGCTAAAAAAATCAGTTTATTGTAACACTGGTGGGAGAAATATTCTCTGTATATACAGGGACAGTCAATTAAAGTGCGAGGCAAAGATTGTGACGATAAAGTTTCGAGAAAATGGAAAAAAATCCAAATTATGAGCTTTGTTGTTGAAACTTGATGTCTTGTAAGTTCGATGACTTGTTAAGTACTTTTTATCGAAAATGATGACATAATCACACTTCGTCAGCGATTCTCAGCGCATCTACAAGATGGCTGATGTCGCAATTCACAACGTTTACGCCGCTATTCCGAAGCACTTTTATTTGCATCGACGTGTTTTTGTACTCAATTCCAATTTCCTAAAAATCAAAAGTTACGGTTTAGTATACTATCAGACTGTCGGGAAAATAATGTGAAAAATTTCGCAAGAAAAATCGCATCGCCGTCAGGAAAATAAACTATTGCGTCGCGGAAAAATCAAATTTCTTTTCACTTCAGTGGCCCGACCAGCGCAGCGACAATGCCCTCATTATTTTCCCAACAAACTGATAAAAATTATAATACGATAAAAGCGATTTTTGAAACTCACATCAAACCGCTTGTACAAGATCATAATGCTCGTTAATTTGACGGGCGTTTCCTTTCCAAAGCGGCGATCCAGATGAGCCATCCATTCAGCGGTGACGCTGTCCTTGAACTCCTCCATTTCCTTTGAATAGAGGTTCAGGTATTCCGCTGAAACATAGGGGACGTTACAGATGGAGATAAGCGCCGAAATCGCAAACTAGAAAGCTTAAAAACTCAAGAGGACGGGTTAAATTTACCGTGTTTCCATAAGGACATGTAGATTAGAACAATGGTGTCCACTTTGTCGATCTGCAAGATTTTGAGCTTTTGAATGATGTCGATGAATTCTCGAGTGAAGGGAAGGACCACGCTGAAAAGAGTTGGCCATAGGTATGAGAGGCGGTATATTATAGCTTGTTTCATAATTTTTTACGACCGATTTTATTTTTAAAGTATCTTCTTCAGCAAAAAAAAACTATTTTTTTTTTGATTGAAAAAAGTTATTTTTTGCATAGACCCATGCTACAGGCGAAAAACGTAGCATTTTGCATCCGGGAAGTATCAAAAAATGCAACAAAATGCCTCCCCCTCCAAGTGAAAAAACTTCGTTTTGAAGGGCGCGCCCTTTCCCTCACAAAAAAACTTGGAGAGGGAGGTAGTAGTATATAAAGGGGGTTTCTGGACCACACGGAGGAGGGCCCCTAGGGCCTGACGACCAACAGTTGATTTTGAAGTATTTTTATTAAAAACAGACAACATTTTCTAAATTTTAACCCCAATAAAAAAAAAACTGAATTCGAAGCACTTTTTAAAAAATATTAAACATTGCTAAAATAAAAAAATTTCTACATATCTAAAATAAAAAAGCTCTTAAATTATTATTGGGTTTCTGGACCACACGGAGGAGGGCCCCTAGGGCCTGACGACCAACAGTTGATTTATAAGTATTTTTACCAAAAACAGAACACATTTTTAAAAATTTTAACCCTCATAAAAAAAAAACAAAAAAAAACAAAACTTAATTCAAAGCCCTTTTCACCCAAAATAGTATATATACTTTCTAGGCCACACAGAGGAGGGCCCTTTGGGCCTGACGACCAACAGTTGATTTATAAGGTATTTTTACCAAAAACAGAAACATTTTCAAAATTTTAACCCCCATAAAAAAAAACTGAATTCGAAGCCCATTTCAGCTAAAATAGTACACTTTTCTAAAAATCTTAAACATTGCTCAAAATAAAAAAAAAGCTACCTTATAAAAAATTTTCTACATACCTAAAATTGCTAACACAAAATACAAAGAAACAAGTTGTAATAATGGATACGACAGTCTTAGATAAAACAACAGATAACACAGATCAGCGATTTTTCTTAGTTATCACCTTTTTAAAGCCGCTTCCAGACTTCAATTGGTTCAAAAATTCCACATTTTCAGCAGTTAACTTATTTGAATTAGTATTTTTTACATTTTTTACTTTATGAACATTTTTAAAATTTTCTACTTTTTCTTCATTTTTAACTTTTTTTACATTTTCTATATATCTAAAAAATAAAACAATGGTCAACTAATAAAACGATAGTCAACATTTTTAAAAATTCTACATAGTTAACTAATAAAAAGAACAGTCAACATTTAAAAAATATTTACCTTACAAAACAATAGTTACATTATATAAAAATAGTATATGAATAAAAAATTCTACATATAAAAAAATAACCAACATTTAAAAAATAGCCAACAAAAGTAGACATAGATTAACGATTTTTCTTAGTAATAATTTTTTTAAAGCCAGTTCCACATATCAATTCATTCAAAAATTCAATACTTTCAGCAGTTAATCTATTTGAATCAGTACTTTTTACATTTTTTACTTTTTTAACATTTTTTACTTTTTCTACATTTTCTTCATTTTTAACCTTTGTAACATTTTCTACATTTTCTTCATTTTTTACTACAGTAACATTTTCTACATTATCACCAAACAGAATCATCCCCATTTATTAAGGAATATTTTTTTCATCAATCCAACTATTATTTAAATCTTACAATTACCTTTTAAAACAGTTTTATTATTTTTACTTTTGCTTACTACAGTTTGTTTCTTACATTTACAGCTAATATTACATCCAAGGTATTAAAGAAAACAAAGAAACTAGAATAATCCAAAATAACAAATATAAAATTACAAACTATTCAAAATAGCGAAATGTACCTATTTATCGAAAAAGGAATTAGAGGAGGAATTGTAAACGTAGTTGATGAAACAGTATGCTTACAAAATTAACAATGAAATAGAAAAGAAAAAATCATAAGGAGTGAAAAAGTGTATAGTAGATGAAATAAAGATAACAGATTATAAAGAATGCTTATTTGAAAACTAATTAAAAAAGATCAATATTTAATACAATCTAAGAAACACCAGATTTATACAATAAAATAAAAACAAAATAGTTATGAATAATGATAGCACACATCAACCACAAAAAAAAAAGTTTCAAATCGGGAAAACTGTTTGCATAACTTTGTTAGGGTGCCCAAGGGTAGCTCAAATTAAAAATTGGAAACGAGTCGGACTGACCAAAAAATAGTAGATTTGAAAACCTTATTTTAGACATCTTTTGCTACTAAATCATTTCGTAACGAAGCAATTCCCTAAATTCTTTTTTCTATGAGCATAATTAGAGTAGTTTTAGAGAACCATAAGCAACCCTGTGTCATATACTAGCTTACTCACTCAAAATTCCAAAAAAACTGATATTTAAGTGACTAAAATAATATTTAAAAATCGGTAAATTTTGACTCAGCTAGGTCCACTATGATCTAAAAAGACAATAAGAGCATAATTAGTGGCATTCGCACCAGTTTAGAAGCTGTTCTAAGAACCTTGTTTTAGGTGATATTGGCCATTTTTGAAATTGGCGCAGCGAAGTTGAAACCAACTCCAAAAGCTCAGTATAGCCTTAGAAAGCCATCTCAATTCACATAGATAGTTTTAAAACTTTGACTTCAGTCATAAACTTTCATTATTTTTGGTATAAGATCAGGTATGCTACTATAAGGTAAAACTTTTTTCGGCCTGAGAGTTAAAATTTTTGCAATTAATCTCCCTTAACAGGATGTTATGAGATAATATAGTTAATTAATTAGACTATTTAACGCTGTCGGACATTAAAAGTTGCCTAAAGTAATATAATCCATAAGGTAAAAAGCTTAAAATCGCATCTACTTTTTTATTATCAGTCCGATTTGCTTCAAACTTCGCATACTACCTTAGAATACAATATTCTGAAGATCGATGCAATCACTTTCCGTGTTTCGATCGTTTTAGACAAGTTATTCGGCCGCAAAGTTTGCAAAAATTCGATTTTCTCCGGCAGTTTGTCGCTAACCTGGTGGCCGAAGAACGACAAAATCCCTTAATTTAAAAAATATGGGTCCTTGGCAATGTTTTAATCGAAGGTTCATGTTATTTTGTTCATTACCCACTGCACAGTAAGCTAAAACATTAGAGACCCTTAAAAAACCGAATGCCAAAAATCTTGGCATTCTGTTTGTGGTTGATGTGTAGCACAGACTTTAAAAGATTTATACTAGAAAATAAAAACATTAGCCTTTGGACATTACAAATTATTAAATAGATAAAAAATCCTACCTTTAAAAAACATATTATACATAACGGTTGACATAGTAGACTAATCTAAAAACAATAATTCAATAGTTTCTTTCTACCGTAATGTTTTTTACGTTTTTCATGTTTTTTATGTTTTTCACGTTTTACACGTTTTTACATTTTGTAGCAGTTGTTTACTTTGTTTTATACGTTTTACGTTTTTAGCAGTTGTTTATTTTTTATACGTTTTACCTTTTTTAGCAGTTGTCTACACAGTTTTAATATTTTTACATTTATAGCTGTTGTTTACATAATTTTAATATTTTTACGTTTGCAACATTTTTTGCTTTACTTACATTGTCTTATTTTTTGTCATATTTTTTTCATAATTTAGCAATTGTAAGCTTAGTTATATTTTTGTCATATTTTTGATATATTTTAGCAATTTTAACCTTAGTAATAATTTTTGTCATATTTTATCATATTTTTATATAGTAATATTTTTGTCATAACTTTGTCATATTTTAGTCATATTTTAACATAGTAATATTTTTGACATAGTGTAGTCATATTTTCATCAAGATCCTTCAATAATCAACAGAGAAACAGCTATGATTCATCCTTTCTTTTCGCTTTCCTTTTTCTAAATAATTCTAAAACATTCTAAACAATTCTAAAGTTTTCTTAATGATTCTAAAACGTTCTAAATAATTCTAAAACGAGGATAAAAATTGGGGCAGAAGATTGCTGACTGTTATGAAAATGATAAAAATATGACACTATCCCAAGATCCTAAGCATATGACAGAATTATGACCAAGATATTACTATGTAAAAATATGACAAAAATATGACAAAGTGTAAGAATTGAAAAATTTAGTAAAAACATGATAAGAGTTGCTAAAAACAGCTCGCTAAACTGAAAATTAAAAAATATAACAAAAAAAATATGAAAATATAAAGCTAAGCTATACAATTTAAAAAAGCATGTAGAAAATATATTACTGTGCATACAGTTGCTAAAATCGATAAAAATATGACAATATAAAACAAAAAAATGTTGAAAATTAATTAATATGCTTACAATTGTTAAACAAAGATTATTACTATGTAAAAAATGTGACAGAATATGAAAAAATTATAACTAAGCCTACTATGTTAAAAAATATGTTAAAAAATTCAATAAAAACGTTTTTTAAATTTTATTTATGCTCTTTTGGGTGCCCGCAAACGGACTTTTTTTAAATTTTACAGATTAGTTTTAAATTGTCATAATTTACAACATTTTTAAGTCCTTTCATATTTCTTAAATTTTAGCATATGTTTACAACATTTTTTTTTATTTATTTTAGCTTACAGGGGAAGTACTTCAAGTGTGACGCTCAGATTTTCTTTAAAATTTGCACACACGTCGGGTATGGACTAAATATCAATTCCTGAAAGTTTTAGCTCGCGCTTTGCGGGCGCCGCCGAGATATCGAACGATTTTTGCCGCCGAGAGAGCACGCTCAACGTGGAGAGCGGTCAGAGAGAAAACCGTTTTTTGGCCATAACTTTGGCAGTTTCGTGCGGAAAATTTTGATTTTTTGTAGAAACATTATCCTTTACAGTTGAAATAGGCATGAAACTTTTCGTGCCGAAATTCGGCAAAAAGTCCTAAAATTTCGCCGACTTTCGATCTAAAAATCTCGGTTGTTTCTGCAAAGCGCGAGCTAGGATTCCCGCATATATCTTAGAAAAAATTATTCTAAATTTGTGCCAAGTTTCATCAAAATCTGAGCGTCACACTTCAAGTACTTCCCTTGTTAGTTAACGTTTTTATTGAATTTTTTAACATATTTTTTAACATAGTAGGCTTAGTTATAATTTTTTCATATTCTGTCACATTTTTTACATAGTAATAATCTTTGTTTAACAATTGTAAGCATATTAATTAATTTTCAACATTTTTTTGTTTTATATTGTCATATTTTTATCGATTTTAGCAACTGTATGCACAGTAATATATTTTCTACATGCTTTTTTAAATTGTATAGCTTAGCTTTATATTTTCATATTTTTTTTGTTATATTTTTTAATTTTCAGTTTAGCGAGCTGTTTTTAGCAACTCTTATCATGTTTTTACTAAATTTTTCAATTCTTACACTTTGTCATATTTTTGTCATATTTTTACATAGTAATATCTTGGTCATAATTCTGTCATATGCTTAGGATCTTGGGATAGTGTCATATTTTTATCATTTTCATAACAGTCAGCAATCTTCTGCCCCAATTTTTATCCTCGTTTTAGAATTATTTAGAACGTTTTAGAATCATTAAGAAAACTTTAGAATTGTTTAGAATGTTTTAGAATTATTTAGAAAAAGGAAAGCGAAAAGAAAGGATGAATCATAGCTGTTTCTCTGTTGATTATTGAAGGATCTTGATGAAAATATGACTACACTATGTCAAAAATATTACTATGTTAAAATATGACTAAAATATGACAAAGTTATGACAAAAATATTACTATATAAAAATATGATAAAATATGACAAAAATTATTACTAAGGTTAAAATTGCTAAAATATATCAAAAATATGACAAAAATATAACTAAGCTTACAATTGCTAAATTATGAAAAAAATATGACAAAAAATAAGACAATGTAAGTAAAGCAAAAAATGTTGCAAACGTAAAAATATTAAAATTATGTAAACAACAGCTATAAATGTAAAAATATTAAAACTGTGTAGACAACTGCTAAAAAAGGTAAAACGTATAAAAAATAAACAACTGCTAAAAACGTAAAACGTATAAAACAAAGTAAACAACTGCTACAAAATGTAAAAACGTGTAAAACGTGAAAAACATAAAAAACATGAAAAACGTAAAAAACATTACGGTAGAAAGAAACTATTGAATTATTGTTTTTAGATTAGTCTACTATGTCAACCGTTATGTATAATATGTTTTTTAAAGGTAGGATTTTTTATCTATTTAATAATTTGTAATGTCCAAAGGCTAATGTTTTTATTTTCTAGTATAAATCTTTTAAAGTCTGTGCTATCATTATTCATAACTATTTTGTTTTTATTTTATTGTATAAATCTGGTGTTTCTTAGATTGTATTAAATATTGATCTTTTTTAATTAGTTTTCAAATAAGCATTCTTTATAATCTGTTATCTTTATTTCATCTACTATACACTTTTTCACTCCTTATGATTTTTTCTTTTCTATTTCATTGTTAATTTTGTAAGCATACTGTTTCATCAACTACGTTTACAATTCCTCCTCTAATTCCTTTTTCGATAAATAGGTACATTTCGCTATTTTGAATAGTTTGTAATTTTATATTTGTTATTTTGGATTATTCTAGTTTCTTTGTTTTCTTTAATACCTTGGATGTAATATTAGCTGTAAATGTAAGAAACAAACTGTAGTAAGCAAAAGTAAAAATAATAAAACTGTTTTAAAAGGTAATTGTAAGATTTAAATAATAGTTGGATTGATGAAAAAAATATTCCTTAATAAATGGGGATGATTCTGTTTGGTGATAATGTAGAAAATGTTACTGTAGTAAAAAATGAAGAAAATGTAGAAAATGTTACAAAGGTTAAAAATGAAGAAAATGTAGAAAAAGTAAAAAATGTTAAAAAAGTAAAAAATGTAAAAAGTACTGATTCAAATAGATTAACTGCTGAAAGTATTGAATTTTTGAATGAATTGATATGTGGAACTGGCTTTAAAAAAATTATTACTAAGAAAAATCGTTAATCTATGTCTACTTTTGTTGGCTATTTTTTAAATGTTGGTTATTTTTTTATATGTAGAATTTTTTATTCATATACTATTTTTATATAATGTAACTATTGTTTTGTAAGGTAAATATTTTTTAAATGTTGACTGTTCTTTTTATTAGTTAAATATGTAGAATTTTTAAAAATGTTGACTATCGTTTTATTAGTTGACCATTGTTTTATTTTTTAGATATATAGAAAATGTAAAAAAAGTTAAAAATGAAGAAAAAGTAGAAAATTTTAAAAATGTTCATAAAGTAAAAAATGTAAAAAATACTAATTCAAATAAGTTAACTGCTGAAAATGTGGAATTTTTGAACCAATTGAAGTCTGGAAGCGGCTTTAAAAAGGTGATAACTAAGAAAAATCGCTGATCTGTGTTATCTGTTGTTTTATCTAAGACTGTCGTATCCATTATTACAACTTGTTTCTTTGTATTTTGTGTTAGCAATTTTAGGTATGTAGAAAATTTTTTATAAGGTAGCTTTTTTTTTTATTTTGAGCAATGTTTAAGATTTTTAGAAAAGTGTTCTATTTTAGCTGAAATGGGCTTTGAATTCAGTTTTTTTATGGGGGTTAAAATTTTGAAAATGTTTCTGTTTTTGGTAAAAATACCTTATAAATCAACTGTTGGTCGTCAGGCCCAAAGGGCCCTCCTCTGTGTGGCCTAGAAAGTATATATACTATTTTGGGTGAAAAGGGCTTTGAATTAAGTTTTGTTTTTTTTTGTTTTTTTTTATGAGGGTTAAAATTTTTAAAAATGTGTTCTGTTTTTGGTAAAAATACTTATAAATCAACTGTTGGTCGTCAGGCCCTAGGGGCCCTCCTCCGTGTGGTCCAGAAACCCAATAATAATTTAAGAGCTTTTTTATTTTAGATATGTAGAAATTTTTTTATTTTAGCAATGTTTAATATTTTTTAAAAAGTGCTTCGAATTCAGTTTTTTTTTTATTGGGGTTAAAATTTAGAAAATGTTGTCTGTTTTTAATAAAAATACTTCAAAATCAACTGTTGGTCGTCAGGCCCTAGGGGCCCTCCTCCGTGTGGTCCAGAAACCCCCTTTATATACTACTGGAGGTATTTTGCTACATTTTGTGATACTTCCTGGATACAAAATGGTAGGTTTTTTGCCACTGCATCAGGTTCCCCACTGTAGGCCCAAAAAAAACTGTTTTTAAAATACGGATGGAGTTAAATAATCAGCAAATTCAGTTTCATGGTTTATCACGGACTGATATTACCTCCCCTTCAGCCACCGAAGCATGTATTATACTACGTTTTTTCAAAAGTCCAAAAAACCTATTCCTTTTTGAAAAAGTGTAGAAGACTTACTTCCAATACTCGTTGAAGGCAGGCTTGTCAACATAGCCCTCAAACCACCAATCATAGTCGATGTTGAAGGGGTCGGCCCAGTAGCCCGGGGCGAACACAACCTTCGGGTCGTCGAGCTCCGGGCAATATTGTTTGCTCAAAAAGGCTTGATGGAGATTCCGGAATTCGACAAAAACATGGTTTATAAGGGTTAGCTGAAATTATTTACCGTAATTTCTTATCTACAGCTTTATTACGATAAAAAGATGATCACCAATGTGTCGCCTACCTTATCATCTTTAGGCATCTTGTTGTAGGCTTTGCAAGTTTTTTCAAAGAATCTTATCGCCGGCTTCAGAAGATGACATTCAATGTCGTAGATGAATCGCTTTTTAGGCGTGACAAACTAAATGTTTTCAAAACATAAAAATTTTTTCCCTCATCTTACCGTATTTTCCGTAAAATTGATCTCCCTATGATGCTCTTTTACTCGCTCTAACTGCGCGGCAGCAACCTCATCGTAAGCTTTGACCAACTCTTGTAGCAACGGCGTCAGATTGGCTTCAGACGTCGACGAGAGGGCTGTCAGGCCAATGCCTTCGTCTTTGGCTGTCCCAGCTACTAAAAATTGAAAAAAATAATAAAACAACCAATAAACTTACCGTTTATCTCGATGTTTGCTCGCTGGCATTTGTGGTAGCGACATGCTTTGCATTTGATTCGTTGGGTTCGGCCTGAAATTGTGGGGTTGATGCCAAGAAAAATGATTTTTTTTGGGGAGAAAAGTGATTTATGAGGGCTCTAACAATTCCTGAAAACCCTGGCTTGTATTTTGCTTTACCAGTGGGGCTATTTTGTAATTTTTTCCGACGATAGTATGGAAAAAAGTTTAGACGTAACATTTTTCGGATATATCTCCGCACATGGCACCTGCAGAAAGTTGACTCTACTGGTGGATTCATTCGGCTGCTCCTCTATAACATACCATAGGTTTTCAAGACCTAATCGCAAAAAATCTTTTGCCGAAAAGATATCAAGGTTCTTTGGGTTAGCAGTGTAGGGGCTAAGATATCTTTATTGTATGGGCTCGTAGTCAAATTATGAGCCGATTTTAACAGACTCTTAAGTCTAAATCAGGGAGCGGACAAAATAAAGAATAAAAAAAAAGAATTTTGTCTCACCTCCTTGCGTGTCACATGTATAATCGCCACTGGCGCATTTGTACTTGAGATTCTCGAGAACGGCGCGTTTGTAGAAGGAAGCGCATGCCCGACATACCTAAAGCAAACAATCGTTGGCTTACTTTCTATAGTGCCTAATTCACAATCAATTCAATTTTGGTAGAGCAGTGAAAAAAAATAACATTTTAAGGCATTGGATTTTACTGCTTCTTAGAAAACAGTCTTAGAAAACAGTAAAACGCAATAAACTTGAACAATTTACGATTTTGTTACTGTGAATATAACTGTTCAAGCCAATTTTTTACAGCCAAAACAACTCACCTTAGCTCCCAAGATAAAAGTCCTGATATCTTCTGCGCACACCTCGCATTTCAACGCGTAATCGCTCCTACACCCACTGCTAGCCGTTGAGCCATGCGGACTTGTATCGAGCTTTTTCGTTATGATCTCACTTGACGGCATTGCTGAAGAAGAACTCGACTTTAAAGCCTTCAACGCAAGCTTTTTAATAACTCTTTTCAACGAAAAATTTAAGGCTTGTGAGTAGTTATGGGCATGGCAAGAACCATTAAAAATCTCATCCGACTCAAGGACTGGATTCTTTATTCATTAAAAATATTGTTGACGACTTGTAAGTGGGTCGGAAGACCGAGATTTGCCTTTAGCAAGTTAGCGAATGCTACGCGAAAAATATTTACAGAGGAAGAGGCAGCCAGAGGCTGTAAGATCGTTGAGAAATAGGGACTGTTATTTGGCCACAATCAGGTCTTTGAGGGCCTTTTCGATGCTGCATTCTTCGTCCTGTACTCGTTTGGAACGGAGGATCTTGATCTGTGTGATTGTGTGCATATTTTCGATGGAGAATTTCTGAAAATAAGAGGTTTATTACTGGCTTAACGGAGCTTTGATGACTTTGCCGTAACTCACATCAAACTCCCGATAAAAGTTCATAATCTCCGACAGTTTTTCGTTGTATCGGCCCGGAAATCGCTGTTTTAGACTCCAAGTCCACTCTTTCATCACCTTATCCTTGAACTGCTCCATTTCTTTCGTCGTTTTTCCGTTGAAATCGGCTATAAACAGAGGCTCAAACCGCTGTCTCGCATACTTACCATGCTTCCAAAGCACAAGCAGCATTAGCACCACCGAGTCGAACGAGTTGGTGTTTAAAAGTTTGTATCTTTTGACAATTTCGGCCAAGCGAATTGTGAATGGTGCGACCAGGCTGAAATTTGGATTTTTGGGTTAAAAAGTAAGGTTATGGCCCTACTTTCTGTAGATTTGAATTTCATCGGGCTCCAGGAAGCCCTTGAAGTACCATTCGTAGTCGACGTTCGCCGGATCCGACCAATATCCAGGCCCAAACACTATCCGATTATCTTCTAGGCGAGGGCAATAGTAACTGGTTAGATGACACTCATTCAGGGTTCTAAATTCGGGGTATGCTTCGCCCATTATTTTTATCTGCAAGTTGACATTTTTTGTGTGTAGGGTGATTTGACGATTACAGACTAAGTTTGCGAGGATTTTAGCCTACATTTTTTATAAAATCCAAGACTCCAAACCAAAAAATGTGTATCCAAAATTGGGAAGAAATAAAAAAATAGAGATTTCTCAAGTATTGACGCATGGCCAATTCACAAGACGTACGAAAAAAATTAATGAGATTAGTGCTTCATAGAGTTATGCATTTTCATAAAGTGCGTGGACATTTCGTCGCGTTTTGCACCGTGTATAATGTATCGGAATTTGCACTGTGCGTTAGCGATAAACGTGGAAAAAAGTTTAAAATGCACTGTGGAGTCCTTGCAGTTTACGAAAGTACTACTCCTCTCCTGGGTTATGAATCAAAGTCCATAAATTCAAAAAAAAATCTAATTTTTTACCTGATCGTTCCGTGGCAAGTTGCCGAAGGGCCCAAAGTATTTAACCAGCACATTGTAGAGGTCTTCTATTACCGCACACTCGAGTTTGAAAATATCTGTCTTTTTGGTTGTGATGAACTGAAAGAAGACTTGTTGATTTAGCCGGACCACATGCGTTTTAAAAAATATATTATACGTACAAGGGGACCTCTGTACAACGAGATGAAATATTTATATATTTTTTGTTTAATATCAGTCTTTCGGGAAAATAATGGGGATCCGACGCTCGACTGCAGCGAGTCTTGACAGTTTTTCTCCACAAATCCACATTATTTCCTCGACGGACTGATAAAAGGATTCCATACTAAAGAAGATTTTTTTGGATAAAGTATGACCCTCAAGAGCTCGGAAATGTTAAAGAAATGCATAAGAAACAAGTCTATCTGGTGTAACAATCTAATCGCCCGCACTTTCGCACCGAGAACGGCCTTGAAACAGTCCAAGTTCATCAATATTTTGTGTCTTTCAAAAAGATACAAAGCAATGATTTGATTTTCAAATGAAGAAGAGTCTAACCTTAATTTTGGGCATAAAGGGCAACGGAAATGTGCGATAAGTCTTTCTAGAAGCGTTCGTAAAGTGCTTGACACAAAGCAAAAATCGCGACAAGAACTAATGAAGAATTCAGCGGAATTTTAGCCCGCAATTCAGCATAGGGGTTTATAGATTCAAAATTTCATAGGTCCAACGCTCGCTAATAGCTTTCAATTTGGATAAGGCTCTTATTAACAAGTTGAAGTTGCACAGACATTGAAATGAACAACTTTTTTTAGGCAAAACTTAGCTCTTATAAAAATGTACCAACTTACGACTCCATGCGAGAAATCTGCCTCCGGATGCTGCCTTTTGATGACCTCGTGTTGCGCTGCATGATACTTTGTGAGCCCTTCGACGAGTTTTGTCAGCAACGGCAAGTTTAGAAAGTCCGGTTTTGGGATCTGCTTCTCTGTACTAGCTTTCAACTGTTCCTCATCGACTAAAGATTGCAGATAAAAGTAAACACGATTAACCTACTTTTTACATGGACTCCGGCTTGTTCGCACTTCATGAAACGGCACGCCTTGCATTTGGTTCGGTCGGAGCGGTCTGAACGAACAATTCGTTACTAGAAATCGGCGGTAAATTTTCGAGAATATACGAGGTGTTTCCACTTTAAACTCACAAGGAAGTGTACAAGTTCGACGGTCAGATTTTAATGTAACTTGACGAGAATTTAGACTGTACCTTTTTGAAGTCATATACGAGATAAACGAGTTTCCTAGCTCGCGCTTCTCCTATACAACTCATATTTTTTGTAGGAGGCTTGGTAAAACATTTGGCGAGGTTTTTTGAATAGAAAGAGCAATGTTTCGGCCAAACATCAATCTATTTATATTGTTCAAAAATGGCACCGACATGTCCTGAAAATAATGTGAACATGTTGAGGTTTTGGGATGGCACATCATCGCTTTGTGACGGCTAGCGGTGGCTACAAAGATTGTTGAATATCTCGTCTGCGTCTGCAAAGCGCGAGCTAAAACTGCCACAAATTTATGTGGGATACATACTGAACGTGTGCAAAAAAAATATAGCCCGACCGTCGCACTTGGGAAACCTCCCTTGTCAGTCGTCAAAAAAATCATCAAAAACACAAAAAAAACTTTGAAAAACGCCTCTTTTTTGGTTCACCTAATTAAAATACAAGGTTTGTAGCCGTAGAACATACCCTGTTTTATATCGCATTTGTAGAGTCCAGTCAAGCATTTGTATCGCTTACTCTCCATGATGCATCGTTTGTAGAAGGAGGCGCAAGCGCGGCACACTTGTGCGCCAAAGTTGAAATTGCCCGTCTCGTCCGAACACACAACGCACAGCATCCTCGGGCGTTTCGCCCTTGTCCGACTCGGTGTTCGATGCCGAATCATGGTCGCCGATGCGACCGGCTGCACCTCGGGCATTCGGAATTGAGTGGCGGTGACGGTCTTTACCTCCGGCATTCTGCAAGACCTCTACAAAAGAAAAGAACGTCGTATAATGACATTACAGCAAGTACAAGGTATTCACGGTCCACAACCGATGAGAAATCGTTGTCGTACATGCAGAAACAGGGAGAAATAGTGTTTATTCGGGGGCGAGGAAGGGTATTTTCGGTACTAGATATGGAATGTGCACTTATAACTGCCAGAGAGATCAGAATTGATAACTCCAGCAGGCAAGGGGATATCACAAAAATGCTTTTGTTTCTTCTTTGGCTTCTTGTATCACTCTCCAATCTTCAACCTCATCAACTCCTCTTCGATGAGGCAATCGGAAAAGTCGGACTTGCCGTTGCGCAGAACTTTCAGCTGGGTGCGGGAGTGCGCGGTGTCCATGTGCATCTTCTGAAAAGGATGTGTAAAACAGACTGCAGTGATAAGGGCATGCCAGGTCGAAAGAGATTATAAGAAAACTTTTTGTAAGAACGAGATAGCAAAGTATGGTTTTACCTAGCCAAAAAAGCGAAAAATGATTCTATTTTCTCCAATCGTCGCTGTTTTTAAAACCGCTGCCGGCCCAGCGAGCCATAACGGCTAAGACAGCCATGGCAGTCAAAACACTTACATCAACTTTCCCGTAGAACATCATGAACTTGGTCAACCGTTCCGGAGCCTTGTCCCCAAACCGCTGCTTCAAGTGTATCGACCACTCCGCCATCACCCGGTCCTTGAAAGCCTTCATTTCTTTGGAGAGCAGGTCGCGGAACTCAACTAAAGAAAGCGCAAAAATGCAAAAGCAGTGATGGCTTACTGTGTTTATATAACGCCAAGAACATCAGGACCACCGCGTCCGCTTTTTGCATCCCGAGCTTTTTGAACTCGTTGATGAGTCCCACGTACATCGGGGCCAACGGCATTATCGTCCTGAAACGAGTTGTAGAGACTTGAGCGTTCTATGCAACAGGTTCTGAATACAATAAAATCTCAAAGAATAAGCTCTTTTGTCTCTGACAGGCAAGGTCTTTACCGTTTGGCAAATAAAAATGGATAAAAACTGGTCGAAATTTGAAGCAGGATTTCCTAGGGCGTATACAAGATTTCTAAAGTTGTCAAAATATTGCGATTTTCGGCTTGAAAATTTGGGAGTAATTTACTACTGCAATGCATTTTTCGTTCTACAAAGAGTCTCAACTTTTGTAAACCAACAAGGAAGTTGCAGTAATTTCCGATTCTGCGCATCGCATCGTCGCCCAGAAAATTAATCGCGTCGTGAAAAAATAAAGTTTTTCTTCATTTACCGCCGCGATTGACGCAGCAACATTATGCTCAATATTTTCCCAACAGACTGAAGAATGAGGGCCGTTCTGAACACAAAAAAAAAAAAATTTTTTGACGTATCTAAGCTTCTATGTTCGACGCTTGAAAGACTTTGTTTATCAGAAGCGCCAACAAAATAGACCTTACTTGAAATACCAGTCCATCTCGTCGGGGTTCAGATAGTCCTTAAACCACCACTTGAAGTTGATATTGGTCAGGTCGGCCCAGTAAACCGGCGAAAACACCACCTTCGGATCGGTGGTGCTGGGACAGACCTGACTCGTCAGACAGCACTCGTGGTAAAATCTAATCTCCGGGTGGGCAAGTGACAACACGTTGATCTGGAAGCGAAGAATTCTACGTGGTATGTTCGTATTTTCGTAAGGTGCATGAACATTTTTTGCTTCCGCACAGTGCATTCTGAGTTTTTCCCACGCTCATCGCTAGTGCACAGTGCGTTATCCTTTTTTGCACAGTGCAAACTTCAAAGAAGCCGTTTGAACTGTGCAAGTTCCTGGCGCCGCCGCGGTGACAATGAAACTTGCTTATGTCGCAGCGATATTTCTATGCACAGTGCGAAAACAAAACAAGTGAAATGCACGGTGCAAAACGGAGTGCTTTGTGCGTAGTGCGGACCGCGACAAAAATAGGTTTTTTATGCACGGTGCAGTGGCAATCATCCATGCTCGTTATGAAAATATTGATGGTTCTGCTTACCCGATCATTTTGGCTCAACTTTTTAAAGGGTCCAAAGTGCTCAGTCAACATCCTCATCAACCCCTTGATGGACTGACAATCGGCTTCAAAAATGTAGCGCTTTTGAGGCGTAATGAACTAAAAAAATTGAAACAGTTGCTACGTAAACATTATACATACATTGTCGCCATAGAAACTACTTGGCTTTAGTAATATTTTTTTTCAAAAAATGCTTAAGAGTGGCGAAAATTACCGTTCCCATTGTGAAGTCGATGTTGGGATGCATTTTCTTGATGTTCTCGAGCTGATGGTCGCAATAAACGTCATAGCCTTCGACCATGCGTCTAAGGGCAGGTACAGATGAGTAGTCGGCGCCTCTATTGTTCCCACTGTAGAGGCCATTCCGAGTGTAGATTGTTTCATTTACTGAAACAATAAAATTGTACGGCCTATACATCTTTTAAGTGGGCCGAAACCTTTTCATTCATCAAGTTACAAAAGCTTACAATTTATTTGAATCATTAGTTCTTGACATTTCAGGTATCTGCACGCCTTACAAGGCAGGGTTTTGTCGTCCACTAAAATTTGAAAAAAAATAAAAGGGACAGGGAGCTTACAGTTGCGGACATTGCAGCTGAATTGGCCTCCTTTGCACTTGTAGCGCTTGTTTTCGATGACGGCGCGTTTGAAAAACGAGGCGCAAGCGCGGCACGCCTGGAACGAGAATTGTTACTTGATGACCAATGGCTGTAGACTGCAGCACTTTAAGTTTTACACCTTGCACGGTCAGGGCGCACTATGAATTTTATTATATATCATTCTGTCGGGAAAATAATGTGGATCCATCGCGCATTGGAATCGCTCATCGTCGCCTTACGACGGCTAGCCACTGCAGAAGATTTGGTGGCGCGACCGCCGCAAGGCGAGACACTTCTCTGCTGCAAATCAACACTATTTTTCCGGCAGTCAGATAATGCATTGCCACCGTTTGTAGAGAAATGACAAAATCTGTGTAAAGTGGCGCAATCATAATACGATTTTTTGGCCCACCTGGTGAGGGCCCTATTGCAACCTTAGATGGTTAAAAAGAGAGTAAAAAAAGTCATGAAGAACATCTACTATACGAAGAGATAGAGTGACACCCGTTTGCCCAACTCTCTCGTGGTTTACTTATTTATATGCATAAATGTCTGATATAAATACTTAAATTTGATATAACTTTTCATCCCTAACCGCTTTACAGCCCTTCTACTGCCAAGTTTAATTTATGAAACTTTCATTACTAACTACAGGACTTGTTTATAAAAAAGTGACGAAATTTTTTCAAAACAACCGCAAAAAGGGAACCTAGACTTACATTAGTTCCCAAATGTTTCGCTTTTGTCGCTTTTCCGCAGACCCCACAGCCGCTGAAGTCGGTGCGCGCATCCATGGAACCCGACCGACCCTTAATGGAGGGCATCCTAAAAACCTCAATTTAGTCCGACAATAACTCGAATATTAACATTAAACACGATACGTATACACATAAAGGCCTTTGACGGGTTTGTCTAAAATTTCCAAAACCGCTGTAAATATTTGTTTTCCCTTGGAATTGTAGTCTATCCTCTGAACAAATAAGAGTGCAAAAAGTCGGTGCGGGCCGTGACATTGAAATACCAAGGATTTGGCGTAGGTGGGTTGAAAAGTCTTGACATGTCTTTGCACTGTGCGGTAGGCATTGCTAATTTCCTTTGCGTGACAAACCAATCTGCACGGAGCCAATGAATTTTGTGTGCGAGAGCTATGCGTCAACTGTCCTTTTCAGGGACTGTTTTGCACGGTGCATGGGCGTTGCGCACAGAAAATTTTAACTAGGATGCAACAACGTCTTTGCACCGTGCAGAAATATCAATAGTTTTTAACCCTTCTTTTCAGTCTGTCGGGAAAATAATGTGGGTGTGTCGCAGTAAAATTTTTCGCCTTCTCACAGTCGCAAATCAAATCTCCAGCCACGGCTTGCCGTTGCAACGTAAAGATGGGAAATCCCAAGGCTCGACGAATTCACATTATTTTCCCGACAGACTAGTGGTAACCTTAGACAATGTAATAAGCGACAGTTTCGTAACCCTTCAACCAGGTCTTCTATTTGTCATCAAAATTGGTAAAAGACTTTGTTGAGTCAAGTATACCTTTTTTGGGTCAAGTCTCGCTTCCTCCGATATGAATTCCCAGAGAGGCTTTGTTTGGTTGTCCTTGATACAGTATGTCGCTTTCTAGAAGGAATTGGGTTTTAGTTGAACTCAACTTACCCTAGGAGTGGTCTAACATAGAACTCTCAGACGCCAGTGTCGAATCGGCACGGTTAAAGTAGGTTGGCCAAACACCTGCAACAAATGTGATATTGTATGAGTCAATTGAGCATGTGTAGCAGTTTACTTTTGGGGGATTTAATTGGTTGACCCGAGCTTTCAAAGACGTTTAAGGAACCTTACGTAATTGAAGTTATATGGCCTTATATGGGTCAAAATAAGTGTTCTACCACAGTTAAACAACTCCGCACAGTTACTCGAAAAGGATCAAAAAAATACTCGTTATAGAAGGGTATCGTTGTACGGAGGTTCGTTTCGACCTAGGATTAAGCGGCTAAGAACTTCTGTAAATGTTCGTTATAGACAGGTTTGTATGTCATCGTATTTTTTTTTTTTTATTTCTGCTCATTTCTGCTGATTACATCACATCTGTGGTCTCGCTTTTGAGCACCGGTTCTATTAATATTATACATAGAAAGACACAAGATAATCTCGGCGCTTTTTCCTGTACAATTCCCCTTCTCACTAGCCACGATGCATCGCGATGCTAGTGATACGCGCTCAAACCCGAAGAAAAAGGAGTGGCAATCTTCTGAATTGAAAAAAGAGGATCGTCAAGTCTGTTTGTCTTGCTTCTAATCTAGCCTAGAGCAGAAAAAAGATCGGTTCTGAATTACTTTTAATACAGGGTGACCCAAAATAACGGAGACAAAAGATTTCCCGTTTTTTCTGCGACTTATGAAGATTCATGAGTGATTCCTTATTTATATTACAGTACCACGTTAGTGTAGTTTTATATACCGGAATTTTTGTTGTACGACGCTCTTGTGCCTTGAACCACATCAATATATCCGGTTGACTCGGAGCTTTCTGCCCGTGGGGTCTTTTTGCAAGAAAGCTGCCTTACTCAAAAAAGAAAATTCGGAATAGTTTGAGATTTGCTGTGCTTAGCTATCATAATATGGCCTTTAAAACGGGCCATCGTACTAAGCTCAACTATCGATGGTTCAAAAGTTACAGCCGAGTATTTTCAGGCAGTTGAAGTGCAAAAATCGGCCTTTTTTGAAAATGTAGGCGTAAAAAGGAGTTTAAACGTTAGATAAGGCAAAATGTAATATGAGTTACTAGAACATGATTAAAGGAACACCATAGAACCAAAAGAGAAACATTTTGTAACTTCTACGGAATGCTATTTGGTAGTCACTAGGATTCTGCCTTATTTTTGCCGCAGGCGGAATACCAGTCGAGCCGGTGACACATAAAGACCGAAAGTGCCCTAGGCTGATTCTCAAGAGTCGTATTCATAAGTGTACAGGAGCAGAATGCGCCGTTTTTATCTATCTTGTCATTTTGTTATCGATAACCCATCTTTCTCAAAGCCGCGTGCCATGGGGTAGTTCTGGGCGAGAAACTTGTTAAGGAAAATCTGTTGCAACCAGCAAGCAATCACAGCGTTTTCCAGAATTATTGTATTTATGAATAGAATACGTTCTAGCGGTTTTAGCTTTATTCTAAAAAAACTGAATTTTTTATCGAAAAAATTTGGAAAAAATTGCGATCTTCAATGTTGAGATCGGTACCACCGTAGAAATAAAAACCGTAGCCCAGAAACCTACATAACTGCTTGCTTAGAGACGTAGTAGTCTAGCAAAACAAATGAACTTGCCATTTCTGCGGCTGTAGTACAGCCATGCTCTACACAACACAAAGGAACCAAAATTGAGGGCCAAAAAAACGGCGCAAGGCATTTTTGTTAAGCTGTAACTTTTTACTGCGACATGATGACTCCGCCAAATTTTCGTGAATTATAGAGAAAGTCTTATAGAATATTACCCACTGTCGCTTGTGTTTTTATAACGCCCGGGTTTCGCGGTGGGACTCTTCAAAAATTTGTCTCCGTTATTTTGGGTCACCCTGTAAAACGGGCAAAGATTTAACGACGTTGTAAAAGGCAAAGCTTGAGACGCGCATTTCAACATTACAAACTCACCATTACCGAGTTGAAAAGTTCACAAATCTCCGATAGTCTGCGTAAGCATTCTCGAACACCTACAAAAGCAATATTAATCTCTGTATATGTCTATATACATAATAGCATAACAAGAAAAGTGCTTCAAATGCGAAGCTCAGGTTTTCTTCAAATGTGGCTGGCCCGTTGGGTCTAGGCCACATATCAATTAAGAAAAAAATTTAGTTCGCGCTTTGCACACGCAGTCGAGATATTTAACGATTCTTGCGGTCGAAAGGTTCAAAAGCAGATTGCAATCATAAAAGACACCTTTTTTGCGGTTTCTTCGCCAGCTTCTCATAAAAAATTGATTCTGCGTAAAAAACTACCATCTACAGTTTGACATGAGCAAGCTAGGAACATTGCTCATGCCATAGAAAAAAATATCTAAATTTACGCCAAATTTCATTCAAATCTGAGCGGCGCACTTTGAACAATTCCCATGTAAAAAACCGTTTTCCCGACAACCCAAAAGCTCGGTGAAAGCTACAATAAAGCAAGTTGGGGAATGGAAAAGAGAGAAAATGATTGCCGCCAACCAAACGTCACGTTAAAACCGAATGGGAATAACGATGTTAAAATTGGGGAGAAAAAGCGTTGGCGCGATAATCGTTAACACTTCTTTTCGAGAAAAACAGATTGCAAACAAGAGAACAGTCTCCAAAAAATGATGTAATACATATTCAAATGTATACTACGAGGCTACTTTTATTCTAGCAAGGAGTGGCGGGGAAATATTAGTAACCGTAGTTTGGGAAGCTTGTAGAGAAAATATGATGACAAGAGAAGTGTCATTTACTACTATACAGTCGTTCCTGGAAGTGCGTAGACTCTTTTTGGCAATATCTTTGCCAGTTTCGCGTGGAAAAAATTTTTATTTTTTGTGGAGATATTATTATTTGTGAAAGAAATATATATGAAACCTTTAGTGATAAAATTCGCAAAATAATGTTCTATTTTCGCCATTTTTTGACCAAAAACTCTTGGTAGTTTCTGCAAAACGCAAACTAAAAAATATCGGAAACGTCATAGAAAAAAACGTCTAAATTTGCGCCAAGCTTTTCTCAAAGTCTAAGAGCAGAGCTTGCTCTTCCATTTAACTTTTTTGGGCTCCTTTTTTGATAAAAATTCAAAGCTTGGTACTACATTATCTAAAACAATAAAATTTTTGGTAAAACAAGCCTCTAAAGGGTGAAACAAACCAAGAAATTGTCAAAGACGAAACGCTCTCACGTTTCTTTCGAGAAAAAGAAAAGGTAACGAAAAAAGAAAATAATCATTTTTTTGTTCTCTTGGCTTCCCAAAGAAAAAAAGACATACTAAAAAACCCCTCTTTTTCCTCAACCTTGTAATCTTTCTTTAATTCAAGAAAAGATTATAAGGTGCCCAAAGGGCAATTTTTATTACATTTCAATGAAACTTGTTACAAATTTGAGTTATAAATATTTTAATGATACTTGTAAAATTTTTAAAAAACACGTGCGAAATTGCCATCTCGCCGCTTGCAGAATCGACCGAGATTTTTGGTACGAAACTTAGCCAAAATTGGACATTTTTCGCTAGTTGATCCATGAAAAATTTCGGCCGCATTTTGGTGATTTTAAAAAATTTGGAAAAGATATTGTGGAGTTCCATATGCATTTCACAAAAAATAGGCTTTTTTCAATAAAACTATAATAGCAAAAAATTCGGCCACAGAGATTTTTGAATGTCGGCTGTTCCCGTAAACCGCGAGTTGAAAATTTCAGGAATTTATTTGAGGCCTAGCCCCAACTTTTGTGCAAAATTTACAGAGAATCAAGAAGTTGGACTTGGAGAACTATCCTATGTTAATATGCAATATAAAGAAAAAAGTTATTGGCAGTTTCACCTTAGTCAAATTGATTTTAAGACACATTTAACGGAGGGAAAAAGCCGAAAGAATTCTTTCGCCAGACTACAGAGCACCGAACAAAGTGCAAGGTCTTTATGCAATGTGGGCGTCTTTTGGTGACAATTTTTAACATCATTAAAGAAGTTCCTCAACGAAAACAAAATCAAAATTTCCATGGTTATATAATGTTGACAGTAGGAACTAAATTTAGAGTTAAATTCACAAACCAAACCCCTGTGGAAGTATGCCTCACAAAGACAAACAAATGACACCATCGTTTTCCTAAAAATGAAAACAAAAATATCCTCAAAACTGCAAAAAAATATCCAATTTCCATCAGTTCCGCTTCAAAAGATTCGGAGGTCTCTGTAGCACCGAAATCATGAAATATAAAATAAATAATTGGCCTTATGGCTGACAAGGGTGGTGTCCAAAGTTCAACGCTTATTGTCAGTCTGTCGGGCAAATAACGGGTCGGCAAAATTTTTCGTCTCGTCGAAAAACTGGTGAAGTCGCGCACCAAATCTCCACTTGCGGCTAGCCATCGCAAAGCGATAATGGGTGATTCCAAGACACGACGAATCGCGTTATTTTCCCGACAAGCTGATAACAGAATCTCAATTTCTAAACATCTTGGCTCGTGCTTTACAACGACGATTTTTGTGGCCGAGAAAGCACGTAAAACGCGGAAAGCGGTTACAGAGAAAAGACATTTTTTTGAAAATTTTGGGAGGAAGAGTTGACCGTTGACCACCCAAGGGGAAAGACTTGACTCATTTTGCAATCTGTTGCGACGTATTTTACAAAAACCCAATCAGAATTTATGACAAGTTTTATCTAACAAGGGAAGTACCCCAAGTGCGACGCTCAGATTTTGATGAAACTTGGCACAAAGTTAGAATAATTTTTTCTAAGATATATGCGAGAATCCTAGCTCGTGCTTTGCAGAAACAACCGAGATTTTTAGATCGAAAGTCGGCCAAAATTTAGGACTTTTTGCCGAATTTCGGCACGAAAAGTTTCACGCCTATTTCTCCTGTAAAGGATAATGTTTCTACAAAAAATCAAATTTTTCCGCACGAAACTGCCAAAGTTATGGCCAAAAAGCGGGTTTCTCTGTGACCGCTCTCCACGTTTAGCGTGCTCTCTCGGCGGCAAAGATCGTTCTATATCTCGGCGGTGCCCGCAAAGCGCGAGCTAAAACTTTCAGGAATTGATATTTAGTCCATACCCGACGTGTGTGCAAAATTTAAAGAAAATCTGAGCGTCGCACTTGGGGTACTTCCCCTGTAAATCGCACTCTAAATTCCCTAGTTAGCTCAGAAATAAAATCGTTTTCTAGTGTAGTTTGAGCATTTTTCTGCAAACTCTGCTGTTTACCATACAGTGCCAGTTAATTTCGTGTTTACTCATTGGTCAGCTGCGTAAGGCTACAAAGCAAGGTTCATTTTTAATTTTATTAGGTCAGTGGTTGTTTACAAGTACGAAAAACGATTGCTGCAGCTTAGAACACCTCTACATCATACAGTAAATCGAGAGAACTCATTGGGAACCTAATGTAAAAGGGTGTAAACCACTAAAATGCATGTAAACTCCCATTGACGAGCTCACAAATATGTTGATGCGTGCTTTGTAGAGACAACTGGATAATTATCAATTCCCTTGGTCGCAACGGCGAGATTAGAAACGATAATTAACGAGGGGAGTACCTCGACGCTCAGATTCTCTTTAAAATTTGCACACATTTTGGGTATAAGCCACATATCAATTCATGAAAATTTTAGCTCGCGCATTGCAGGCGCAGCCGGCATTTTTAACTATCCTTGGAGCCGAGAGAGCACGCGAAACGCGGAGAGTCGTCAGAGAAAGGAAAATTTTGGCCATATGTTTTACAATTTCGCGCGGAAAAAATGATTTTTTTTATGGAAACATTATCTTCAAAGGCACGAAACTTTTCATACCAAAATTTTCAAAAATGTGTCATATTTTTTCCGACTTACAACCTAAACATGTTAGTCGTTTTTTAAAAAGCGCAAGCTACAGATCTCGCATATATTTCAGCAAAAAATTATTCTACATTTATGCTGAGTTTCATCAAAATTTGAGTGTTGCATTTGGGGTACTTCCCTTGTAAAATTTTGATCAAAAAATGTTCCTCAGCCCTCCGCAACGCATTTTCCCTCAATTTCAAAAACAGAAAGCCTTTCTTATCTATGCAATGGTAGAGGAAAGACATTTTTGGAGACAAAACCGGCAGTAAATATTAGTAAAATAAGCCAAAAGTTGACTTCTTTTAAGAAAGAAGTTGCACCTCAAAAACCAAAGCCTTTTTGTTTACAAGACTAATTCAGAGAACCGAAATCGCATGAGAAAAGTTGATCACACAGAAAAAGGGAAATTTTTTGGAGGGCAACCGCCCCATCTCTCCGTGTCACTTCTCTCCCATGTTGCTTCCGCGTTTCACTTGCTCGCAAAAAGCGCTCACTTTTGACGGCCCCCAAAACAGAGAGCACATGATAAATTAAACCACATAAAATCGTTTACTGAGTGTTCCGAACGCGACTGTCAGATTTTTAAAAATTTCATATCCATCGGACATGGACCGTGTATTAAATCTTTAGAGTTTTGGCTTGTGCGTTGCAGGCAAAGCCGAGATATTCAACAATCTTTGCGGTCGAGAGAGTACGCAAAACGCGGAGAGCATTTAGAGAGGGAAACAGTTTTTGGCGTTAACTTTGCCAGTTTCTCTGGTAAAAAATCGATTCTTTCTGAAAATGTTGCCCTCTACGGGAAGCAGTAAATTTTTCATGTCAAAATTCAAAAAAATATGATACATCTTGCCGACTTTCGACCAAAAAATATTCGGTCGTTTCAGCAAGGTACGAGATAAGAGCATCATGTATGCCCTAAAGAAGAATTACTATATTCCTGCCTAGTCTAATCAAAATCATTTGGAACACTTCCCCTGTCATTAAAAGTTTTTGGAATAAGCCAAAAGAAAAACACTGCCCATACCTTCGAGCGTGCAAGGAAATCTCTCACTGCGGTGTGCTTGTAACTAGGAAACATAAAAAACAGACGACAAATGAAGGGCCACTGGGAACTTGGACGAATCCATAAACTAAGACCAGAAACAAACAATTTTCGCATAGAAAGCTGGTTGTGAATACGGGAGTATAATAGTGCAAAAAGAAATACATATGTGTCTTGTGCTGACACGACGGTTTCTTGGAGACAGGCGGGTAAGTCACAAATCTCCATTTGTAAAGTCGCTAGAGTGATTTTTGGCCTTGCGCTTTGAAGAAAAAGACAAAGCGACATCTTAAAAAAGATTATTGCACGTTGCAAAAAACAGGAAATTACATATTTCAAGTGAGCTTTCGTTTTCGCTTTGCGAGAGGAGGCAAGCTGGGATTTGAATGTTAACCAGGTGTTATTAAAAACTCCCGCTTCGAAAAATTACTACGGTTTGTCTTAAGGGAAATTTTCAGTCTGTCGGGAAAATAATGTGGATTCGTATCACTCATCTTCGCTTTGCCTCAGCTAGCCGCGGCCACAGGCTTTGTGTGCAACAGCGGCGAGGCTTGACGTGTTTTTGCGACAAATCCACATTATTTTCCCGACAGACTCGTATGAGTTTCCCCATATGCACCGGAAAAGACATAACTCCACTTTGCACTGTGCAATAGGCTTTTGTGGGCTGTCGCTCGCACCCTGTCCTTTTTGCGCTCTGCAAACGACAAAGCTCACTCTAGCAACTTTCCGGACGGACTAGCAAACCGACTACAAAGCAAACTTACCCCGTGAAATCACTTTTTTCATAACTCGTAATGGGGATAATACCCCGACCACAATGACTCATCAGATTATATGACAACAGTCTTGTTTTGCTCATTTCTGCAACCCAAATCGCTCTCTGAATGGTTTAACAACCGTAAAACATGTGCAAGAGCAATCATATTGTAAAATCAACAAAAAGAGCTGCAAATCTTCTTTTGTAGCCTAAGAAAAATACAAAAAAAAACACTAAAGTTAGATGAAATGAGAACTCTTGAATTGCCATTGTCGATAAATCTGATTTATCGACTTATTATTAATTTTTTTACATTCATAACAACGCTTATTAAAATTAGTGAGTATCTAAATACAGTACAGCAATGTAATAAATATTTATACATATACATACAAATAAACTAAATATCGGCCCGTACTTCACTCGCAGTTTGCTTTGATTACTTCTACCTGCGTTTCGCAGCTTTGAATGCAGGGAATAAGCTGTGGAATCTAGAAATTCATTATATATAATATATTATACATATATATACAGTATCTACACACATGTAATATTGGAAGTGCTCCAAGTGCGACGCTCAGATTTTGATGAAACTTGGGACAAGTTTAGACCAAAACTTTCTAGCTGACGCTCTCGGAATACGTGGCTTATGTCATATCTTGTATGCAAAATTTAGAGGAAATCTGAGCGTCGCACTTGATGCGCTTTTCTTGTAAAAATATATCATAGAATTGCACCCAACCTACATCAGCTCCAGACGCTCGCAATGCTTGGAATTGCAAGTCAATGTTGGCGGCCTCGAGTCGGAATGCCTGAAGTGAAAATACTAATCGTTGCTGATGCTCCTACCGTGATTTCATTGAACAACAGCATGATCTCGCTCATCCGCCTGCACGCGTCGTCTTTGTACTTCTTTTGCATGTTGTGGGACCATTCTCGTATCACGCGATCTTTGTACATTTGAAGCTCGGCATAGTTCTCATCGTCTTCCTCCGCTGAAAGACATAAACATGTCAGATAAGTAGTAAATATAGGTGTGGCATGCATTTGAAATTTCATAAGGTAAAGTGATCAAACAGCCAATTTTTTTGAAAATTTTGTCCACTAAAAGGCTTATGCCTATTTCTGTTGTAGAAGGCCTTCTACGATATAACTTTCGAAGGTAACGTTTCCACAAAAAACACTTTTTTTCGCGCATAGCAAAGCTTAAGTGAAAAATTCAATTCTCTCTGTGACCGCTCTCAAAGCGCGCACTTTCTCGGCCGAAAATATCGTTGAATATCTCGGCCGCCCCTGAAACACGCAAGCTAAAACGTAGAAGGATTTTATAGTAAATACTTAAAGATATCATGGCCTAAAACGGGTTCTGAAATTGCTCACTACAGTTTTTGTTGTGTTTCTTGTGGAGAACTGTAGGTGACTTTTTGGAAATTTCTTTCACTGTTAAAGTTCTTTTTACTTCAAGTCATGAAAAAACTTACCAAATTTACAAATTGAAAGCAAGATCAGTACAGACGTGTCGGCTTTGTCTAATTTCAGTTTTGTCGATCGCCTCGTTATTCGTCGCAGACCGTTTGTGAAGGCGTTGACGAGTCTGCAAATAAGCCAGTGTAATTCTTCGTTGAAAACTGTATGTTAAATCATGCTTTCGTAATGTAACTTTCTTGATCTTTTATGGAACTAACAAGAGAAGTATCATAATATTGCCACAGGTTTTAGTTTATAAACTAAAATTCATCACTAAAAAACCTTTCCTTTCATTTCCCCCATTTAACAAGGAAAGTACTTCTATGGGGTGTGGAATTACCGGTCGAGATATATATCAAAAAATTCGCAAAAATTTTCTGATTCAGAATATATAAAAATTAGCTGCCTAATTTTGGTCTAATGACATGTTTTTGTCCTCAGAAGTTTTCTCGCGACACCATGCAAGTGTCTTTTTGACCGTGTTTTTACCAATAAAAAATTTTTGTTTTGTGCTAAAATAAATTCTGAGGCCTTGACAAGCCTTAAAATATCAAGTTGGATTACAACTACACCTTAAAAGTAGTTCCAATGTAAAAAATAGGTTCTAGTGTGGCAAAAAGAATCGAACCCGTTTCCCTCGGATTTCCAACCCAGCGCTCTAACCACTCGGCCACACCGCTCTCTTCCGAAGGAAGAGACTGAGCGCGCTTTTGTTGCCGCAGATTTTTTCCTCGAGAAAAACATTTATTGAAAAAACTCGCTGATAGACCAAAATTAGGCAGCTAATTTTTATCTATTCTGAATCAGAAAATTTTTGCGAATTTTTTGATATATATCTCGACCGGTAATTCCACACCCCATAGAAGTACTTTCCTTGTAAAACGCTCTCTGACGTGGGCTTGAAAATAAAGAGCATTATCAAACATTGCATTAGTTTTGGTATGATGAAAGGGATAGTCCCGAAGAATCTGATGACATTAAAACTTCTTAAGAGAGTCACAACTCAGAATCAGAGGCCTTTTCCGATCAGTTCGGAGATTGTTATCAATTGCGTGGGTAAATTTTGCGAGAAGAGTGGAGCCCCTATCTAAAACTACATAAATTTTGATTAACATATACGTCATATGATGAGTAAATTTGCCTATCCTTCCGGACGTTTATCACGTACGAATTGTGGTACGATTTTATCGAAAAATGGAATTTCGGAACAAAAGTGCTTCGCCATGAAAGTGTACAGATAAAAAAAAATTTGTTCGTTATAGAGGGGCTTTGTTGTACTGGTCCGTTCGCATAGGCGATGTTGTGATTTTTGACGTTCGCACTGTGCAGAAAAAGTTAAAGTGCAAGCGACAGTTGAAAAGGCATTTGCACGGTGCTCTGGTAACCTCGGAAATTGTCCGTTACAGAGAAGTTTTGTTGCTACTGAGACTCAGTTGCCCTGCATTATCCTTTATTCTTGAAGGGCTATAAGCGAGAAAAATATGGTACACTTTGTGCTGGCGGAATTGACAAAAGAAGTTGATTTGGAACAGCATGGTCTTTGACAAATGCTAGATTTTTTAGCGCTTTGAAGAAACCGTCAAGGCCCTAATATAAGGCCCGAATTATTCAGCGATTTGAATTTGTATCGGACAGACACTTACAGTTGTTACTTTTTACTGTAGTTTAATAAAAAAATATGTCATATATAGTCATAAAAAATAGGGGATTCTGAGGATTCAGGTAAACAAAGCATCTTCAAATTCGGCCGAAAAATAAAAAAGTTATAGCCAATGCAAATCGGGCCACAAAGATGGCAGACCCTGTAACGGAATTCGCAACCCAAATTTAAGCACTTCTTGCCATAAATTGCAAAAGCCATAGCGAATGAAAGGCATTACTTACCCCATGAACCTTGCCTTCAGTGCTGGCTCCATTGTCATCCCATCGAACCACCAGTTATCCACATAGTCATTGAGATCAACCGCATATCCCGGCATTAAAGCGTAAGTATTGCCATCCTCAGAGCCTAGCGAGGCCGTTATTGCTAACATGTGAATACTGTGAACTTCATACTGGCTTTTTAGGATTAAATTTATCTAAAAACAGAAGATGATCAAGGAAAACGAGAGTAAAAATGATTTTTAGTCGTTTTATTAATTAGGAATTTGCTAATTATCATGGTTTTGCAGCCAAAATCATATGGTGACTTACATATTTCGTCGTATCCGGATACGACAGACCCGTCACACAGCTGGTTAGCGCTTCGTATAGCGTCGGAATCGAGATCCGCAACGCATCCGCGTATTTTTTCTTTTCCGGCGCGATGTACTGAAAAAAATTAGAGTTCGAAGATGATACAGCTAAGACTACGTATTCATGATCATACATCACAATGAGTGAGGGCATTTTATGTCTTGTGCTCACCTTGACGACATCAAAATTAACGTTTGGGTTGCAATGTTTGGCAATGGTAAACTGATAGTTGTAAAAGCTTTCGTACGCTTTTTGGAGTGTCGCTGCCACCGATGTGATGCCACTGCTGTAGAGGCGGAGGATCGATGTTTCGATGATTGTATCTGAAATTGATTTTTTATCGAAAAAATTGGAACTTTTTTGGTTTTTGGCGCTTTTGAGGAGGAAAAAAGGTTGATACTCAAAGTTTAGGTTATTTTTACCCTAGACGAGAAAGGAATTCGGTTATCGAAGACCTGTTCTTTTGTCGTTTGCATTATTTTTGTCAACCCTAGCTCTAAAAAAATCTTTATGGTCATAAAAACCTCAAAAACCAAGCAAAAAAGAACGTTGCTCAAAGTTCAGGGTCTTTTTGCCCTGGGCGTTAAAGGAATTTGACTGAAAAAGACTTGTTTCTTTTGTCTCACGCCTTATTTCAGGGAACTTTAGGTTCTAAAAATTTTTTATAGCCACAAAAAATTGCCTTATTTTAGTCAACCCTAGCTCTAAAAAAATCTCGATAGTCATAAAAACATCAAAATCCCCGAAAAACCGAAGAAAAAAGACTGTTGCTCAAACTTTTGGGGTATCTTTGCCTTAGGCGTGGAAGGAATTTGAGTGAAAAAGACTTAGTTCTTTTTAGTTTAACACCTTATTTCAGGGAACTTTTGGTTCTAAAAAATTTTTGTGGCCGCAGATATCCCTCAAACCCCCCTCCTTACCGTAGCGCCCTCGTCTTCGCCGCTTCTTAATCGGCACTATCGCTTCGGTCGTGGCCACATCCGACATGCCGCTGGGAGTCGCAAATACTTCTCAATGTTCTTTCCACATTCCCCGCGGAAAACCGATTGATAATCAACCGGGTGGAGCAATAAGTCCAAGGGGAGTGTATGGGCAAACAAACACACGGGGCGAAAAGCGAGGAAGGCTGCCTGAAAGCCGTCTTTTGTTTTATTAAGTGAGACATTTTTAGCATTAAAAATGCAACAAGGTTCGATTCTCAGCGCGCAGTTTTGTTTGAGGTTTCGCACTCCACTGCCAGGACTACAAACTGTGGGAAATTAAGGTTTTTGCTTTGTGAGGGAGAAAAAATGGTGCGGCTGGGGAAATAATCATCTCGCGAACATTGTGAATACCGCTAAAGGGGGAAGAATGGTAAAAAATTTGAGGTAATTGTAAAATTGAACAAGAGATTTCGCTGTATTCAATTGCAGTTTTTTCCAAAACTACATATACGATTATATAGATTTTTAAAAAGCCTAACTACTGGCTGCAGAGAGGCATTCAAAAAAAATGTTTTGTCATATAAAACATTCGAACTATCGCACAAAATGCACGGCGCAAAGCCGTAGAAAATTTACAAGGCTTTTTGCAGCAATTAGTATTAAAGAACTCGTTTTTTCAGAACTAAAATATTGACGTTTCGACCAAGCACAAGTTCAAAATCATGCGTGAACTTGAGGAAGTTCCAATCTCTATTCGCGTCACTTCCTTTGCAAAACATTTCCCGAAACAGCCCAAAAACACACGCTTTTCAACCTCCAAAAGCAAGGCTTACTTTAAAACCCCAAAAAAGCGGTCTCAAGAACATTATAAAGGTCAGATAAGCAAACACAAACCACTAAAATACTTGCGAAAAGTCAACAGTCACAAGAATCGGGGGTGGTGTTGAATGGACTTGGGTTTAATGGACTCACTACATACCGCCCTTGCCAACCGAAATGAAACATTTTGCGAGCACACTGTGGACTCCGAATACGGGCGAGAGCCACCTGTACAAATTCGCCCCGCTTCGCAAATACGGAAAGACAAAAGACCCGCCGGTAGACTACGAAACAGAAATCAAAACGTACAACTTGCACCCTCCGCGCAACAGTGTACGGATATGTGAGGCGGAACGATCGAGCTTCGGGGATTTTCCCGCGAGGAACGATCTACATTTATTCAAATTTGATTGTTCTTTCCTACGTGGGAAATCTTCCCTATAAACGGCCTCCTTTCCACTGAATAAATCACTTGACCCTTGAGCTTTCGTCTTGTCTCGTTACCGGGTAGTCGGGCCTTTCGACAGGATACTTATATTAATTTTAATCCATGCTCAGGTAAGCCAGTTTAGTGCCTTGCTTTGACCCTTTCTGTTTGCATAGTGATGGCTAAAAGCCTCTGTTTGAAAGCGATTTACAAATAAATATAATATACACAGGGTGCGCCAAAAAATGGGGAAAAACGTATTTGTACGACCAACCGCACCTTCTTGATATCAGTCGCCACAAAAATTTCAGGTCTATTAAAAACCAAGTTAAAACTGAAACGATAAGAATACAAAAAGCACCGAATGCACCCAGTCAACCCCCTAAAAACTACAAAACTCGGGCATGTGTATTCAGCCGTCTGTTGCTCTCCAATTTACAAGTCAACATTTCAAATAAGTCCCCCATAGCATTAAAGTCATCCTACAAAAATTGACCTCGAATGAAAACGGTTTCTAAAATTTTTATGTAAGCTCCTGACAAGTGTGTAAAAATCGTCACATTAATAAAAAAATGGACAATATTATTACACTGTGTCTTTCTCCAACAGCAAATGTAGTCTTGAATAAACCGAATTCGCGAAACGAGCTGAAGTACACCCAGTTTTTTGAAGCTTTATGGCTATTTAAAGGTTGGTGAGTTGTCAACCTGAGGCGTCAGTCAAGCTGGCGTCGTTTTCATCATGTTAAATTGCTTGTCATTTTCATTATCAAACTGAAGTTTTTTGGGAAAATTTTTGCTACAAGATAAATTTAAAATTTTTCGGAACTAATTGCTTCTTATTGTCAAGTCTGTTCCTTATCACATTTTTTATGTCAAGAAGTAGAATTAAAAGTTATTTCAATGATAGAGCTTTTATCTTGCACCTTATACGTGCGTTCTACGTAAATTAAACAATTGGAGAAAAGCGAAAATTGTTGTCAGTTTGTCGGAAAAATAATGAGCACAATTTTGCGGCAGCCATCCCGTCGCTGAAGTGAAAAGCGACACAATTCATTTTCTCGGCGGCGATACGATTATGATGCAAAAGTTGCTCATTATTTTCCCGGCTGACGGATATTTTGCGGATCTTCATGGCTTAACAAAATCACGTTTTTGATTTTAGCGTGGATCCTAAACTTATTATGTATGGCATGAGTGACGCATTGCAAACAACGAGGATTCTGTATATAATTCTGGACCAAAGATGGTTATTCATTCTGATTCGGAAAGGTTTTATGAATCAAACAAATATAGCACCACAGAATAGAGTGGACAATTTGTCAGCTTTTTTTCAATCTGACCTCAGCGCATCGAGTTTGTAAGGGAAACAGAGCACACAAAAGGCGGAGTGCGGTCAGAGGCAAACAACATTTTTGGCCTTATCTTCAGTTTCGTTAAAAAAATAGATTTTTTTGTGAAAAAATTGCGCTCTACAGTAAAGGTCGATAACAAAGTTTTCATGCCCGAAAAGTGCGGTAAAAATTGTCGCATTTGTGCCAAATCTCGTGTTTTTGCAAAGGTCTGGAAAATTAGCACGTTTCTAGAAAAAAATGATGCTCATCAAAATCTGAGCGTCGCACTTGGCACTTCCTTCCCTAAAAATTTGCTATTTATTCTGTTTGTAAGTGGTCAAAAAACACAAATCGTGGTAAAGGTCCTTCTGTGGAGGCTACTGCAAACATTGACTATTTTGAAATTTAATCCGAGATATATAAGGCACCCTCTCCAACCAAAAAAAAAAATATTATATTTCTGTTATGAATTTATATGGTATAATTGGCAAAATATTTATAACGGAATAAGGCAGCAAAAAGGGCTCTTGATAATGCCCTGGAGAGCAATAGATACAGTGTGGGTCATAATACTAGCCGCGACATAAAGTCCTGACACATTTTGTCGCGGGTGTCGCGCGAGAAAAGTGGCAAGTTCGCGCGAAAGTGCATGTCGCTAGTGCAAAAACGGGCGGGTCCGAAAGAAAAACAAAATGCACTGTGCAAATGTGTCAGGACTTTATGTCGCGACTAGTAATAACTGCACTTTAAAAATGAGTGTAACTTTTGTGATTGTCAAAGTTCACTCATTTTTAAAGTGCGGCTATATTAGGTCTGGAAGTAAGACTCCGCCGTTTTTTTGGTTTGCATTTTTTTACAGGTTGCAGTAAGGTTTTAAAACTCCTTTTGAGATCTTCTGAAAGAGTTTTAAAAACTCTATCTATTTATGTATGGTTGGTATGGTAAGACTTGACACAGTGGTTTTTATGAAGCTTCAAAGATGACCAACTTCGTCCCTGGAAAATCGTCATTTGCGGGAAATTTTACTCTGCACGTGTAATGCGAGGGAACCCGTTTTTAATGCATCGATTGTTTAAAGAAGATGAAAATCTTGATTAAAGACAAGGGCTTATAGCATACACTCATTCATATATCGCCTGCTATATGAATTGCTAGGTCGCTGCAGTGCGACCTAGTATGTCATCTTGCAGGCAATTTTACCGACCAATGATACGGCATAACAAAACCAAAATCTTGGCCTTTACAATAAAAATCCGCAATCATTAATTGACGGTGTTAATGTCAATGTTGTCCCGTGAAGATCATCGATTCGAAGAACTCCGTTGGAAACAAGTTATGATAGCCATCGAAGATGGCATCTTCATATTCCGTTCGACAAATAGCGTCTTCAAAGTTCGTTAGCGATAACTTTTTGGGGATGCAGACGCTATATAAACCTGTTGTGTTATATTTTTGCGAAAAACATCCGGTGGTTGCGTAATAGGGTTTCTAAATATTTTTGCCTTAATTTTATTTTTTTTTAAAGGGAAGGGTCCTAATGCTCAGGTTTTATAAGTTTGATAACAGGTCGGTCATCAGGCCCATACCAATTCCTGAAAGTTTTAGCTCGCGTTTTACAGGCGCAGCCGAGATATTCACCGATCTTTACCGCCGAGAGAGTACGTGAAACGCGGAGAGTGGAGTGAAAGAAAGACTCTTTTCGCTGAATTTTTTTCTGGATTCGCGCATGAAAAAGTATTTTTTTTTCAAAAAACATTTCCTTCTACATTAGAAAACAGTAAGAATGTGCTCATGTAAAAATCCGCAAAAAAGTTTCTTATTTATTTTCGCCAAAATTTGACCTATATAAAAATCTTGGTTGTTTCTGCTTATCGTGACCTAGGCATCTCGCATATGTCTTTGAAACAGCTATCAGTCTGTCGGGAAAATTATGTGTGGTTATCGCGCCTTGGAATCGCCCAGTTTGCTCTGTAGCCGCAGCTGGGAACTTGGTGCACCCTTTTTTCGAAACATTCTTCTGCGACGGCCTGCCATTTTTTTCTCCGACAGACTGGTATCCTAAATTTGTGCCAGCTTTCATCAAACTCTGAGAGTCGCAATTAGAGTATTTACCCTGTAATGTTAGCCGGTCTGCACGTTTTGTTATGCTGTGTAACCGACTCTAAGCGTTCTCTCATTTTTGCACACTATCTTGTCGACAAAGACCGTTAAATATGCAGCTCAGCAGCTCCTAAACAACGCAAACTAAAATTTTCAAGAATCGGCCACTTTAAAGGGTCCCCTTGTTGATTTGAGCCGTGTTTTCCGAGAATCTGATTCCTTTGTCAACAAGACGCCTACGGTGTTTTAAAAATACGATTCCAATAACAGAGGAGGTCATACATCATCTTCCAAACTCTCAACGTTTTTTGAACTAAACGACGTATTCACTCGCAGTTCATATGAGTTGTAGCGTTCTCAAATGGACTCATTCGTCAACCAGATCTTGTTTTATTAATGCGCTCCTTTCGCCTTGTAATGAAAAGATAGTACATAAAGCCATTTCATTTTTCACATTTTAATCATTTTGTTTGCTTTCTGATTGCATTTTTTTATGTTTCTCAATTATTTTCGCTTCAAAATTCAAAATTTCGGCGCTATGACTTTTCGGGTCATCGACAGTTCAAGTTTTGGCTCCTACAAACCTGAGCCTCGAAGCAAGAACTATAGGTTTGCCAATGAAAATAAAACGCAACTCCAAGACACCATCGGTTTTTTGAGATATTTTTGTTTTTGGATAGCTTCGGAACACAATATTTATCTACATAATATCTGTATTTACATGATGATAGATAAAATTATGGGCGTAAGGAATGAGGCCCGGATAGACTTTTGTTTCGATAAGCCAAGTCTAGTTCAAGTTTTGTGCATTGTAGAGACTAGGAGAAGGGGAAATAATAAGATTGGCAGGGCCCTATTATAGCTCGCGACCTATTTTGAGGTGTTTTACATGTGTCTCACGACAGATAAGCAATATCCAGATAGAACTTACCCATCTCCGTTGTTTCGAGTAAAATTTTGTCTTTTTTTGTGATACGGTAGATCTGGCTCAAGAAAAAAAATGGTCAGTAAAAGCGAAAATTAAAAAGTCTCCGCCGAGCGTCCGCCGAGCGTCCAACGACGGCTTTTTGGGCCTTTTAGGCACTCTTACAAGATTTTTTTGGGTCTCATTCTTGGTTAATCTTTGTATCGATCGATCTTGTGTTGACTCTTGCTGTCGTTGACCCAAAAAATCCCTAACGAACTTCCTAAGAAACACCATTCCTTTCCGGGTTATTCCATGGAATAAATTATTTTCCGAAAAACATATAAAAAGATGTTGTTCAAGCATAAAATCATATATATGTATTTGTTTACAATATTTTCTATATATTGAGCGTGAGAAATGTGGGAGCTGACCTTCTCCATTCTGGCGATTTATTTCATTTCCTTGGCCATTCTGGTCGATTTTGTTCTTACTGACTATTCCTTCTAGACTATTGTTCCTTCTCCAACGTATAATTACAGAATCTAATGGCCAAAGATCTCATAATTGTCGGGTTCTTTCTATTTTTCCTCAGTTTGCTATCAGTTTTTGGAGATGACCATGGAGAAGATGAATTAATTTTTGTCTCAGCGGTGGGTTGTGCAAGTATCATTCTCAGTCTGTTGGGAAAATAATGAGTTGTCGATATTCCAATCGCGCCGTTGAAGTGAAAAGCAATTTGCTTTTGCCGCGACACAGTTCATTATCCCGACGGCGATGCGATTTTGGATGCGACATAATGGCCATTATTTTCCCGACGGACTGATAGACCTTCGTACGTCTAAGTTTCTGCCCGTTTCAGATATGGCGTCATGGAGAAAGGTCGATCCATCGAGACTTCCCTTTTAATCTGTATAACGCAACGTTTTGGCCAAATGGGATAAACCAGTTGACGGAGGTAGGCCGTAAATTTTACATTTTTAAAGTAATTCATCTGTCAGTCTGTCGGGAAAATAATGTGGATCCCTGGAATCGCTCGTCATCGTCTTCCGACGGCTAGACGCGGCTGAGGATTTGATGCGCGACTGCGATAAAGCGAAAAATTTTTCTGCGACAAATCCACATTATTTTCCCGAAAGACTGATAGTTACATAAAGCAAGTGTTCACGAGATCTTTAAACTTTATTTATCCGGTGCAAAACTAAGCAAAAAAATTACGACAACTTGGCAGATACATGACAAAAAGGCGTTTTTCTTCCTGGCTTTTTGCGTGATTCTTACCGACCAATATACATAAATAATTCATGTCTTGGCGGTCTCTGGATGGCGTTGATTGGAAAGTTCAGAAATTGAGCAGTGGCGTAACGCATAAAAAAATACGACCCCACAAAAGATACAAGCATTTGACAAGCAATATTGTGAAAATATTGTGAGAAGCAAAGCACTTCACCTGTCTTCAGTCCGTCGGTAAAATAATGAGCACTCTGTTGCATCGAAAATCGCATTAGTGCCTGGGTTGTAACAAAATCAAATTACTTTCACTTCAGCGACGCAATTGGCACAGCGACATTGTCCTCATTATTTTCCCGACAGTCTAGCCTACTCTATTTATTTAATTTCTATAGCAATTGTTTGCCCTCAAACCGAATTTCAAATTGAATAAATCGCACACTTTCAGCGAGGAATCCAACAACAACGAGAGCTCGGAAAATTCCTCCGCAGCCGTTACATGGAAGACATCCATTTCTTCCCGAAATCATATTCAAATACCTCATTCCAAATCGAATCCACCATGACTAATCGAACACAACAAAGTGCTTTGCATAATCTGCAGGGTCTCTTCAACAACCACAGCCTGTCCATGGCCCATGTTCATATCTATCATCCCAGACTTGAAGACCAAAACATTATAGGGTACCCTTATTTTGGGTCGTGTGAGTATGCCGATCAATTGTGTAAATATTTGTACAAAACGCCGGCGGTTCAGGAGTTTGTTCAAAATGTAAGAGAGCTGTGGATCTTTCGTATCTTTCGTCCATGTGCTTCACAATAGAAGGTGTTTCAAGTGCGGCGCTCAGCTTGGCAGAATCATAAACTTGTTTTTTTCTAGGATAATTGAAATTCCTAGATCTCGGTTTGTAGAAACGACCGGCATTTTTTAGTCGAAAGTTGACAAAAATGTGGCATTTTTTAGCAAATCTCGGCAAGAAAAACTTGACGCACTTGTTATACCATATGCGGAAGGCACTGTTTTAAAGATAATTGTGCTATTTTTCCGCGCGACACAGGCCAAGAAACGGCTAAAAAGCGTATTTTCTCTGACCGCTCTCCGCGTTTCGTCTACTCTCTCGCCGATTGTTCAATGTCTCAACTGCCACTGCAAAGCGCGAGCTAAAACTTTCTGGATTAGATATACGGCCTATTCCAAATATGTGTGCAAAATTAGCAGCCAATCTGAGCGTCGCACTTGGGACTTTTACCCTGTATATGTTGATATGTACATGTTTCGAGTCGACGCTTCAGCTATTACACTATCGTCCGTGCTGTCCGTCCGGAACAATTGCAACTAATGGCACGGAATTGTAGCGTATTTAGAGGTGGTTCCAACTGCTCTCTCCGAACTTTGACGACATCCGATATCTCTTTGATTTCGCCGATCCACCCTATGTGGAGGTATGTTTTAGAAGTTTATATCAAAATGTTAATGACGATTGCTTTTAGAAGCGAAATTTCGGGTTGGAGTTGTCATCGTTGTATGAAGATCATTGGGACGAAATCTTCGACAGCTACGTTCAATCTTTCAAGCATTTTTATGGCGATGGCAAGTTCGCAAGTTTAGTTATTATAAAGCCATTTTTTTTTGTTTTTACCATGACACACTTTCAGGTATTCATGACCCAAAGATCTCGGAGATCCGGCACAAACTATTGCAGTATAACATTGGCCGGATTATCACCGAACTTTCCGAAATCTTCAAATTAAAAACAGTGTGCACTGAGCATACTAGGTCGTCAGTTCCCGATTGCGAGGCGATAAACAGTTTGAAATTCAAAGGATACTCAATGGTAAGACTCTATCCAAATATTGAAGTCTGCAGTGATGTAAAAAGTTTCATAAACAGAAATTATCAAATTGCCAAAGCTTTTGATAAATTAGCAGTCCGTCAGGAAAATAACGAGCACTATGACGCACGGCATTCTGTACTTTTGGGACCCAACCGATCTCCGCGACTTTTTCAATTTTTTTCGGAACGCGCTTGCTTTTTCTCTTCATATTTCGCTAGCCGTTTGAGCTAGAGGGCTGAAGTTTGGTGCGGCAGTAGAGTAAACAGCTGGCTTTCAGAAAATATAAATATTGTAAGGAACCCCGAAATATAAACTTCCCGATGATAATTCAAAGAAAAACCGTCATGACGGTTTGCCGATGCGTCGCTGAAGCGAAAAGCAATTTGATTTTGCCACGACACAATCCATTTTTTCGGTCGCGATGTGATTTTCAATGGGACAGAGTGCTCATTATTTTCCAGACAGACGGATATACAACCCTAAGCGCCTTAAAGGTCTATGCCATATTTTCAGCATGACACATATGTTCTCGCCGCATTACAAGCGCTAGGCTTTCACAAACTCGACTACAACAGAGATGACAACGCCGAGATGTCTGCTTGTCTTATATACGAGCTGTGGAGAGAGAGCGTTACCAGCAACACCTATGTAAAGGTGTTTTACCGGCGCAGCAAGGACTTCTTTTATCATATCACACCGGAGATCAATGGCTGCTCGAGGCGTGGCTGCAGTGTTGAGAGAATATTAGAGCTTTTCGCACCGTTCGTCATAGAGGATGCAGAGGAGGTAAGAGTTGGCGCTTTGGAACCAACTATTAGTTTTATAGAAAGGTTAATTTTTCACGGTTGGCCAAGGCAACACCCAGTTTGGGAGAAATTTTAGCTCGCTCTTTGCAGGCAATGTCATGATATTCAAAGGGTTTTGCCGGCAAGGTGATACGTCAGACACGGTCAGAGACAAAAAAACTTTTACCATATCTCAACTAGTTTCGCATGGAAAGCATTCATTTTTTGGAAGAATTACCAGAATAACTTTTGACGCAAAAAATCAGCGTGGGTGTCGCCGAAAAAATTCTGCGGACTTTACAACTAGTACTTGCAGTGCTTCCTCTGTCATTCAAGATCGCAAAAAATGCCAATCATTTTGCTCGCAAATCTTCGTAAACCTCAATTTTCAGTACTGTGCGCAGCCATTGTTCTGAAACATTCTCCTGGAAACTCAACTTGTTTCTCCCTCCACTTTCAACATATCGCAACAAAAAAAGCTCACCAGAACTTTTATACATAGCAATATGATAGCTGTTCCATCCAACCTCTGATGTATCTAATATCTAAAAACTACCTTTTGCAAAATTCCTCTAATAAATTGAAAATACCCTTTGAATTTTGGGGCTCCTCTCCGAATAAACGTCGATTTTCAATGACACCCAACTAAATGTACAAACTGGATCGGACCGCAGCAAAGAATTCGTTTGCTCAGATGGAGTTTGTAGTCGTGACCGCACACATCTCGTCAGGTTGTGGTCGGCCTGAGCTGGTTCAGAGCGGCGAGAAGGTCAGACTTATTAATTTTGAGATTTCGAGGAGAAACTAGACGTTGATATGAGGCTTGTGCTTGAAGTTTTTATCTTGCAAAACGATTTTTATAGCATTGTATTTTCTACTTGTGTCTAATATAAAGGTCGGGCGCGCTAATAAAATTTTGGAAATGCAATTCATGCTTTTTTGCAAGAATAACGGAATTTCTGGTGCTCAGGCGGGAAGTCAGTAAACTTGTCCGTTCAAAAACTCGCTGGAGTGATTTTCACAATGTGCACTGTGCGAAAAATAATGTTTCCTTTGCATTGTGCAATTTCTTCCTTTTGATCCGTGCAATGTGCTTTTTTGGGCTGTCGCTCGTACCCTGAAGCTTTCCGCGCGGTGCAAACGTTAAGCATCACTCCAACGACTTTACGATATGCAGATTTTTCGTGTGGGTTCTGACTTTGCCGTATATCAATCCCCAAAAGTTTTAGCTTGCGTTTTCCAGCACCGGCCGAGATATTGAGCGACCGAGTTTGCGAGAGAGCACGGGAAATGAGGAGAATTTCAATCAAGGCTAGTTATTTACAAATCAGCATGCAGAATTGTAGACCAGTCTCAGCGCTCCCACTGAAATATAAAGTCTGCGGAAAAATAATTTTGCTTGGCCACTGGCGTCGCTGAAGTGAAAAGGAATTTGATTTTGCCGCGACACAATTTGTTTTGTCAGCGGCTCTGCAAATTTGGGTACAACAGTGCTCATTATTTTCCCGACAGACTGAAAAAACTTCCCTTGTAAAAAATTAGGTTTTGAGGCCGCAGCTTCACAATCAAAAACAGTGACTCTCAATGCTTACATACAATTTGTTGATCATTTCTTCGGTTTGCAATGTATTCTTGTTTTAAAATTCCAAATCATTGTCAGAATTTTAATCATCGCCCATTCACATCGGTTATACGGTTTTCATTTTGATTGTTTATGTAAATATCACATGCAAATGCCTATGTGATTAAAGGAAATGAGTGCGAAACACAACGTTTTATTATTCGCTTGTCTGATATAAAAGTTGTATCAGACTGCCGGGAAAATAAAGTGGATTTATTTTTTTTCAAATGTCTCGCTTTGTCGCATCAAATCTTCGGCCGTGACAAGCCTTCGCAAAGCGATGATGGGCGGTTTCAAGGCGCCATGAGTTCACAGTATTTTCATGACGGGATAATGGCGATCTCTGGAAATGTAAGGACGGTCCTGTAACCGTTAAACCTAGTGTACCATTTGTCATCAAAATGGTAAAAGCCTTTTTGTTGAGGTCAAGCATCCTTTTTTTGGGGCAAGTCTCGCTTCTGATGAAAACAGTTGTGAAAAGAGCCTTGTTAGATTTCCCCTGTTATGGGACCATTTAGAAAGAATAAGTTTTTATTTGAACACACCATACCCTATGAATAGTTCAACATAGGAATGCCAGGCGCCAGTGACAAATCGGCCAACGCGGACGAGTCCACATTATTTTTCCCGACAGACTGATACTAGTCCGTTGCAAGCTCGCTGGAGTGATTTTTGCAACATGTACTGTGCAAAAACAGGAGTGTACTTTGCACTGTGCAATTTCTTGCTTTTTTTGCAACAGACTTTTTTGGCTTATCGCTAGCGCCCTGACTTTTGTTGCACAGTGCAAGTCACAGAAATCACTCCAGAGACTTTGAGGACGGACTAGTGACAACGATGTCTCGATTTCCGATCAAGGAAAAACAAAGTGTTTTTACGTTTTGTTCTTTGAGTTCCGTACGGAAGTATAGTAAGAAAAAGAAGAAAATTTTGTAACACAAAGAGGGCCTTCATTACTTGTATTGTGATACTACTGATAACTCGTCTCTTTCCGCGTATCAGTTCCAAGAATTGGCTGTTTTTCCGTCTTCCCATCCCACACATGTCCATTCCAATGGACTTGTTTTTGTCAGGGAGCATAGGGAGCGTTTAGCAGACAGGAAAAAATGTTTGTTACAAAATCGTTTTCAGAGAACGATCTTTCTGCGCATACGGTAGCGCGTAGATCAACTGCGTATAAAAGGCAAAGCATAATTGGAAGTCAAAGAGGGTGGGCGTGGAAATCTGCTGAATTGCTCAGAGGTTTGTGGTCATCGCATGATGTAAAAGGAAGTATATATCAATTTGTCGGCATAATAATGAGAATAATGTCGCATCGGACATTGCGTTTATGTGAACGTTTTTTTGTTACCTAATCAGCTTTGAAAAAACTTTTGCTTTTTGGGTGAAGACAGTACTATTCTTTGCGACTTAATGGCCCTCAGTTTACAATTTGGCAATCATTGAAGAAATAGGTTTATCTCAGTCTGTCGGGAAAATAATGAGCACGATGTCACTGTGCCAAATGCGTCGATGAAGTGAAAAACAATAAATTTTCTCGATGCGATTTTCGATGCAACAGAGTGCTCATTATTTTCCCGACGGATTGATAAATAACTTTTGATCAAATATCACTTTTTTATCCTGCGCTTTGCAGAACAACTGCAATGAGAAATCTCCCAAAGGCGATTACATAATTTTGTGGAACGCTCATTGAGGATTGGGCTCGTGTCAGTGCGCCATAAAACCCTCTACAGTTGTAGTATTGCTTTACTAAATAGTTTATGAAATTTGCAAACAAAATTGGGTTTGTTATTGTCTAAAAAAGCAAACCTGCTCTGTTAAAAAAAAGCGAACAGCTTAGCGTACCAAAGGTGTAAAGTGCTCTTTTAAGGTCACCACTGTTTATTTTGTCTGCCCGGGCTCTGTTCAAAGAGCATTTTTTGCGGGCTGCTAATGATCTCTGCACCGCGACGCGACTCTTGCGGGCAACCACACTTACCAATTAGGATTACAATTTTTTACCGTAATCTTTGTAGCGTGATATAAATCTGGCTTTGGGAGCTCCCTGATACTGATAGGTACATGAATCTATTAAATTCATCCATCGCTATCAAAGTTATTGGAGTTTGTTTTTAAAAAATGGTTTCTGGACGCTTAAAAATGTCTGGTTAACTTTGTGGAAACGATCCAAGCCACTTATACACCTCTAATCTTAATTCGCGACCTCTAACTGCCAATTAAATCGGTAGAATTTCCTGCTGTAAGAAAATATTGACTGATTGCCAAACATGCCCGCAGCATCTACGTGGTTCTTCTTTGTAAATTGTATAACTTTATTTCCGCTTTTCAGCTATTGCGATTTCTGTCGACGTCTTTGTTCAACGAAGTTCTGAATGTCGTCTTTCCATCGGGTCCTAGGAGGTCTTTTCATCGAGGGCTTCCATTTCAGAAGTCTGGCTTCTGTCTTCTTCTCCGATCTTACAATTAGCCGCGTACTTCCACTTGTGTGGTTCTTCTATATGGTTTCCCGCAAGGTGGTTGCCCGCAAGTGTAGGCCCGCCTTCTGCATATCAGGGTCATATTTACTAACCTCTGTAAAGGGCAAACCCGGCTCACAATGTTTTCGGAACCATTGGATTTGGTTTTAATTGTCACTTGCCCTCAACGCCTCCCTTTCTCGGATCTATACGTATAAAGACTGAAATTGAAAGTTATATTCCCCTTTTTGGTCGGGGCGCTCGATATGATATACCGCAAACAATAGCAACCAATTTTTTTGTGTTTTCAGTAGTTGGATTACCGGGAAAGGAGAAGAATTTTTTTCAACTTGGGAGAAGTAAACTGAATTTACAAGACTTGATTGTAAAGAGATTGCAATGACTACTTCAACAGCGCTTTTCCTTACAATCAGCATCTTGGCCATTTTTTTGAAATCATCAGAGTCAAAGCCTATCGAAGTTAACAGCCATGACAAATCTATGGAACTGGTGATGGTTACGGGGGTAAGACTTTAAATTACCGGGACAAAGTGGCCTAGAAAGCAGTGAGAATTAAATAGCATGCCTTGTAGTGCTTTTTTTGCAAATTAATCACAGTTTTTTGTAGCTATGGCGCCACGGCACACGAGCACCCGACATGGACTTTCCATACAACTTGTACCCCAATGATTACTGGAAAAACGGCCTTAATCAGCTGACTGATGTAAGAAACTTTGTAAATATACATACTATCAGTCTGTCGGAAAAATAATGAGCACTCTGTCGCATCAAAAATCGTATGACCTCCAATGAATTGTGTTGTGGCAAAATCAAACTTCTTTTCACTTCAGCGACGCGGTCGGTGCAGTGATAAGCTCATTATTTTCCCGACAGACTGATAGCACAGATTTCCCAGACACTGAAAGACTTCATACTCATTGCTGTTTCAGTATGGAATCCAACAACAACGAGAACTTGGTGCTTTCATCCGCCAACGCTACGTGAAGCAGCTCAAGTTCTTGCCCGCCGAACTCTCAACTTCTGTCATCAAAGTGGAGTCTTCAACGGCCAACCGAACACAACAATCCGCATTGCACAACTTCCGAGGGATCTTCAACGACGACTCTTTAACGTTAAAGGCGATTGACATTGAGTGGCCAAAAGTCAACGAGCCGAACATTGTTGGGTATCCCTACTACAACGCCTGTGCGTACGTTGAGAAGTTGGAGAAATATGTGTCGAAAAATGAGGCATTCAACAATTTCATGGATACTAATGTAAGTCCATAAACTACTAGATATATACATGTATATACTGTAATACTATTATCAAACATATGCGATGACTATTTTAGGAATGGTTTAAAAAGCTGTCGCCAACGCGAAGTATCCTTCATTCGTTTGACTTTGCCGATCCACTTTATGTTGAGGTAAGGGCTTTGAATCACTTTTTTCCAATAGTTTCCGCCGTTACCTCTGCGACTGACATTGCTATCTTGCCAAAAAAAATTTTATAACAGACTCTAATATTAGAATTTTCATAAATTGCGTTAACTTTTTTACGTCATTTTTTTGCACCGCGCTATGCAGATTTTATAAAAATGCTATTAAAATGATGATCCATAATAAAATGATCCAAATTTCTGATCTGATATGTTCAATACTACTCGTACGACTGACTTACACTTAACGTATTTGTAATTACTCTCGCTTTAGAAGCGTCAAAACCTCTCCTTGGCCCAGGTCTACGAACAAAACTGGACTCAAATCTTCCACGCCTACGTTCAGTCGCTAAGATTTTTCTACGGAATCGGTAAGCCTTCTTTTTTTGCAACTTCCATGGTAACTCCTTCGATCTTATTTGGTTGCTATTTCAGACCTCAATGACCAAAAGGTTGACCTTCACGAAAAGCTCGTTCAATATCACGCTGGCCGAGTTTTAACCGCACTTAGCGATATGTTCAACTCAAAAAAGCGATGCCGGTCGAATGCAAATAGTCTCATGGATGACAGCGTTGAATGCGAAGACATTGACGCGCTGAAATTCAAGGCGTTTTCTTTGGTATGTCATTCATTCTACAGCTCTCTAAAGTTCCCCTTCATAGCTGCCTCGTTTTGTTCAGTCCGTCGGGAAAATAATGAGCACAGTGTCGCATCGAACATCGCACCGCCGCCGAGGAAATGAACTGTATCGCGATTGGCTCCGCGACATTGTACTCGTTATTTTCCCGATAAACTAATAGTAATTTTCTTTTAGCATGACACTTACATTCTCGGCTCCCTCTTCGCCATGGGCTTCAAGAATCTGGACTATAACCGAGAAGACAACTGTGAGATGGCTTCGGCCTTGTTCTGGGAGCTGTGGGAAGACAGGACGACCGGCGACTACTACGTCCGCGTGATTTATCGACGAAATGTCGACGAGCTCTACGATATTACAGCGGACATCGAGGGCTGTCAATGGAATCGACAGGGCTGTCCGATCGAATACTTCTTCGACAAGATAAAGCCATATCTGGTACCGGACAGCAAAGAATACTGCTCACAATCCATTTGAGAGAACGCGACGGGTGAAGTGAAAGATATTTGAGAAACTCGCATTCTAGTCAAATTGTCATTAAATTACATATTATTGTACATAATTTGCACGTTTTTTTATAAATTGAATCAAACAAATATAGTGTACTAAAAAGCATTTTTGAAGGCCTGAGACAAGATAATTTCAAAGACTTTCCGGTACTCCTCCACCAAGTCAATAGTATTCAGAATGATGATTCTGCACCTTATCTTTATTGTATAAATATCAGTTTGTCGGGAAAATAATGACCATGTCGCTGAGCCCATCGCGTAGCTGAAGTGAAGAGCAATTTGATTTTGTCGCGACACAGTTCATTTTCTCGGCGGAGATGCGATTTTCGATGCCACAGAGTGCTCATTATTTTTCCGACAGAACTGATATACAACACTAGGTTTTAACGGATATCCCATATTTTCTTTGCGCTTTGATTTGATAACTAATTACTAGTTCCTTCTATACGAACACACGGCATCAAACATATAGCGCGTTCTGATTTACCCAAAACACTGAACCGGAACGCCGATTGATCTGTCGGGAAAATCAAGTGGATTTGTCGCAGCAAAATATCTTATATATTATCTCGCCTCATTGCGGCAAATCTCCAGCCGCGGCAAGCCCTCGCAAAGTCATGATGGGCGATGTCAACGCTCTAGAAATCCACGCTATTTTCTTTTTTATGCACGTTTTACTGTCACTACATTCAAGCGTCCAATTTTACAGGCTTAGGGTTGCGGAATACATAATAAACAAATTATGGGCTAATGCAATGTACTATTTGTTTGCCAGGCGGTAGTTGTAAGTCTGAATAATAAAATTTATTATTCTAGCGAGCTAGTTAATTGCATGCGCTATATTCATTGGAATTAGCAGCTGAACACGGTGAAAAAGCGACTGCAAATTTTGTCCTCATTAGAGTTACTATTTCCCACGTTACTTGGCGGCGCTATGGACACTGTAAACCCACTATACCCGGCAATTTTACTATCTATGATTGCGACGTTCGGAATCTTTGGGAACTTGAATATTCTCGCCGCAACTGCCAGGAAACCCGGGCTTCGCACAACCTGCAACTACCTCATTTCAGCAACCGCCTTGTTTGACATTATACACCAACTCAGTCAGTATATTGTCACGTTCTTCGCGTTTTCCGGGGATTATCCCACATTTGAGGTCTGTTTTTCGTTACAATTTTTTCCAATGATTGGTTGTAACGCCGCTGAAGTTGCAATGCTCTTGACTTGTCTAGACCGTTTGGTGTGTGTGGCGAAGCCTGTGGTGTAAGTTCGCATATGCCAGATTCTTATATCGAGCCATTGCCAACGTTCTATATCTCATATTTTCTTTTACGTTTTTTTAAAAGTGTGTAGATTTTTTGTCGCAAGCAAAGGAGACAATCTAACCTGGTCTGGGCGGATTAGAAAAAGCCCGGGCCAATTAGCTGACCAACAGGGCACATTCGGGCTTTCGCCGGGCCAAGCCTAGGCAAATTTGAAACCGCCCGAGGACCGGCCTGACCACTTCGTTCTGCGGGCCGGGCTGCAAAAATCTGCCCGGCCAAAAAAACTGGTAGGAAATAGTGAATCGCGCGGTGCACCGCGACAAAATGTCTACGGACTCTCTTAAAATCGTAAAGTTAGTCTGTCCGGAAAATAATGTGGATTTTTTGCGCCTTCGAAATGCCCATCATTGCTCTCCGACGGCCTAGCCGCGGCTGGAAATATGGTGTGCGACGAAGCGATCGCGCGTCGTATATTTTGCCGCAACAAATCCACATTATTTTCCCGACAGACTGATATTTCTAATGGCTTGAGGTTTGTTCCGAAAACGTCTGACTTTCAGTCAATACAACGACCTCCAAGTATCGTACTTTTAGATACCGCCGAATTCCTTGTGCCGTCGCCCTGCCAATGTACATTCTTCTTTCTGTTGGCTTCGGCGTTTGGGCTAACTACGCATCCTACCAGAGTATTCAGTTGATGCGACACAATCTCACCGTATGTACGCTGGCTTCCTGCTATGGTGAAGCAATGGCGTCAATAATCGGCGCTAATGGGTTGATGAATTTAGCGATGATGGGGATTTACGGCTTGATTTGGCTGACCGTCAAAAAGATTTCGAAAAAGAGGGCCTCCGGGATGCTGCGATCAATCGGTGCCGTTACATTTTGCGTTGTTGGAGGCTGGTTGTTGACAATGGTGTTGTTCAAGGTCTTCCTCGCTCTTGAGATCCCGATTCCAGATGGCTTAATCTTGTATTTTGGGTTGTTTCTCAACATCTCAATAGCATTAAATTACCCCATCTACTTTTTTATGAGGTATGAAGTGTCTAAAGGCCACAGACGGCTGTATTTCTAATTTCAGCACCCAGTATCGGGCAGCTTTCAAGGAGCAGCTCAACTACCTCTGTTGCCGAGCCATTTTCAGGACAACGATTCACGGCGTTTCCAACCACAGCCAAATAACCCAAACAAACAAGACCAGGCAAACTCAATATTCCTCAAATGAAGGCTAATCGCTGTAGTGTATGAGTTAAATAAATTGCAATGTCAACAGTTGAAAAAGGAGGAAAATTAAAGGCGCTACGACCCTGTATGCAGCTAGGAGAAGGCTTAGCTACTAGAAATAATAAAGTTGATCAGGTCTTGGGATAGCTTACCACCTATTTTGAGGTGTTACATGTACTTACATCAATAATATCTAGGTAAAAGTTGCAGACCTTCGTTTTTAGCCGCAAATTTTGGTTTTTTCTGTGTTACAATACCTCATGGTAAAGAAAACAGGCGTTAATAATAGCTAGAATCAGAAAGAGTGGAGGTATAGCAAGTCTTCGCCCAGCGTCAACCGGCCATCTATGACAGACCTACCGCACGGTTTTGCTTTGAACCGAACTGTTCGGGCCAGAAAGTTGGAATGCGAATTTAAGCGCCGCGCCAGGCCCGGCGTCGTCAACTGGCTTTACGCGACAAAAAAAGGTGCAAATTAATGGACTAGTACCCTGGTATTACAGCCGGCAAGGTTAGACAATGAGGTCTACATACAAACGATTAGAACCACAAACCTCGCTAGCTCACGCTTTGGAAGGCGGCCAGACTCTGAACTTTTGTTTATTGTTCTCCAAACTGCATCCTGTTAAGCATGTTTCATCACTCAATTCCTGTGCTACAGAGAAAATTGGTGAATAATTTATTGGATTACTTTCAGGCGGTAGTTATGAAAAGCCGAGGTTATTACCACCGCGTGAGAAGTTGGACTATTCACATCTTCAATTCCGGCTCTGTTACTTCCGTGATAAATGGAAGAGTTGAGCCCGAAGATTCCGGCAGCGATATTGTCTGTTATCGCAACGTTCGGAATGTTCGGAAATTTCAATATTATTGTGGCAACTGTAAGGACAAGGTAAGAAATATATAAATCTGACGTCAGTCTGTCGGGAAAATAGTGTGGATTTGTCGCGACTTTAAACATTTAAAAATCGTTCTTCATCGCTTTGCGACGGCTAGCGAGATTTGATGTGCGACTGCGACATTATGCAGCCACAAATCCACATTATTTTCCCGACAGACAGATGGCCGCGTTACGACCTGTTTTAGTTCTCTTCGGACAACCTGCAACTACCTCATTGCATTCACGGCGCTGTTTGACTTCATTCATCAGCTCAGCCAATACGTTGTGACTTATTTTGCTTTCGTTGGAGACTACCCAACCATTGAGAAATGTTTTTGTTTCCAATTTCTGCCAATGATCGGCTGCAACGCCGCTGAAGTCGCGATGCTTTTTACCAGCTTGGACAGGTTGTATTGCGTTGCAAGGCCTGTGGCGTAAGTCGGGGATATCGACAAATATTTTTTTGAAACTTTACCAATAATGTGGCCATGTCAGCTCTTGTATCAAGAGCTATAATAATAGTATAACAGAAACCTTTAATTCGGCGGTAGAATTAAGATTGCGTATTTTAATTTTTTTCTTTTTCCGTTAAGCAATGCCAAATTTTTTCAATATCTATCCCTAGCGTTTGAATTTATTTCAAGAAACTTTACAATTGAAAACATTCCAGCCACCTGTTAAGACAATTGTGCCACATTTCAGAAACCACAGCTATTTTTTAGAATTCGTTAACCTTTTTCTCACACTCCAAGAGCATTTTTAGGTATCAGCACGTCTCATGCGCTCTTGAGATTCCGATTTGCGTCGCTGTTTCACTATTTTTTGGTCTATGGATAAATTACGAGTCCTACATGAGTTTCCAGTCGATCAGATTTCAAACAACCGTATGCACGCTCGGCTCCTGCTACAATGAAGCGCTGGAAGCCGTCACTATTTCCAACGGGCTGATCCATTTGGCAACCATATTCATTTATGGCATCATTTTTATAGTCATCAAAAAGATTACGAAACAGAAAGCCTCGGGGATGTTGCGATCAATTGCGGCTGTTACGTTTTGTGTTGTTGGAGGCTGGCTGTTGACCATGGTGCTGTTTGAGGTGTTTCTGAGTTCGGGAATTCCCGTGTCCGATGCGCTTATACTGTATCTGGGCATACCGCTGAATATTTCCATATCGTTGAACTATCCGATATACTTTTTAATGAGGTAAACAATATAATGGGGAAAGATTTACGATGACTTCGGAATTTCAGCAGTCGATATCGTGTAGTTTTCAAGGAACAGCTGAATTTGCTCCGATGCCGCAACTTCTTTGGAACCACCGTCCAAGAAGTTTCGAATACAAGCAGCGGCGGTGTCGCCTTGAAGTCATGAAAAGTACGTTATATGGAAATTAAGCTAGCTTTTCGGTCATTTTCGACCGACCCTTAAACCCATAATTGGGCAACTAAGTTTTATATATCTTGATCAGCACAATTTTTCGGATTTTTTGAGGTATGTCCCGTCGATAGGTAAGAGTGCGCATAAAAGTACAGGGTGTACCAATTTTGTGGCCCGATTTGAATAGGCTATAACTTCTTCAATTTTGGGCCAAATTTTAAAATTCTGTGCATATTTCTGGACAGACCGAAAAGACCGCGAAAACGACCGAAAATACAACCAAAAATGAAACCAAACATAACAGCCGATAATCGTATGGTTGACTTACCTTTGTCTATCATATTTGGTATTAAACAACATGGGGACGTCTGAGGATTCAGGAAAAAAAGAATTATAAGATTTAGCCAAACACTAAAACAGTTATAGCCAATTTAAATCGGGCCACAAAGATGCCCCACCCTGTACTTACTTTGCAAAGAAAATCTGAGCGCCCCACTTGAAGTACTTCCCTTATAAATCCAAAACGAAAATCCACATTATTTTCCCGACAGACTTTATTTTTGAATTTTTACTCGAATTTTAGACCATAAAGCTTGCAAAGGTTTCACCGAGAAAACCGAAATTCCCAAGATTTTGCCCGTTTTACTAAACTTTGCATAAATTCAAATAATTCGACAAATCCTCAAATTTACAAATCAGTTGTTTTTATTATACTTTTGGCCATCGATTCGCAATGGGCGCTTACGTTGAAGTGGTGCAGGAAAGGACGGCCCAACAACGGTGCGACTGTATTGCCTCGGGAATCGAATTGGCTTCAATCATCGCGATTTCTGTTGCCGTTTGTGTTCCGTGGTGGTTCACGGATGATGCTCAAGTCAGCTTTAGTCTTTTGGGATTTACGTGCAAAGTCGAAGAATACCCCTGTCCGGTGGTCATCCGCGTTTACGTGAGTTTTGTTGACTGAAGTGTTGAACAGAGTGTCGATCATGAGTTTTGGTTGCTGAGGGCTAAAGATAGCTAAAATTTCCACCGCTCTCAAAAAAAGCAATTTTTTTGACCAATTCGCTAACTGAAAGTTTGCTGAAAGTTAGCCGAAAATAGTAGGGCGCAGCTCGGAAAGCGACGTTTCGCAGCTCGCCGGAGCTAAATTTCGGTTTTTTTTCGAGCTGCGCCCAAGACGCGAGCTACGCCCGTGCATGTTCTCCGGGCTGCGCCCTATGATTTTCAGCAAACTTTCAGTTAGCCATTGGCCCCTGCGACCGAACTTGGTTGATTTTTTTGAATAGTTGACTATGGGAAACACCCCAAGTTTGACCCTCAGATTTGCTTTACGTAAATTTGGCACAAAGTTCGAGCATAGGCCACATATCAATTCCTGGAAAATTTAGCTCGTGTTTTGCAGCCTTTCTCTCGGCCGCATCTGCTTCGGAACTGCAAGACCAATACGTTTCATAATGTTGGCGATTTTTTCAGACGACCCTCGACGATCCATTCCTCAAGATCACATTCGGATTGGTGGCGAGTTGCATTATATTAGAGGCGATTTCGGCTCTCGTCTCACATTGCGTCTCCTGCAGGGTAAGCCACTCGAAACATATGCTTATATATATTATGTGGGATTAATTCGAAACGAATCAGGGTTCATAACAATGAAGGTATACCTCAATTTATATTTTGAATAGTAAAGCTCAGGTAGGGGAGGCAGAGTTGATCCAGCGCAGCGTATGTAAAAGGGACGCCTCGAGTGTCCTACAGAAGCATTGTCATTACTAGCCTCTCAGAATTCTCAGATTTAAGGCGTATTTTTGTTTTAGCACCTTGGGATGCCCTCATTTCTTAATTTCTTTTCTCCGATGTTTTAGCCGGAGGCCGATGTGCTACTGGTTCCTGTAATCTACTGTCTCCACCCTACCCAGCGGTATGCTATTCAACTCTGAAAAAAGCATCATTAAAGTTTTAGGAATTTTAGAAGTTTATACAACCTAATACCTTATACACCTTCCCTCTTTGGTTAATTTTTACGTCAATTTTGAGCATTGTGGACCACTCTTCACACAAGAAATGGCAAATTTCAGATCCCAGGTATTTTTTTGAATATTGTCTGCGCCTTTCTGGCTATCGGCGCGCTCGTCTACTTTTATATCTCCGTCTCAGGATATGGTAAGTTTTTGGGGTGGTACGTTTCGGTTGAGGCCCTTATTTTTTAAAAAATTCTTCAAAAAATCCCGTATAACATGTCACCTTTCATTCTGAAGGGCATCTTTTGGTTTTCTGTTTGAAATTTTTTTTGAAAAAACAAAAAAATTAATATTTTTTTTATATTTTTTTACGTATTGTTTAAGGTACCTTTCCCGTTTACCTTTACGACACCGAACACAAAGGTGGCCTGGGTATAGGCTTTTATATTGCCGCTGCTGGAGCCGTCGGATTGCTGCTTTCTGCAATATTTGATATAGTTTCCATGTGCTGCTGTCGGTATTAAGGTGGATTCATCTTACTTGATTTAACATATGGCATATTTAATTTGTAATCAGAATAAAGTGCAATTAATTGGTATTGAAAATTGTGTTGCAAAGGATTAATTTAATTCTAAGAAATAAATTTTTTTGGGCTAGGCTAAGGTCTGAGACCAAGGAGTTTTCTTGTTCTTCTCATTGGCTAAATGCGCATTTCGAAAACTTGTGACAGAAAGATTCAAGTGCAAAACTGAATAAATATTGCAAAAAGACAAGTGGGGAGTTGTGCAGAGTAAACCCATTTACCCACCAAAATAACTACATTCGGGTCTCGTTTCTACGGCTTGAAGGGCAAAATGTATTCTTTGTTTTAAAATTATACTTTCACAACATCGCCTTTGCAGTAAATAGAAGCAATAGCCAGGGCATTTTGGCCGTCTTCATGCCAGGTGCGTGGGCTTGGCATTGGAACTAAAATATCGCATTATTTTTTGGGGCATTTTTATTAATGCAGTGGCGGACCTGATCCATTGGCCAGAAACGCACCATTTTGCATCCGGGAAGTACCAAAAATGCAGCAAAATGCCTCCCTCTCCAAGTGAAAAAACTCCGACTTCAAAAGCGCAGCCGCTCTTTTGAAAGGGCACGCAGTTCAAAACGGAGCTTTTTTAGTTGGAGAGGGAGGCATTTTGCCACATTTTTGATACTTCCCGGATGCAAAAGGATACGTTTTTTGCCACTGGATCACTGTAAATGGAGGAAGAATACTTTTAACATGTTTGAACCATGTCGTCGCTATGCATGTGTCGTATCTTCGAAAACAACGTCGTTTAGCACTGACCATTCATTATTTCTTCTGTTATTATAGTCTTGCCTAATTTAAAATTTTAATTTACTGTTATAGAAAGAATGGATGACTTGAATCCCAAATACCCCGCAATTCTATTGGCTTGTTTTGCAGCTTTTGGAATCTTTGGAAATTTGAATATTATCGCGGCAACAGTAAGAAGACGGTAAGGCAGGTACAGTGGCAAATTTCATAAATTTTGCAATTGCTTTTCGCTTTTTCACTGTGCTGACAATAAATTTCAGTTCACTCCGAACAACCTGCAACCAACTAATAGCCATTTCCGCCTTTTTCGACTTGATCCATGTGAGCAGTCAACATATCATGACTTACTTTGTGTTCTCCGGTAATTATCCGACATTAGAGAACTGCTTTTACATTCAGCTGATCCCAATGGTTGGCTGTAATGCCGGCGAAATTCTAATGTTTTTTACGAGTCTGGACCGACTTTATTGTGTTGCAAAACCTGTTGCGTAAGTTGGAAATGTTGGAAATTTAAAGGCACACCTTACTTTGGAATCGCTCTTTTCACTGCGTGAGAAACGAAATGACAAAAAAAAATTTATGTCAAAAGAAAGCCGGCAAAATTGAAAACAGTAAAATCGTAGTTAACCCGTAGAATGTCACCATATTTTTTCTGTTATTATTGGTACAATAGGCAGAGAAAAATTTTTTACACATTGTTCTACAGGGCGTATATAAAAAGCACGGTTCAAAAGTAGCTGCTGCATTGAATTTGTTGTGGGCGCCAAACGAAGAGGGCACCGGGCGAAGAGGGTATACATACAGTGAGGGACCTGATCCAATGGCAAAAAACGTCCCATTTTGCATCCCGGAAGGGACCAAAATGACTCTAAACCCTTCCCTTCTCTATGCTAAAAAACTCCGCTTTGAAAAGCGCGCACTTTCCTTCAAGGCGGGCTCTTCAAAGAGGGGTTTTTTAGCTTAGAGAAGGGAAGGGTTTGGAGACATTTTGGTCCCTTCCAGGATGCAAAATGAGACGTTTTTTGCCATTGGATCCGGTCCCTCACTGTATAAGGGAAAATTGAGCGCAACTTTAAAATGTCTTCGCTTCGGGATGCAAAAAATGCTTTGATGATATTGAACAGAACTTTTAAGGGGTGATTTGGGCCGATAAATTCATCTTGGTTTCTGTAGAAAACGTCTGGAGGACTTTCTTCGAAAAAACCCTTTTTTGTATACCGAAGCAAAAACATCCCAAAATTTTCGTAATTCTTCTTTAGGTGCCATCTTCGCTGAGGTGTCCTCTTCAAACAAGTTAAGTGCTCTCATTGGCAAGTGCCCCTTTCAACCGCCAGACCTTCTAAAACAACCCTGTTCTTTCTGCTCATCATATACGACTTTTGATATAAAGTAGCATCTGATTTCAGCTACCAACGAATCAGCGCCGTCACCGAACTAGCCGTCTGTGTCATCGGCGCCCTCCTTTTTGCAGGCTGGTTAAATTATGAGACCTATCTAAGCGTACAACCCATCAAAGAGAAGCGGACTCTTTGTAGTCTTGTTTCGAGCTACAATGGCCCAATTTTGGAGTGGTTTCCGGCGGCCAACGGTATCCTAAACTTTATCACCATGCTGAATTACGTTTGGATTTGGATAATTGTAAAAAAGATTACAAAAAAGCAAGCGTCGAGTATGCTACGGTCTATTGCGGCGGTAACATTTTGCGTCGTCGGCGGTTGGCTGCTGACATTTTCTGTCTTTGCTTTTTGTGTCGCCATTGGAGTAAAAATCACCGACGAATTTTTGTTGTATGCTGGGCTGCCACTCAACTTATCGGTTTCGCTGAACTATCCGCTGTACTTTGTGATGAGGTAAAAACCAGTTTTTAGCCAGAGCTTGTCTCAGCCAGCAAAGTTGATACCGTTTTAGCAGTCAATATCGTCTCGCATTCAAGCAACAACTCAATATTCTTAGTGGAAACCGTGTGTACAAAGGCATCGGCCAGGACACGTCAAACATTGCCAGCAATACGAAGCCAACGGCAAATCAGATCGCAACTAAAAAGCCGCGTATTTGCTTTTCCAAGGAACGATGGTCAAAATACTGATCGGTCGATTGTTTAGAGCCGGACGCTGTGGATTAGTTTCCGGTCGAAATGAGGGAGCGAAACTTCTTCTATCTACTCACTGCCAGGCCCAGAGACGAGGTAAGATCATCTCAGTCACAAGTCCGTTGAACTTTTATTTAAAATGGATGGTTTTAATGCCTGTATAAGTATGACAATATACAGTCTATAATTCCGTTTTCAAGCGTATGCCGAGACTTGACTTGTGAGCGAAATTTAAAAAATGGGACGCTCCCCTTGTCATCTGAACCAAAACGATGATCAATATTTTATTCTGACTATAAAGGAATAATTAGCGCTGTCGGCAAAATTTTCACCTCAAACAGCAGATGTTGACAGTACCAAAGGTTGACGAAGCCAATAAACCGAAAGCTCCAACGGCTGCAATGTAGAAGCTAAAACCCAGGCCACCTTTGTGATTGGCGTCATACAAGTAGACGGGAAAGGTACCTGAAACGATACGTAAAAAATCCAAAAGAAAAAACCATGTCTTTTCGCAGCCTAAAAATAGATGAGGTGTGACATTTTATACGATTAAAAACGTTTTTCATACAGTTTTATTTATCATTTAATATTTTGGACTAAATTCGGAAAAATATTATCCTCTTCAGCAGGGCGAAATGTACTGGCCGAAAAAAACTTACCGTATCCGAAAGCGCAAAGAAAAAAGTAGATAAGTGCACCGATAGCCAAAAGCGCGCTAACAAGCGTCAATAGCACACTCATCAGCTGCGATTTTATCATTTGTGTGCAGGCGCAATTTGAGATCACAACCGCCATTGAAGCCGCGGAAAGGCAGCTCAACATTAATACACGAGTGATCAGGAGGAATGAGTCGTCGAGGCTCTTCTAAAAACATTTTTTAACGCAATGAAACGTTTAGTTCGGTATGTTTCGGTCTTTTATATGTTACGGTAACTCAAAAGGAAAGAAAACTAGCGTTATTATAATAATAGCCAGTATTAGAAAAAATGGACATATTGCAAGTCTTTGCAAAGTCTCTGCCGAGCCTTCGCATAGCGTCGACCAATCTGACAGTTTTTTCAGGCCTCGTAGGGCACTTCCTGCAACTTTTTTTCATGTATTTAACTGCTCTACGTTTTGTATCGACCGATTTTGTGTTGACCCGAACTGTCGCTGACCCGAAAAGTCGGTATGCGGAAATTTGACCCAATTTTGACCCCTTTAAAAACCGTGACTCATGACCAACACTCTGTTTAACAATTCAGCTAACAAACTCACATAAACGCGAACGGCCACTTGGCAGGGGTAATCTTCGAAGTAGCACGTGAATCCAAAAAGACCAAAAGTGACTCGAGCATCATCTACGAACCAAATGGGAAGAGCAACGGCGACGGCGACAATGATGATTGCTAGCACTGTCATTCTCGTGCCAACATAATCGTATCGTCTAACTGGGACCAAGATCACCTCCTGATGACCCATTTTATCAGAAAATAAAAACAACCAACTACGACTATAAAAATGGAGGATTTGGTCAAATTTTTCGAATTTGAATAGCAAGTTTTGATGAAGGCTACAAAATCTTGGGAATTTTGATTTTCGGACCTCGGAGGGACCGATTTTTCATTTCAATTCAAATTTTGCACGGTCGAAACGGCGACTTTGGAATGCGTTTTGTTCACCTGGTTCTGGTCATCATTTGCTTGCAAGGTTTGTCGACTACAAAGCCCTATCTAATTTTTTTTGTGTCCTAACTTTTCGGGTTGACGACAGTTTGGGTCAACACAAAATCGGTCAATACGGGTCGTAGGGCAGGTGGATACGCGAAAAAAAGGTTGTAGGAAGCGCCTACGAGGCTGGGCAAAGTCGTGGGATGGCCGGCGGACGCTCGGCGAAGACTCGGCGGGGACTTGGCGAAGACTTGCAATATGTCCACTTTTTCTTACCTTAGCTATTACTAACGTTATTTTTCTTTACCCTGAGTTATTGTAATAAAGATATAAAACATCAAAATTTGCGGCAAAAAACTAAGATCCGTAACTTTTTTCTAGATAATATTGATGCGAGTACATGTAAAATGCCTCAAAATAGTTGATAAGCTATCTTAGTACCCGATCAATCTTATTATTTCTACTACTAAGCTTTCTGCTAGCCTCACCAATGCATACAACGACGAACCGAGGGCATCCATAGTATCGTTGACCCGAGCTGTCGCTGACCCGAAAAGTCGTAGCGCAAAAATCTATATCTTCGTGGACCACTCTGTATTGTTTATTACGATGATAACTCCGATTATTTTCCAGCCGCAGTCAACTGTGAATGGTGTTATGTTTGCTCGGACAATGAAGCGTTCGTTGAGAACTCAGGATGGGGAGGAGAGCAGCTCGGGAAATGCGATAAAATCCGCTCCAATCCTCCTGTGTGGTGTACGTACGGATGCATGAGACACGTTATGAATGCAGATGTTTTAGGGTTTGGTAAGTTTCGGGGGTCGTTTTACCCTACGTGCTATGTATTATAGCACGTAGATTTTTGTAATTGCAAGTGAGACATTTTAAATTTCAGGAAGGAAAATCGACACCGCCTCTTGCGCTGAGGAGGAGCTAAACTTGGAACGACCGACGTTCCTCGAGCGGATGAAGGTTAGTTGAAAAGATGTCGAAAAATTCTGGGCTGGTCAACGGGTCTTGACATGCTTTTGCATCGTGCAACGGGGTCGCAAACAGAGATTGCCACGGTCAAAATTTCGGCTCCGGCTCCGGCTCTTAGCTCCCAGAGCCGGAGCCGAGGCCAAATTTGCAGCTCCGGCTCCGGCTCTTGGCTCCGTGTAAAATTTAAAAATGCCTCCGGCTCCGAATCCCGGCTCCTATGCAAAATGTTTTTTTTAAAATATTTTTCCAAAAATAAAAGTTTAGTGCCAGAGATCATACAGCTAACGTTTTTGCAGTCAAGTGACGTCCTCCGCAGTGTTTTTTCAAGCAATTTTCTTTAACAAGATCACAAAATTTTTACTTTTCTGACCGATGGGAAGCCTGGCTCCGACTTTGGGCTCGGGAGCCGGAGCCGACCCCAAAATTTCCGGCTCCGGCTCTGGCTCCCGGCTCGGAGCCGGAGCCGCTCAGAGCCGGAGCCAAGAGCCGGCTCCGGAGCCGTGGCAATCTCTGGTCGCAAACTGGCCTTACGCGACAAAAAAGACAAATTCAAGTCCTTGCGGAGAGTCGCTGACTGGTTTTTGTTGCTTGCAAGAAAGCATTCTTGGTGGTGACCAGAGATTGCCACGGTCAAAATTTTGGCTCCGGCTCCGGCTCTTAGCTCCCAGAGCCGGAGCCGAGGCCAAATTTGCAGCTCCGGCTCTGGCTCTTGGCTCCGTGCAAAATTTAAAAAGGCGTCCGGCTCCGAATCCCGGCTCCTAAGCAAAATGTTTTTTTAAAAATATTTTTCAAAAAATAAAAGTTATTAGTGCCAGAGATCATGCAGCCAACGTTTTTGCAGTCAAGTCACATCCTTCGCAGTGTTTTTGAAGCAATTTGGTTTAACAAGATCACGAAATTTTTACTTTTCTGACCGCTGGGAAGCCCGGCTCCGACTTTGGGCTCGGGAGCCGGAGCCGACCCCAAAATTTCCGGCTCCGGCTCTGGCTCCTGGCTCGGAGTCGGAGCCGCTCAGAGCCGGAGCCAAGAGCCGGCTCCGGAGCCGTGGCAATCTCTGGTGGTGACCAAGCATAACTTTGTGAGAATATAAGGCACCAGAATTTGTAGCCGGTGATGTTGTTGTATCTTGTAACTTTTATATTTTTAGGGAACTATCCGTGCAACCTGTGATGGGGTAAATGTTGACGACAAGAACGAATGGTTTGAATTGAACCAGCAGGGAAAGAAGTGTCAATGTGTTGGCAACTACTGCAATGATCCCGACACACCTTCTTAGTTGCCTTCGCATTTGTTTCACTTGAATTATTTTTGTACAATTGCATTGGCAAAGCCAATAAATGTTATTGCCTTGTATTTTTGGTAAGAAACCGGAGCTTCTCACAGCTCCTGCTGTGTTATCTTGTGGTATGAGTCCAAATGAACCCTAAGGTTCAACAGAATGCTTGCCTTAGCAAACAGAATTACGATCAGACCGAAGTCGAATCCAATAATCTCCCACGGTTTAGCCCTAGAAGTTTATTTACCCGATACTCAATTCACAGTATATCTGACAAAAATAATTACTCAAAACCTACCGACCTCTCTCTGGAATCCTTCGGGATCTTTCTGTCCAAAAATGATGATAAAAACTACATAAATTCAAAAAAAGGGTGCGATACAATGGAAAAAACTTGGCCAGGCGAAGAGTTGGTCCGCCTTTTTCTCGGCCTCACAAAGTGATATTATAGAATAAACTAATAAATCGCTGATGAATTACGACATTCGATCCGACTGATTCATTGCCGTCGTTGGATCGAACATTTTCGCCAAAGTCTATTTTGGATCCCTTAATTTTCATTTTTATATGAAAATCGACACAAATTTGGTGGACTTGGACCTTACAATTAGTCAGTTTTTCATTTTTCGAAGAATGGTTGGCGGTTCTATTCTTACGAGTTTGTTCGTAGTTCTGTTCCTTGGTGAGCTTAGTACTTCTTAGCTTGGCTTGTAGTTGACCGATCATCATTTTATATTCGATATTTTAGCCAAGAGAGCCTTGTGCATTGAGTGCTTCAAGTGTGAGGGCGACGATTGCAAAAAGAATACATGGGAGCAGATCGATTGCGACAAAGGATGCTGGAAGCTTGAGGTGTTCATATACGCAAAAGCGGGTGGGTTTAGTAGAGTTTAGTATTATTAAAGACATGACTGTTAGTGGTAAGTTGTTTACCAGAGGTTCACCGAGGGGTTTTTCGCTATATGTCCTACCTTCTGTGTAATAATTTAGTGTAATACTTTTTGCTTCAGAACCGTCTATCTATCGGCGAGGCTGTGTACCAAAACCCCTGGACAAGTGCGAGGTTTACGGCTTTGTTGCACACCAAAACGATATGCTCCAATATGGTCTGTTGGTGGACAATACAGCCATTGTAGGTTTCTTGATGGAGTAAATTTGGGCTATCTACAAAACGCGTTGCTTTGTAGGCTACGGCGTTTACTTGCGGTTGCGAGACCGACTTTTGCAATGGCCACCATCCGATTACCCCGCCGCCGGTGCTTCTCGTTCTGTTGTCAACGATTAGTTATTATCACTATTTTTGAGGGACGTTTGAATAATAGTAAATGTCTAATTGTCACAGTTTTTGTTTTTTGGGGAATGTGAAAAATTCGCAACTTTCCATCGGTATAGGGCCAATATTTATATTCAATTTGCAAAATTGGTTGACTTTCAAGCCAACGGGGTAGCTCTGTGTTCCAACCAGAGGATAGGTCATTGATGGCCAAGCTCGCGGCCCACGTCGTGGCCGTGATCAAAGATATTGCCTAGAATTGCCCGAAACGGTCTCGGTGCTTACTACCATGGCCTAGACACCTTCTTTAGGTCAGGTCGTCACCAAGAACACGACTGGCCGTGACGTGACCACAGTCAGCTTAATTGTGACCTGACCCACCTGAAGTGCCAAGACCATCTGGAACAGCTAGTACCATTATCTTCAGCAGATTTTGGGCATGAATTGTGACCTAGCCTAGTCAAGGTGGATGCCCAAAATATTCCCAAGTTGGCCAAACGAGATGCAAAACTGCCGTCGCAACACTTGCGGGCAACCACTTTGCGGACTGCCGACATTTTTTGATTAGAATTACGAGTTCCCTCCCGTAATCTACGTAGAACGATAGAAATTTTACTTTGACAACTCCCTGGTATTGATCAGTACACAAATCTATTAACGTCATCCACTGCTTTAAAGTTATGGGATTTGTTTTCAAAAAATGGTAAAAAATGCCTGGATAAACTTTTGATAACTATTCAAGACACTTATACACCTGGAAACTACATCAGCAACATCTAATCGTCAAGCCCATCGTTTGAATTTCCAGTTGTAAGCAAATTTTGTCTGATTTCGTAACATGTCCGCAGAATCTGCGTGGTTTTCCAAGCTGCCTGCAAAGTGGTTGCCCGCAAGTGTGGGCCCGCCGCAAAACTATAGATGATAATAGAAATTTCTCCAGTCTTCAATCATACATATTATATATTATGATGGCTTGATGCCAGCCAACTTGGAGGACGTCAGGTGCACAACATGCACAATTAAAATGATTTCAAAGAACTTCCCTGTGTTCTATGGACTAATTACTGTAAACGCTTTTATTTTTTTTGCACTTATCACGTCGGCACGCCTGTCCAATTTTTTGCACGTACAATTTATTTTTTATTTTGCAAATGCATGCCCGGTTTCCGCATTCCGAATCTGTTGTAGTCTTTGTCTAGTCAAATAACAATTGTGAATACTGTAAAAAAATAAAAAGCTTTTGGGAGCATACGATGGAAGGATATAACGCAAAGTACCCCGCGGTTCTATTGGCTAGTTTTGCCGCATTTGGTATTTTTGGCAACTTGAATATCATTGCGGCAACTGTACGAAGACGGTAAGGCAGGTACAGCAGGAAATTTCATAAATTTAAGCATTTGCTTTCCATTTTTTAACTGTGCTGACAATGAATTTCAGTTCACTCCGAACAACCTGCAACCAACTAATTACTATCGCCGCGTTTTTCGACTTGATCCATGTGTTCAGTCAGCATATCATGACTTACTTTGTAATCTCTGGCAACTATCCGACGCTGGAGGGTTGCTTTTACATCCAGCAAATCCCGATGATCGGTTGTAATGCCGGTGAAATTTTAATGTTTCTCACGAGTCTAGACCGACTTTATTGTGTCGCAAAACCGGTTGCGTAAGTCTATAAGTCAATACCAGATGGGAACTACAACGTAGTGGTAAAAACAACCCAGTTCTGTCTGCTCTACGACTACAACTTTTGGTTAACTATAGAGTCCGATTTCAGTTACCAACGGCTCTCCGCCACCGTCGAACTAACCGTCTGTCTCATTGCCGCCCTTATTTTTGCCGGCTGGCTAGATTATGAAGCCTACCTTAGCCTGCAACCCATCAAAGAGAAGCTGACTCTTTGCAGCGTTGCTTCGAGCTTCATCGGCTCGGCTTTAGACGCGTTTACGGCTGCAAATGGTATCCTAAATCTCGTTACTGTGCTGAATTACGCTGGTATTTGGATAATCGTCAAAAGGATTACAAAAAAGCAAGCGTCTAGCATGTTGCGATCTATTGCTGCAGTAACATGTTGCGTCGTCGGCGGTTGGCTAGTGACATTCTCGAGCTTTGCTGTTTGCGTCGCAAGTGGAACGAAAATCACGGACGAACTCATATTGTACCTTGGACTGCCGCTCAACTTGTCGGTCTCGTTGAACTATCCGATATATTTTGCGATGAGGTAAGTAGGGAGAGGCCAAAAATAATTCTTCCATCGTCTTCGCAAGGGTCGACAACGTTGTAGGCCGCGGAATTATTGCTTTTCAAGGTAGGATACGACAGTTGTAGCCAATTACTTCAAAAACAGTAAATTGTAAAAAATGGTACCTTGTTGAAAGTCTTAGGAAGAAATATTGTTTTTAATCAACATAACTTCAAACGTTTTAGTAGTCAGTATCGCCTCGCGTTCAAGCAACAGCTCAACATTCTTAGTGCAAACACAGTATGCAAAGACATCAGCCCCATCTTCTCAAAGGTTGTTAGCACTACTGCGATAAAGACAAGAACAACTGAAGTCGCGACTAAACAATCTTTTGCTTAATTCTTGTGTGTATCGGGGATGAAATAAATAAACTTTGGATCAAACCTCTCGAGGAAATTCATTGTTTTCAATGCCCTGATGATGGATTTAGTTAGTGAGGCAATCGACCTGACCACAGCCAGTTTGGATGTTGACTGACCTATCTGAAGTTCCAAAACCATTTGGAACGACTAGTAACATTATTTTCAGAGGATTTTGGAGATTAATCGTGACCTAGCTCACGACCTAGGTCATTAACTTAGTCCAGGTGTATGTCTAAAATATTCTCAAAATGGCCAAACTATGTAGATGCCAAACTAGACGTTATGATTCCTTGACGCCAGTCGACTTTCAGGACGTTAGTTGCGCAACATGCACTATTAAAATTATTTCAAAAAACTGCCATGAGTTCCGTGGGTCCAATTACTGTAAAAGCTTTTGTTTTTTTGCACTTAACACCTCGGCACGCCTGTCTATTTTATCGGAAGTACAATTTATTTTGCAAATTCATGCGTTTGAATTCCGGTCACGGTTTCCGCGTTCAAAATTTGTCGTACTCTTTGTCTAGTCGACTAATAATTGGAAATACTATAACAAAGTAAAAAAGTAGAAGGCTTTTGGGAGGAAATTATGGTGGAATATAACGCAAAGTACCCTGCGGTTCTATATTCTAGCTTTGCGGTATTTGGAATTTTTGGCAACTTGAATATCATTGCGGCAACCGTAAGGAGAAGGTAGGAAGTGTGTGATGAATAATCGAATATTAGTCTGTCGGGAAAATAATGAGCAGAATGTCGCTGCGGCGGTAACGTCGCTCAAGTGAAAAGCAATTTGATTTTGCCGCGACACAATCATTTACTCGACGATGACATGATTTTTGATGCCATAGTGCGCTCATTATTTTCCCGACAGACTACTAACTACAGTGACGCTAGTTAGCAGTCTGTTTTGATCCATGGCAAAAAACGTACCATCTCCCATCCGGGATGTATTAGAAAACGTAGCAAAATGTCTCCCTCGCCAACTAAAAAGACCTCTGTTTTGAAGGGCTCTTTTAGTCGACTGTTTTGCAATTCATACTTCAAATCCGACACTCATCGAAATTTTAGATCGCTCCGAACAACCTGCAACCAACTAATTGCTATTGCTGCCTTTTTCGACTTGATCCATGTGTCCAGTCATCCTGTCATGACTTACTTTGTGTTCTCCGGTAACTATCCGACACTGGAAAGTTGCTTTTACATCCAGCAAATCCCAATGATTGGTTGTAATGCTGGGGAAATTCTAATGTTTCTCACGAGTCTAGACAGACTCTATTGTGTCGCAAAACCTGTTGCGTAAGTTTAGAAGTCAATAGCAGATGGGAACTACAATGTAGTTGTAAAAACAACCTAGTTCTTTCTACTCTACAACTGCGACCTTTTGTTTAGCTGTGCCGTCCAATTTCAGCTACCAGCGGCTCTCCGCGGCCGTCGAACTAACCGTCTGTCTCATTGTCGCCCTTCTTTTTTCCGGTTGGCTAAATTATGAAGCCTACCTTAGCCTGCAACCCATCAAAGAGAAGCTGACTCTCTGCAGCGTTGCTGCGAGCTTCACCGGCTCAGCCTTAGACGCGTTTGCGGGTTCAAACTGTATTCTAAATCTGGCTACTATGTTGAATTACGCTGGGATTTGGATAATCGTCAAAAGGGTTACAAAAAAACAGGCGTCCAGCATGTTGCGATCCATTGCGGCGGTAACATGTTGCGTTGTTGGCGGTTGGCTGCTGTCATTCTCAAGCTTTGCCGTTGGTGTCGCGAGTGGAATGAAAATCACCGATGAGCTTGTATTGTACCTTGGACTGCCGCTCAACCTGTCGGTCTCGTTGAACTATCCGATATACTTTGCAATGAGGTAAGGGTCAATGTCATTGGGTCTGGGCAAGCATGGCTAGCGGTTCTGCTGGGGAGAAGACAAAGGTTTTGCTTTACACTTCTAATTTGTTGCTTTTTGCACTGTGAAATAGGCTTTTTTTGCTGTCGCTCGCACCCTGACTCTTTTCGCACAGTGCAAGCGCCAAAAGTCAGCCCGGCGGCTTTCCAGAGGGGCTAGTAAGCCGTGACTTTTCAAATTTTTTCATTTTTCACCGTTAAGTCGACCGAATTTTTTGGATTTGCACAAATGAATCTGAACCGGTTCCTGACTGGCCCCAAAACCATGTGTCTCTTACCTCTGCCGCATTTCGTATTTTTGCCGTTAGCGGTTTGAGATTTTTAAAGTTGGTTACAATAAGCGAGACCTACGTTTCGGGCCGTTGGATGAGACCGGCGAGACACTACTTTTGGGCCGATAGCCATGTCTGCGACTAGGAATTCGTCTTAATCAACATAACCTTACATGTTTTAGTAGTCAATATCGCCTTGCGTTTAAGCAGCAGCTCAACATTCTCAGTAGAAACCGAGTATGCAAAGACAGCAGCCCCACCTCAACATTCTCAAAGGTTGTTAGCACTACTGCGATAAAGACAAGAACAACACAAGTCGCGTCAAGGCAAGCTGTTGTTTAATTCTTGTGTGTGTAATGAAAATGAGTTACATAAACTTTGAACCAAACTTTTCGCGAAACGTTTCTTTGCCGCAATGTGGCCAGTATCAATGGGATTGTAATGTTGGTGTATTTCTTTAATGTGTTCCAACTTCTCAGCGTTTCATTCGGTTTTCCGGTTGACAGTATGGCGGAAACCTCGTTTCAGCGACGAAAAGAAGTTCGTATTTTACATGAAAATATTCTATGTATCAAGGCAAAGTTCTTTCTTTGTCAAAATAATAACTGCAGTGGCCTTGCTTACTTTTTTATGGTACTAGTCTGTTCATAAAATCGCTGAAGCGCAATCTTTCGATGCACAGAGAGAAAACCAAAAAAAAAGTGAAATGCACGGTGCAGAATAGGGATTTTTGGGCACGGTGCGTACCGCGACAAATGTCTATGCACTTTATTTAAATCCTATTATAAGTGTGTCGGGGAAGCAATGAGTCCAATTTCGCTACGCTGACCGCGTCGCTGAAGTGAACCGAAATTTGATTTTGCTGCGATACAATTTTCTCTGCGGCGATGCAATTTGCGATGCGACAGAGTTCTCATTATTTTCCCGACAGACTGATAGAAAATCTCTGCATCCACCTCCTTTTCATGTCGTAAGGTCCGACAACCCAGTAACGAGACAAGACAAGAGCTCAAGAGTCAAATGATTTATTCAGTGGGAAGGGGCCTTTAATAGCGAAGCCTCACGTAGGAAAGTGCAATCAAATTTGAATAAATGCAGATCGAAATCCTCGAAGCTCGGTCGTTCCGCCTCACATTTGACATACAACTACGAATCACACATGTTTTAATGGGTGCACCAGGACCATCAACGCCCATTCGTCTGGCTCTCGGAATAACAACTTGAACGAAAATTGCTCACTTCGTTTTAATTCCGAGAAATTCTTTGATTCAATAACACCAACACCACCTTGGTTTATAAGTGCAGTTCCACCTGGCCATTTGACCACCACTTCTTTTGTTCAAAAAGTGCACGCTTTTTTGTGAAGCTCGTAAAATGGACGACCTAAACCCCAAGTACCCAGCAATTTTGTTGGCGACGTTTGCCGCCTTCGGCATTTTCGGCAATTTGAATATTCTTGCGGCCACTTTGAGGAGAAGGTAAGGAAGTCATCTCGGAGTGTTGTATTTTTTGCCTGTTTTTCTCTCAGTCTGTCCGGAAAATAATGAGCTTCTGTCGCATCGAAAGTCGCATCGCCGCCGAGAAAATAAATTGAGGTTTTCACTTCAGCGACGGGCGAAGCGACATTGTGCTCACTGGTTTCCCGACAGACTGATAATCCTAGCGACATAAAGCCTCACATTTATCAGTCTGTCGCAAAAATAACGGCAGATGGTGCAGCAAAATGTCTCGCCTTGCCGCTATCGCGCAACAAATCTCCAGCCGCGGCTTGTCGTCGCAAAGCGATGATGAGCGATTCCAAGGCGCGACGACCCGCCGTTATTTTCCCGACAGACTGATATCGCGGATGTCGCACGCGAAAATTTGAGTGAGCTCGGGCGAAAGTGCCTGGCGAGCAATCGCTACGGCTAAACAGGCAGTAAAGAAAAAACTCACTGTGAAAAAGTGTCAGGACTTTATGTAGTGGAGAGTAGTTCGCCCGAAAGTCGTCTGCGACATTCAAAACAAAACTTTTCTTTTCACTGTGCAATTCTTTGCTTTTTGCAACGTGCAACTGGCTTTTTAAGATGTCGGTCGCACCCTGACCTTTTTGCACAGTGCTTATCGCCAAAACTCACTCCAGCGACTTTCCGGACCGATTAGTACATAGATTTTGTCTTTTCAGCTCGCTCCGAACCACCTGCAACTGCCTCATTGCGATTGCTGCAGCCATGGACATTGCTCACGTCTTCAGTCAGCATCTGATGACATTTTTCGTCTTCTCCGGAAAACACCCAACCTTGGAACGATGCTTCGTCGTCCAGTTTCTGCCCATGATTGGATGCAATGCTGGGGAAATATTGATGTTCCTGACCAGTTTGGATCGACTGTATTGCGTCGCGAAACCCATTGCGTAAGTTGAATTACGTATGCTGATGTTTGCCGTGTTTATATTATAAAACTTTGGGTTCGATGAATTAAAGGAAAAAAGGCCAAATTCGATTTAAAACGGATTTAAAATTTGCTGGAAGTCAATTATGTTTTAAGGAAATTATGTGGGCTTTGATTCTTTCACAATTGTGTTCAGAGTTCTGCAACGTGTTTTACAACGAGTTCTATAAATGATTTTGTTGCCCTATTTGGCCAGAAAAGTCATAAGCCATAAAAAGTCATAGGCACTGCAAGGTGGCTATGCATGACAAACAAAACATGGCACTAATATCAGTTTGTTGGGAAAATAATGTGCACTCTGTTGCATCGAAAATCGCATGGCCGCTGAAAAAATTTGTTGTGTCGCGGGGAAAATCAAGCTTCCTTTCACTTCAATCGGTAGGTGATGCGACAGAGTGCTCATTATTTCCCGACAGACTAATAATCTCTGCAGTTTTATCGCGCGGCATAAGTGGCAATTGCCCTTTTTAGAAAAATATCTTTGCCTTGTCCAAAGCGCACATTGCGACAGGACTTTCTCGCCGTGAAAAATCTTTATGGCCTACCTAAATAGTAGTATCAGTCTGTCGGGAAAATAATGGGTGTTTGTCACACCTTTTTGTCCATCATCGTTGCCCCGGCTTGAAATTTGGTGCGCGGCGGCGAAGAGGCGAGACATTTTTCTGCGACAAATCCTCATTATTTTCCCAACAGACTGATGGCATCGGGCTGTCGGGAAAATAATGAAAACTATGACGGTTCGCCGATCGAAGTAAAAGGCAATTTAATTTTACCCCGACAAAGTTCATTTTCTTTATATGCCACAGAGAGTCCATTATTTTCCCGATTTTACTTATACATAGTACACATTAACACACAGTAAATGAGTGCAAACGTTGCAGATACCAAAAGATACCCAGAGCTGTTGAAGTCTCACTCTGTGCCGTCATTTCCCTCGCCTTCTCCCTTTGGCTAAACCTCGAGGCCTACCAGAGTTTACAGCCCATCAAAGATCAGGACACACTTTGTAGTGTCGCCTCCAGTTTTACGGGCCGAGCGCAGAACTTATTCACAGCTGCAAATGGGGTTCTAAATTTGCTCACACTGCTGAATTATTGCGCCATTTGGATTGTCGTGAAGCGGATAACAAGACAAAGATCTTCAAGTTTGTTGCGATCCATTGCGGCGGTTGCATTTTGCGTTGTTGGAGGATGGCTGTTAACATTTGGAATGCTGGCCGGCTGTGTGGTGTCTGGAATGGACATACAAGAGGCGCTACTTCTATACCTCGGACTGCCCGTTAACTTGTCGGTATCGTTGAATTACCCCATCTACTTTGTAATGAGGTAAGCCTATTTACTGGCAATTTACATAGAGCGCCGCCCGAGGCAATTTGTTTTTCTTGCGTAATAACACTAATTTCAACGTTTTTTAGCACCCAATATCGGCATGCTTTCAAGCAACAACTAAAGATTCTGAGTTTCGGCAGAATGTACAAGGACATCGGCGCGGACTCCACAAACGTTGCAAGCGCGACAAAAACAACAAAAACGCATCGGATTGGGAACAAACAGCCATTCAGTTCAACGGCAGGATTGTAATATTAGTATTTTCATAAAGTGCATGTACATTTTTCGCGACCCTCACCGTTCACAAAAAACCCATTTTATCAAATTGAATCAAGATCCGTGCTAGAAAAGTCATCATTTCGCAATAAATAATTTTATTAAAAGTCGTCAAAAATCGACAAAAAACTAACATTTTCTATACATAATCACTTGAGTATCAAGAACCGAGATCTTTGGAGTGCCAGTCAAATCCCTCACAAGTATTCGTCGCCACTGTCCGGCGAGCACAACTGAGGAATCTGATTCTTGTAGACAATGCAATCCTCGAAAGCCATCTCCCGCGAATGCCCGCTAACTTTTGAGTCGGTGGTTGTCGAATTGATCTGCATACAAACCGTATTCCTTCGGCCTTCGGCGTCGTAGAAGAGGCTGGATTTTCGACGAACTTCCGTGGAAGGGACTTCTTTTTGTTCGCTGACATTGCTTAAAACGAGTTAAGTTTACATGGGAAAAGGTTTCAAATGCGACGTTCAGATTTGCTTTTAAATTTACATATACAGTAGTTGACAGCGAATTGTCAATTTTTTTATTTCGTGTGTAACTTCACTCAGACTCAACAGAATTTGATGAGACTAAGAGCGTTTAAGAAGCTGGGAGACACGCTTTAACCTTATGAAATTGTTTTATTTCATATCGGCCACAGGCGTGGTAAAAATTTTAAAACAAATTTTTTTGGGGGACAACGAATTGTCAATTTTTACATTTTGAGGCATAAGATCTCAATAAACCAGCATATAAAGACTATAACGGAGAGTAATCAGTTGCCAGCAATCATAGAACAGCATACAACGGGTTTCAGCCATAAGTATAATCTCCTTCGCTTCCTATAGGTCGGGCACTTGGGGGTGGACCATGTACAATATAATGTCAGCCTGGGGGCTTCCTAGGCCGAAATTATCTTATATTCCGGTTTTTTATGGGCGGTTACATCTTACTACGCTAGGGCAAGTCAAAAAATTACACCTAACGGGTTACACTTGCGCCTTGTTACCTCGAATATGTTAATCATGGCCTTTCATACTGTTGGTCAGAGTATCAAAAATCAAAAAATGTCGCGCATGAAGATCGTTGGAGAAACCTTCTATATTTGAAAACAAACTACACTAAAAGACAAATATTCAGTGCATTTAACATGTCAGTACCAGCACTCATGGAAGAGGTATGCAGAGGGAAATATTTGGATTTACATGAATTTTTACGTCGGGTTTGCAACACCCAGAAAAATTCTTATTTCTTCAAGCCTGCAACTTCCAGGACATTTTATTAGCATATTAGAGATTTTTACAAGCATTAAAAATATTAGTTTTAACGTTTAAAAACGCAGAAGACGCGCAATAAAATGATTAATATACTCACCACCCTAGTGTGGCACAAGAATTAATTGGACCGTCAGAATCTCACCCGGAAATTTCAGGGCGTCGAGACAGGTAATGAAATAATTTGTAGAATGTCGTTAGTTTGGCCGTAAAGGAGGATTAAATGAACCTATGCCCCCTGTCGGCAAAAAAATTATCGATTTTTGGGCGAAACACAGAGTTTAAATGACCAAAAATAATATTATCTGACGAATTTTTGACCCGTAGCCCCTCCAAGTTGTAATCCGGTGCAAGTTTGTTAAATATATTTAATAATCTTCCATAAAAAACCGGAATATAAGATAATTTCGGCCTAGGAAACCCCCAGGCTGACATTATATTGTACATGGTCCACCCCCAAGTGCCCGACCTATAGAAAGCGAAGGAGATTATACTAATGGCTGAAACCAGTTGTATGCTGTTCTATGATTGCTGGAAACTGATTACTCTCCGTTATAGTCTTTATATGCTGGTTTATTGAGATCTTATGCCTCAAAATGTAAAAGTTGACAATTCGTTGTCCTCCAAAAAAATTTTTTTTTTAATTTTTACCACGCCTGTGGTCGATATGAAATAAAACAATTTCATAAGGTTGAAGCGTGTCTCCCAGCCTCTTAAACGCTCTTGGTCTCATCAAATTCTGTTGAGTCTGAGTGAAGTTACACACGAAATAAAAAAATTGACAATTCGCTGTCAACTACTGTAGGTCAGCTATTACGCATTTATCTATTTATCATTCTGTCAGGAAAATAATGTGGATTTGTCGCGGTAAAATACCTCTCTGGAGCTGCGCACCAAACGTCCAGCCACAAAGATATGATGGGAGATTCGAAGGCACGAAAAATCCACATATTTTACCCGACGATCTTTCTCGCCAAGAGAGCACATAAAACGCGGAGAGTGGCCAGAGAGAAAAACACTTTGGGGCCATAGCTTTGCTAATTTTGCGCAGAAAAGAATTATGAAAACATTTTCGCTGTGGTGGGTGCGAAAAAAGCTTTTGTAGCGCGACTATTAGATCTAAACTTGTGTCATGTTTAACCAAAATCTGAGCGTCGCAGTTGGAGTAATCCCCCTGCTAAATATCATCGTAAATGAACACGTTTTTACCTGTTCAACCGCTTTGAATGGATGACCGAAGCGCATGCTGGGATCTTGATCAGAACTCGTCGAATGCACCGACAATTCAGCAAGAACGCCCTTGAATACTCCGAAGAGGCCATGCAGAAAATAAAAAAGTTGAGGCAATGATTTAGCACTTCCAACGTGTTGGCAATGTTCCGGAACACCTAAAATGTCAAGAATTTTTTAATCATTTTGTAAATTCTTTACAAGATTCTTGAATTTCAAATAGCAACTCACTTGAAACCCGAATTTATCCTCCATCGTCTCGTTTTGCAGGACCATTACGACCATCTGCGGCAGGTTGCCGATGAGATAAATTAGACAAATACACACCATTAGTGCCGTCAGCTTCTTTTCGGTGAAACTCTTCATCACGTTGCTCATGTCTTTCCGATAGAACCTGAAAGGCGTTTGTTAGGTTTGAACAACGAAATATATTATAGTAATAGTTGCGAAAAATAGTATTTTTTTCGCGGAAGTTGCGAGAAAAGTGCATATCGCAAGTGAAAAAACGGACAAGCCCAGACTTGCGATCAACTACTTTGCGGGCAGCTAGAAGAGCCACGGAGATACTGAGTGCATGTCCGGAAATCAGCCAACAATTGCTGTCAACGTAAAATTCAAACGATGATTTTTGGCAATTAGATGTCTTTATTTAAGTTTCTACCCGCATAAATGACTTGAATAGTCACCGTAAGATTAAGTGGCAATTTTTAAACGCTCAGAAACCTCTTGGAAACCAACTCCCATAACTTTGGAAGCGGTGGATGTACTCAAATGAAATTATTCAAATTCGCATACTTATAAGTACAAGGAAGTTGGCAATACGAGATTTCTATCATAATAACATGATAGAATAAGTACTAACAATAAGTAGATTACGATAATTGTAAACGTCGGCTGCCTGCAACGTGCTGCGACGCCATGCCGGTAACTTTTTGAAATCGTCAAAAAGTTTTTAAAAAAGTTGTAATCCCATTCTTGGTGTAATTTGACAAAACCCGACGACAATTTTGTAAAAGCTTCCGTCAGCTCTCTTCACATCCTCACCTTTGCTTCTCCTTGACCGGCGTCCCAATGACATCCGCCGAGTCGGCTCCACTCGTCCGCTTGATCAGCATTCTGCGGTTCCGCTTTGCCATCTGCAGACTCCTTGCAATGATTGTGTTCAGCACCACCAACAGGATGACACATGTGAAGCGCACTGTCTCGCGGAACATTTTGTAGTAACTGAACAGTGTCCACCACGGTTCTCTAAAAAACGTAGAATGTTGGTTCAAGTATTTTACATTTAAATTCAATTTTCATTGCAAGTTTGGAAATGCTGTTTACAAATTGGGTATCAGTCTGTCGGGAAAATAATGAGGACTTGTCGCAGAAAAATGTCTCGCCTCGTCGGGGCCGCGTATCAAATCTCAAGTTGCGGCAGCCGTCGCAAAGCAATGATTGACGGCTTCAAGCTGCGACAAGTCCACATTATTTTCCCGACAGACTGATAATGCTTTTTTTGGCATGTTTTGAACCTCTTCCGGATGTATGGTCTAATTGCTTTCGTCTTTGTCACTGAATTTAAAACATGCGTTCCATTCTTTTCTGGTCTATTGAATTTCACTTTATATGTGTTTATAATGTACCCATAGTTGGTAAACAACCAATTTATGGTCATCTTACATTACGTTAGAGTCAAATTTGTCAGAAAATTTAAATTTATCCACCTAAAACATGACAAAAAAGAAAAAAAAATTTAGCGAGCACTTGAAACTCTTTTTTTCCGACCAACTAATAGAATGTTTATATAATATATTATATAATGCTGTCCGAAAAAGGCCTAACGTTACGATTTTTTTCTCGCTCAAACAAAGCCTTAATTGAATTATATTCCCTAGCCGAATCGCACGGATATTTCTTTACTTTATGTTTCGGAAACGTTATAGCCTGAGGTCATTTATAATTCGAAGGAAAAAATCTCATTTTCCGATCTTTTGTTTTAGCGGTTAAATTAGTTTAAAGTTCTGAAAGCTCTCCGAGTTTCGCGTGCCCTCTCGGTCGCAAAGATCGTTGAATATCTCGGCAGCGGCTGTAAAGCGCGAGCTAAAACTTTCAAGAATTGATCTGTAGCCTGTGCACAACGTGTGTGCAAAATTTATAGAAAATATGAGCATCACATTTGAGGTAGATTTTCCTTGCTAATCTAATATATTTACATAGCAAAATTAGATGCGAAATCCTCCAAAAATCTAGTAAATTGGAATTGCAAGCACAATTAAATCAGCTTACATGCAGAGGAGACGTTGATTGTTCCCCTTGATAATCCGCCCATTCACGAACTTGGCCGTATTCTGCAACGCCATCGGGCAGTGTAATAGGATTGCGATTAACAAGCAGCCGGAAATCTTTAATGACACGGAATGCTGAATGCTGAACAAACGTTTTTTGTGTGGTTTGCGGATTAGCAGGTATCTAAATTAATATGCATATCGTAAAATAGATTGGATATCAGATTAGAGGTGACTTTACTGACCTCTCAACGGTGAGTAGGACGGCGGCGTAAAGGCCGGCCACCAAGAACGAGTTGATGAGGACGTCTTCAATCCAAACCTCGTAGTAGACCATCCATAGGTAGTGGTTGTCGTTGTATTGAAGGAGGAAATGCACTATCACAGCTGTTAACCCGACCTGAAATTACAGAAGGAATGATGACTAACAACGCAACAAAACAGGTGGGAAATGATGACATTAGTACAGTACTCATCCTATATGAGATTGTTGTAGATGAAGAGTTAGGTTTTTTGAAAAGTTCCACTGTTAAAAACTTCCTAATAAAAGGCGACATCTTATACGATGAAATTTTTTTATGACAGAAGTTTTAAAAAATTGGTTAAAATTTTAATCGTATAACATGTCACCTCTCTTCTTGAAGAAAAATGAGTAAAAATTTCATCGTATTTGAAAAAATTTGGTAAAAAAATCAGCGTATACGATGTTCCTCTCATTTTCATTTTGAAAAAATTTTCCATCGTATAAAATGTCACCTCTCATTTTGAAAACTCAAAAATCGGGACTCTTCAAAAACTATGCAAAAATAAAAGTCAATGTTGCTACGAAGACTATGCTCCAAGCATTTACCCGGCTTCGAAGCATCAAGAAAGAATCCTACAGAAGTTACCCAAACAGAAAGGAAATTCAGGAAGGCTTCGTTCCCGACTTCAATGCCAATCAAAACTCATTTTCAATAAGGAATTAGAATGAGCAACCTACCAGATCAAAGATAGCCAATGCCCGTATATACATGAAAGGAACTGTCCGCAACGACGGACTGCGCAGTGTTATTAGGTTCAATACATTACCAGCCACTCCAATCAGGCTTATTGTGATCTACAAACGCGTTGAATGTCGACTACCTCAACTCACCATAACAGATCGAAACAAGCTCTGCAGACTCTTGAGCCTGACATCGACCTCCGACTGAGGGCCATGATCCGGCTCGCAGAACGACTCCCAACTCATGATGACGATAAAAAGCTATGACATAGCGAAACGAGCGGCTCTGAAAAAAGTTTGAATCAGAATTTCTGTCTTTTTTTCACAATAAAAATCGCAAAAAGGAACGCAAACAGAACGTCCATTGTGGAACATAAATCCTCAACAAAAGGAAATAAATTGCGATTAAATAAAGGTTCGGCCGGCAATATTAATGTAGCCACCGGAATGAGGGAAGATTTGAAAGACGATTTCGGCCTTTTAGAAATTTAAGAACTGAATGGATTACGTGCAAAATTAAACGTTCATATATTGTTGATGTCTATGAAAAGTTTCCAAAAAAAAATTTTCCAGTCCAATAGAGTTGTTGGATAGATAGAAGAATAGAAAATGGCAAAAACAAAACAAAAATTTGGCCCTGTGGCATTGCGGAAGTTATTGAAAATTGTAGTCAAAGATTCGAAAAAAATAAGGGTAAAAACTTGAGGCACGTGAGAGGGGCAAAATATAATATCATTATGGGCTGACCCAGGACTTGCATTGTAGATTTAGGCAAGAAGTTGGAGATTGGAGACTACACGTACGAGTTCAATTTTACTTATATAAGGGTGACCCAAAATAACGGAGACAATTTTTGAAGGGTCCCACTGCGAAAGCCGGTCGTTAGAGAAACATAAGCGACAGCGGGTAATATTCTATAACACCTTCTCCATAATACACGCGAATTTGGTCGAATCATCATGTCGCAGTAAAAAGTTACAGCTTAAGAAAGATGCTTTACGCCGTTTTTTTGGCCCTCAATTTTGGTTCCCCTGTGTTGTGTAAAGCCTGGCTGTACTACAGCCGCAGAAATGACAAGTTCATTTGTTTTGTTAGACTACTATGCCCTTAAGAAAGCAGTTGCGTAGGTTTTTGGGCTACGGTTTTTATTTCTACGGTGGTACCGATCTCAACATTGAAGATCGCCATTTTTTCCAAATTTTTTCCATAAAAAATTCAGTTTTTTTCGAATAAAGCTAAAACCGCTAGTACGTGTTCTATTAATAAATACAATGATTCTGAAAAAATCTGTGATTGCTTGCTGGTTGCAACAGCTTTTCCTTAACAAGTTTCTCGCCCAGAACTTCCCCATGGCACGCTGCTTTGAGAAAGATGGGTTATCGATAACAGAATGACAAGATGGATCAAAACGGCGCATTATGCTCCTGTACACTTATGAATACGACTCTTAAGAATCAGCCTAGGACACTTTCGGTCTTTATGTGTCACCGGCTCGACCGGTATTCCGCCTAAGGCAAAAATAAGGCAGAATTCTAGTGATTACCAAATAGCATTCCGTAGCAGTTACAAGATGTTTCTATTTTGCTTTTATGGTGTTCCTTTAATCATGTTCTAGTAATTCGTATAACATTTTTCCTTATCTAACATGTAAACCCTTTCTTACGCTTACATTTTCAAAAAAGACCGATTTTTGCACTTTAACTGCCTGAAAATACTCGGCTGTAACTTTTGAACCATCGATAGTTAAGCTTAGTATGATAGCTCGTTTTAAAGGTCTTATTACGATAATTAATCACTGCAAATCTCAAACTATTCCGAGTTCTCTTTTTTGAGTAAGGCAGCTTTCTTGCAAAAGGACCCCACGGGCAGAAGGGTCCGAGTCAACCGGATATATTCATGTCGTTCAAGACAGAAGAGCGTCGTACAACAAAACTACCGGTAAATAAAACTACCCTAACGTGGTACTTTAATATAAATAAGGAGTCACTCATGAATCTTTATAAGTCGCAGAAAAAACGGGAAATCTTTTGTCTCCGTTATTTTGGGTCACCCAAGTAAAGAACAAAGAATGTCATTTTCAAAGACTGGGCCTTCTTTCAACTATAATAATAGTCGCCCAAAAACCTCAGCGGGATTTTAAAAAAATAGAAAAAACGATTAAAAAATCCTAGGTCTCAGTTTGTCGGGAAAATAATGTGAATTTTTTGGGCCATGAAATCGCCCATAATCGTATCTGAAGTGAAAAGCAATTTGATTTTGCCGCGATACACTTCATTTTCTCAGCGGCGATGCGACTTTCGATGCGACACAGTGGTCATTATTTTCCCGACAGACTAATATTTAATGGTCATTATTTTCCCGACACACTGATAATCCAAATTAAAAAATGGCTATCATGGCTGTCGGAAGGCAAAACAAATCCCGACAAGCCGTCAAAAATTTCGAAAACTGGCGGATTCAAATCCCGGCACAACAAGGGATCCCCAGTCACCGCAACTATGACATCAAAGAATGTTTACTCGAATCGTCTTATCCCCTCATGATAAATAACGGATTAGAACCTGTGAAAAAACACTCGGATTCCCGGAGGATACGACTAAATCCGCAAGATGAAAAGTCCGCCAAAAAATGCAGATGAGAAATGTAAAATTCTAATGTCAAAAGGAAAAGTGCAAAACGTGTTCGGCTTCTATAACAGATTATGTAAAGGCGAGTGGATTTGAATAATCGGGGGAGTGAATACACCAATAGAATATTTTGGGCAGATAAAAAAGGGCAAGAAGAAAGTGATCAGCACAATGTCGCCTTGGTATAAGTCTGTCGGGAAAATAACGGCCACTCTGTCGCATCGAAAATCACATCGCCGCCGAGAAGATAACTTGCGTCGCGGCAAAATCAAAGTTTTTTTCAATTCAGCGCGTTTTTTTCAATGATTGGCGCAGCGACTTTGTGGTCATTATTTTTCCGGCAGACACATATCGGGCAGTTGGAAAATAATGCGTACTTATCACAGCCGTTCTATTTCCAGCCGATGGGCAATTCGGAAAAGCGACAAAACCAAATTATTTTCCAGACAGACTATACAGGGTGTCCAGAGAAATTCCGCGGAAAGTATTTGCCGATTTCTCGGCGCTTAGGCAAGATATCCCAAAAATTCTTTTTGCATTAGAAAGAAGACTGTGGGCGGTTTTTTGTCTAAAAAAGTTTTTTTGTCCGTCGACGCGGAACATACTGTATTCGGCGGAGACTTTTGGTAGCTTTTTTGGTCATCACACCAATCTTAAGCGCTTTACTATGATCCTGAAACTATCGGGAAGTCTTCAGTTTTTTCCACGGAGGATCAGGAGACCGACGACAACGCTATGCAATCGCATTTAGCGACTGCACCGCACTGTGTAGTTGCGTCAACAGCGATGAAGTCCGACCGCATCGTGCGGAGGTTTGAAACAGCGGGGCAAAGAGAAGTTCAAACAGAAAATATTTTGTTGTTTTTTGGTACACCAAGTCGTTTACTGATGGCTAAGCTGCTGCCAAGGCTTGGCGACAAAATTTTGGAGAGCATATGGGATCAGCAAAGAATGCTAGCCACATAATGTTTGGGACATCTCCTATCCAAAGCTGAGTTGTGGCCTCCGCCGATACGGAAAGCTCGCCATTCCATTGCCGAACGTTTGGTAAACATAAAAATAAGATAACATTCTCTTTTTAACCATCAGAAATCGTACTGCAGCTTTTAATATTGGTGTGATGACCAAAAAAGCTACCAAAAGTCTCCGCCGAATACAGTATGCTCCGCGTCGGCGGACAAAAAACTTTTTTCGACAAAAAACCGCCCACAGTCTTCTTTCTTATGCAAAAAGAATTTTTTGGATATCTTGCCTGAGCGCCGAGAAATCGGCAAACACTTTCCGCGGAATTTCTCTGGACACCCTGTATGTGACCATTTTTTAAATCGATTCCCTTTTCCACAATGTCAAGGTCCAACCGTGACTTCAAAATTTTAGGCGATCCGCAGCAGCCATTTTCGAATGAAATGGTCCCGGTCTTGGCGCTGCGATTACCCAGCAATTTCAAGCCCTTGTGGCGCATAGCAGTCTGTCTGTAAAAAGTGAGCACAATGTCGGTGTCGCATTGCAAGAAAAAATGCTCTGTGCGTTAAAGACAAGCTCGGGAAAAGTTGAAAATACACTATGTGTAGATAAACAAGTCCTTCAATTTTATGAAAATACTAGTAAATAGTATATCGCTCACCTTTCCGCTCAAAATTTTGCAAAAACCGGAACTCCCTAATCCCCTTATCACGGTCTCCTCCAACTTGAGCGACAGTTCCGCAAGATGTCGATAAAAGGACAGCTAATCCGCGAATTCGTGACTAAATGGGGAACCGTAAACAACCTCTGAACCTGTTGGTCAGTGCCTTGGAAAACAAGGCAGGGTGAAAGTCTGAGAACACTGAAATGTATGAAAAGAAAGGTCGAAAATAAGTTTGGACTCAGTGAACTGACGCAAAATTAAGGAAATGGTTTTGGGATGGAAGTTCTTTGGCTTTTACAGGAGTTTGCAGATTAAAGTCGGTCTATTTATTATGATAGGTTAGTAATATCAAAAACTGAATTGCCGGGGTGGTTTTTAAAAATTAAATGAGTATAAATTCGCAAAAAAATGTAATTTTTTAGCCAACCTTTGACCAAAAAATCTCGTTCGTTTCTGCAAAAATAACGACGAAAATAATCTAAATTTGTGTCAAGTTTCACCAGTATCTGAACGTCGCAGCTGGTCTAAACACCCTCTCCTATATATGAGTGAAGCATTCCCCACTTTTTTAATTCGATTTCTTGACCTCTTTAGAAGAAATTATGGGACAAAAGCAGTCAGAAAAATCTGCCATAATCACCGCAATAAGACTTGAGATAAATGACGCTTTGGATTTTGTCAAACCTCAGGATGGCTGTGACAATTTCAATAGCGTTTTGAAACTTCAGCGTCATCATACCAAAACAAAAAATTTTCGCTTCAGCATTGTATAAACAGCCCATTCCCAAAAATATCCCCAATGTCCACAAGGAAAGCACATGCGGAAAGGCTTCATGAATAGCCCGCCCGGCTGATTTTTTACGAAACCGAAGCCGGAAAGGGCCAAGTTTCTTCGCCGCGACGAAAATTAGTTTACAAAATATGGGATGAATTGAATTAGTCAGGGATTTGTAGCAAGCGCCTGGAGTGTTGTTGTGTCGTATTTGCAAAGT